GTCGAGACGATCCTGTTCTTCCTCGTCGCACGGGAGCGGGTAGATTCCTTTCCGGTAGCCATGGTACATCCGGCCGTTCTCTTTGTGATTCGGGTATTTCTCGGGTATCCTGTTAGGATAGAAGTCAGTCATTGAATTCACACAATTGGGTATGAGGTGACATACTTGCGGTCGGAGATTATGATGGGAGAAGATCGCGATATTTGAGATGCGTTCGAGGCGTGGGATGCTTGTGTGGCCACCGATCCATTGCTGGTGAAGCGAGCGTTCCTGCGAGGGTCTTTATCAACCGGATCTCTGTCGATCAGGGTGTACAAGTCCATCGCGGAAGACGGTTGTCGTGATCGGGTCCGATCACTCGCCGCCACGGAGTGCGAGTAGTATCTGGAATGGCCGGCATCGCTCCCTGGGGTTGACTCGGACTTGTATCGTTTGGGGCGGAGGTGGAGAATTTATGGGAGGCAGGTGTCGCAGCCTGGAATCCCCGTTCGTAAATATCTTCGGCAGCGATGTGCGGTCAGGTGCGGGAAAGGAACCAGAAGACTCTCGGTAAGACATGGTGATTGATATCGGCGATCAATCAATGATCGCGCAAGATATCGAAGGCGGTTGTGAATCGATCGATCATGCCAGTCATAGGAAAACACGAAAGGATCAAGTCAGCTGCGAGGCAGCGAAAGCACACGAGCAAGTGCGGGTTAAAGGAGACCACAGGGATTGCACGGTCGGGTGAAGCTCAGGGATTTGAGCCAGGAAATTCAGCAGTTCAATATCCTCTTCTCTTCTCGAAAGTGAAAGAAGGAGTTAAGGTCGTGAAGCTGTTCCCACGCGGGGTACGGGGGTACTAAAGAATGAAATGGCACAAGGATGAGAGAAGGGGAAATTATTAGAACGAAGGTGCAGAATTCGATGCAGAAGTACGGAGTACAGTGGGAAAAAGGAAAAGTACGACCCGCGCTACCGGGACTGAGGTTGGGAATATTTCCAAGGTTGATTCTATCCCAGAATGAATATATTGTATATTGTATATTATATATTATACATTATACATATTATATTGTCCCTACATAGTTATGTAAACCCCAGCTATATCAATATCCTTAATCCTTAATCCTAACAATCCTTCCAAGGTTATTATATATATAAATCGAATCAGAATTCCTCCGAGCTAGATCGACATGGACCAAAAAAGGTGACCCACGTCCTAGCGGGATGCGGACCGTCTGGGCCTCTCATTTCCAGGGATTCCCACTTGGGGGGCCCAAGGGAGTGGTAGAAGGCGTCTTACTCGGGTACTTTTGGAAAGTTACAATAGAAGGTAAGAGCGTGTTGTCTTAAGTACTCCGTATATATGTAGGTATTATCTATATGGGGAACGGAATGTATACTTCAGTCACACAGAGTCTGCATTTCTTTTTTAAAAGAGAAAAAGACCTTCCAATTTGTCCTGATGAATCCCCTCACCGTAACCCAAAGCCCTGGGTCCCATGGGTGCGACATTTGAACGAATCAACTGGTCCAACACCTTAGCTGCATATTAGCTGCACCTTGGCCCTGGTAATCATTTTTCCTTACCCGGATCCCATTTGTGATATGTAAGAATGACCCTAAGACCATCACACTGGGTCATTAGCACATGTACTTTCTCTCTTTTTTTAATCTACAATGTTGTATCCATGTATACTTATGTATAATTATACCTTACATATATACATGTATCATGCATTATACGTGTCAACATCCCCAATAATGAGGGTATTTCCCCGGGGTACTTGGCTTCCCAGGACACTGGTTCCATCCCGGCTCGGGCGCTGATTGAAAAACATATTCAATGGGGGACTCCAATCTAGCCTTCTTATAGGGTACAAAGAAAAGATGGCGTCGGGCAAACCCCGAATTGGTCTCCTTACATGACACATACTCTGTACAATAATATGAACATTTTACCGGGGTTTGCCGCGCTGATCTTTCTAGTCCGACTGGTCATTAAGAGATATTGATCGTCGCAGGCCCAGGGTACTAATTTTGTACTTACCTATGTTGTACCTATGTTGTATGTTGTAGGTACTGACAGCTCATGGATTGGGTTTAGTAAGATTGCATGGCGCATTCAATCCATGTTCGGTACTAACATCGAGCGTATGTTGTATATTGTACTCTTTTTTGCCCCTGATTCTTGGGAAATGAAAACTCCTTTCCAATTTGACATTTTATATCGAAATTCTGTCATATATTATATACAGGTTGAGTAGACAAGCCTACACCAGGCTACAGAACCCCATACATTGATGTACCCCGGGAGCCCCACGTAGGAAAATTTCCCATCCCGAAACTCATCCAAAGGCCCTGGAACATTTGAATTGACTAAATTGCTATTGCTACAATACGTAAAACCCAATTATCATACGGAGTACTCCGTACGATACATAATTAATCAATTCAGACTAATCCACCCCTCACATCAGCCACAGCCACAGCGCCCCAGAGATCAATATCTCTATATCAAATCCAGGAAAATTCCAGCAAAACGGGCTTAGCTCAATTCCACAATGCACACCCTCAAAGCAGTGGCCTCATCGACTCTGTCCCTGCCGGCAGATAATTACATCTACTCGATCGTCCCCTCAGCACCGGGGACATTCGCCGCCATCTCATCAGATGATTCGCTGCGCGTGTTTGACGCCGCCGATCTCGATCGCGCGTCTGTGGTCTCGCCCGCTACGCACAAGGGTGTCACTGCGCTGCGAAGCTTCACTCTGGGCGAGTCGCACCTCTTGGCTACGGGTGGTCGTGATGGGAAGGTGAAGGTGTGGGATGTCCGGGCTGGGAATGGGAGTCCGGTTGTGGAGATGGAAACGGGTGAGTTTGTTTTGGTTAAGCTTTTTTTTATTATTTTCTTTTTGGTTTGATGTGTCTATTGCCTGTTTGGGTTGTCGTCGGGAACTTGCTGGACATGTGCATTTGTGCATTTTGTGTTTTGCTGCATTTCCGCTGGCCGGTTACTGGTTTTCGGGGAATTTATCGGCGCTTGGATTCAATGATGGTCTTGGCTTCGGTTTTGTTTTTTCTTTCAAGGTTGTCAAATGCAGATCTGCTAATACGTTGTCTATGCGTCTAGCGAAGAATTCGCCTGTTCTGTCTGTGGCTTGTAACCCGGAGACAAACACTATTGTTGCCGGAACGGAGCTTGTCTCTTCGCAGGCGGTTGTTGCATTCTGGTAGGTTTCATCGTATTTAGTTTCGATTTCAATACTGGGCTCGGAATGATCATTCGATCATTATATCGATTCGATATGTCTTTCCAACCCTAAGACAAGAACAACTGTACTCTATTATCAAACCCAGTCCCACTAACCAACAAACAGGGACATCCGATCCCCCCAGGAATTCCGCCTCCAATACGTAGAGAGCCACAACGACGATATCACCGAGGTAAGTGCACCTCCATTCTAAGAACCCAACAATCCCTCCAATCCAATACATGCAGCACCAGACTAACCATACATCGGCACCTTGCCTGTTACCGGTGGTACACAGCTCCAATATCACCCGACGCGCAGCAACATCTTACTCTCCGGCAGCACGGACGGACTAGTCAACATCTACGATACAACCGTAACAGACGAAGACGAAGCCCTGGTGCAAGTGATCAACCACGGCTCCGTACATCATGCCGGGTTCCTATCGGAGCGCACCATCTTCGCCCTCAGCCACGACGAACACTTCTCCGTGTACCCGGCCACAGACCCGGACGATGCCTCACAGGAGCCCGAGCCCGTGCATTTCGGTGACGTGCGAGAGCCACTAGGCTGCGAGTATGTTGCGCAGTTGTGTGTCGGTGCGCAGGGGCCGTATATCGCCGCTGGGAATAAGATGTATGTTTCTTGTCTTTTTTGTGTTTGTGTGTTTGTGGGAAGAATAGAGCATGCACACGTTGCTGTTGTGCTTATGTTTTTGCTGGGTTTTCGTGGGCTCGTGGGTGTTTGCTAACTCATGTCTTGCAGTGACAACCGTCTCGATCTTGTCCCACTTGTTTCTAGTCCGTCGTGGAAGCTAGACCGGGATAATCTATGGCGCTTGCCCGTGCTCATTGCGAGGAGGTTGTGCGCTCGGTGTGTTTGGATGAACAGGTACGTTTTTCAGGAATAGTTCTTGTTACATGTTATATCTGCTTGCTGTTTTTGGCTGTCGTTCTTTATAACCCTCGCTAATACAACTATCTCCTCGATCAGAGTCAATCAGTTTTCACTTGTGGTGAGGATGGCTTTGTGCGAGCATGGAGGCCTGCTGAGGAGAGTGAGGCCCCGGTCCAGTCTCAGTCTGGGTCTGGGTCTGCAAAGGCTCGCCCGAAGGAGAAGAAGAAGGATAGGTTCAAGCCATACTAGTCTGTACTGCGGGTGAATGCATCTGTTGTCTGTTCTGTATCATTGGGTGTTTGGGTGGTAAAAATAGATAGTCCTGCACTTGAATCATATGAGGTTATGTCGTTACATATTATTCGAATTGTAGCAAAATACATAAGTTGGTTGTTGTCAACATTGAAATTGGTAGTATCAGTTCAATGTAGGTTGGAAATATATTCTGGACTACCCCTGTTAGGGTATGAATCTTGAATTCGAACCACATCCATTTCTGGATATCACCAATTAAACCTAATTTATATTGTGTAAATTCCACCCCTCTAGAACGCCAATAATATAAAAAATGAATCGAAAGCTCTATAGAATGAACAAAAACAACCTTGGAACCTTTTAAGTACCTGGACAAAAGAGCCGGGTTACTAAGCTCCAGGGCCCTGGGGCTCCCGTGAAATCTTATCTCCAACATTTTTTTCCGTATCGAAACTTCTTCTGCAAGGGACCAACTCCCTCAAACTCCCTCCCCGATTCCACAAAATAGATATCAAAATACCAAGTTCCCAACCGAAACACCCACGATCCAAAAAAACCAAACCCTCTTGCCCACGGAAACACAACATCTCCGAGGGCAAACACACACAAATGGACGCCCAAGCCTACCTAATCAAGCACGGCTGGTCCGGCCCGGGCAACCCACTGAACCCAAACAAACGACCGGGCGCACACAGCGGACTAGGCCTAACCCGACCGCTCCTTGTATCGCGCAAAGCCAACAACCACGGCGTGGGCAAGAAGACAACCAAAGACCCGACGAACCAGTGGTGGCTACGCGGGTTCGAAGATGCGCTGAAGGGCGTCGGGGACGACAGTTTCGAGGCGAACTCCGCGCGCGAGAACAACGCTCTGACGAGCGAGCTATACCGGCATTTCGTGAGGGGGGGAGGGATTGGCTGGTACGCTTGAAGGGACAGACAAGAAGGAAGACGAGAGCGGGACGTCTACTTCTAAGTCCAAGTCGAAGCGGAAGCGGGAGGATGGGGATGAGGGTGATCGCAAGGCTAGGAAATTGGCTAAGGCGGCGCGGAAGGTGGAGAAGGCCGAGAGGAAGGAGGCGAGGCGGGTGAAGAGGGCTGCGAAGGCTGAGAGGAAGGAGAAGAAGATTGCTGGGAAGCTTGCGAAGAAGGCTTTGAAGGAGAAGAAGAAGACTGCTTCTGAGGAGGATTATCCGACGCCTACGTCGATGGATTTGGAGTCTGATCAGACTGCGGCGGAGATGACCGAGACGGATGAGGCTGTTGCGCGGTTAAAGGAGGCGGCGAAAAAGGAGAAGAAGGAGAGCAAGAAGGCCAAGAGCATAGGAGGTGACGAAGACCCGAAAAAGAAGTCTAAAAAGGAGAGGAAGGATAAGAAGGAGGCCAAAGCCTGATGTCTCCATTTTGTTGTAACCATTTTGATATTGGAGCGCTTCTCATGCATGTCAGGACCATGTATAAAATTCTGCATATACCGGTTTTCTGTTACGCCATATAGAAATCAAGATACCCTTTTTGTTTGGCGAATTATGACCATTGAAACCATAAATGTACAACATAAATCTTTTGTTTTTGTGTTGGAGGTAAGCTAGGCTGGTAATTTTCCAGGATTGCCTGATAGAATCCACGGTCTTTTCTCCCAGAACTCATCTTTGATGATATCGACATGGTCAATAACGACCCGTGCTTTTCGGCGCAGTTTCCGGATCTTGTCTTGCTGTGACCTCGACTGCTTAGACTCGCTCACCGGTGATTCTTCGTCTGTAGACGATTTTGTAGGTTTAGGTTCCTCCAGCTCGTACTGTTGAGATAAAGGTTAGAACGGGCTGAAACAGAACGAAAAACGTCATATAAATTGGCGCATACCTGGCGATAAAGAACAGTGCCCTTTTTATAGATCTCCAGCTCATTATTGTAGTTGATTCCAAACCGCTTGAAGAGAATCTCATTCTTGTCTGCAGACACAGTACCCTTATATCAAGTCAATTGCCTGTACTTCGAATTGGAAGAGTAATAGCCTACCTTTAACTCTTGCTCGGCATCTGTGTTGCTCATTCCCCCTTGCAGAACCATCGTCCAGAAGGTAGTGTTGTAGAGGTTATTGATATGACCTAGTCATCTTGGGTTAGCCGGATGTGATTCGAAACCAGAGACATTGCGAGGCCATATTGCCATGGAACAGTCACTTACAATCAACTTGTCTCCAGCTCATATAGTCACGGAGAATTCGGTTATTAGGGTAGATGACCGCACGCCCATCAAAAGATGGCAGATGTGGTGGCAAGAGAGGTCTATCAGGGAAGTATTCGCTCCACTTGTAAATGTAGTGTGCTGTGAACGTAGAGACGATGGTGGTCACTAGTTTTCTGGATGGAAGATGTCCTGTCAATGGCCGTTCTTGCGAATTACACCGCAGGCGATAGAGGGAAAGAGGGGATACTCACCCATTGCGCCGCTCGAAAAGTTGGCAGTTGGGGTGGAAGACAAAACTGAGGGAATACTGTCAGTAATTGGAGGATAGCGATGAAACGAGCTGAACACACCTGTATTCATCACTGACTCCATATGCGATGCATAGGTCCGGAAGCTCTTTCATAACCTCAACTGCCGCGGCATTCATCAGATCTAGTGCCCGGCGGTCATTTGGTTTCGTGAAAGCGTAGTGATCAGAGAGTCTATATAGGTTAGTCTCCGAATACAGAGATAAATGCATTGTTGGACCAGAACAGCAGTCATATCATCATATCTTAGTGAAAGATATGCATAGACAGACGGATATATAGATGCCTTTTTTGCTTCTTGCATGAAGATTTCCCATGCATAGGACATCACCACAAGGAAAGAGAGATGGAAACTCACTTGTGAAATCCTCGTCCATCAATGCGGACCACAATCCACGTATTGGGGAGCAGCACATCCGGCTGCTCGAAGGACTTGACGTACTCAAATCTGTGTTCTTTTAGTAGGACTGATATCTTTGGAATTTTCCAATGCATACCTTGAGTTCGCCATTTTTCATCTACTGGACTTTGGTGCACCAAATTAAGTGATGAGTAGTCCCGGAGAATTGAGTTGTCATTTTGTGCGGGCGATTTCTGCCCGCCCGCATTTGCCCCAGTCTCTCGAGGACTTTTCTTATTTTGAGGACCTGAAACGATTTGATGGATAACAATAATAAAATGGTTCTTCGTGAATACCACAGGCCACTACATGGTCTAAATATAACCAGGTAAATGCTATGCAGAACCAAAAAGCCCGTAAATAAACTAGTATGTTGTTGAGATGCATATCAAAAACTCTTAAGGAGGATACTTTAGAATCTAGGAAATGAAAGTGAAAGGACAGAACCAAGATGGTCTATAGATACATGCGAGAATCATGAGTTCTCAATCTCAGGAATCTCTTCATCGCCAGTTTCACTGGCTCGCTCGCTAGTCTCGCTGGCCTTGTCAGACTTGCGGGATTTGCGAGAAAAGAATCCCAGGCTGCTGCGGGTTGAGCGATCGGCAGATGCCACACTTGAGACAGTGCTATCGACACTCTTGCCGAGCTGCGCTTCGCTGGCCACATCCTCGTCAATATCACCTTGCGAGGATTCACCTTTCTTAGAGAAAAGTCCCGAGCGATCCTTCCATGAGCTGAACTTGCTGGAACTGCCCTTGCGCGTGATCTTGCGGATGAACGACTCCTTGGAGGCATTGTCCATGGAAGTGCTCGATGGCATGCGCTCCAGCGATTCGTATGAATCACCAGTGAAAAGGGACAGGGAGCGAGATGTACGAGACTCCGAAGGAGATCCATCGTACTCGTCATGATTAAATGAACTGTCGGGACCGTTGCGCTTGTCTGTTTCTATTTCCGAATTCTCTCCCGTGAGAACGGCCGTGAACGCCGGAGCGGCGGGATTCAACTTTGGGGTCAGCGGCCGATGAGACGATGACGGACGAGTGCCAATCGGTGCTTGGAGGGGCCGATGGTGGCGGTCAAATGTGTCCTCCACGAAATCAGGCTCACCGGTTAGACCGAGTGGAAGATGGCCTGACGATCCATACTGGAATGAAGGTCGCCGAGAAGGAGCCCGCGACCAATTGGATGGCGCCGCCCAGTCAAACCCAAGCGGGCTGTTGCGGTGCCCAGCATTATCAGTCGATGGCCACCCGAAATGGCGATTGTCTGTCGAGGGGTGCGGAAGCTGGTTCGGCGTGTCAAATGAGGTCGATGAAGGTCGCGGGGACAGAGAACCGCGTCGAACGCCACCAAGAAGCGATGACGGATCAATAGGATCATGCCGAGGACTGAATTGATTGTATCCACTGCTAAGATCGGAATTCCCACGGCTACCAGCACCGCCGAAGCCAAACTTGCTGGATGAGAAGATATTTGAGAAAGCAGCCCGCCGAGAAGGCGCATGATCAGAAGAGCTGTCCATGGTGACACCAGCCGTGTTGCTCCGAGGGAATAATGACATCGGGTTTGCCCAATTAGCAGTATAGCTCGATCGTCGCCGGCGTGCACCAATTGGATCCAGCTCGTCAATATTGCGAGGGAAGGATTGACTCTGGCCGGGTTTTAAAGAACCCAGCATAGGGGATTCATCTGCCAGGGTTTTTCCACGAGGCCGATGGAAACCGAAAAGCCCAGAAAGCTTTCGGGATGCGCTTTTCGGGGCTTCCCCGGCAGCAGACAAATGAACGCCTTGGGATTCGTCCTGCCGATTTTGAGTCTCTAGTGGGCTGGCAAAGATACTGCCGGCTCGACTGTCCGAAGAAACAGGCGAAACTGGGCCGTGGCCGAAGCTATCCAGTGGAGTACTGGATGCCTCCGTCGTTGCAAATCTTGGGCGAGTTACAGATCGCGGGAATTCTGGCGATTCCTCGTCACCAAGGAGATCGGATGGCAAGAGGGCATCCGCACGGGGACTCATTTGCGGGTTATTGAAAGCAACTTCCGTATCCGAGCGCATAACCTCGGGGGGATCGGACAGGCCTGGAAGGGCCATACCGTTATTGATATTGAAAAATGCAGAGCTCGGAGGAAATGTAGGAGAGTGACCGGACGGGTTGTAGTTGACGCTACTTGGGAACGACGTCTCCACCCTGGGAAGTTCAGAGGGGAAGACATATTGCTGTTGAGTGAGCTGCGATGGCGACGGGGCCGAATGGTGGCGGTATTCGACATATCAAGATCCAAGGTCGGGAAGGCGAAGGGCCCTGAGCTGCTGGGCCGTTGAGCTGTGAGCCACTTTAGCCGTTCTTGGGCTTCTTGATATTGTTGCTGGGCTTGCGCGTGCAGATTCACAAGTGTAGCGTAACGTGCGTGTAGGTTGCCCAGCTTGTGCTCCCACTGACGAGCTCGCTCGTTATCGATCCGGTCCAGCTCCTTGCCATCCTCACTGTCCCCTTCTTGTAATCCCATCCTTTCTTCTTCGAGCTTCTTAACTCGTCCTCCTTTATCCTGAATCTCATCATCGATGGTCTTCATCTCCGCTTGTTCTTTCGCGATCTTGGCTCGGACTTCATCTGCGCGCATCCTCGCTTCTTCTTCAATCCTGGCCTTGTCCTCCTTTGCCTGTATAGCATCCGAGTTCATGCGTGAAATCTTCTCCTGCCATCGCAAGATGTCGTTCTTGCGCTTCTTGCGCTCCGCCTCTTTTTGCTGAAGAAGTCTCATGCGCTTGGACTTTTCGCCCTGCACGGTCCGGTTGACGCTTTCTAGCTTGTAGACATGCTTTTTCAAGTCGCCACTTGCTTCGTCCTTCTCCCTGACACGTTTCCGCAGTTCACTGCGCTGCTTTTCGAGGTCCCTCAGCAGTGCAATATGTTCTTCTTCCTCCTCCGTCCCCTGCTTCTCCACGTTCTCGTTCTCGTGCTGTAACGACTTCAAGCGGTCTGCCAATTGCTCCAAAGTCTCATCCTTGGCGGTTTTGGCTCTGCTTTTGAGCGTTTCTTCGAAATTGCCGTGAGAAACGTCCGTAGTTCCAGTCGCGGGCGAAATTTTCCGTCCAGCCGAGGGCCGTTTCCCCGGTAGTTGGCCCGCACTATGCTCGCGAGACATTATCGGCGCAGATGGTGTTGGAAGGCCTACTGTAGACCTCGGGATCGAAGCGCGGACAACTGGACCTCCGGCGTTGCCATTCTGCTGGGCTTCGGACAGCGGAAGAGATTTCGTTCGGACATGGAGGATCGCACTGGGCGTCTGAAAATTGGCCGCACTAACGGAAAGAACGCAAATATGATAGATGCTCCCAGGTAATAGATTTGATATTTCCACTGCTGTTTCTGCTCGTTTGGATTCACCGACTAGAGACTGTTAGTGCTGTGTTTAGTGGCGGGAAAGAATTATGCGTATATTATACCTTTCACATTATTCACCTGAATGATATGCTTATGTATTGAGTTGTGGAAGTCGGGTTGTTTCCAAGCAAGGCGGATTTCACGGGCTGTGATCTCTTCAAGGGTGACCTCTGGCGGCGGAGGAATGTCGAGACCGAGCTTTTCCACTAGGACCTCATTTGAAGTCTGACAGACCTGCCATGCACGGTAGAGAAGCCTTGATACACTGGGTCAGCCGAGCAAAGCCAACGCTCGAATAGACAAGGGACTTACCAGATCAAAGCCCACAAGATCGAGACGGCGAGAAAGAGGGCCATGACACCTCGCACTCTCACGCGAGGAACCACTGCTGGGTAATCGTCGAATGCAAAGTATAGCGGCTCATACATCCCAACGTCTGTAACCCATTGGACGTGGGTAGCGGGATACGGGAGAATTGCAAGGATCGCCAATGCTCTCCGGAGTGGGCGGTGGGATATGCCCCACGTGACCCAGAACTTTATCCACCCCAAACGGGTTAGCGCCAAAATGGGGATCAGCCGCTACGGGACCTCGGCATTCCTCGAGGCTGACATAATCAGAATTGTTGGGCGTTGAATGCTGTTGACGAAACCAACAAATGTTGGAAGTGGTTATGTACGGAGTAGATCGGAAGTAATTCTATGTATCTCCTTTACCCCCAAGCTGAGACTCAATAAACCCGTTTTTCGTGGCTGATATTGTGCTGATATTATCCCGTGACAATGGTTATGTAGTTGTCCATTGTCTCCAAGTGTCAGTCACATGGGTCTTTTAACTTCCCGATTCTCCAAAAACCTGTCTCAGTCCTTTTTTTGACCGTTCAGACCTTCTTTTTGCCTTTCTGCATTTCTCGAACTTGCTTCGGATAGGCCTGAAACTTTACTCAGAGTCGTTGTCAAAGGTGCTAGACATCCATCTGGCGGGATGCAGCTCTATCGCTCTATAAGTGGTTCCGTCTCCAAGACATGGAATTCTATCAACCCGGCCACCCTTAGCGGGGCTATTGATGTCATTGTCATAGAGCAAGAAGATGGTATTTACGGTTCTCCGCGAGGCGACATTCACACATACTGATTTGGCTTATCTCTTTCAAGGCACCCTCGCTTGTTCGCCCTTTCATGTCCGGTTTGGCAAGTTTTCGCTCTTGCGTCCATTTGAGAAGAAGGTGGAGTTCAAGGTGAATGGCGTAAAACAAGAATATGCCATGAAGTTGGGAGAAGGGGGCGAGGCATTCTTTGTTTTTGAAACGACCGATGACATCCCCGCATCCTTGCAGACCTCGCCGTTGGTGTCTCCAGCAGCCAGCCCGAGACCCCAGAGCGAACCGGATATTCTCCCTTCACTGCAGGAACCAGATTACCTCGACTTGGACAAAGGAAACGGGGATGCATTGTCGGAAGGCGCAAAAACCCCACCGGCGATGGCGATGCCATCGAACAAGCTACGGGCAAACACGGATTTAGGTAGGACGGATCTCCAACTCGTAGTTTCGATCTAAGTTCCTCGTTACTGACCGTCTCAACAGGGACAATGACACCCCTATCGCGATCTCCCGACGAATCTGACGTGGCTCGTCCACAGCACGACTCCTTATCCTCTAAACCGCCACTGGATCACACGCTGTCGGACAATGTGCTTTCGACCAGCTCTCCTCAACACTCCCTGTCCGGTCGATCTGCAGATGGGAATGGCGAAACTCGTGGCATTGATAGCGAGGGTGAAACATACCCGCGCTCTCGTAGCCCTCCTCTGTCTCCCGAGGAAGCGGTGTCCCGTGCCATTTCGTTGTCGAAGAAGCTGTCCGGTTCCAATATTCCGTCCCATGTCACCGAAGCTGGAGATCTTATGTTGGATATGACTGGTTACAAAAGCAACGAAGAAGACGCCCTTCGCGCGGAGGTTGTTGCGCGTAAGATTCTCGCTGAAGAGCTTGAAGGAGCCTACGACATCGGCGCACTGATTGGAGCCGATGAGCACGGCAACCTATGGATATACAGCAGCGAGGAGTCCAAGGAACTGGCTGATAGGAGAGCCACTCTTCACTCAATGCGGCCGAACATAGGGATGAGCGATGATGCTATCTCCGACCCAGGATACCACAGCGAAGGCGAACACCCTGTTTCGGAGCCATCGTTGACTACGCGCCATCACCGAACCAAATCAGATGTCCAACCCGGCTTTCCCACACCCCCTGACTCGCCCTTGCATGATTCTTTTCCGAAACCCGCAACTATGCAAAGACACTCCGCTTGACAAGCGATCAACTTAAGGCCTTGGAACTGAAGCCCGGCGCCAACACAATGTCTTTCAGCGTCAACAGAGCAGTTTGCACTGCAAACATGTACCTGTGGAATGGCAATACCCCGATCGTGATTTCTGATATTGATGGAACTATCACCAAGTCGGATGCGCTGGGGCATGTTCTAAATATGATCGGACGCGATTGGACTCACGCGGGAGTCGCCAAATTGTACACTGACATTGTCAACAATGGCTACAATATCATGTATCTTACGAGTCGGTCTGTAGGCCAGACAGATACCACACGGGCCTATCTTCATGGTATTTGCCAAGATGGATACAGACTACCAAGAGGTCCAGTAATCTGCAGCCCCGATCGCACGATGGCCGCTCTGAGGCGAGAGATCTATTTGCGAAAACCAGAAGTCTTCAAGATGGCGTGCCTGCGGGATATTCTCAATCTCTTCTGTGGAAAAGAGAATCCCTTCTATGCTGGCTTCGGAAATCGATTGACAGACGCATTGAGTTATCGTTCTGTGAACATTCCGTCAACTCGGATTTTCACAATCAACTCTAACGCTGAAGTGTCTCTTGATTTGCTTAGTCTCAACAAGTACAAGAGCAGTTATGTGACGATGCAAGAGCTTCTGGACCATTTCTTTCCACCAACCAGCCTTCTTGTGCACGACGGTGGCGAGGAATATACCGATTTCACGTACTGGAGGAACACGCCGCATGAGCTCGAAGACTTTTCGACAACAGACAGCGAGGATGAAGATGAAGATGAGGAAGATGTTGATGAAGACCTGGCAGAAGAAGATGAAGATGGTGATGATGATGGGGACTATGATGAAGACTTGAGCGATGGTGAAGGTAGCGAGTACCTCGACGAGGCTGAGTTGGCCGAGGAGGATCTCGGCGCAAGCTACATATCGCAGGATTCAGCTGCCTTGTCCAACCCAGCAGGCTCAATAATCGAGTCGGTGGAAGGGGATCTCAGGGTCGAAGAGGGAGCTATCGGTGAAGAGGAACTGCCTCCCACCACCGAGAAACCAGAAGAAGCAAGCGAGCCGAGCACAACCTCTCTTCCCATTCGGTCCAAGATGCCCCAGAAACCTTGAACATACATTCATCGCTATGCCTCTTTGATAAGGGAGCCATCCCTGGGCATTTCCTGCGTCATAGATACCCATCTTGCGAGTGCTTTACTGAGTCAGATTCTGCATTAGACTGCCCTGACAGCGATACATTCACGTTCAACACTATTGCATGCAGACCTGGAGTTGGAGACTGCATTATACACTGCCATCCGTGCCGAATATTTCTAATTCACGGCATTCATGGCGTTCATGGCGTTTCTGCATTTGTTTTTGTTTTTGTACATTCATGGCGCACTTATTTGGAGGATTGAATAGTCATGAGACGAATGGGATGTAATGAATGAAACAAGTGAATAGACTTGTGCAAACACATTGAATCGCTCAATAGATTATCTTTGGATACTGTAGAATGTAGCTAGTGAAAGCATTATTGACCATCTGCCAAGGTGGTCTTCATCTGAGATGGGCACGATGCCCGCGGCCGGCCCGGGCAGGCAACGTGATTACCTAATCGTGATATTGGCCGAAGCCCTGGAGCTCATGCTTCTTTTCGGCCTCATTTAGCCATCACTTTCTTTATCTCCATCCCCACACTGAACGCTGCTAGCGTCTTTGGTTGTTTCCTAGCCCCTGAGCATTGTGCTAGGAATGCTGCCCGACTACGTTTTCCAGCCCGTCTAATTATCACTTAATTCAACATCTTGACCACTTTCGCAACATCGCAATTCGCTCTTTGCCTCCTGCTTGATCTTTGATCAGTAATCTAAGACAAAATGGCGTCCCCAGGCCAAACACAGGGCTCAGCGCCCACAACACAACCTCTCACGCCACCCGCTGAATCCTCCGCCGCGAACGGGGCCCCCGCGCCCGCCGCAACAAGCTCCCAACCCCATGTCCCAGCGGCAGGCCCTTCAACCACAGCACCACAACCGCCAGCAGTCCCTGGCATATCAACTCAAGACAGCGGAAAAACGCGACGGCCACGGGACGTGCGGCTGGTCCACATGCTCCTCGCTTCACTCGGCGTAACCTCCTACCAGGACCGGGTGCCTCTCCAATTACTCGACTTCGCCTACCGCTACACTGCCAATGTGCTACAAGACTCCGTGCATCTCGCGACGGAAGGATATGCCGCGGCAACAGACGGTACAGCGGGGACAAAGGGCTCCGCTGAAGTGAATAGTGTTTCTCTGCCCGCATTGCGATTGGCCATTGCTTCCCGCTTGCACTTCCAGTTCCAGACAGGTTTGCCGAAGGAGTTCCTCATGGAGGTCGCGTCGGAGAGGAATCGGATCGCTTTGCCGGGTGTATCCCGAGGCTTCGATCCTGCTGCTGGCGCTAATGGCGCTGCTCCTGCGGCGAACCAGAGTGTTGCTATTGGTGGTATGCGCTTGCCTCCTGAGCGCTTCTGCCTTACTGGACTGGGGTGGGATATGAAGGATGAATGGGATAGTGAGGGCGAGGAAGATGATATGCCTGATGTGATGCAGCAGCCTGGGGCTGGGATGGGTGTTGGTGGTGATGGGGCTGAAGATAATGAAGACGAGGATGATAATGATGGCAAGATGGAGGATCTCTTCGGCGAAGATACCACTATGGGCGAGGCAGGCGATGGAGATGAAGACCGAAACATGACTGATGTTTAAGGAAGTGCATTTACGTCCGGGGTTCTTCTGCCTTTGGCCTTGGGCTGGTGGTGTTCTGGCGCTTGGTGTTGTTCTCCTTTTTCTCTCTAATCTACCATGGGACGGAGTCCCGGTTTTTACTATCATGAAGAGCATCTATTTCATGACTTGTCTCTACAAGTTGGGGTTAAATTTCCCTTGCCGCGCATGAAGGCAAATAAACCGATAAAGAAGACATTCTTCTGGTCAATTAAACCAAGATATGCAACCGTCTGTGTGTATATTGTACATAATCCAGTCCATCCCATCGCTCCGCATTCGGGATGATTATGCAATGTAATAAAGATGCCCAGCAAAACGCCTGCTTTGTTTGCCTTTGTGCGCCGTGAGGAGAGAGGGAAGATATAAATCCGAGTCTGGCTTGGCCAAGGAAGTCGAGGGCCAACCTGCCCAGCTGGATCTGTCTGATATCTGCCTATCAGACTGACGGCGGGAAGGTCGAGTTGAGCCGCCGGGACTGTGAATCATGGGCCGAGTACTTTGGGACATACAAGGCCCAGCCAATCAGGCAGCCATGGCCATGTCAGGTAAGAATCCAACAACTTCCTTCCCTCGCCCAAGCACTCAGCCCAGAGACGAAGGTCTTCGCCCTCGACCTCGGAGAAAACCCAAGAAGAAGAATACTCAAGACGCCGAAACCCATATAGACAAGAGATACTCACACAATAAACGAAGAGAGCGAGAGAGGGAGTGATACATGGAGTAAAAATAAAATCTCCAATCATTTCCCGGCCGCTCGCGTCCGCGCTTCATCCTCGCGCATCATGCGAATAACTTCCTCACGCCGCTTCTCCACACGGGCAAGTTCCTCCTCGCGCGCGCGTCGCCGATCCTCATACCCTGCGAACCATTCCTCACGTGCGCGATCCTCTTCTTCCGGCTTCGCGTGCGCAACCATGCATGAATTCATTGCGAGACGTTGCTGGCGACAGACCCATGTTGCAGTTACGGTGCGGTTAACGGCGCACTCGGCGAATGCTATATAATGATTGGGTTAATTCGTTGTTCCTTGCATCTTCGAGGTGTGGGGAGTGGGTCATGGTCATGAGAGCTGGAGTTTCTCCTCCATTTCAGACTCGTGACCGGCTTTTGCAAGCTTGAAGGTATGCAGTATTTGTAAAGAGGTGATGAATTTGGCGTAGAAAGCAATGTAAATTGCATACCTTTAATCTCGGGAGCGCAATGGGCGCGTACACGCTTGTAGTACAGCAGTTTCACTTCTTGTTCTTGGGGGGGCTGAGAGCGGAAGCGGGTTGCGAAGATTATATTGCTTGGGTGTGCTCTTAGGTGCACTTGTTGAAGAGGTATCGGGGGATGTGGAGGAAGTAGCCATTGGGACTGTAGGTCGAGCTCAAAGATCGGACTTGAACGGGTTATGTGTATGGGCTGGTCGATCGGAGAGTTTGCTTTGAGGGGGATTGGTCCCGGTTTTTGAACGACAATATGTGAGTTCTGCTGCTCCAGAGCTCGGTAAAATGGGTCGAGAGAGGTAGAAGTAATTCCGAGAGGGCTTTGCCGAATGGTTTGGTAGAGAAGATCGAGGCCAAGTGGGAGTGTTGATTGCGAGAGAGCCGGGCTCGGGCGGAGAGAATGGTACTATTGGCAGAATCAGAAAAAAAAGTTCTCCGACTTTGCATCTCAACTTTGACTACACTTCTGCTGGAGGCTTCTGCGTCTTTTAGGCTTTTAATTTTTCTTTTCTTCTACACTTTATTGCACTCTATTTATTGTCCCGGGAATTCTCAACACCGAAACCCAGCATGTCGTCCATGCGCAACGCCGTCCAACGGCGGAACCACAAAGAGCGTGGTCAGGTCCAAGGCCGCGAGAAATGGGGTCTCCTCGAGAAGCACAAGGTTAGTTTCCCCGGAGGAGCTTTTGGAATAACTATCAATGGCCCAAGCTTTCTTTCATGCCTAATGTCAAGACGAACGTTCTAACTTCAACAGGATTACTCGCTCCGTGCCAAAGATTACAATGCCAAGAAGGCTAAGCTGAAGCGCCTCGAAGAGAAGGCGCGGGATCGCAACCCCGATGAGTTCGCCTTCGGTATGATGGGAGAAAAGAACCGGACCCAGGGTCGGCACGGACGTGGAACAGGCACAGGACGAGACTCTGCCGCAGCGCGAGGACTGAGTCACGAAGCAATCAAACTGCTCAAGACGCAAGATAAAGGTTATCTTCGGACGGTTGGCGAGCGGGTGCGCCGCGAGATTGAGCGCCTGGAGCGCGAAGTGGAGTTGCAAGATGGCATGAACAAGGCCCTTGGCAAAAAAGATGGGAAAAAGGGCGAGGAGAGCGATGACGAAGATGACGGGTTCGACGACGATTCCGATTTCGATTTCGGAGCCCCGGTGAAACCGAAACCAACCAGGGTCGTGTTTGCCGACGACCGACAAGATCAATTGGCAATGAAGAAGCAGAAGATACAAACAGAAGAACCTGCTATGGATTCAGAGGAGGAAGATCAGACATCAAGCAAGACTCGCAAGACACCCAAGCAGCTTCAGGCTGAGCGGCAAGCACTTGCAGATGCTCGACGGGCTCGCAAGATCCGGAAACGAACCATCGAGGCTCGTAAAAACAAGCTGATTGCGTTGCGCAAGCAACACGCCGAAATTCAAACTGCAGAGCAAGAGCTTGATTGGCAGCGGGCTAAGATGGAAAATTCCGTGGGAGGCACCAACAAGGACGGAATCAAGTGGAAGATACGTGAGCGCAAGCGCTGAGTGTTTTCGCTTCGGAGTTTATGAGTGATGACTCGCAATCATCTTTTTTGTACATATTGATACCAACCACCATAGAGGCAGTCCGGCGCATACAGTAGCATCCAAGGAACCCACTTCAATCCTGGCCATCGATTCCGGGGAAAGATCGGTAACATCAATCGCTGTGTCAGGCGATGAAGACCTCTGATAAGCCATCGCCGCTAATACCATCATATATAGTACTGGTGAAATAACCTCAAAACCGGCTTCCATTTCTGTGAAATCCTATTATTCTATACTTGTCTCCACCATAGGCTGTCTTCCTCTCCAATCAATGCCCCGGGTCGCGTTTACAGACGGTGAGCTTCGATAAAATGAAACAGGAGTTATGTCCACGGCACTATTTATTATGATATGATAGACCCAGCAGCAGGGCATTGTAGCTCTGCGGGTATTCAATTCATCTACATCTATTATATTTTATAAATTCGACGAATCCCACTTTATGTGAATTGGACGTTTATGCACCTCTCGAGAACGGCCACAACCCCATAAAAGGTACATACATGCATCGGTCCTGGCACAACCAATATGGCTATACTTTCGCTGCCGCATCCAGCAGACTTAAGACATGTTGCGCTTGTTTGACGAGGGTCCTGCGGGCATTGCGTACTGTCACATCGCCTTCAGGCTCGATTTCATCCACTGGCAACATCACTTGCCTAAGCACCATCTCGCTCAGCTTCTTATGTTCGGAATCCCGTTTCTTGATATCGCCCGGCGGTTGGGCTATGTATTCATCACAAAGCGGGATGATATCACGCTCGAAATACACGGTCAAGGAAGACACTTGTTCCATCGCTGTACGCATTGTTTTCAAATCCGGTGGAGACAGGAGTGAGCTGCTAGATGGAGCGGGCGATGGATGCCGTGATGGGGGATCAGGAGGAGAAGTATGTCCAGTTTTCTTCTTGTTCTTCTTCCTCTCTACCTTATTGATGACATTGAATTGGCCCCGTGACGAGTCGCCTGTGTAGCCTTTTTCATAATGGGAAGAGTCGCTGCGTGGATCAAGTTGAATTTCGGAAACTGTAACTAGCACTTCTGAGTATTGCTTGAGCCCCTCTGCTTTGCATGTTTGATTGTCGTCTTCTAACGACCTTCCCCTGTAAAATAACCTAATAAGGTCCGGAAAAGGGTCTCCAACTATCCTCACAGCTTCCTGCCGCAATACGCCAACAGTGACAATACCGTCATCAATGGCATATGCGCGGAACTGGAGCGGATACATGGTTCCACGGTGTCTAAGAACGATGATATCGGGTCCACGCTCATCGGTTTCATAATTATCTGCGTCCCATCGGCGATCCCAATGCATTGGCTGTGTGGATGGGGGCTCCTCGAGATAGTCCGATGGATACCTGATTTCTGGCTCTTGCACCTCGAGATTGGTTTCTCCAGGCAAGTTGTTCTCCCTGGCAGACTGGGTGTCTGGTTCTGAACCCGAGCCATGGTCATTCGAATATTCGCCGCCAAAGTATGTCAAGCTGGCACCCGTAGCAGCACTCGCGACACTCGAAGGACGAATAGCCGCAGGGATCTCTCTATCGGAACCCAAATTGGAATAGGATGATGTTGGACTCAGATCATGGTCGTTGTGAGAGTTTTCCCTAGCAGACTGGGTATCTGGTTCTAAACCCGAGCCATGGCCATTCGAATATCCGCCGCCAAAGTATGTGAAGCTGACTGCCGTAGCCGCACTCGCGACACTCGAAGGACGACTAGCCGCACGGATCTCTTTATCGGAACCCAAATTGGAATAGGATGATGTTGGACTCAGATCATGGTCGTTGTGAGATTCGTTATAGTCTGCTTGGTCGCCGCGGTCTTCCACGCCAAGGGAGCCGCGTTTCAATGTCTTCTTCGCTTCTTCATCATCGTTCACCTCATCGAGATGCATGTCGTTGATGGCCTCGGAGGGATCCTCTTGCATCACCTTGAGCATTACGCAGTTGTCAAGGTGCTTGTAGAAGTCATGAGCATCCCCGAAGGTTTCATTGCAGATAGAGCAATTTCCGTTGGTCTGGTTTATACCCATCTTAGTGGAGGAATTCGGCCTGGTACCAGGCTGGTTTGGTTGCATCTGCATTACCCATGGACGGTGATAAGGTGGCGTTTGAACACATCGACCTGATTGAAGTTCTTTTCTGTTGGTGTCCCATAGCCTGGACAAAAGTGACACACCATGTCGCCCTTGTAGTGGGTCAGGACGTGGCGATTCATGTCATATTTCCGGGCGAACCCCCTAGTGTGGTATTCGCACGATACGATCGGGCACTTTTCCGTCCGCTCAGGATTGTGCGTCATGGCGTGAGCTCGTCGGTCGACGCAGACTTGCCCACATTCGGGGCACTGCCCCTCAGCGGCCGAATCGTGCGAGTTATCAGAATCCACATCAGAGGAAATTGCAGCTTCATCGTCATCTTCTTCCGATCGCGGCAGCGCAAAGAGCGCCAGCTCTTCCAGATGCCGGCCCACGTGTCTTTCAAGTTGCTTCCCAGATGGAACCGAAGATAGGCAGAGTGGGCAGGCCACGTGTACACCTGGACTTTCGGATATGGAATGTTGGCTCTGCAAATGAGAGAACCAATCCCGGCGGCTTTCATACAGCCGATGTGGTGTCGGACAGTTAGGGAAGATACATAGATATGGCATCAAATCATTAAAGACATGGCGAGCCCAGGCCCTCCGGTTCGCGATGCTAATGATCACAAAACAATAAGGACATTCAAATGGAGCTCCATCAGCCGATTCTTTCGGGGGAGACGGGAGAACTGTCCCTTCTGCCCCGTTCAATATGGTTTGAGCATAAGATGTTTGTGAGGCGACAGTTAGGAATTCTAAGTCGCCCTTTGCCGCTGGTGCAGTTTCCACGAATTCAGTTGCGACTGTCTCTGATAGTTTAGCTGATTGCCCGTCTGTCTGATCTTCCATGACCTGGCTGAGTCCCTGGCCGAGTTTGGTGCGGTGACGCTCACGATACCGCATAACGGCTCGACGTTGTGATATTGCCAGCCCAAGACGTTTCAGAATATCTTCCTCTGCCTGCGGGTATTTCGATGTGACATGTAGCCGGTCGAAATGTTCGAAAAAGACTGCATCTGATCTTTTGGTGCCAAGAAGGCGATCATGTTGAGCAGGCTGCCGGATGACCATGGACATCTGGTACAGGTTGTTGATAGTATCGTGCAGAGCATGATATACAGACTGTATTTCTGTTTGATGGTCGTCATCGTCTTCATCCTCGCTTAGATCTGAGAAATCGTCATCTTCGGGTGAGTGATGTAAAACATCGTTGATATCTTCGGTGGTTCGCTGCAGCCGCTGAAGAACGCGAAGTGTCTGCTCTTTGATGTGCGATGCATCTCGTAGTCGATGATCTAGCGACGATTGACCGGTCTGATGTGCCCCAATATTGGCAGCCCAAACCCGTAATCGTCCCAGCTCATCTTTCCATAGCGCTGGCGGGACTTCCGACGCGAACGATGACAGGTCTTCAGACACAAGCCGACCTAAGCCTTTGAGGCATTGAACCACCACAGACGAGATCTTTGCCGTCGAGGTATTCGCAGCCGGGGCTGTCTTCGTAATTGTCTCTGGCTCCTCTTGTCTGTCAACTGGCCTGTCTGAAAAAGCCGTTTGTTTATCGAAATTTGGTTCGGTGCTTGGAGATGCGCCTTGGGAAGCGTTTCCCTTTCTCTCAAACCTGTACTCAAGGACAGTCTCTTCAACTGGGGAATGAGGTCCACCGGGTGGTGTATAGTGGTGAGAAATCTCCTGGCTTGGATCCGCTTCGCGTTTCCACCTTGACATGGGAGTATCTAGTGTATCCTGAAGCTGCCGAAGTCCAGATTCAAATGAATTGAGGCGATCAGAGTCAGGCCCCATCTGAGGTGCTTGTCCTAAATCGGCCACTTTCCTTTCCTCCGGTTGGAGCGTCCGTTGCGGCAAAATATATGGACTGGAAGCTGAGACGAGGTCATGTTGCTGCTGCTCTTGTTTTGGTTCTGTGGGTTTCGGACCTTCCATCTTTCTGAACATCTTTCGCGCAAGTGCCCTTGCACACTCCGAGACCTTTAGCCAAGAACAGCATCTGATTTTGCGAGACTGGACGTTTGAGGTTGGTTTGCTCGACAGGGATGCCACTGCGGGGCTGCGTGGAGTTGGCCCCCGCGCTTACACCGCATAACCTCTCTGCCCAGATGGACCTTTGGACTCCAGGCTATTCATCTCTTGTCTGGCTTGACCCAGCGCTCGAAGATGGAGGCTGCAGGCGTTGCTCTAGCAATTCTCCCACTTGTCATCAATCAGCTCGATAATTATGTCCAGGGTCTTGAGGCTATCAAGAGCTTCGGAGCTAAGCGTTATCGCAGGGAACTCGAAAGCTATTCTTCAAGCCTTGGAACACAACAAGCCATCTTCGTCAATACCCTGGAGCGGGCCCTCGATGGAGTGGTCGAATACGAAGATGGGCTAGACGAACTGAGGAACAACCCCTTGGGGATTTGTGGAAAAGGAAGAATCTGCAAGCGAGTCTTCATGAAAAGCTAGGGAGAGATTTCTACCCTTTCAACCAGATGATGATAGAGATTGCAACTCTACTAGAGGAATTGTCACGAAAATTAGGACTGGACAAGAATGTTGCGGTGGTGAGTATATTTTAGTTCTCGCGAGATCGCCTCCCGAGGTCCAGGGCTAATCAACACCTTGATCATACTACAGAACTACCGGGTCGACCAGTCCGTTATCAAGAAGGAGGTCAAGAAGTTCAGAGACATCTTCTCGAAAAGCATCTATCTTGATCTCTTCGCTCGAATCGACGCAGCCAATAGAATCCTGAATACCTTAGTGGAACAGTCCGATTATCGAACCACAATACAAAAACGAAGAATATCAAAAAGACCCCTATTGCGCCAGAGAAGGGCTCAGAAATCAGCTCGCAGTCTGCATAATGCAATAATACGGGGCAACTATTGGAAATGTGCTTGTCTCGACCAACACTCAATTCATTTTGTTCTTAGCTATCCAGAGGATATAAATGATGGGTCCAAAGAGTCCTCCTGTTGCCCTCGCTTTCGAATGATATTCCCTTCCAGCAGCTCTATAGATTTTGCTACGGGATGGTGTGAGATTGAAACTGAATCTGATACTATTCGATCGCACGTGGATCCTTTGGACCGATTTCCCCATCAGGGCAATCAAGAGAGAGTCCCATTCGCTAAACAGAAGGCCAAAGTGCAGTTCGCATTTGATGAATCATCCGAAGATGAACAATCCATGATCTCTGATATGCCTTCTGTGCCGCCGATTGTAGACATCTGCTCAACGCTGTCTACCGTGGGGACCAACCGCAATGGCGAGACAAATGAACTTATTGGATTTATCTCCGATGAGAACCACCGCCACAATATGTATTATGTTCGGAAGCTCGCCGGGAATTTGAGATCACAATCGCTCGCTGAACTCATTGCGGCTTCGAGTGATTTCTTCAAGGCGCCTGGCAGCGGCAGCTTCCTTTTCACATGGGGCCACCGTCTCCGCGTTGCAGTTAATCTCGCCTGCAGCGTGCTCCAATTCCACGGAAGCTGGCTGAAATCCCAGTGGAGATCACGCGATATTATGTTTACCAAGACTTCATCTGGGGATATCGATAAGCCATACGTCCGTTGGAACGTAGGCAGTGATTTGGATACCTGGAGCATGTGCAGAGACAAACCAACATTCTCACTCATTCAAAGCGAGATACTGTTTCCCCTGGGCCTTGTTCTGGTGGAACTTTCTTTATGCCAGACGCTAGAGGCATTACGTATACCGGAGGATGACGATCGAGTGGAAGCATATGTGAATCTAAAGACTGCAACTCGCCTCTTGCAAGTGGTGGAGGAGCAAAGCGGTGCAGAATACGAAAAGGTAGCGAGGCGATGTCTCCTTTGGCCTGGTACCAAAGAATCTACCCTGGAAAGCGAGAAGATGCAAGATGAGATATTTCAACTCATTATCTCGCCATTAGTCGAAAACCTTAGGAATTTCGAGGGTAGGGCTTGATATTGAATGTATCGACAGTAAAACCAGAGATAAGGCCCGAAATCATAAATGAAGCGGTTAATTGTATAGTTCAATAGAGCCTTATATTCATCGAATGTCCTATATGCTCCTCACCTTCGTTTATAATGCCCTCTGGCAAACTGTATATCGTTGCCCTAAATGTGGAGTAACCCAAAAAGACCCTGGGTATATTGGAACCGTAAACCAAAGGAATTCAATACAGATGTAATAGTTAGTTAGAGGTAACCGAAGGCTAGATCAAGCCCAATATCCCCAACCTACCATGTGCGTGAGCGGGATTGATTGCCCAGTTGGGAAGAAGCGTCGGAATGAGGCCATTTGATAAGAGTTTTGAAAATGCGCCATTTCCGATATTCCGATATTCGTGCTAACACTTCAAAGGTCTTAATCGCAGTTTCTAACATCAAAATTGCGATACGAAGTACTCTGATAGTCCGTTGTCGCAAAGAGTCTAAAACGTTCAAGTAATCACACCATCGCTGATAGGACAATCTCTCTAATCTGTCCGCGGAGACATCCAAGCTTAATAATCATTTGCCACCCCTCCAAGGGAAGGTTATCTTCTCAAGTCTTTTCCCTTTCTCTACACTTCACATCTCATGAAAAACAACAACAATGGCTCCTTCATTTATAACCATTGAGGCCAACGATATGGACGTGGATTTCTCCACGCCCAAGCCAGTCCAGGCCAAGCGCACACTCCTGCTGGCACCCCCCTCCATCGCCACTCAAGAGGATAAACTCCGAGACCTCTTCAGCACCTTCGACCGCTCAACCACAGATCTACAAATGCTCGACCGACTCTCCGCAGGCGTCGTCTCCCTTCCCGCAACAACCTACGACCTCGTCCTCATCCTCACCGACACAGACGGCACTCGCCGCTCCGAGGCGCTGCAACTCCTCACTCGAAATGTATACACCACACTCGTGCCCGCCATGAAGGCCGGCGCCAAGCTGCAGACCCAAGACTCAGCGCTCAATGCCTCGGATGCCATGGAAGCCGTCCTGGCCGGCCTTGTGCAGTCCGATAACGGCTTCGAGAAGCCAAACTTCGAGCCCTCGGCCGCAGTCCCTTTAAAGTTCGGCCTGAAGAAGAAGAATAAGCCTACGCCAACCGCAGTCCCTAGTATTCCGACAGGATTCGCAGCGCCGATGGGGATAGACTCGCCCGCGACTAATCACGACCGCGACGAGGATGACGAGCTCATTAATGAAGATACGCTCCTTTCTGAGGAGGATTTAACAAGACCCATAATGCCGCGTATGTCAACACCCACTCCCTTCCAAATATTGCATATTGCATTCCTACAGGATCTATATCAGCTAACACTATATTCAGCCCCAGAGTGCCAGCCCAAGACCGGTCGCCGGCGACGCGCCTGCAAGGATTGCACGTGTGGTCTCGCCGACAAGCTCGAGGCAGAGGATAAGGAGCGCCGCGCAAACGCTGATAAAGAATTGAACGTGATGAAGCTGGATACGGGCGACTTGAACGAGCTGGACTTCACGGTCGAGGGAAAGACTGGTTCTTGTGGAAGCTGTGCTCTGGGTGATGCCTTCCGCTGTGACGGTTGTCCTTACATGGGTCTTCCCGCCTTTAAGCCGGGCCAGGAGGTTCAGATTCTGAATGATGTTGCGCAGCTTTGAGGGAGGATTCTTACTTTACGACGTGGGCTACACTTTTTTTTTACCTTGATGACGGAAGTGGGGGTATTCGGTCTTTGCATTGGGTTTTCTGAGCATTTTTCTTTTGGGTTGGTTTCATACAAAATTATGCTAGGGGCGTCTGGCTTTCATTAATTTAGTGAAATTATTTTTTTTTCTTATTTTTTACTGTGGTCGTGACTCACCTGAAGACTCTGAAGTTTCAAGTGGAGCCCAACGTCATGTCTTGGATCTGATAGTGGGATGATCGACCTTAGTGTACATATGCCGTTCATCTGCCGAATGTAACGACTTTTACTTTATTTACTTGGAATACTCTATTGATGGGTTGTATATACTCAATTTTAAGCCCAATGATAACCAAATTGCTTTTTAGCTACATATGCATCTGTGTTCATAGCACATCCAATCATGAGAAAAACCGAAAAGAAAAGAAGAAAAATATATAGCTTACCTGACCTATGACTGGTTCTTCTTCATGTGGGCAACACGAATGCTGACGGCACGCTTGTGCGCCTCCAAGCCTTCCACAGCGGCGAGGGTCTCAACCGTCTTGGAGAGACCGAGCAGGCCATCGGCGGTCAGGTTAGAGCTCGTGATGTGCTTCAGGAAGGAGCCGAGGTTGACACCCGAGTACTGCTTGGCGTAGCCGTAGGTAGCTAGAAAGGGATATGTTAGCAAGATTGAAGCAGGAAGATAAAAGGAAAGCCGTTGCAGAGAGACACTTACGCAGCGAGTGGTTGACTCCCGCGGAGTAATCGCCAACACTCTCGGGAGTCCAGGCGCCGATGAAGACACTGCCGGCGTTCTTGACATCCTTGACAAGAGACTCGGCGTTCTCAACCTGCAGGATCAGGTGCTCGGGTGCGTAGTCGTTGCTAAGGGCCATGGCCTCGTTGATGTCCCGCACGACGAAGGTGATGGAGTGCGCGAGGGAGCCGCGGACGATATCCATACGGGGCAGGGCCTTGGCCTGGGCATCGACCTCGTCTTCGATGGCACGTAGCTCGGCCTCGTTCAAGTCGACGGCGATGAGGATCACCTGTGAGTCGACGCCGTGCTCGGCCTGACTGAGAAGATCGGATGCAACAAAGGCCGGGACGGCGGTTTTATCGGCGATCACGAGGACTTCACTGGGACCGGCGGGCATGTCGATGCTGACGCCTGCGGAGGTATCATTGGACACGAACATCTTTGCGGCCGTCACGAACTGGTTGCCGGGACCAAGAATCTTGTCGACCTTGGTGATGCTCTCGGTACCGTAGGCCATGGCGGCCACGGCCTGAGCACCACCGGCCAGCACGATGCTCTCAGCGCCGACCTTGTGGGCGACGTAGACGATTTCGGGGAGATGCTGCCGTCAGAGCGGGGAGGTGAGGCAAGCACGATCTTGTTGCAGCCTGCCACCATGGCGGGAACACCCAGCATCATGGCAGTGGAGGGCAGCACAGCGGTACCACCGGGGATGTACAAACCAACACGCTCAATGGGGCGCGAGAAGCGAGAGCAGACCACACCGGGCATGGTCTCCATCTGGAGGGCGTCATTGCTTCCCTTCTGTGCGGAGTGGAAGCGGTCGATATTTCCAATGCTGATATCAATTGCCTCCTGGACATCGGGGGACAGCTTCATGAGCTCAGCGGGGAATGGCGCGTGGATAACTGGGGAGGTGAGTGATGTAGCCTTCTCGAACTTGTGGGTGTATTTGAGAACTGCAGCGTCGCCGCCATCGCGGACATCCTGGATGATTGGCTTCACCAGGTTGACAATGGCTTCGTTAGATTTCTGGGAAGGACGCTTAAGATACTCGCTGACCACCTGGGGAGTAGTAGAGGCAGTGATAACACGCTTCATTTCGATTCGGGACGTGCGATCCTCGACCGGGGCGGGTGCGGGCGCAGGGGCAGGGGCAGGCTTTGACTCGGACTTGGCCAGACCAGCCTTCTCAGCCCAAGGTCCCTTAGCGTCACCCTTTCTCCGCTTCACCTTCAAGCTCTTGAAGTCAAGGTTGCGCTCGATATCCTCCAGGCTAACACCGGCAGCAGTGCACTTGGTCAGGGCAAAGTAAAACAGGTCGGCGGCCTCGAAAGCAACCTCCTCCTTGGTCTTCGCACGGCACAGCTCATCAGCCTCCTCCATGATCTTAGCATCGATGAGCTTGGGCTCATTGAATAAACGCGCGGTGTATGATCCAGCCGGAGCATCCGCCTTGCGGGCGTCCAAAGTCTTCTGGAGACGAGACAGACCAGAAGATGCACCGAAGCAGGTTTCAGTACCAAGGTGGCAGAATCCTAATGAGTCACGATGGTCAGTATACATACATCATCCACCAACGTAGATAGCTGGTTCTTACCACGTCCAATTTGCTTCACAACAAAGACCAAACAGTCGGCATCACAATCGAAGCCAATGCGGATCAACTCCTGTACATCGCCGCTGGACTGGCCCTTGTACCAAAGACCGCGCTTCCGGCTCTGGTAAACACCGGTGCCAGTACGCAAAGCCTCAACAATGCTCTCGTCACTGCTCCAAACAAAGCCCAGACAGGCTCCCCGCTCATCAGTGACCGAAGTGGCATACAGACCATTGGCCTGGTCAGTAACAGCGGTCGACGCAATAAGCTTAGCGGCAGAGATCTGGCCAGCCACATCCCGCTCAACGGTCAATGCCTGTGAGGGGACGACAGCAATCGCACCCTGCTTTGTGACTTGTGTAATGGCATCCTCCGAAACTGCCTGAGTACCGAAGGTTGTGAAGAGCCGTGGGGAGTCCGAGCTAATCTTCAATTTCTCGGCGGCGGCGGAGATGGTGGAGGGTGTAGTGCAGACGCTAGCTTCGCTGCGCTCGGCATTGGCAGCAATCCATTGCTGGAAAGTATCCAATTCGGAGTCTGACAGGGCGTTGACAAGCAAACGGGAGGAGGGCACGGATTGTTCTTCGGAGAGGGTGGTCAATTGGTCCAAGTTGATCAAGATCTTGGCGGCACCAGCGTTGAGGATATCGACGAGATCACCAGCGGAGGAGATTTCAGTTGCGTCGACGAAGACATCGAGCGTGCGGAAGTTCTGGCGCAGGAATTGCTCTGCCTGAGCGAGACTCGAGACCTTGATCAGTACGCGGCCGAAGTAGGCGATCTGCTTGAGCGAAAGTCCGGAGTCGGAGGTGGGGGAGGAGGGGTCGTGGGAGATAAGGAACGGGGTCGCCATGATGGGTATAGCAGTAATAGAGAAATAAAAAGATTAAAACGATTGAGGAGAATTATATCCCCTAAAATATAGGACCCTTTTGAATTGGGGGGAAATTGTGAAGGAGAGCGATGACTCCCTTGGCCCTTTTTTTTCCCGGCCCCGCTGAATCATCTCCCGGGTCTATCGCGAGCTCTTGATTAGTGATTCTATTTTGTGATCTACATAATTGTGATATGTCTCTGCATTTCTTCATTTCTGAATCATCTAATATTCCATTATGCAGAAACCCGATCATTACATCCAGGCCATAGATCATCCATGGCGAACTGAATGGCCCATGCTTGCTGTTGATGCTAATACAACAGAACAACCCACCATTCTCCAACGGTATGGCTCACAGCTGAGTAGCACTCATAGCTGCTACCCCATACCAGGACACTGCTGCGTTGGAATTTTGAGTGATCATTCAGATCAAGGTGAGACATGCTGTGGCTGCAGCAAGAGGAATGGTGTTTGCCCCCCTCCCATGAGATGTTTGTAGGAAGCTTGCAGGAAATGCACTGATCTGCGATGGTATATTGGCTATGTTCGCCCAAATCGGGCGTTTCCCTAATCACTGTGTCGAAGGTTATGTCTATCACGACGACATTGCCCAGGTGCTTTTTCGGGTCATGACTCACACACCCGTAGATCAGTCCTGCAACAGTCTGTCACCTCTATTAGGTCGAGTGACTGTGTCTCCTAACTCTGTGACTTCTCCACCAAAATCACATCCGAGCCGGGCTCCATCGCCAAATGTATTTACTAAGGCATTGGACTCTAGAGCAGCAACATGGATCGAAGGAGGCAGAGTATCAGATCCTACCGTCCGTTGGGCTCTGTGCTGCATGCGACATTTTTGAAAGCATTTGATCAGTGAGATATCTGCAATCTGTAGGTGATGTGGTTCTTTGACCAATTTGTACTGTCCCATAAGGACTTAGACAAACGGCGATGTGTTGGATGATCCGGCGAAGGATGTGGACTCGAAGGCAAGTATTTTCGATTTAGGAATTCATTTGCTTGAACATTTCCATAAGACATGATCCAGCCAAATTGATATCGAATTGAAGCGCCCGAGGCAACTTTCAAGTGTATAGGGTGCCTCCATATCGATCGCTAAGATATAAGTAACTGCAAGCGCCGTGATTTATTCGATGTATCTTGAAGCTGGAATATCGAAGGAGCAGAAAGATATTTGCTGGAATGATTGGAGGTCATAAGATCATCGGGTTAATGTCAGATGTGTCAGATGCAAGGTCCCGATCAGACGAGAACCGGTAAAATAACCTTAGAACCTTGGAAAGGCCCCGGGTGTATTAGGGATCAAAATTCCTTCTGGCTGCAAATGGCCCCTTTAGGACTCCGCCATTATTCCTTTCATCAAATTGATGCCTAGCGCGGATACGAGGATAAGCAGGCTTAGTGTAAGCCCATCAGTTAAAAGGCCATTCAACCCCAAGCAGGTACCTTGTGAGAATCAATACAACATACTATTCCAATATCAATATGTTTCCACCTGCCCCCACCGGCGAGAGCAGCTCCCACTCCGGCAACTGCCACTGTGGTGCCGTGAGGTTCAGCTTCACATTATCCCCGCCCCTACACGAGTACCCCACCAACACCTGCAACTGCTCCATCTGTACCAAGAACGGCTACTTGCTCGTGTACCCGTTCACCAAGGATTTCACCATCGAAAAAGGCGAGGATGTGCTGAAAGATTATCGCTTTGGCAATCGCACGGTGAGCCACCGATTCTGCGGGGAGTGTGGAAGTAGTTGCTTCATCCGTCCCCGCAGGAGCCATTCGAGGGCGTCCAACCGATCACTGCGGTCAATGTAAGCCGAACGAGAAATGTCATGTTGGAGCTACTAATTATATTAGGTACGACTGTTACAGGACTTTGACGTTGAGAAACTGATTCTCAACAAGGTTGATGGAAGGTCATTTCCGCCAGAGTACAAAGTCTAGATTAGTTCTTTTCTTGATCCTGTGATCTTATGGTTTGGCTTAAATTGATGATTTAACTTAGCACTGGCTACCTAGGTAGTGTAGAGATGGTGGCAGATGATATAGAGAGCAGATGACGAAAACTATATATCGTAGAATCCCGAAACACTTTAGCTTTGGTAATTCCTCACATGGACGCAAGGGTATTATCCGGATACGCACGTTGCACGTTGTATTCTCAACCGAAACTTCCGAACTACGAGTACTTGAGACAAGTGGTTGGAGTTCAAATGCGCAATGTCGGCACAGACCTGCCCATGTATTCACGATTGATATAAATGTTCCGCCGCTGGACTAAGTCCATCAGGATCTCGAAACCCGGAGAAGATGACTTTGATATATTGACGGGTCAGACACTCCAGTCTGGTGACAAAATACGTTGAGGGGTATGTTGCATGTCAAAGCACCTGGCGTGACTGCTTTTTATCAGCCAAGTTTGTGCTAGTCAGGTACGTCCTAGACACCCTGGTATGAGCATCCGAAGACAGGCGTCATGTTTTCAAGTGGTCGTCTGGCTTGGTCACTCGTATAGTTATGGTCTCTGAAAATCCGAGTCAAAGGTCGAACAAGGTCGATCTAGAACATGGAATAGTACTCGAACATTGAATAGATCTAGCAAGATCTCAGTTATGTGAGAATCTTGGATTAAAGATACATACTTCGGCCACTCGCATTCTCCGATGCGCGCCAATAGTTGCTGCCCTTGCAGATCCCCCCTGCATCTTATCCGATTGGATCGTTTTATTTTTATAGGAATGACATCCCATGTATAATGCACAATTCCAACTTCATGATCAGAATGCAAGTGACAGGGGAATAGTAAACAAGTCGGGGTCGCGTGTCTCGGCCTGCCCGCGTGCTGCCTTCCCTTTTCGCTTCTTTCTTGTCGACTGCGACCTCACTATATCCTCATTCCGCACTCCCTTCGTATTTAAGAATTGCATTGACCTGCTGCATTGCAGTTCAGGTGGTCCTTCGTTCGCAATTGAAATTATCCTTATGTGTGCCCCTTGCACCGATCGAGCCTAAACAAACCCGTATATCTATACCCAACTACATCGCGTAATCATGCGCATCTCCTCTCTGTCACTTCCTTTGGTGCTGGGTCTCGCTGGGTATGCTACTGCCTATCCCTACTCTGGATCAGAGGTGATCCTGCGCCGCCAATCAGATAAGCAGGCCAAGGCCGATGCTGTGAAGGAGGCCTTCCAACATGCATGGAATGGATATGTGAAATATGCTTTCCCTCACGACGAGTTGCACCCCGTGAGCAATGGCTATGGTGACTCCAGGTGAGCATGTCTGATTATACAGTTCTTGCCCTGAACTGACACACGGTAGGAATGGATGGGGAGCCTCCGCTGTCGATGCACTTTCAACCGCCATTATTATGGGTAACCGGGATGCCGTTCAAAAGATCTTGGACCATATCGAAACTATTGACTTTTCGAAGACCAACAGTGAGGTCAGTCTGTTTGAAACCACTATCCGATACCTTGGTGGCATGTTGTCCGGCTATGATTTGCTTAAGGGCCCTGCAGCAAAGCTTGCCCCCAAATCGACTCAAGTCGATGCTCTACTTGCCCAGTCCAAGAAACTTGGCGATGTCTTGAAGTTTGCCTTTGATACACCATCCGGTGTTCCCTACAATAATCTTGACATTTCTTCCAAGGGGAACGACGGCTCCATAACCAATGGTCTTGCAGTAACTGGAACTCTGGTGTTAGAGTGGACCCGACTGTCTGATTTGACTGGCGATGATGAGTATGCCAACTTAAGCCAGAAGGCCCAGTCATACCTTTTGAACCCTCAGCCATCAAGCGGCGAGCCATTCCCCGGCCTGGTGGGAAGCAACATCAACATCTCCAACGGCCATTTCACCGACGGAGCTGTCTCTTGGAACGGCGGCGATGATTCATTCTACGAGTACCTGATCAAGATGTACGTGTACGACCCAAAGCGGTTTGAGTCATACAAGGACCGCTGGGTCCTCGCAGCGGAGTCGACAATCAAACACCTCCAATCGCATCCCGCCCCTCGTCCGGAAATCACCTGGCTGGCCTCATACTACAACGGCCAACAGGATCTGAGCTCACAGCATCTGACCTGCTTCGATGGCGGTAGTTTCATCCTGGGCGGCACCGTGCTGGATCGGCAAGACTTTATTGATTTCGGCTTGAAGCTCGTGGATGGCTGCGAGGCTACTTATAACCAGACTCTGACCGGCATTGGACCAGACTCGTGGGGCTGGGATCCGAAGAGAGTGCCATCCGACCAGAAGGATTTCTACGAGAAGGCTGGGTTCTACATGGACAACGGTTCATATAATTTGCGCCCCGAAGTGATCGAGAGTTTCTATTACGCATACCGTGTCACAGGGAACGAAATAGTGAGCCAGCCTTTCTTGTACTGATGTTTTAAAGACACTGACCCGTATATAGTACCGCGACTGGGTGTGGAATAGTTTCAAGGCGATCAATGCTACCTGCCGCACTGACTCGGGCTTTGCTGCTGTAAGCAACGTGAATACTGCTGGAGGCGGCGCAAAGTACGATAATGAGGAGAGCTTCCTCTTTGCTGAAGTCATGAAATATGCATACCTTGTACATGCAGAGGGTAAGTTGCCGACCTTCCTAGTCGTCTTTCTCTTTTCTCAAAGCGTTGCTAATGGGTATTGGTATAGACGCCCCATGGCAAGTCCAGAAGGGCCAGAAGAATGCTTTTGTATTCAATACCGAGGCTCATCCCGTGCGTGTGGCACACACCTAGTCTATAGCATAGGTGGTCTATCACTACAGTCTACAGTGCATGCATCAAGCCTATATTATGCTTCTGCCGTTGGATTGATGTAAGAACAAGATAATTTTGTAGTACTACTGGCCTAGAAGTACTGACGCCTTCAACTCGAACGGCTCTCGAGTCTGGCAGGGTGGCGCGAGAAAAGGCTAGAACGTTCGTATATCACATTAGACATTAAATAACGGACACTGTAACAGCAGAGATTAAATATTAAACATTAAAACGTTCCACTTCACCCCAGTAAAGGGCAAGGGACCTTTGAATAAGCCATACATTCATTTCAAATTATAGCGCATGTAGAACCAACGGCCGGTGGATATCGAATATCACGCGTCGAAAGCCTGTTTGGCGTCTGGCTGCTTTGCAGCCTTCCGCAGCCTATGGCAGGCAATACAGGCACGCACACAAAGGATGAGGTTGAATAGGCTGAATGACAAATTTTCCGTCAGCTACAGAAACATAACATGAACGAGAAATACTAAACTCACATTCCAATAAGTATCATAGAACACCCCAAACACTCAGCCCCGTATAATGGGACAGTATCAGGGTGACTGGGGTAATAACCACCAGGGTTGTAAAAGGCAAGCTCGTGCAACTCAAAACAGACTGTACTAATCTGAGCACAGAAAGCAATGCAGTCAAACGCCACGATTACACCAGGGTGGACAACGCAGTTGCAGAAGACGACGATGAGAAAGATAGTCGACCAGACGAATCCGTATGAGGCCTGATCATGATAGAGATGCGGAGTCAGTAAGTCTTCCCTACAACAACCGATAAAACTGTTATAGTCGAGATTCTTGGACTCACTGTGCCCAGGTTGAGGCTAGACCATGCTTCTCCTAGCCCGTCGGAGTAAACAACTCCTTCATGATGTTGTACCATGGCCCAGGCAAAGCAGATTATAGCTACCATGGTACATAGTACTGTGCCAAATCGAAGAGAAAGAAGCGACAGCCATTTTTTCTCTTTCCTAGGTATTGCTTCGATGCAGAAAGAAGGGGAGGATTGATGGTTTAAGGCCGTAGACATGGTTGTGACTGGTATGTGATATTAGATATTATGGGAGCTGTAAAGAGAAAAGACGAGATGGTATGGGAAATTCCATGATCCGAGAGTACTTATAAAATGAAAACACGTTCATATGTCATGTTAATCATTGCCTTTTATATGCCAACACAGCCCTCGACATGCGGTGGCAATGCCAAGGGCCTATCAAGATGACCCACAAATCCCGATCAGACCAGTAGACTCGATGAACAGTTGCGGGGTATTTACGCAGGGTCCAATCTACATCGGCGGCCCCCTAGCTGAGCCTCTTACCTGCCCATTCAGCAAATCATGCGTCGTCTATACTACTTATTAAGTCCGCCCTAACCTTTTCTTATAAATAGCTACGTATTCCGTATCTAGCGTTATATAACGATAATTATAGCTTTAGAATCGCGTAACTAATACGTTTTAGCTTACTTAGATATAGGACTAATTACGACGGCTAAGATCACTATTAAGGCGCATTTAGTTAATAGCTTGAAGCAAAACTTCTTATCAGAATAGACGTCTTACGCCTAGAAGGAATTTGTCTAAACTTTGACCGAAAGACTCATTTTCGATATCCTAATAAGAAGAGTGAGCATAAATGGGGTTATAGTAGATTATTGCCTACTTACGGTAGGCTTCAAGGCAATTGTGAATTTGCCAAACTAGGTATAGACTGAATCTCGAAGAGTGATCATAGCGAGATCTGCCGGACCGTCCTCTCCAACAATAGCGGGCCTAGAACCTCTCAACTCTTCCTGGTCCCGAAGACTTTGTTTTTTCTGTCGTCTTCTATGATCATTCCGTGACGAGAGCGGAGATAAGAGTGATTCCGTTGACAGATCAGGCCAGGATTGGTGATCTGGCCATTTCAGATTGAGGGTAGTACGTTCAGCAACCCATCGTTCGCAACCAACGTCACCAACGTCTCAAAAACAGAGGATGTGGTATTCGAGGCCATTGCAATTCTGACCCACTGGTACGCTATATCAGAACATCGTGTTCGCCAGAGAAATGTGAACCATACACAGGGGGCTACCTAGGTATACTATGTTGATTACCTGAGGTTTCTGAATGTTTAACATCCATAGCCAATTCCTGACCGTCCCATTCCACGATTGCTAAGAGGAGGCAGCGGCCAACAGCCATGAGCTGTTCGCTTATATCGAAAGGCAATTCCTTTAAAACTTTGTCTTCAGAGTGTCTCATTTACCCTCTGTCTCATCGTCTTCTTCCTTCTTCCTGGGCCATGTCAACCGCCCCGAGTCTGGTAATGCACTCCATGATGAACGCACCCCTCACTAGCGAGGGAATTTGACTTTTTTTGAAGGAATCCTTGGAAACTAGCAGAAGAGAAGTTAGTAAGCTATGTCGACATCGACCGGCGTTCGTGAGATAATGGAGGCGAACAAACTTACAAATTAAGCCCGGAACCGAGAGGAGGTGTGCCCTGTCTTAGCGCGGCGTTGGCCTCAAGGGCCCGGCGGCTCGGCCTGGTTTGGGCGTTAATGTGCAGCACTAACCGTCTCCTGGATCTCGCTGTGACATGAAGTCTCCAAGCCCAGTTCCAAGGGCTCTGAGAGCCACGCAGGCTGGCGAGCTCGCGCCAAAATGCGCGTCGCCAGTGTTGTATACTTCCGGTGCCATTTGCCAAGGCCTTAGCGGCAACCATGGTCTGTTCTGCGGCAGAATTACCTTCATGTCGGGCGTTGACAATTGCAATGCGTCTTTAAAGTCCTCGCTTCATTGTTTGTGATGTTCAGTAACGTAACAGCCATTTGCTGTCGCACATTGTTGATCCAACGTTATGCTGATGGTTGTGGCATCGATGAGCTGTTTTGGACTTTTGTGGCGTCCCTTTCTTTGCCCTTTACTACCCTTCGAAAAGGAGGTCTCCAACCTGGGTTGTGTGTGGTATTTTCTGGAAGTTGAACACGTCGTTATTCGAGCCCAGGGTAGCCAGTAAGCAAGCCTTATTGCCCAAGTGTGCGTCAGTGTTAGGCCTGCACGAAGCTTCCCGCAGGTAAGAAAGAGTACCCCCTCCACGATCGAGAAGTTCAAAGGTTCGTCCAGCTCGTAACCGAGGATATGATTTCCGCTACGCTGACTGAAAATGCGACAGCGCGTGGATTGTCCGAGCATCGACATACCGAGGCCAAGTCAAGGAAAAGGATATCGGGACCACCATAGCCCTTTGTGGCTGACGAGAGACATGGAAAATATCATGGTGCCTTATTAGGCACTCATCCTGTGTCGTATCCAACCTTGGAAAGACACGGCCCCTGACCCATTCAATATATGTGGATTCGGCGTGACTCTGGGGCTTGTGGTGCTAGTTCAGTAATTAGCAGATATACCAATATTTACGGTGCGGAATGGCTTACATCGCGGTTCCCCATCAGTATAGCGGGTAGGAATATGGCCAGCATAGTAACAGGCTGCTATCGCATGTCCTGTCCCAGTTTAGACGCAATGCCCAGGATGATGGCTGCGTAGCGGCATCATTGCATCTAGTCCGATTCTGCCCACTGGCTTAAGACGATGCCACCCATCAGGGGTCGTTTTAGCCTCGCATCAGGAGTCGAGACTGCCCCTACGGCCACGGCTTTACCATGGCCAGGGCAGATTGACACCCCGGCCACAGGCCGCGGGCAGTCATGAGACCACCTGACTTCCTGTGCCGCTGTTGAGCATCGCTGTCACATAAGTTGGAACAGTCTGTAAGCCCCGTTAGCATGCCTTTTCTGCTTCGTGGAGAGGGACTGGACTACCCATTCGAACCATGGCTCCAGGACTTTGAAAATCACATCAACCTTTTGAGTGTGGGAACGATAAAGGTACCAGGAGCAGCCAAGTCACCACTTTGGCGATGATCGATGAAAGTGGAAAGTGAGAAGAAGAGAGGTCGAAGAAAACGAACTTTCCCTGGGAGTTTCTGTAAATCAGGCAGGAACGATGGATGCACTTCCATTTTAGTACTTTTCTCATTTTGTCCAAATAATCTCATCGATTTATCATCGCCTAGGCAACGGCAATCGTGCAGTCACTCTTGTATGTCGTCTTCAGATGCAATATGCAACCTTGGAACTTTCTGCCCGATGTAAACTGCTTTGCTTTTCAGAATCAACCAAGAGGCGCTCCAAATATATTGCTCAGAGCTTGTACTTGCAACAATTCGAGGTGATTTTCAGAATCCCGTCACCATATTCCTCTATTACTAGCTAAGGAATCACTTGGCTTTCTTATACTTTTAGGTGAGTTTCACCTGATCATCCCAAATCATTCACTAACCTATCTCCATTTCTGCGTGTATCCTCTGTTCTATGCTTGGAAACTAGAGACTGACGGCTAGTATAATGTGGCTCGGCTTCACATACTACTTTGATTGAAGCCGTGGTATCATTCCTTTTGAAATTGGACCATCTGCCCTTCAGGCTGCCTTGATTTGAAGGCCAAATCACATGTCCTCCCGTGCACTCCATACTGGCATAAACAAGACCAGATCGTGGCACTGGTTCGCCCGCAATATCTCTCCTCGAAATGGAGAGCCCCCGATATCGTCAAATAACCTTCTCATTTCACCGCCATCTCCTATCATCATCCACAGATCATATAGTGCATATGTCAAACATTTCATCCACCTAGGGGAAGTGTCATACTGATCCATAATCGGCCATGGTTCGAGAACCTTCACCTATCGTAATTCGTTATCCAGCTCCTGCTGTTCAACGTCCTCCGCGGATCTACCTTACAGCGTTTGCAGCGATTCTTCATCGGTGATGATGCACATTCGAAATTTGTTCCAATTATCTCCTCGGCCTTGAGGGCTCACCCATGCCTGAGAATAAGCGCGAATCGCATCGATAGACGACCCGTCGAACTGCGAAAATGGACTTTAATTTGTTCTTCTTTTGCCTTTGGAAATTCCGTTCCTCAAATGACAAGGTATCGACTACATGTAGACGGTAGAACAGAAGACAAGACCGTGGCGGTTTGAGCCAAGCATAGTAAACCACCAAAGCGTAAACAATAATAACTAGGTCCTTCCCGATCGTTATATTCATCTATATCCATGCGTATTAAGACTGGTTGGGTTGTTGAGGGGTGATTTCTACATTATTTGCTAAATGAGTCTCTATGTCCTTTTCATTAACTCCCAATTCCAGTGGGCAACAGCTCCGCTTTCCTTGAAACTGCATTCGTTTGTATTATTGTTTCTTACTTCTAGCGCTTTGTTCTAATAGCGCGTGATCAGGTTCCATTGAATGTTTGAGTCGAACATTAATTGAGATCCCAATATTTAGTTAGAGCTGAAGCAATGCTCTGCGTCAAATCAAAACGAAGACAAGGTGAATGTTTCCAGTCCAGAGTATAAAAGCAACGAAGGATCCGAAAGTAGAAGCCTCAAAAATAAACCGAGGGCACACAAAATAAAACATAATCGATCAGGCCAACTCAAGAATTGCCGGCAACACTTCTCGTAGAGATAATGTGCATAAAACATGTCTACCCAGACATATAGTTCTCTCCATTTCCAGTATCTCCACCCTGCACTTCTTGCGCTTTCAATATGGCCAGGTCAAGCAGCATTTTGCACGCTATATCGAGACCATCTTTTGAAGGTTTTCGTTTAATGCCATCCGGGGTAAAGGACACCATGACGTCGACACGAAAACCACACTCAAAACTGCGAAAATGGTGGCATAGTGTAAAGGTTTTCTCCCAGCCATCCTCTCCGTTCTCGGTTGCAAGTTCCATCTCGATATGGCACATGCTGGCTATGAGAAGCTGGATTTTGGTAATTCCTTAATATGAGTTTGAAAACGAGTAGGCGTAGGCGTGGATAAGAGTAAGAGTGAAAAGTCTCGAAGCTAAGTAGAATATAAAAGAGTGGAAGACTGCTTCTGATCGAACATTGATGGCTATTAGTCCTACCTGGTAGTTTCGATTGCTATTATTTCCTTTCATATCCATTATTTTCAACTATATGTTTTGGTTTTACTATTTCCTTCAAGCCATTTACTCATTAGCATTCTGTTATAGCTAATTATATCCCTAAGTACCATTTGCCGTGAAATAAATTTTGTTTCTTAGGGAGAAATAGATAACACTGGCTGTGGAAACCGCCTGTCCAGGTTACTCGAATTTCGCACCAGGAAAAACCAAAACACAACCCAAATGGCTACTATTATACTACTATTATTTTCCAACATCCGTTTTCCTTTCGTAGCGCATGACTGAAAGTCTCAGCCCAAGTAGAGATGATCTTAACGTCAAGCCAAAGAAGTTACCCGTGTCAAGTTAAGATGAAAAGTAGCGGAGGCCTTACGACCGGGCCTCGAACGGCGGATTGCTATATAAAAGAGACAAGATCCCAGATTTGTACAGGCAGGCTAAAGAATTGCTTATCAACATAGGCAAAACAATCTCAAGAACCTCTTTCTTCGAACATGACGGCCTGTCGGCCGCCTAATCAACCTTCTCCCATCCGTCATGTAATCATGTCGATGTGAACGGCCGAGAACGATGTATCTGCCACTCTCTCCTCGTTCCTCTACCCGTCCCTCTCGTTCTTGACTGTTGGCAGGGAAGCTGCGCTGTACAGCCTCTAGCACACGCAAAATATGGTCTTGCGAAGGCCTGGATATGGATATGGGACCAAAGATATCAGATCTGGAATCCCATTCTAGATAGTGTTGGTAGTTGAAGTTGCTGGACCTGTCTGGTGGGTCACAGCTTGGGCGACAACATCCGGGGTATCCCCTGAAGCTGATTTGGGATTTACAAGAAGAAGTGCCATAATCGTAGCATATATGAAAATGCGCATGCCAGAATGGGTAGCTGTGACTGTAGACCTTTTCGCTAACCCGGACGAAGCACATACTGATTTTGAGGATCAGGGCTGTGATCTTATCAAAACCTAGCTTGACAAACCGTACGCTTGAATAGGAGCGAGGGTGGTGCTGGAATACCTAAACGTAAAGAAATAGAAGGAAGAGATGAAGTCTTCTTCTGATTGAATCTCGATAGCTGCTTGAGGGAGGGGATGTGATCCAATATTTAACTCGCCATATCGCTCGTAGGGCTATAATATTTATCCTTCTCTACGCTTAGGCTATTTGCTGCTTTCCGTTGCGCAGTGTCTGAAACTCCTTGCTATTTAACATAACAAGTATAACTCCATAGAGGGCGTCCACGTATGGCTTTCCTCGATTTGGGAATGGCATGTGAAGATTTCTTAGCACATTGTGAATCATTGCGGCATCGTAGCTTTGGATATTAGTTTCTTTGCTATTTTTCTTTTTATTTCTGCTGTTTCTGAGTATCCATGTGTTTATTTGAGCGAGACACTGTGTTTGTGTTGGTCTTAATAACTTTATGTTATAGCTGTCTGTTACCTGTACATACGATCAATCGTAAAGTAGTCTCTCAGTCAGGAAATAAACAAGCACTGGCTTCGACAATCACCTGTCGAGGGCGCACTCTAAGCTTCGACACCTGCACTAAAACTCAAACACAACCCAGGGCACACTTCTTTCCACCTGTTTCAAAGATGATAGGACGAGACCTTTGGTCAACGCCTGTAGGTCCACGTCAGTCTCACCATGATAATGAGTCTAGTAATCGAAGTGAGGCTGGGAAAGATGATACCAGACAAGGTGAGGCGGGTCACGAAGTGACAATCCTCCAGGGCTGGCATGACAGCTAACCAGTCAGCTCCAGAACAATGCCTGACTCCACACCCCAAACATCCAAGGCCTGTTGACAACATGAGCATCCCGAGCTTTGACCCACGCCACTACTCTCTCGATGGACCCAGTGAAGCTCCAGAAGGCCACCACTCATCCTTAGTATCTCGTGGTAGGGGTGTCACCCGCACCAGACATGACACGGATTCTCGCCAGTCCACTCGACAGCGCAGCTCTGCGAACGAATCATTGCAAGACGCGCCACCTCCACCCCAAATACCTCGAACCCCAGTAATAAGAACACTACGGCAAACATCGCCAAGATGGCAACTCTCAGACCCCATTCCAATACCACCCCGACGACCTACTGACGGAAGTTCTCACCAGCATCCTCCACCCCCCTCCGTCTCTGAAAACTCATGGGATGAATATGTCTCAGATGAGACCGTCACCAAATACCGGGCCATCGGGGCACAATATCAAGCATGGGTAGCAGGCCCAACCACAACAGAATGCCCAATCCGACGATCAAGAGTCACCTGGACAGACCTAGTCCACCACCCGCTCGAAGAGTACAGCTTTGAGGTATATCTCAACGAGATAAGATCAACCCCCGAAGAAGCGGGGAACCTCGAATCAGCCGGGCTGTCGATGGGGAATGATTGGCGCTATGTTTTTCTGAGACGATACGGATACTGGGATGATGGACGCCAAGCAGGTTATACCATCTACCAGCACCGTACCGGGCTCGGCGCTATCTTCGTTGAGAACATTACCAGACGATTCGGACCTTACTGGGCGCAAGTCGCTCATGCGCAGTACCAGCTTGACAATCACATCGATACCCTCAGGTACGTTTATTTCATCAACGTTCAGAACCTTTGCACATGGCCCTACGTGGAACACCATTTATACCCTCGTCATGGCTTGCACTGGTTTGATGACTATGGACCCCAGCGCTGGACATATGGTTCGAGAGAGTATCAGGAGCTCCTGGGAACGAAGCTGGGAAGGGGCGTGGCTCGTCTGGTTCTGGGGGCTTGGCCGAGAGGCACGCACCGCATTGAGACAATTTATACGTGGACCTTTATGGGAAACTTACAGATGAGGTTTGATATTAAGCGAATTTGATTCACTTGCATGCTCCACGAAGCGAAACGGTATGCTGATCCAAGGTAAGGCCAATTATGGAAGAGGAGAAGCGCTAGCCCTTACTGGCGGTTTTGACAGAAGCTCGAAGTAAGGTTTCGATTGGCCATCCATGGATGACAGGGAATAGTGCCATGGGGGCCAATAAGCATCCAACTATAACGACTTAAACCCCTATATAGTATATCGTATAGTAAGACATTGAGACAGCAATTGAAAACAGCGCCTAGTCCAATGGACAAGAGAACCTGTGAGTTTCAACACTGGTAAACCTTGGAACTCTATAACTAGTAAGATCGAATAAGTTAAGAGTCGGCACCCTACCACGACCCCGAAGCACTATCCTCCGCTGGTATTAACATCCAACACGGGCATAATAGGACTTGATAGGAGCACTCATAGCAGCCAGCAATTTTAACTGCGCAGCACCTCAGGTCGTGATGTGGCTTATATAATGCCTCAGTAATATACAGGTCAATATCATGAATCACAGCATATATTCGGCGTACCTCAAACAGATGCACCTTGACCAATGTTCAAGAAATCAAACACGTAATCCTAAAACAAAAAAGAGATCTCACTCAGTCCTCTGCCGACAGAAACACGACGATTTGATAGGCACATCCGCCCAGGCTAAATTACTCTTCAGTTGCGGTAACATGGCACGCGCCTCATATTTGCGACCCATCTTGACCAAACACTCATGATACCCATGCGAAGCCCATACATTACCCGGATGTCTCAAAGCTCGAGGTAAAGATGTGTCGACTCCAAGGTCCGCAGAATATACAGCCGCAGCCTCCTCAACACGATCCTGTTCGAGCAACAATGCCCCCAGCGCGTGTCTAGTGGGCTGCATCCAGCCCCACGGCTCATCATACGGCAACGAATCATCCCTCTGAACAGCATCCCGGAGATATGAAAATGCAGTATCGTATTCGCCACGGCGATACGCAATCTCGCCATCGAGCATCGCCTCACCAACACGGAGAATATCGACACAGCGGTTATTGAAGATCGTCCTCGAAGCCGGCACAAGTTTCATTGCCCGTAAAAACCATTCCCGCTCTTTCTCCGCCTCTGAAACACAGCCGGTCGCCGCGAATGCGATGCCCTTTGCATAGTGCATCATAGCTGTGGTGACACAGTACAGCTCTGCATCCTCCGGCAGCTCTGCGGCAATGATCTCATCCCAGCGACCGAAGCGCACAAACCCATGCATCTGCATGGCAACAAAGCCCTCCAACCAGTCTGCCATCGGTGGGGACTCGACGCGCAGGAGAGGCTCGGTTATTATCCGCGCGAGCTCGGCCCCAGACTCAAGTGCGACCTTCGATCGGCCACCCAGCATAGCAGCATACATCCGGAAATGATAATCGTGTGCACGGTACAGATTATAGAAGTGGCCCAGTGGCTGGTTGACAAGGAACTTCTCGTCTGCCCGGATTGCAGAGGTATTATCTGCCACTGCGTGTTTGTACTCGCCGCACAAGACAGCGATATGGGAAGGCATGTGCTCCAGATGACCAGCATCTGGCACAAGACCACGCAGATACTCTGCTATCGGCAGGGCAATTTCAGGCGTCGGGGACATTTCCATCAGATGGATATAGAGATGCAAGATACCTGGATGATCGAAGGATTCGTCTCGTTCCAAGACTCGATCTAGGGCTTTTTTCGCCTCGAAAGTTTTTGCTCCTGGCGTGGCCTCGCCGGTCTTCACGTTCCAAAGACCCCACGGGGTCAGGTTCATCAGCGCATCGCAGTACAGCGCAGTCACGTCGAGGTCATCCGGGTACTCATTGTACACTGATGTCATTGCCTCGGCGTATTTTTTATCCCATTCCGTGCAGTCTTCTACGGGCTGCTCTTGGGGATACCGGTGCTGCAATGCATCGATAAGAGCATTCTCCAATGGGGTCGCGGTGGGAGCGTGCTTCTTCGCCTCTAGGATCGCGCGATGGGCGCGAGTCGTGGTGGCGGAGAGATCTTCTCCGTCGAAGAGCTGCCATGGCTTGTTATAGTTAGGCCCTAGAGCAAGGGAAATGCCCCAGTATCCCATAGCGCATGTCGGGTCGAGTTCGACAACCTTTTCAAAGCATCGGATAGATTCTTCGTGATTGAAGGCGTAGGCCCAGATTAAGCCCCGACTAAACCAAAGTTGGGCATGTTCGTTTATTGTGCTCACATTCCGACGATAGTCACCTAGGTTATAGTAGTCCTCGGGAGATGGCTGGTCCATTTTGTTGATGGTGGGTTGTGTATTCATGTGTTGTGGTGGATGAGGGGTACGGTTGCCCAACGCGGCGCTACCACGAACTCGCATCTAACCATTTTGATCACATTGGACACTGGGATAAGCGCCCATAGCGAAACAAAGTATACACTGGGAGTTATTTATAAATCCAGCTCAGGAAAGTGCCTGAGGCAGTATTGGGATCCTGAGGCAACAGGGTACCAAGGTAGTAAGGCAGTAAGGCACCAACAAGCCCCACATGAGCAGATTTGAGGAAATCCACTTTAATGTGCTCACTCATGCTCGATCACTCTCACCCTGAGCACCTTGGGGGCCTATTGAGAATCCTATTTAGATGGTCCTTTTGTCCCTTTGTCCCTTTCCTATCCTTGTTACCTTCAACATCTATAATCACTTGTATATAAAACCTCCTCTTCTCTCATTTAAACATCTTCACTTTTATAGATCATGTGTGGAGACACCAACCGCCCAACATTCGGAGGCACTATTGCCGTCCTATTTCCTCGAGGGACTCATCAGAGCTCGAACACTTCAGATGCATCATTATCTTCATCACCAGAATCAGTATCCTCGTTTACATCATCATCGTCGACTGCCTCAATATCATCATACTCTCTTTTCTTCCGCGACACGGATGCAAGTAAAACGAGAGCGATCTTCCGAACGGAAGATGCAGAGACATATCACGCACTCAGAGGATGTGGAAATGTCGATATGCGCATTGAGTAAGTTGGATGTCTTATGAATTATATAGTACGGAAAAAAAGCTTACAGTTCATATCAGGAAATTTGGTGATCTCTCCTCTACATCTCAATCCACAACTCCTCTTCATCAGTTCCGCTTGAATATGAAACAGGACAAGAACCACAGTACAGCAAATTCGACGGAGATCGAGTTCGAGCTGCCCGAAAGGCTGGACCTGGGCGTCTCCGAGAAGGGTGTCATTGGCCGACAAGTGACAGTCAGAGAGCAAGGGGGTTCCATCCTGGGGATTGGAATAGTGGGATACAATTAAGGTGGCGAGCCTATACTCTCTACAAACATACTTCATAGACATAATTGGGATCATCAATCATTTTGCATGAGTTGGAAATACTACGTTTCTTTAGTAGGAGGATCGTTCAGCTAAATCAAAGCGAACCCCTGGCTGGATGGAAACCTCACAGCTTCAGCGGGTTCTCAACACCAGCGGTGTAACGCTTCTCAGCTTCAGCCCAGTGAATGATCTTCCAAATCCCCTCAACATAGCCAGCCTTGTTGTTAAGGTACTGCACATAACGCCGATTAGCAGACAAATACACACAATAAACAGACGGGAGTCAACTCACCTGGAGGTAGTAGGCATGCTCCCACATATCCACACCGAAGACAGGCACATCAGGTGCATTAACAGGGTCCTGGTCCTTAGTCGTAACGATCTCAAGTCGTCCCTTGGCACCACCCTTGCTCACAAGCCATCCCCAGCCACTTCCCTGAAGACCGAGCAGCTCGGCGCCAAAAGCCTTGACGAAGGCTTCATGCGAGCCCCAGCGGGAGACGATGGCTTCGCGCAGAGTGGGAGCACCAGCGATGTCATTCGCAGGTGTGCCGGGGGGGAGTCATGTTCTTCCAGAACAGGGAGTGGTTGATATGGCCACCACCGTTGAAGCGGAGCTTTTGTTGCAATGAAATCAAGGTGGGGACGTCATTTGATGCTGTTGCAGAAGCTTGGGCGGAGAGTGCTGCGTTCAGATTGTTGATGTATGTTTGGTGGTGCTTCTGATGGTGCAGCTCCATTATCTGCTTGGAGATGACGGGCTCCAACGCCTGTTCATTGTTAGCTTCATGGCGCCAGATTAGGAGGATCTCGATCGGGCGAGGCTTACATCGTAGGCGTAAGGGAGAGGAGGAAGAGTGTGTGTTTGAGAAGCCATAGTGTGATTGTGGATGTTAGTGCGTGTCAAGAGCAGAGAAGAGTAAAAAGGAAGAGTGGAAGGTGTAGGCAAGAGATAAACCACCAAGGTCCCTCTGGATACCCCTCCTTGAGTGACGTGCTAGTAAGCATCTTCCAAGAGGCCACCAAGGTGGATATCCACCGGTAAATGTGGACGGGAATTGGGATGAGTTGGATTGAGCACGTTTTCGCCAAAGTTGCTCTAATCTGCTCACGGCATGCTTTCAAAGCAATAGCTGAACTACCTAGGTAGTTCCTTTTCCCACAACATATAATGTTGTATAATATAAAATTTTCATTGTCCATTTAGAGTGTTGGCGAAATTATATAAAGTAGTCCAATTTATCTATGTGAAACTAAAATATGTGTTATATCATTCAATTATCGTCCTCATTCGGGGGCTAGAGATACGGGGAAATGAGCCGGGGAAACTGGCTTTTTATACCCACAGCGGCCCTGGAAACCCACCCAGCATTGACTCTATCAGACGGAAATAGTGTGAAATTTGACAAGTACGTATTGCAAGAATCAATATTTTACAAGTGGAGATACGGATGTCATGCAGCGAAGGACACGCCAGGAAGATGTGGAACCATCAAAACGAACCTCGAAGAAAACAAAGTCACTTCAAAAGATTCTCTGGACAACAGAGCTATCTCTGTGAAGAGGTTCCGCAACTTAACGCCGAAGTAGAAGCTGCTGGCGGACAACGGGAGCACCAGACACGCATAGTCTGTATCCGCAGAGGTCATAGAAAAAGCGCCTCAGGTACCCGAAGATCGCAAGTGAGTAACCCGCATGTATGGAAAATGTCGTAGTAGGCCAAAAACGCGAATTCCCACTCACAATGCCTCGGGTCTTCTTCGCTAAACATGCGCGAAATGGATTGTATGTCTATAACAATGCTCCCCCCCGTGTGTAAGCGAATATCTGTCTTTCTTGCGACTGTAATCGGTAGCCACCGGCCTATCCTCTGAACCAACACTAAGCACGGTTTTGTTTCGAGGCGGCTGGAATGTTGCCTCTCGTTTCGTGGTCGATTCTTCGCAGGATCCCGGTTGGTTCTGGAGTGGACAGACTTTCCCAGAGATGAAGTTTTCGCGCCAGAGATGTTGAGCTTTTTTGCAGGGAACAATGACGACCATTGGCTTAAGAACCCCATCAGGATAACACCACGACATGACCAGGCTCAAGTCCACACTTGTTCGAATTGCAGAGTTAAACTTCCCCCGAGTTAGCCTTGGGGCGTTTTCAGCCGAGCCTTCGCCACAAATAGCGACCCCAAACCTATACTTATCGCCGTGTCCCGAGATAAAAAAAAGCCAGGACAAGTTGACATTTGATCAAAAGTCCGATTTGATCGAGTATAGGATCGGGTAGGCCGCACAAACCGATCGCCTTCGGCTAGGTCTAGGTGTGAATAAAACCGAGTTCGCAAGTAGCCATTTCCTCTCAAGGCGTAGGTGGAGGTCTTCCTAACGGGTTCGGGTTCAGTTTCAGCGATGAAGGGAGCTCGTTCTAGTATAGGCGGGGCGGATTCTGTCCTAGCAACGGAGTGCTCTCGTTTCGTTTTAGGGCCAGTGGCCCTTGTTAGAGTTCGAGTTCCCTGAGACGTCCACAACCACAACACTTGATCACGCATTGACATCGCAGAGATCCGTGACCCGACCCATACTTGTATCGAAGTAGTAACAACGAGAACTAACACATTAACAATCAGAGACACCTGCCAACCTTCGTCTGTAAAATCCATCTTCTGAAATGGATTTTTTTTTTTTGAGTTGAAATTGATAGAGAGAATTTGGCAACTTGCAGGAAGGATTAAGAGCTAAGAGAGAGAGAGAAAGACCAGCCTTGGAATACTACACAGGCATCAGCAAGCTAACCATATATACGTCACTTCCTTTTATGTCTTGCCTTTCACTCAGACACTCTCTCTTTCCTTGGCTAACAGGACTCGCACTCAACTCCTGTCACTTCTCGGCTATCTTCACGACTCAGTTCTTGTTGGTCTGTTTTTGCAGGTCACGCATGGGACAGAAGATAGTGAGATCAGCTCCCTCCTCCACCCTGTTCTCTTCTCTTCTCCCTGCCGTTTTTTCTTTTCTTTTCCCCCCAAGTCTTAGTACATCGTATCCCAATTTCCCAGATCTCTATTATGGTATGATTCCGTGAGGTTCTTACTGCAGTGTCTTTTAGGCGTTCTAGTGATCAACCGAAGTAATGACAACGAGATAATTAACAATTTAAATTTTAAGACATCCATCGCTTATAGACATTGAAGGTAGAATTTCCAAGGCCCCGTTATGTGTAGATTATTAATCCCCGCAGGTTTCCAAGGCTCCCCAGGGCCAAGCGGGGTCGGGGAGAATCAACGGGCCTCGGTCATTTCGGCATGTACAAATACAAATAGCTAGTCTGAAGAACAAAATCCCCTTTTCCCTCAATTCTCCCTTTTAGCATAATTGAATTCTAATTACCTTCATAATGTCCGCCGAAGAGCAAGTCAAACTCTCCAACTTCTCCAGCATCTTCTCCCTTGAGGGCAAGGTCGCTGTGGTAACAGGCGGTTCCCGGGGACTAGGACTACATGCAGCCTCGGGGTACGTATATTTCTAACGCTTTGTTGGAATATCTGCCAATACCATACATATGTATTCTCACATCTTTGCAGTCTCCTTCAAGCCGGCTGCTCCAAAGTCTACATTACCTCCCGCAAGAAGGCGGCCTGCGATGAAGCAGTCGCAGCTCTCAATGCCATCCCCAACAAGAGGCCCGGCGCACAGGCCATCTCTGTGCCGGCCGACAGCTCCGACATGAAAGAGCTAGACCGACTTGTCGCTGAGGTAGCCAAGACCACAGACCGTGTTGATATTCTCTTCGCCAATGCCGGCGCAACATGGGGCGAGAAGTTCGACACCCACCCCGAGAAGATGTTCTCGAAGGTTATGGATTTGAATGTGAAGAGTGTGTTCTACACGATCCAGAAGTATGTTATTGGCCTAGCTGAAACCAGGGATAAAGCGCGATTCTAACATCGAACCAGGTTCACCCCTCTCCTCACAGCAAAGGCAACCCTCGCAGATCCATCCCGCGTCATTATCACCGCCTCTGTGGCAGGTATTGGGATTGGCGCAGTTGGCGAGAACGCAACACCTTCTTACTCCGCTTCCAAGGCGGCTGCTATCCATCTGGCGAAGAACTTGGCCGTTGAACTGGGGCCACGTCATGTCTTAACCAATGCTATTGCACCCGGATTCTACCCCTCGAAGATGGCTACTGGACTTATTGAGGCAAAAGGTGGTATGAAACATCTTGAGGAGTTCTCACCGAATGGTCGCCTTGGAAAGCCTGAGGATATTGCTGGCTTGGTGGTCTTCCTCGGTTCTAGAGCTTCGAGTCATCTGAATGGAGCGGTCATTGCGACAGATGGTGGAGCTGTGATTAAGGGGAGACTCTAGGCTTTCTATTCATGTTATTAACAAAGCATATTCCTACGAATAAATGTCAAAATGCTAACCTGGTCGACGTTCGAATGAATATCAACCCCATCATAAACTTGAGGCTAGAATCCTTTACAAAACTTTGCCTCCTAATCCGTCACAGGGCCTGATAAAGGTCTAAGATACCTAGGTAGGTGTCGTCTAACCCGATTAGCGAATTTTAGAGCTCGACTAGCCAAAAAGAGACATCGCTCAACAGCCCTGGAGGTGGATGCACCCATGGATGTATAGAGTTTCAAAATGTACCCTTCCCGATCAGCCAGCAAAGGGGGACCTCGGGTAACCACATACCCCAACATTTGGGCCGAGGCGGCTTTTCTCCACACTCCCCGCATTAAAAACCACCTCTCTCCACCTCGATGACTTTCCCTTAACACATCCGCCATGGCCTCTCAGGAACCCCGTTATGTGGCAGTTGCCCAGCGCAAGCAAGCTGAGCTTGCTGCAGCTATCCCTTCTGAATGGCGGCTGCCCGCACACCTCATTCCTGAGGGGATGCTCTCGATCTCCCAGTCGATAACTGTTGGCCCAAAAAGTTACCAACGAGTCGGGGTGATGGATATTCCACGGACATGTGGCCTACTTACTTCCAAAGAATTGGAAATAACAGAGAAATACGACGTGCGAGGTCTTGTGGCGGAGATGGCACAGAGTCGGTTGAAGGCCGAGGACGTGGTGCGCGGGTTTTGCAAGGTGCGCTCGCATGTTGGCTGATTGTCTCCGATCATGGGGCTAATATTTATGGATTATTACAGAGAGCAGCCATTGCCCAACAACTTACTCGCTGTCTAACCGAACCCCTCTTCGACCGCGCCTTGCAACGAGCCCGGAAGCTGGACGATCACCTCCACCGCACAGGCACCCCGATAGGCCCCTTACATGGTCTTCCGGTGTCAGTGAAGGACACATTTAATATAAAAGGCGTGGACTCAAGTATCGGATTGTCTGCCCTGGCATTCAAGCCTGCAAAAGCGAATGCCCCGCTAGTAGACCTGCTGGAGTCTTTGGGCGCGGTAGTGATCGCCAAGACAAACATACCACAAACACTCGCAACATTGGACAGCTGCAACCACCTTTTTGGGCGCACGCTGAACCCTCTCAACCGTAAATGGACTGCAGGTGGCAGCACTGGTGGGGAGGGCGTGTTGATCGCCATGCGCGGGTCCATGGTCGGCTTCGGCACGGATATTGGTGGTAGTATCCGAGTACCAGCTATGTGCCAGGGTATCTACGGGTTCAAGCCGAGTAACGGACGCGTGCCATATGGAGGGCAAGAGAGCGGCCAGATCGAAGGTAAGGGCCGGATAGGGTTGCAAGCAGTGGCTGGTCCGTTGGCTCGCTCTGTTGCGGATATCAACGCCATCATGGCGGAGATCGTCCCTCGCGCGGAGCTGTTCGGCGAAGATTGCATTCCGGGCTCATGGTCGTCACAATCAATACCGCTTGCTCTCGCTCCACCGCACAATTTTACTATTGGTGTTCTTAAGACAGATGGTCTGGTTACACCCCTACCTCCGATCGCTCGGATTTTGGACGAAGTCGCCAATAGCCTCCGTCGTACTCCAGGCATTGAGGTCGTTGATATCCCACTTCCACCGGTTCTACCTAAATGCCAAGCCCTCGCTGGCCGGCTGATGGGCATCGACGATGGGTCCCACATGCTTGACCTTATCGAGAGCATGGGCGAGGACCTCATTCCGTGGCTACAAGGCCGAATGAAGCGTGGCATGGACTTGACGGTGGTTCAATTGGCGACGCTGCAGGCCCAGCGTGCTGAGATCGAGAAGGAGATGATGAAGATGTGGACGTTGTCATCACAGGCTTCGTCTGTCGCCCGACGTGTCGATGCCATAATTTGCCCTGTAGCGCCTCACCCGGTCCCGGAGATCGACCGCTACAATGCCGTTGGGTACACCTCGACCTTTGTGCTGCTAGACTACCCGGCTGGCTCGGTTCCTGTCCGCTCGTTTGCGGAAACAGATCTCGAGATCGGACGGGCAATGGATGCACCGGTATTGGGAAGCTGGGATAAGGCTAATCGGCAGCTGTGTAAGTTTCGATATCAGCACTTGATATACCGTTGTTCTTTCGCTAATTTGCTTCGATTCGCAGGGGATGAGAAGACGGTTGACCGCCGGGTGTACCTCGGATCACCTCTCAGTGTGCAGGTTGTCACTCCTAAACAGCACGATTATCAGCTTTTCCGGGCAATGGAGATTGTTGATCGCGCTGTGCAAGGACACGGGAGCTCAACCAGTGCGAAGCTGTAGTTACTTTGACGTATCTGTCCACAGTAAAGTGATCGATTTTTGGAAATAGTCATAATTGAGGGGCCAACATCATACGAAAACCTTGTTATAAGTGAATATATAAGACATGTGGCAAGCCATATTGAAAGGATTTGTCGACTTGATATGTCCACGGGTGTTTTGGACGGGTCCGTACAATTTGAACCAATCAGAAAACGAGAGATACAGATTAAATTGGCCATAGAATGGCCGGTAAGCAATGCAGCTAAGCCTTGACAAGACTACAAGACTAAAGCCCATATCGCGATGCTCTTATTATGGCGCCATAGTCGCGCTTTTGCCTTCGCTAGACTGGCGTCACTAAGGGCAAAAAGAGGAGGAAAAAAAAGAGAGAACCAAATAAATAAGCAGGAAAAGAAAGGGAAAAAGGGACTTGAGATCGATGTATGATTTGTCCACGGGTCTCTCATTTGTTTTACACTTATCCGCCGATCCTGCCTACGTAAGTAAACTTTCCTTCTTACCCATCACCTTCATCATATTACCCAACATGTGCAGGGACAAGAAGGAACCGGGCTACGTCCTCGGCACCGAGACTGATGGAACAGACTCATTCGAGACCATCACTGCTCTGGTCGCCGCAGGTACGAATTGCGCGTTATATGTCGGAGTAACCTGACATTCCTTTCGTCCAGACCACGAACATGATATCAAGCTTCGGACTATGTCGTGGCAGAAGACGGCCTGTTTGCTTGCCGGCGAGCAGGTCTGTTTGGCCATCATGGCACAGTCGTGGTCTCTCTCGTGAGTAACCATCTCATTCAAATAACGATTTTCAATGAAGCTGACAGGAATATTATCTTCAGTGTCCTCGGTTGGGTTCCGGGTATCATTACTATGGTCCTTTGCGGACTCCTCTTCTGGGTCACCTCGATCACGATGCACAAGTATGTTATGAAGCATCCTCATATCATGGATATCTGTGAGTCTCCGCCGGTCCAAATATCCCGATCTCTATATGCAATAGAACTAACGGTTTAATCACCGACAGGTGACTTTGGATACCATGTGTTTGGGCAGAGCAAAGCTGCCTACGTCTTCTCCGCATTTATGGTGCTTGCGAACAATATTCTTCTTGTCGGATTTCACGTCTTGACAGGCGCTAAAGTGTTGAATACCCTCTCAGACCACTCATTGTGCACTGCGGTTTTCTCAGTAATTGTGGCCATTATGGGAATCGTTATGTCCATGCCCCGGACCTTGCATCATGTTAGCTTCATGTCAATGTTCTCATGTGAGTCGATAAATCCCCCACAGCTCTCAACTGGACCCAGCAGACCATTCCGCAGCCGCCTGTATGGCTATCGCAATCATTCTTTTCCTCGTTTTTGCCGGTATCGAAGACGCCCCTTTCTACGGACCCAAGGGCGACTACCCGACAGAAGGACCCGTGAAGACCTACGCCTTCCCTCGACCAGGCACCACATGGGTTGACTGTATGAACGCTGTGATGAACATTACCTTTCTTTGGGTCCCCCAAATTCTGTTCCCGACTTTCATCTCAGAGATGGAAAGGCCACAAGATTTCCCTAAGGCATTGGCTGTTCTCGCCGCGATATCCGCCATCCTATTTATCGTCCCTTTCGCCATTGGATTCCGCTATCTAGGCCAATATGCTACCGCCCCAGCCTTCGGCAGTCTAGGAGTGGTCTCATACAAGAAAGCATCTTTCGGCTTCGTGATCATCCCTACCCTTGTCATTGGCGTAATCTACGCCAACGTAACCGGGAAATTCATCTATACACGCATCCTCGGCAAGTCCCGACACTCGCACAGTCACACCGTGATTGGATGGAGTGTGTGGGGGGGCAATCATGGTCGGGATCTGGATACTCTGGTTCGTTTTCGCGGAGATCATTCCCAGCATGGGTGATTTCCTCTCCCTGCTCAGCGTGGCCTTTGATTCGATCTTCGGGTTCATTTATTTCGCCGTCGCATACTGGCAGCTAAACCGAGGATTCCTTTCCAAGAATCGGAGACAGACTGCTATGACTGCGCTCAATGCTTTCATCATGGTCGTTGGGCTGTTCTTGTTGGGTCCTGGCTTGTATGCAGCCGTCGAGGCCATCATTGCTGATTACTCGGGCCCTATTACGCCTGCCTTCACTTGTGCCAATATGGCTATTTAACGGGAAGTCATTGAATAGCGTTGTGACCGGATGGGTGATTTGATGCTATTTTTATATTCTTATGTTCTACGATGATGCAAGGCCAGCTGCTCACTTCAAAGGAAAAGGAAATAAACTGGAATGTCACTAAATTCCTACATATCTGACTGTTAACTCCAGTTTTCTCATCGCTGTCCGCACTGATCTCCCCCGTCCAGGATACCTCGCACTCACAATTATCTATTTGGGTAACGTATTATTTTAATTAATTTTACCAGACAGAGTCCCTGGCGAAGAGGGTAATGTTAGTTGCAGGTCGTTTTAGAAACGGAGGCTTCGCTCGGTCTCTTTTTCAGAGCAAAGGCAACAAAGTTCGAATGCAGACGACCACAGCGACATCGTTTTCAACGCTACAAAGATACGTTAGAGACGGACATATCAGACTCCACCTGTGAAAGACTGGAAAGTCTTATACAGGACGGCTAACCCCCCCAGGATTACAAAGGTACCTTAGAAGGCAATAAAAGATCAATTAAGCCAGCTCAGCCTCAATCAAACTCTCTGCAACACCAGGATAAGTGTAAATCTTAACAACCCTCAGCCCAACTCTCTTCAGAATCTCCCTCCATTCAACCTCCGTTCTCTCCCTCGCTAAGAAATGCGCCAACATCATCATATCCATACTCGTGGCCGCCAGCGTCGGCTTCTCCTCGCTAATAACAATCTCATTAAAGAGAACACGTGAATAACCCCTAACCAAAGCAGGCACCAGATTCTTCAAAATCCGCACAACATCTTCATCACACCAGTCATGCAAAACAGAATGAAAGCAATAAGCCCTCGCCCCCTTCACAGGCTGCGGCGTAAAGAAGTCATAAGCTTGTACCTCAAACGACCTCCCCTCGGCACATTCCAGAATACTCGCAACAACAGACTCACGATCCTGAAGCACAACCTTCCCAGGCAGACTTCTATAGAGCGCCACAAAAGCAGCAACATCATGACCCCGGCCACCGCCAACATCAACCAGCAAACTCTCGCTAACCTCCGCATCAAACCCGCAAACCAGCTGTTGGTAAACAGGATAAAAGCCCTCCTCAAACCAATTCGCCTTCCCAGCGCGGTATGCACTCATAAACGAATTAAAATGCTGCAGCTGCGGCGGCGTCGCAACAGCCCATTCAAAGAACGGCAAACCCGTCCCATGTGCCTCCTGAAAGGGTCCATCCCTGCCGCCCAGCGTCAGGGACCGGTATGCGTTTTCCTTGAAGTAAGCCGGGAGTCCGTTGAACGATTTCCGCGTGGCGTCATAGCAGAATAAGATACTATGTTGGTATCGTTCCTCGACGAGACCGTTGCTCAGCGCTGTTCCGTGGAACGCACCTGAATGAAAGGCGAGCACGTTCATGGCGACTAAATGACGTGCTAGACGGGTCAGGAGGTCGACGTCCACGCCTGTTTTCTCAGACAGAGCAACAGGGCTGAGGCCTGTTGGGGTTGCTTCTTTAAGGTGTTGGAATAGGCGCACGTCTACGGCGAGTCGGATTACTGCGGACTGGGCGGGCTATGGTTTAAGTCGGGATATTGTGAGCTTCCTTATTGGGCTATTGGAGGCTGTATGGAATTCGAACTGGTCTTCTTACCTCTGCCCAAAAGGTGCGCTGGATGAATTCGCTGGGGATTTCGAGTGCGGACACGAGCGCGTGGCTTTGTGCGATGAGTGCTTCTCGTGAACCGGGTTCATTTTCTTTGAATGCGTTTGCTGTGGAGGCAAGTTGATTTAGGATTGAGAAGGGGTCCATGTTGGAAGTATACTCTGGGAACTCATGTATTAATGTAGTGCGGTATACAGAAGGAATATTCGATTAAAATATCTGAGGCTTTGGGGTAGCACGGTAGCGTTTTCTGTTAGAACGTGTTGTCCTACCTAGTACGCCTCTAGATACATAGGTAGTATTCGATTATCGGCTTCGTTTGCCAGCTTTTTCTCTTACATAGAACCTATACTTTGTGTCAAGTGTGTACATGGCGCTACAATGGTTGTAAGGAAAGGTTCGGGACAATGCCCGGTCTATACATCAAGAGCCGCACTAGAGGGACCCACAGCGGAAGTTACCTGGGTAACCGTACATGGCCAGATGTATCGATCAAGCACCATCTGATAACTGATTGGGGAGGTCACACAAGCCAGCATATAATTCCCACAATGCGGCGATATTGTCTATCAGAAGTCACTTAGGCTTTGGTTCGAATGTATATTGCCAACTATCTACCGAGACTGTAAGGCGTGCGTCAGCTTGTACAACTACAGACTACTCGATATTGCTCTTCATAATATCCAGTTTTGTGGCATGTGCATAAATTGAAGAGACTAGAAGGACGCTACTTTGAACTTGTTACTGAAATGGAGCAAGGAAGATACCAAAATCAGAAGGGCTACATAGAAAATATTCCCTTGTTTGAAACAGCTGCATCGAGACTAATCTTTCCGACCTCAAGCACCAGCTATGCGCTCATGCCTCCATTGAATCAAGCCCGCATTAATCAAAGTCGGAATAGCCTGATCCTCAATCCACTCTGTGCATTTAATCAACGGCCGACGAGGCTCTCCAGGCTCGTAAAATGTCACAGGATCCCAACTCTTGATGGGCTCCGTCTTCATCGTCACTTTGTTGAAAGCCTTCTGCTTCGGTGGCGCCGGGATGGACTTGAGAATATCGTTCCAATTCTTGGGATAGTTGAGGGCTCTGGTGTGTCCGATGAGTTCCTTTGAGAAGAAATTCTCGTCTGTTTCTGGGTCGTTGTATTCTGCTGGCTCGTAGTGCATGCCTGTGACAATATCGCCTGTGACGTGGTGCTTGATGCCGCTACCTGGACCTTGGGTGTTCGTTTGGACGAAGAGGATGGTGTGGTATCGGGGTGATGGCATGTCTGGGTCTTGGATTGCTAGTTTCAGTTTCACTTTGTAGACTGGGTAGATTTGGGATGTTGACATTTTCACGCTGGGAGTTGGAGATGAAGAAGGTGATAACGATGATGAAGTTTAAATCAATACAGCTGGTTGACTTTTGGAGGAGCGCTGGATGTTTGATGCTGAGAATGTCCGGTCTTTAATACTTTTCTCCCCGCTTTTTGCCTCCTGGCAAAATGGGGTATCACGGAATGCACCTACCCAGGCAAATTAGAAATAGTAGAGTGTGTATCTCTACATTCACTATGAGGGCTTAAGATCTTGTCTGACAATCAATGTTGGTATTTCCAATGTGTCCAGTCTTATTATCTCGTTTTGGGTATCCTATCATTCTGAATATTTTACCCCTCATTTTCAACCCCATACTCTGCCTACATGTATCCCTGAGATAATCCACAATGATCTAAGGAAATTTTGCGGAAAAAAAGGATGTACTGTACTGATATTGAAATCTTGCTCGAGTGCTCTATTTTTTAGAAATAGCTCAACATGGTCTCGATTTGGAGATAGTTCATTAAACTATCAGAAGCAATGTAACCATCATGTATTTCGGCTGGGATTAACCCAGGTCTACAGCAAAATTATCTGACATGCTTCTTGGGACTTCGATTTCGAGCAACGATGATAATAGGATGTCAATGTTAGTAACCATGAGCTCATTTTGGCCATCCTAGTATCAGGAAGAGGCCGCCACATTGCCTAGTACTCAATCCTACGTGTCTGGATACCAATTACCGGTGCGCTTCGTATTCAAGCTCGGTGACACTCACTGTCCTCTCCAGACTCCGATCTGGAGAAGAAAGAAACAATTCCCTCCGTTCGAGCTCACATGAACGGCCATCCGTATATTGCACAAAAGTAGGGGTATCCATACCCCAGGAGCCCCAATCCTGGTCATCCATCAGGTTTTCACAATAGAAAGCGAAGCAAAATAAACAATCCAGGTGAACCCGTACCAATCCGCGGTAGAACTCTCCGTATTCCTCTTCCCAGTTTTCAAGGACAAAATCACCATCAATGACGTTGACATAACCGACCGTTACTCCAGGCCCATCTGTAGCATGCGGGTATGATTCAGATTGCAAAGCAGGTGGTCGCCTCGGCTCCGAGCTAGCTAGAATCGACCGCACACAGCGCTCATCCAACAAGAGAGGGTAGTTGAGGCGAGGAACGGCACTGCACACGTAGAGGCCATGGTCTTCGACCCATTTTTGATGTCGACGTTGAATCACGGCTTCGGATGCCCCCTCCAAGGTGGGATCTTCAAAGATCACATTCCGGTAGCCTTCACGGATCATTTTAACGCACGTGGCCCCAGTTTGGGACCAATTGCGCTCGAAAAATTCCAGGTCAGCCATACAGGCCTGGTCGAGCTTTTCAATGGCTCTAGCCCAGTCTTCATCGGATGTTTTAGCATAGGAGGTACGATAAATGGCCCAGCCCCATGGCCACCCTCCAGAATGGCTAGATTGATAGTTCAGAAATGCTGGTACAGACTTCCACTCTGGTTTTGCATGTTGTCGGTTACGTCGCTCAAGGAGGGTTTCTTCGGGTGGAAATTCAGATGAACGCCATGGTGTAGACCATGATTCATCATGAAAGATGCTGGGTGGATGTGGATTCCAGGGCATGGTTCCTACAGCGTGGTAAGTGGATGGATGTAGTTGGCTAGGGACCTCAACTGGATACGAAGGTGAGGTTAGCGTTCAGGGTCCAGTGTGTCCAGTGCCCAGGCCAAAATCAGGCATTCAGATATCATTAATTGCGGGAAAAAGGGGAAAAGGGGTTTTGACGACAACAACTTGGCCATTCCGTTCGAAGATAATCTTGTTACGCGTAGCTAAAAAACGGCCATATGTACATATTTTAGAGAATCTCTTGATGCTTGCCTGATTAGAGGATTTCTTTCCTTCCCCTCCTTGATGGAAATGTGAGCCGCTAGTTTGGCCCCCACGGCACGGTAAATTTGGTCTTACGCATTGATCCGGAGATTGCCAGTCACTTTAAGACGCCCTCATTCCCTGCTGTGACGCCGGCAAGCAACTTATTCCCCTATTTGCCATTCACTTTCATGTGGCCTCGCATAAATATTTGGTTAAAATGTCCACAGACAATGAATATCTCATGGGCTACTCCCTACGCCGAAACTTCACATGTGCGGACGGCGAAATGGATTGCGGTCCCACCTGGAACACATCCTCTGTCTCATTTATAAGATGTTGTCCTGGAAATACCGAATGCCCTGTCGGACAAAAAACCCCGGGGATGTGCTGCCCAACGAAGGAGGATTGCAGCGACCGGTTAGATGAAAAAGAGCGTTGTGCAGACCCTACAGCAGATCTTTACTTTACCGATCAGACTGGGGGTTATTTCTGCTGCACAAATGATACCCTGGGGATTTATACATCTGAGAGGCAGTATGCGGGCTGCGTAAAAGCAGAAAAAGTGGACGGGCTCGGTGTGAAAGTGACGACAATGAGAAAGGCTGTCCCATATACTCTACCTGCGTCTACAAGCTCGGGTAAGCCTCGGCCCTGATGCTCGTCAAAGTTCCAAACACTGGACAAGGTGTATCATTGTCTTTTCTCTCAATCTGACCCGCCGTGTCACAGATACTGCTACGGCTACAACACTCTCCTCGTCGACGTCAGGGGCAACTATCGCAACTTCCACCTCCTCGAACAACGGGAATACTGGTTCTTCTCAATCGAACGTTGGGGCAATCGCAGGTGGTGTGGTTGGTGGTATAGCCGGCGTCGTCATTTTGATTGGGCTGGCCTGGTGTTTATTCCGTCGCCGAAAGAAGCAGGAGGACCCTCAAGACAGCCAATCTATTCAACCTTCCCCAGCCCCTATATCGGAGCTGAGTGATAGTAATCGGATCACAGAGCTGAGTGGTCAAAGCATTTCAGAGCTACCAGTGCCATCTGGCCGGAAGTCCCCGCCTGCTGAATTGTCAACGTGAAGACCCTAGCATGTGCGAGACTTTTCTCCCCTCAACACTCAAAGGCTGTTCTCGCGAGATAATGCCTGATGAGATTTTATTACAATGTGGAATGTCGATCGTTCACCTACAATGATTTGGCTAAGAATTTCGGATGGAGGGCATTGCACCGGCAACAGTGGACCTGGTGGATTGTTCACAAGGCACACGAAAGAATCTCTGGATGATCATTCTACCCCGAGCCCTCACCACTACATATATTGTGAGAATATGCTTACTGCCACGGTCGCATTGACTGTATATATGTATTTTTATCATCTATTGCATTCATTCCTGCTTCTACCCCCTCATTGGGGATTATTTAGTCTTAGCTTCTTTTCTATGGTGGCTAGATGGGCATATAGCATCCCATTCCCAAACTCAATCACAAATACACTATGTCATATACAGATTGTATGTATGTCTTCTCGTTACGATTTACGGGCTAAAATATGGTTGCATGCGCTATAAATAGTACTTCTCGTGTTCCTCGTGTTGTTAGTGGCCTCTATGGAAGTATAGACTCAGGAACACGAACTTACGAGAAAGGATCAACAAAATCTCCAGCTAGTGCCTAGTTGATCTCTTGAGGTTGTTATTTTTATAAACAATATTAAAGATCTTGGTTCGTTGGGGTCTTATAACGCGAGTTTCACATCGACGATCAGAGCCTAGAATACGAGTGAAGACTCGGTTCCTGCTGCAAGAACAATACGGATCGACGATCAGCTCGTTAAACACGAAGAGTAAGTAAATGGGTATAGATGCCTTCGTAGCATAGTGTGAATGGTTCTCTATAAATGCTTTGATGTCCATCGCTATTCGGATGCAGCTTCTTCAACTCAGTTCTTCCAAACCACGGGAAACAAGAACTTTGCATCACATCATGCATTTCATTTCCCTCGCCGCATTCTCCCTCACGACCGCCATAACAGCGGTCAGCGCCTACCCCATCACCGGCGACAGCGTCAACTGCCGCTCCGGTCCTGGGACGAACCATGCGGTCGTCAAATCATACAAAAAGGCCCAGGATGTCACGGTCACCTGCCAAACCGCGGGAGAATCCATCTTCGGCGACAACCTCTGGGACAAGACATCCGACGGCTGCTATGTAGCCGACTACTACGTGCAAACCGGCACCAGCAACTACGTGACGACCAAATGCAGCGGTGGCGGAGACGACAGTGGAGGCAGCACTGGCACCGGAGAGGCCATCGTCGCTGCAGCCCAGAAGGAGAAGGGCCTCCCATACGTCTGGGGCGGAGGTGGTTGCAAAGGTCCTTCTGGCGGCGGCTTTGACTGCTCCGGTCTGACGCAGTATGCTATCTGCCAGGCAATGGACAAGACTATTCCCCGTGTCTCGCAGGACCAGTATCACTCCAACTTGGGCAAGCGGTATCCCCGTGCAGAGGCGAAGGCTGGTGATCTCTTGTTCTGGGCTACTGGTGGTGATTGCGAGAACGACGTTGTTCATGTTGGTATCTTTATCAATGATAAGTTGATGATCAATGCTGCTCGGACTGGTACGCCGGTCCGTGAGCAGGCTATTTGGACTTCTTCTGGTGGGCTGAGCATCTGTCCTTATGTTATGAGGTATGTATCTCATTCTCTGGTTTCTGGGCTGTCGTACTAACTGGGATATAGATTTACTTGAGCTTTAGATATAAGGTAGTTGGCACGGATTTCCTAGGTTCTTCATCGACTCTTGAAATAAATAACATTGATCAATGAAAGTGAAATCCTTATTTTGCATGACATTTGAAAGGAAGGAAGTACCCAGGTAACATGACATTGGTGGCCAGGGAAGGTGCGTTGGAGAAGTGTCCGTCTTAGGAAGGTACGCGGGGTATAAAAGGCCTCCCACCCCTCTTCCTCTTCTCTTCTTCCTCTCCCCAACCCTCTGGACTACCATCTCCCGTAGCCCATGAGACAGTGTAGGGAGAGGGTACCGTAGCAACTCGGTGCTTGACCTGCTCACAGATATCAACACTGTTGAGGTCTAGTAGGTTCGCAACCAAATCAAACCGGGCTTTCTCGTGTGAGTTCTTGAAGTTGGCTGAGCGCTTGGTCTCCATAGCCACTTGATAAACCCACGGAATACATGGGGATGTCACCTAGGTAGTCACCCAGTCTATGTAAAATGCGCTAGACTTCCAAGGTTAGAACTTAAATTTCTGATTTTCGCATGCATTCTGCCTAGACAATATTAAGACATAATCTCTGTCCAGATCATCTTTAAAACCGCGAAATATCCCGACCAAAGAACCTATTCAACATCCACCTGAAAGCCACACGCAGTTTGTTGCGCCAGCTGATGGACATACTGATGTACGCCGTCTTCCAAATGAGTGACGCAGTACGTCCCTTGATACCTTCTGGCAGGAAGTTGCTCGCACCACGGTCACCGTCGTGGGGGATTTGCATCAATGCGCGTTCGTCACCGATGTACGCCATCGTCCCAAGGTCACGGAAAGAGAACGGCGGAGTCTTGCCGACGTCATTTTTGTTCAAACGATCAGCTAGCCACTTCGCTTCTTGGCTCGTCGCCTGTGCCGTTGCAGGGGGAGCACCCTTCTCCGGCATGGCATTGTCACCCAACGCGAACACGTCCCGGAGGACAGCGGTCTGGCCTTTCTCGTTTTGCAGCTGTACGCGCAGATAGCCGTCGACAAGAAGGGGGCCGTTTTTGGGAGCCTTCTTGAATTTCCACGATGCTTTTTCGGCATCTGCTGGTGCAGGTGATGAGCCCTCGACGCTATGGACTGAGTCTGTGGGGAATTCGTCGACTGAATCAAGCGATTCGGTGATGAACTTGGGCATGGCATTGCCCGTTACCCAGACACACATTCCAACGCCCAGTTCGCCATCTTCTTCGGTTGTAAGAGTCAGACAGCGCTTGGGATCCATATGGTATGGCGGAGGTGCACCAGGCGCGCCCCAGCGCAAACTTTTGACATGGTGGGAGGTCTTGATATCAACACCCTCACGCTTCATAGTCTCCATCGCATAGCGTGAAAGCGACTCGTCGAACATCGAAAGCACCTTGGGCGCAACATCGTACAATGTGATCTTCGGGATTCCGTTCAGACTCGGATATAGCGCCATCAGATCGGAGTAGATGAAGTCGCGCAGCGAGGCCGCAAGCTCAATACCGGTTGGACCAGCTCCGACAATAGCGAAGCTCAGCAGCCACTTTCGCATCTCTGGGGTTGTAAACGGCAGAACGGCGAGCTCGAAGCATTCTCGCACGCGCCGCTTGACCCTTTTCGCGTCCCCGATATCTTTGAAGAACATCGCATTCTCCCGCACCCCAGGTGTTCCAAACGTGCGGCTCACAGCGCCTACCGCAATGACAAGCTTATCGTAGGGTACTTCGAACATTTCACCCTGCTCCCATTGGAGATATGGTTGCATCGGCTGCTTATTCCTGGTATCCGGGCCTTCCTCGGTTCCTCTATGCTCTTCGAGTGTGCGAGGTGACTCAGTGACACCGCTCTTGACGACTGTTGCTTCGCAAAGAACGGTCTTCGTTTTCAGGTTAACTCCGCGCGCAGCTCCTTGGATGAAGTCGACTTTGGAGCGCGGATCGCGCACAGGCTCGACAATGTTCGAGAAATCGAGGGATCCGCTAGCCGTGTTGGTGAGGAGAGGAGTGAAGACAAAATATGACCGAGGTGACATTATGAGAGGGGCGTAGGTCTTTGGAGAAAGCCTCCGCGAGAGGGTGTATCCACCCCAGCCAGATCCAAGAATGACGACTCGTTCTCTTTTATCGTCAGACTCCTGGGTTGCCGCGGGCTGTTGAGCTTGCGTTGCAAGACATCTCCGGCCTGGTGTGTGAAGTGTCGGGACAATCCTAGAAGACGATATGTATGTAGAATGAAGACGGTGGGCAACGGAGGGTAAGGGATTCCGTATGCGTAGGGCATGGCGCCCCAGAGGGAGCATCGTGCTCAATGGCCGGGTTTCCATGACAATCTAGGACTAACTCAGTTGTGTCAGTAGATCGAAGGTGATATGTTTAAAAACAAACCCATTTCAGCACCATCGCTTGCTATCTAAATGCGGCATTGGTGCCCATAAGGTTTACTGCTCCGCTGACACATCGATGACTTCATCGTCGGTAGGACAAGGAAAGGAGATATCCGGAGCGGATCTTGGGACTAGCCCACTTGGTAGGATCCATGGTCCATCGGATACTCGTGCTCCCGTGAATATGTTGGGAATTGAGAGCTGTTGTTCCTGCTCCATCTATCAAGCTCGTGGAGCCGGAACCCTTCGGAGCAATCGGTGAGAACGAGCTGCACGTGCCGTCGGAGACGATCGGGATATTCAGGCACATGCTATTCACATGGAATTGAATAGTTTAGACAGACGTCTATCAGCTGTGAATGGGTTTGAAGATAACTTGTGAAGAAGAGGGGAGAACAGAAAGATATTATGGGTTCAAGGGGAGTGTCGTATGATGGGGTTGAGCTAGGCCTTGGCAAAATCACATGAATTATCCAAATGCAGTACACAAGTCATTTCAAGGATTTCCGATATTCTAGCGGCTTGAGGCTTGGTGCTGCTCTAGTTTTCGAGGCAGGAAGCCTACAACAAGGTCCCGTGTTGTTCTCTCGCGTTGTCTTCCGCAGGTCCGCGGATGCCATCGTGTTCGAGGATTTGGACGGCCTAGCTTCTCCAGCACTGCGGAAACACGCCCGAGTCGAACCTGTTCCGATTAGAATACGTCTCGATAGTATCCGAGGAAATGGCACGAGATTAAGCGTACTCATCTGTCCGTTCGCATCAAAGATCATAATCCTGGCTGGAGATTCTGCCTTCACTTTTAAGGCGGTGGATAAGGCGGTAACAAATAGCGCGTAATTATGCCACATCATGTGTGGCGTTGTGTGGCGCACCTGGGCAGCTCTAGTCTGAGTCAGGATCTCGGATTTAGGGGAAGATTGCCTAATCGGGATGGTCCTCTTTAGCTCCGTTGTATACTTCAACCCCATCGATGTATCTTTGTTCGCCCCTCCGAGTTTTAGGTTCTCGTGGCTTCGGAGATAATGGTGTAATGCATTGCTATCAGCGATATCCATGGATATTGCTACATCGGGACCAATTCTCGGCCCCGAGCCCTGATGGCGAATTGGTGTGATGATGCACATGGCTAGGCAGGACTGTGGTACGTATACTTCCAGGATGATGGTTAACACGGCTGCCTAGGTGTATAACTAATTATATATAAAGAGCAGAATGTGTATCAGATCAAGTGTTTTCCACATTTCTTGGCTTTCTTCTCTCACTTTTCATATCTTCCCAACATCTTTTTTTTCTCTTGCAAGTTACATATTTTACATCAATCTAACATTTCAAGATGGCCTCCATCTACGAACTCAACCAGCCTACCAATCCGTTTTGGGACTTTGTCAACGGCAATCTAGAGAACCATCCTTTCTTTGCTCCTCACGGCCACCGTGGACACCACGGTCATCGTGGCCGTCGTGCATGGGATAACGCCCGACAGAGTGACAACACCACCCGGGGTGCTCAATCAGGCAAAGCCACAGAACCCAACGATAACATAAGGAAAGATGAAACATCAGCATCGGACTCAGACTCTCCCGACAACCACCGCCGCCACGGCCATAGCGGAAAGTGCAAGAACAAGGCCCATGGAGGTCCCGGTCACCATGGACCAGGCCCTTTCCGCGGCAAGGGCGGCAAGGGGAAACATGGCCATGGCCATCACGCTGGGCCTTATGATTTCCACAGTTACGGCCATGACCACTACCAAGGCACCGCCTTCGGGGGCCATGGGCATGGATATGGACACGAACACGGACTCTACACTTATCCATACAACTTCCCCGGTCATCACCACAACGCTGGACCCTTTGATTTTGGCCCCCGTGGACAAGGTCATCACCACAAAGGAGGCCTCGGTGGCCGTGGCAGACAACATGCCGGGCCTCCTTTCGGCAGTCCATTCGAGTTCCTGCGCCAGCTCGGTGCAGGACTTGGTTTCCCCATGAACGGGCCCACTGCAGAAGGTGTTGACTTCACGCCCTCCGTTGACGTCTTCGACTGCCCCGACAAGTATATTGTGCATATCTCACTGCCCGGAGCTAAGAAGAACGACCTTAGCCTTGACTATGACACTGATGAGTCCGTTCTGCATTTGGCGGGTGTCGTTTACCGGCCCGGTGTCAATGAGGATCTGCACCAGGCTCTTGTAATGGAAGAGCGGGGTCAGCACGTTGGTGTATTTGAACGCGAGGTTCGTCTTGGGACCCGTGTTGCCCCAGCTTTTGTTATTGTTGATCAGATCTCGGCAAAGCTGGAGGATGGTATTTTGAACGTTACTTTGCCAAAAGTTGTTCAGCATCCTGAGGTTGGGAAAAAGAAGGTTTTTGTGGAGGATGGTGATTTGGAGAATGAAAAGGAGGCCTTGGTCGTGGATGAGAAGACTTTCACTCCGGTGGAGTCCGAAGGGAGCGATGTTGAAGACGGTGAGGCGAGGGAGTTTGTCAAGGTTCTTGTGCAGTAAGACGGGTCGAATTTGTGCGATTCTGGATTAGTCGAAGTCTTTTTATTATCACCTGTCGTTTAATATTCCTCAGACTTTCATTTGCATAATCTAGATGTATCTCTCTGGGGCTCTCATACATGTGAATAGTACACATTGTAGTCGGAACGACAAAAGGCCTGGGCTTGCTGCGAGTTGTCCGTTTGACTGACATGAATGACACACTAAGTTGGTCCCACGTAGGGGTCCATATCAAACTCCGGATTGACCCATGAAGGCTGCGGTGCTTTTGCACGCATCCAAGCCCCAAATTTATGCAGAACACCAAATACCACACACCCGCCAGCAAGTACAATAAGACCTTGGGTAGTGAAGGTCCAGGTCCAACCAGAAGACTCTTGCCAGGACGCGATGAAAAACTGTATCATATCAGTATCAACATCCATTAGATACCTCATCAGCAAGAAAGATTGGACAACGTACCGGATTGATAAAAGCACTCAGGTTCAGAAATACGGCGTAGAAAGTGACCACGCTCGTAGTTTGTAATGGGTAGCAGTCAACAATGTAGCTAGTAGTTACAGTATTGCCTATCTGGATACCAGCCGCAACTGGAGGAATGTCAGCTCTGCATCGAATGCTATGTATACCGGAGGATAGAACTCACATAGGAAAAATGCCACCTGGCCTACCATCCAGTGATGGTTTTCATCGATACTAACTCCCCAGACTACCAACCCAACTATAGTAAACATTCTTGTCAGTCGAGCCCAACATATATCGTCTGGAAAGTCGAACGCACCAGTGCTGATCAATATAGCCGGGTACGCCAACCACAATCGCATCTCTGGAACGCGGATATTGCTATTCCTTTTCGACAACTTCTCGACAATGAAGTCACTTAATCGCCCAGAACACACAATCTCCGAGATGAAAGTCCCAAGGAACAGTCCGAGGAACAACAGTCCCTGAATAAGAGGCGTGTAGGTCGCATAAGCTGCCGGTATCATTGTGATAACAGATAAAACCCACCAATACCAGGCAAAACAGTACCCGATAACTGCGATAACGACTGCGGGTAATTGAAATGTCAACACGAACCGAGTGATTGAGTCCCACAGCTTGGGATGGCGCATGCCAGGGACAGGGCGCCAATTGATGAAAGGTAGGTTCTTTGTCCGGCGTAGCTCTGATGATAAGGTCTTTGCCGGAGACATGGACGTGGCCGCGTCATCTCCTTTTATTTGCTTTTCAATATCACTGGGAAGAGCAACGCTGTCATCAAGCCGAGGCATTTGCTGAAGCATCTTGTTGCGGGGGTAAAGGGTCTCTGGCATGAAGAAGAGTTCGAGAAGTAGCAATAATGCAAAGAGGATTGCGTTGAACCAATTTATCCACGAGGCACTCACGAGGTCCAAAAAGCCGCCGACTGTATTATATCTCAGCATATTGCGCATCAGTATTCTGAGATATCCGAGCAAACTTACAGGTAGGGCCTAGAAGCAGACCAGCATCAAGTGCTAGAACCCACAAGCCAAGCTTCTGACCACGCTCATAATCAAAGAACAGATCATTAACTTTGCCCAACTAAATGTCAGATATGGTTATTGTCCGAAGATAAATGGTTGAGACATACCAACTGCCATTCCGACTATAGAGGCTGGGCTCACCCCAAATCCTTGGAAGAAGCGAGCAGCCATATATCCCAAATAGGTATCAGCTACCGCAGCGCCGATGGTCGAGATCAGTGATATGGTTGTTCCGACTAAGAAGACCACCCTTCGACCATAGATGTCACCAAGCGATGACCATATAAGTGGTCCGACAGATAACCCTAATGCCGGCACGGCTACTGTCCAGTTGACTTGCGAATAGTTGATCGAGTATTGATCTTGGATCTCCGTAAATGAGGGAACTGTGGTGGTCGTGAGGTATGTGAATAGGAAATATCTAACAGAGCGTAGCAAAATTTCAGCAAGACATGTAGATTGGTTGATGTTTTATTTCTGGCAAGTGTGAAGCGAAATAATGAGAGATTCTCGGAGCTGATTTGGGACCTACTTAAACATAACGATAGATAATATGCCATGTTTCTGGAGGCTTGACCAGTTTAATGGATCTAGAGAGTCAGCAGTCGGTTGAGGGTGAAGTCTGATTCCGTTTTTGTTGACTGTTGCATTGTAGAGAATTTGGGTGCCCTGGTCCACAGGGGTATGGGTTGTGTCAGAGTCGTCGTTTTTGGTGTCTGTTTCTCCAACCTCGCGTTTATCATCAATTTCTTTTGTGTAAGATGCCATCTTGTACGCTCTTTTATGTGAATGCTTAGCCAAGAGTATAGAGGGCAATGCCGGCATATAAGTATGATATTGATTGTTGGAGCCTTCCTGACGCCTCGATCTGGGACTGAAATATATATAGGACAAATATACTGAAGCTGGCGATTATCTCTCAGCATATGTTGGAACTGCCCTTCGGCTGTCTACTGGCCTGGCTGCCGGGGTAGAGACTCCTGATGCAAGGGCCTAGCTGATAAGCACTGAATTAGGGTTTATAGGGTTCTATAAAGCACATTTGAGCCTACTTCGTCGAGTGAATGAGCCTTTGTGTATTGAAGCCCTGGCATCGTATACTATTACCATTTTCTTCTTTCTACGGATAGTTATTCGGCGGAATCATACCATCTTTATTCATGAGGCATACAATTAAACAGTGAAGTATTTGGTCATTTCTTTCTTCGGATTTTGTGTGCATAGACCCTTTAGAATGGTATTCCGTAAGTGCCGGGACTATCGTTGCCGCAAAGAGCCCGCCACTATCAAAGTGACAGGGGTGCGAGGACGTCGTCCGGATGTACCAATCAACTGGCTAGAGTCCATGATAAGAGGTAAAGATAAGGGCGACAGGCAATTAGACATTGGCCGCAGAGTGACAACTTAATTCTCCGATGTTTCGATTCTAAAAACCATGTAGACCTGTTGTGTCTACCTTGGGGGAATGTCTGGGGTACCCCGCGCTAAGAACGGATGGGCTCTAGCAATATGGATTTGCTAACACCATAACCACCCTCACTACTCCGTAAAGTAAATCATTTATCAACAAATCCAAGTCTCAAAGGTTTCACGACGCACTGATGTGCACCTAATTTATCCCAAGTTACACAATTGCGACATGTCTGACCAGAATTGGAGTATACGATAACATCACCGTGGAGGACAAGTCATTAGCATGACACCGTCCTTTTGGCGCTATCAAAGTCGCTTTCGCATTGACAACGAGCATCTTTCTCTCTAGTCAACTTCCGCTTTGGGGCAACAGCTAGAGAAGACCCGTGGACTTCAGGACTGATCCCGTTCTTATCATTGATAACAATAAACGATATTTTTGTCTATTGTTGGAGATCATGACTGGACCGATCTATTCTAAGCCATATACTCCAATTTAGAAGCCAATAAACGTGGCTCCAGCACGCCCACTTGTTGTATACCAAATACCGAGTCTCTCCAGCGTCCGAGATCGGACTTGAACTTGAGATACTCGACCAAGAAGATATTAGCAGTGGAGCAAAAATACACACTTCAAGGAAATTATTGCTTTTATTGTGTCAATCATACCAGCTATGTATTATGTATCCATTGTTGAATACACAGGCGGCGAATTTGCTGTACCACTGAGAGATTCGTTGATATACAAACTCCACGGCCGTAGCGTAGCATACATAGCCTTGAAATAAATTGCACTTTCCAAATCAAAAGCGGTTTTCTGACTGGAAGCGTTTTTGTTTCTTCCAAATCCCTTGCTTAACAGGCGGACAAAATCACACCGTACTGTGCCCTTACTTCTAAAAGCGATCACATCGTCAAATTGCCCAAACCGGCCAAATTCTGAGATATTGAAGGCAAAGTCAGATCTACCACAAAAGCACATATTGTTGCAATTCAATTACCATGCCCGCCCCCTCCAGCAACAGAGGCCCAAACCACCAACCGAATGAATATACTTCCCTCGTCTCTAAGCCTATCGATGATGGGCCACCATGGAACGACTCCGAAGAAAACGAAAGCCCATTCTCACGACCTCTCATACTCGCCGAGTTCTGGATCTTGCTGAAAGACTCAATTCCTGTGATCTTAGCCTACACGCTGCAAAACAGCCTCCAAACAGTATCGGTGTTGATCATCGGTCGCTCATCGCCGGAGAACCTCGCAGCGAGTGCATTCTCGCAGATGTTCGCGATGGTTACAGCGTGGATGATTGCTTTGGGAGGTACCACGGCTATGGATACACTCGCCTCCTCCTCGTTCACAGGAAGCTCTAATAAACATGATTTGGGAATCCTGCTACAGCGGGGTTTCTTCGTCTTGGGTCTTTTTTTATATACCCGTTGCTGTCTTGTGGGCTTTTTCAGAACCGGTGTTTTTGTTTCTTGGGCAGGATCCTCAACTTTCACATGATAGCGCGAGGTTTCTGACTTGTTTGATTCCTGGGGGTCTGGGATATATTTATTTTGAGGTAATGAAGAAGTATCTTCAAGCTCAAGGTATGTTTGTACGAGATTCATTTGGGTACGAGGCCTAACCACGACCACTGTATAGGAATCATGCGAGCTGGAACATACGTGCTGCTGATTATATTACCATTAAACGCCGGTCTCAACTTCCTATTCTGCTATACATTTGAGATCGGCCTCTTAGGCGCACCTCTCGCAACTGGACTCTGCTACTGGCTTTCATTTGCATTGCTAGTTCTCTACGCACGCTTCATCAACGGCTCAGAGTGTTGGGGCGGATGGTCTCGCGAGGCATTCCAAAACCTTCACACATTTGCACGACTCGCTCTTCTAGGCGTTGTGCACGTTGGAACAGAATGGTGGGCATTTGAGATCGTCGCTTTAGCTGCCGGGCGTCTGGGCACTGTCTCACTCGCTGCTCAGAGTGTCATTATGACAGCCGATCAAGTTCTCAATACGATCCCTTTTGGAATTGGGGTAGCGACATCCGGTCGCGTCGGTAACTTACTAGGAAAACGGGACGATACCGGTGCGGCGCGGGCGGCGCATATCTCTGCCATGCTGAGCATGGTTTTGGCGGTGTTGTGCTGGCTGTTCTCATTGGCACGAGAGACCAATTTGCCAAGATCTTCAATGGTGATTCGAGTGTTGTGAGTCTCACAGCTGAGGTCCTGCCGTATGTGGCGCTTTTCCAGATTGCCGATGGGCTTAATGGGAGTTGTGGGGGAAGTCTGAGAGGAATGGGACGGCAGCATGTGGGTGCATTGGTTAATTTGGTGAGTTATTACTGTGGTGCATTGCCGTTGGGAATCTGGCTTGCGTTTCACGGTTGGGGGCTTAAGGGTCTGTGGGTTGGACAGTGTATTGCTTTGTATTTGGTTGGTGTTTTTGAGTGGGTTATTGTTGCGCGCAGTCGATGGGATACTGAGGTGCAGAAGGCTTTCCAGCGCATGGATGTACATGAGACTTTGGAGGATGGGATTTGAAAGAGAGTATATTCAATTTGTAAAGACATACATAAATTGGTCTTGTTAGATAGGAATTGAATTGAATCATTGTTGACATTGAAGTACAAGCCTTCAAATGTTGTTCGACGTCTCCCGCTACACTCCAAGTCTCGCAACACAGACGTGTTTAATAACCGTCCTACTGTTATTTAACCGTCCTACTGTAACCAGAATCACATTTAGTATATTGTTACAATATGCTATACCAACAAGTCTACATATGTATTATCCTCCGTTGTCGGACAAGCAATCCACCAGATGCTGGATTTTTATAGATCGACAACCACCAATGACGACCGACCGATAAGCCATCGCATATACTAATAGAAATACATCCCCTATCTTCCCCAACTCTACTATTTATCTCCCGTTCCCATCTCCCCGGGCCTTCCATTTTGGGATGGAATAGCTTTGCCTTGCATACTCTATGTATGTCGTGGCCAAGCCTTGACACCACATCCCCCACCAACCGGTTATTAGCCTGCCATCAATTCCTCAAAGGGAAGTTACTGGGAGCGGGAGGGGATAAACGCTACCTAGCGGTGGCAATTGTATTTTCAAAATTGACTCCAATGTTTAGCTGATGGGTGCAGATAGTAAGAATTGCCGAGTTCTTGTCAATCGTGTCTGTATCGGGGCAGTAACGGTAGAGGGTTACTATCGTATGGCAAGCTGACTGTTGCACTGTATACAGTGAATTAAACTGGGGTGTAAAGAATATCTTAGGAATGACATACATATATCATGGAAGGCCCTGCGTTTTACCACCATAGTCAACCGACTTGTATTCACTTTGGCACTTTCGAATTCTTCTATACGTCACCCCGGGTCTTGAAATCACAATGATTGTCTCCATCGCCGGCTTGGTTGCCCTGTCTGCTCTCGCCACAGCCCATGGTGACCATGGCCAGTCCCAGCTTGCTGGTCCACACCAAGGACTTTGGTACAACACACTCCCAGGAGATGGTGGCACGCAGGTGAACAACCCCTTTGATAACATACTCAACTCAAAAGAAGCCATCTCACTAAACGAACAAGGCCGACTCCGTATTCTCAGGAATCTCAACTTTCGGCCGCCTGCCCTATTACCCATGCCTGGCTAGCGACGCCGAGAAATACGACATCGCTTTCCTAGGTCAGTCAACACCAGCTGGTCTACAGCAAGATCATACAAAGCCCTTACTCACACTTCCACCAAACAGGTGCCCCCTTCGATACCGGAACCTCCTACAGACCCGGCGCCCGGTTCGGACCCAGCGGTATCAGACAAGGTTCTCGCCGCCTCAATCTGTAGTACGTATCATCTCCAACAAGCAGAGATGCTTCCACATGGCACGACGAAGCTCACAAAAACTGGCCTTCAGTGGTGGCTACAATGTGCCTTTGCAGGCGAACCCGTTTACTAGCGATATGCGGATCTTGGATTGTGGCGATGTTCCTGTTACATCGTATGTTTACCTTTCGAAGGGAGATCGAGAGACAAGAGACTAACCCCCCACATAGATATGACAACGCCTGGGCAATCCGGCAGATCGAGGAAGGACACAACAGCATCCTGATGCGCAAGCCATACCTTGACGCGAATAAACCGGGTCTTTCACGTGCCGGCAAGACCCTTCCTCGTGTTATTACCCTTGGTGGTGATCATACCATCACACTGCCCTTGCTGCGAAGTATCAATAAGGCCTATGGGCCTGTAACAGTGATTCATTTTGATAGTCATTTGTGAGAACTCTTAGCAGTACAGTATGGGCGAATAACTGACTTGATTAGGGACTCGTGGAAACCGAAGGTCTTCGGTGGCTCTCCTAGTGAGGTTGCAGCTATTAATCACGGCACATACTTCTACCATGCGGCGATGGAAGGATTGTTGAGGAATGATACTAATATTCATGCTGGTATTCGTACGACGTTGTCTGGGCCTTCTGATTATGACAATGATGGGTACTGCGGGTTTGAGATTGTTGAGGCGAGGGAGATCGATGTTATTGGTATGTTATCTTGTCGATTGGCTTGGTTTTGTGCTCATGCTTGTTTTAGGAACGGACGGTATTATCAAGAAGATTCGCGACCGTGTCGGAACTGACAATCCGGTTTATCTTTCTATTGATATTGATACTTTGGATCCTGCTTGTAAGTCTTCTCTGGAGGTGACTATTGTGACTTTTTCTGTTGCTAAGAATACAATCCAGTCGCACCGGCTACCGGCACGCCAGAGACTGGCGGGTGGTCTACACGCGAACTGCGGACGATTATCCGTGGTCTTGACGGGTTGAACTTTATTGGTGCGGATATCGTTGAGGTCGCGCCGGCTTATGATACCAATGCAGAGTTGTCGACGATGTAGGTTCCTTTGAGCGGAAGATATGACAAAGACTGATTTCTTTACAGGGCTGCCGCTGATGTGCTGTATGAAGTCCTTACTATCATGGTCAAAAAAGGCCCTTTGTCTATTGGGGAGGAGTCTCATGAGCTGTGAAGGCTTGTGGAGCTGGTGGACATGTCATTGTGGTATTTGGGAGTGCAGGCATCAAGCTTTGAAGTTGGCGTAATGAACATTGTTTGAGGGGAGAAAGTCAACATCGGAAAGGAGGATTTCCCATGTTCCTGTCCATTTCGATTGGATTGATTGTTTCGATTTGAAATTGCTTACCATGAAAGAATTAGTCGCCGCTCAAGATGGAGAGGAATATATAACAATATTTCTCTGGCTGCAAAGTCCTGTAGAGCATAGTCCCTGTAACGGTATTATAATATCCTATCAATATGTCCGACTCTAAAATTACTAAACAGGGTAGATCGAGGTCATTTCCCAAAGACCCATCTCCTCGGCCATACCAGCCACTCCCTGAAGCTGAGGTGGATCCTGACCTCAATTTCCTCTAGCAATTGAATTGAAGTGCCTTTGAGGAGCCAAGAATCGTTAACAGTATGCAGCAGCACACACCAATGACCAAGCAGGACCAGAGCTGCAGGATGGCATGCTTCCATATCATCTCGGAATCGTTTGGAAAGTGAGTATGCCCACAGTAAGACCATGCCAGTCTCCACGTGGGGTCCTGCGAGCTCTATCTGCCGAGTCGAGTGCTCAAAGAACTTCAGTGACTTCTTGTAGTCTGCTCGGTAATCGTGAGGACGCGGTGATTGATCCGACACGCTCAAGTTCTGGTGGGACTGTGGTTGTTGGATCTGAGGAAATGGGTAATCATCAATAAACTGATGGAGTTGTGATATCCGAACATGGATGTCCGGGGGGAGCAGTGATTGCTGCATGGTCCCTGGGCTGAGACGGGGTCAGTCGGTTGGCCCCACAATTACCATGCCCGCGATGTGGGATTGCGAGCACTCAAAACTCACCTTGGAATGAGCGTTTCATCTTCAATCCAGACACAGTTGACAATGGGTGCGAGCTGGGTTCTTCTAAGAGAGGGTAGCCACGGCTCCATGATAGTTTGCAATCCAGTGACGGCGGAAAAGAGCTCCACCATATTCGATATCGGAGCTGGCCAACGGTCCTCACCCAGTCTGATCCGCGTGGCACAGATATATAGCGTAATCATAGAAGCAAAGCAGAAAACAGGCTGCCAGTTGCTAGGGTCGATTGGCGAGGAAATGAGCTCTCGAAACTCTTTTAGTGCAGCTGCTTGGTGGTAGGAGGATGCCTTAATGTTCTTCTCCTTCTGGGTTGGGAAGAGATAGGCACGATGTAGGGCAGAAATAGCAAGTATCCCGTGCATCAGATATTTATTGGAATATCCCTCCACTGGGACAACAACGCGCCAGATATGCCGTGAGTCTTCGCGAATTGTCAGAGCGTTGCATGTCACCGTGCAGTAATGGTGCATGAGTTCAAGATCCGATGCCCAGTCATCCGTATTCAAAGCTGGAATTTCACCTGGCGAGTCAGCCAAAAATTGCAGTAGACCAGATCTACTCTCTGCATTAGGCTGATCGTGACCCAGAGCTCTCGAGTTCCCGGGGGGAGTTGCCGGATATGACTCTATGTTCAATGGCGACGGCATGTAAGGCGGCGCCAATGACTCTGACCGAGTATATGAAGTTCCAGTCGGAGTTGATACGCCACGCTCAACAAATGAGCATTGAATTGCATGTTTGGTGCAGTTTGTACATGGGTATTGCTCATCGCACTACGCTGGTCAGAAAAAGCTGAAAACCCAGGGGATATTCGACGTACTTTTAGTTTTCGTGCCTTGCATTGTGGGCAGCCATTGCGCGACTTCCGATGTGATCTTCTTGGGCCCATTATCAAGCAGATATAACAGTTGAACTGGGGAGAAACATTGAATCCTATGCGAGTGCGGATACGGTGATGCGGACACGAATACGGATACGGAGACGGAAACGAATTCGACCGAAAAGCCTCTTCAACGCCCCCACATGGTCTGTCTAAGCTGCGTAAAATCCCAGACGTTTCCCAAATGATAAGAATAACGCACGAATCAATCCATTCGATTAGAAGGTCGCCTAGATTTATAGTGGATCGCGGAGGAGGCCCGTTTCCGAGAGGCTAAGTATGGGCTATGCTAATGGCTCTTGCTGGATGGCTATTGCCCACGTTGATATAAAAGTCCTGTTTACCCCAATTAGCATAAATGAAACAAATCTTCCTCACACTTATCTCATCTCAACATGTCCGACCAACTCAATATATATGGGTACAATCCTTCTCTTCCCGCCGCTGTCATCTTCATCATTCTCTTCAGCGCTACGACTGCCCACCACGGCTATCAGCTCACCAAGTCACGATGCTGGTACTTCATTCCATTCGTGATCGGCGGAATATGTATGTTGGATTGCTTGTTTACCTGCTCAACCGTGTAAAGGCACCACTAACTCTCAATTCATACAGTCCAGGTCATAGGATACATCTGTCGAGCCGCATCGCATGACAACTTCTATGGAATCCCACTTTATGCGATGCAGTCCCTGTTCATCCTGCTCGCGCCGCCGCTGTACGCGGCCTCAGTCTACATGATCCTCGGGCGAACAGTGACCTACCTACAGGCTGAGCCCCTGAGCATGGTGCCAGTCAAGTGGATGACGAAGATTTTCGTGACGGGTGATGTGTTTTCATTTTTCTTACAATGCACTGGTAAGTAAAGCCTCTTTCATCAAATCAGATGATAGCCCAGCTATGGAATAGGAACATAGAAGCTAATCACATCTCATCTTAGGCGGCGGTCTCATGTCCACAGGAGGCTCCATGCGTGACATGGGCTCAAACATAACCATCGGTGGCCTCGTCGTCCAGCTTCTCTTCTTCGGCTTCTTCGTGATCGTCACGACGGTATTTCACTTCCGCATCTCTCGTCAGCCTACCCCCAAATCGCAGTCAGATCGTGATCACACCCGGGGTGATGGCTGGAAACAACGCAATTGGTTCACCATCCTGATCGGACTATACATCGTCAGCTTCCTGATCCTAGTGCGGTCTGTGTTCCGCTTGGTCGAATACAAAGAGGGTTACGATGGGTACACCATGACCCACGAGGTCTTTATGTACATCTTTGATGCGCTGTTGATGTGGATCGCCATGGCCGTTTTGAATGTGTACCACCCCGCCGAGATCTTGGGGGATGGGAAAGGTGGGAGCCGGGAGTATTCAGATGTAATGCAGCTAAGCTAGACAGCAATCGTTGTGGCTCCTAGGGCTGGTGCACTTTACTAATAAGAATCCTTTTCAATTCTCATCAAAATTTCCTCACTTTTCATCAGAACTTCAATTACTTTTAGCGCTATATAGAAAACGGGTATATCCAACTTTTGCGCAAAGATCACAAAATGACAAACTATAAGACAAAATATCGGATCGTTACATGCCATAAATCATATCATCGTGATCTGTAGTCCTCAGTAGACCGCAGATCGTAACTTTTTCGCACAGTGCCATTTCCTAATCCTCCGACATAGAGATCAGGTCGCCTTGACGCCCCCGTGCCGCGTGTAGAAACAGGTAGCAGACTACCGCCGTATCCAACATCGATGCTCCTCCGCATTCGCGACAGACTTATCATTTTCTCCATCTCCAACGCCTGGAGGGTTTCCTCACCCCGTTCACTTTTCGCAGGCGCCTTTCCCCGGTTAGACAGCCATCGTCGACTACCCACACGGAAGAAACCACCAATATCATCAACCATGAGAGCGACCCAGACAAGTGGGATGGAGATTGCGAAGCCTATACCAAAGGTATACTTTGCCACATAACCGAGATTCAAGTGCTCGAATTCTTTCAGGTTGATCGTGAAGATGGAGGTGATAAATGATAACGGCAGGAAGACAATAGTAACAATGGTGAAGACCATAATTGTCTTGCTCTGGCGGGTTGTACCAGCAGCCTGATCACGCGCAAAGCGGGCTTCAAAGGCGTTTGCGTGTTTCTGTTTGAGATCGAGTAGATCCGTGATGGAGTGGTAGATTCGCTCAGCCTGCTTATCCATGCGGTCGATATCCTTCAGATGCATGTCGATCATGCGCTGCTGGTCTTTGAACCGTTTCTTGACCTCGAACTGTGAACGATGCTGGCCTTGGTACGTCTCGCAGATGACTTCTTGGAAGTCAAGAAGTACATTGTTCTGGTGCTCCAGCACCGTCCGGATCATGTTCAGCTCGTCTCGGATGTCTTTTGTCTCCGCCAGGAGATTGGTTTCCTGTCCGATATCCAGGAGCCGGTCGACGAATAGTGGCTGGCCGTCCTCGTCGCAGTAGTTGCTGCTTTCGTCTTTGTCGTCAGTCCCATTGCAGGACTTTGGCGGAGAGCTGAAGGAGCCGTTCAGCTTCCGGTGGCTTTTCAGCCAGTCAGATGCCTGTCCGGAGGCATGGTTGAACTGGTTAAAAAGCACGGTCTCTTTGTCTGTAGCTATACCAATGGATGACTCGAACATATCTCAGGAACTGGTACTCCTCGTCGCCCAAGCGGTGTCGGTCGAAGACTCCGGAGCAGCGATTGGTGATTATCATGGCTAGATCATAGACGGATTTGACAGGGTCTCGGGTTTTGGAATTGATAACCTCAATAACCCCGTCCAGCACATTAAGCGGGTCATTCTTGGGCTGGTCCCATCTCTGTGGGAAGGCCGTTACAATCAGATTCGTGCCTAGAACCCACATCCACAGTTGATCCACCATGAATATCTTCGGTTCTGCCCCCATCCCGGGGCTTTTTGTTTGGTACCGGTACACCACTTGATCCTGATCACGACTCTGTGTATCGATGTTTGGGTAGAAAAACTGGTCCAGAGTTCGGCGGACATGGAGGGAGGTCGATGAGGAGGATAGATGTGCGTCGATGAGCATTTCGTCTCTGGTGCGCCTTCGCTTCATCCTATTGGATACAAAATCCAGCGTTTCCGCCCGTGAGATTGCATCCTGCATCTTCTGCCTGCCCTCCGCGGTCTCGAAGTGTAGATACGGCATGAACACGCAGACGTTACATGCCGAAACCAGGGGGTGAGGATCTTTGCAAAAAGTTGATGACCTCGACGGTGTCTCTCTCTGGCCCCACGGCGACTTCCCTTTCGTCTCCTGCTTGGGAGTTCCCGGTGCGCTGCCCGACTTGCCATTGCCACGCTTCTGGTTGTTCTTGTTCTTTTTCCCATGTGACCCTGCCCCTTCATCGTGGAAGTAAGATTCCACCTTGTCAGGCTTGCCGCCTGTGCCTTTTTGCTTGCGGACAGCGGTATCCATAGCCTTCACCTGCCCATGATCAGACACAGGCTCCTCCGAAGTCTCCTCTTCATATCGCCGCAGCATCGTCCGCGGCGTATTCTGACACAACGGCCGCATAAAGTGCGAGTGAGTTCTTTGACCCCGATGCTGATAGTTGAAAGACTTCTCCAGCCCCTTGAACCCATCAACATCATGGGCCCCCTCCTCAATAAAAGACTTGGTAAGCAGAGCTTCCACCCACGCCATATTGTTCGCCGGTAAGTGAATCCACCGGAAATCGGTCACACGACTATCAAGCGGCACGGTGGTAACAGCCTGTTTTCTAGGATTCTCCTGATCCCTCCCATAAAGCAGATTAAACACCGACATGCGCTTAACCCGATTCTCATTATGAAAGTTTCCAAAATCAACAACAGTAGCATCGAACGCCGCACAAGCCTCCTTAACATCATCAGACAGGCTGTCGACATTGTTAAACGGCGCAAGCAACAGCACAATATCCTTCCGCTTGAACTGCGCCGCGCGCAAAAACGGCGTACTGCCAAAATTATCCCTAACCCGACGCTTCAGATCTGGCCTCTCGAGAAGACACTGCACAACCGTGGTATGACCGCCCTGCGCAGCAAGATGCAGCGGCGTAATTCCATTTAAAAGCTGCGCATTGATATGCGCGCCTTCGCTCAGCAAAATCCGCACAATCTCCTCGCACCCCTTATCACATGCATTATGAAGCGGCGTCCAGCCACCATCGCTAGCAGCATTAACAGCCGCCTTGTGCGCAATCAGCAGCTGCACGATATCCGCACGGTCATGAGCCGTAGCAACATGCAACGCAGTCTTCCCGCGCAGCTCAACAGCGTCAATCACCGCGGGTCCAGTCCGCCCCTCCCCTCACCAGCATTCCTCGTCAGCAACATCTCCGCCAACCTCCAGTTCCCCGTCGCGCAAGCCCAATGCAACGGCGTACGGCCAAGCTCATCTTGCCCCCCAGGCCCATCAATCAGACACTCCGTCCTCAGCAACAACCCCACAACCTCATCCCCCCATCCCCATCGGCAAGCCTTATCGGCAGCGAGGTTATGCAAGGCATTCCGACGGCGCAGATCGCGCTTGTTCACGTCTGCGCCGCGCATGATGAGCAGGTGCAGGATATCGGTGTGGTTCTTCCATGCTGCTGTCATGAGGGCCGTGCGGCCTTCTTTATCGGCGGAGTTGGGACATGCGCCGTGGTCGAGGAGGAGACGGACGATTTCGTAGTGGTCGCGCTCGACGGCGCGGAGGAGTGGTGAGGCGCGGTTGGAGGGGACGTCTGTTTTTGCGCCGAGGGTGAGGAGGTATTCTGTTGCGGCGACGCAGGCTCGTTCGGCGCTGCGCATTAATCCGATGCGGAGGAAGTTGTCGTTTAGTTGGTTGTACTCTTGCGCGAGGGCGAGGGTCTTTTTGAGGGAGTCAATGTCGTTTGACTCTGCGGCGCGGAGGAGCCGTGGTTCGAGGCGCTCGTGGCTGTCGCTCGTTATGCTGGAGCGGGAGGGCGGCATGGTGGGTTGAGGTGAGGTGATGAGGGGAATTGCGAGGATTAGAGTATGTATATATAGTTGTGTATAGGGTTCATTGATTCATTGTAGGCGTTTTTTCGTTGAGTTATTGAGGCTCTTCGAGATTTTCCCCGGCAAAGAAAAGGTACTTGGGGATGGATGGTTAGACAAAATTTGAAAGCTGGACTTGAATCAAGCTCAAGCGACACCAGATGGCCCTTTTCCCGGTCCGGAAGGATCTGCGGGCGTGAAGGTCCTTCTTTTCCTTAACCCCTAATCCCGCGGGGGATTCTGTAACCGACGGTGATAAAGGAAATGAGGCTGTGTGGCTGATCCCTCTCGTATTGCATGCTTTAGCGGGTTTGACCTCGGCATATGCATGGTTTACAATTTGACTGGCTGAATTCTTTGATTGGAGAGACGGACGTTTCTATAAAAGTACAGGTAAATCCAGGATATGACAACCTTGGAAGGTATCCAATGGAGAGATGGATAGAGCGCTGGTGTAAACAAAGAAATTAAGAACTTGGTAACTCAAGCCGGAACCATGGATCCGGGACAACTCAATGGCTACCTAGGTACCCAGGTACCTACCTAGGTATGTTGTACACTACAAATACAAACACTACTCAATCAGAAAGTAAATAAACCCTCGTGCACTGAATTGTACAAACATTAGAATCTATATTTCTATCGGGCAGCTTCCAGCGTCACAAACTACGGGAAACAGGGGGGAATCCGAGGCGAAGAGAGAGGAAAAGCACAAAGAAAAATTAAAATGACAAGGTGAAAAGAAAAAGAAAAGCCCCTCCTCCGGAGATGCTGATGCCGATATGCTGATAATTATGATGTGCTTCTCCATGCATGCTGCCCCCGATGAATTAAAAAGTTCTTGCTTTTGTTTTCGCTTCCCTGTGCATCGCGCCGGTCCCGCCCAGTAGTTCTCCGTCACAAAATGCGCCTATCAACAGAAAAATGAAACGGTCAAGAGTATGGAAGTCAGAGCCACAAAACGAGTTTGTATTCTGAATGTGCAGGCCGTCTCGTGTCATGGAATCTAATCATAGAGAAAAGACACAAGACAAATGGTATTTAGTGCTTCTTCTTGTCCTTCTTCGGGACTTCCTTGAGAATATCGTCGAAACTCATGTTCGGGTTGAACCGACTAATCGGACGCGTGGGAGGCTCGATGGGAGCAATGCCTGCGGGAAGGGGCAAGGCTTCCAATCCAGGGTAGAATGAGTGGCGATGCTCAGCTCGTTGGGCAGCGGCAGGCGAGCGGGTTCGTGGGATGGCTGGAGGGGGCGGGGTGAGCCCACCGGGGACCATCATAGGGTTCGGGTATGGTTCCGAAGAAGACCCAGCCGACGATTGCTGGGCCTGGTAAGGTGATGATATAGAGGACTCCTCATCGTCGTAGGCGGCGTCTTCCACCATTGGTGGATCGAGAAGAGCGCCCGCCTCGGCCCACTGCTCGGCGACCTGCCAGCAATGACTGCGGCGGTATACACCTTCCACACCGTTAATGACTACGTCAGACGGCAAGCTAACAACACCTGCACCACCTGCAACTCCGAACCAACTGCGAGCAGTCTTGGTGTCGTTCTGAATCCAGGGAGCACCACCACGTGGGGCAATGCAGAGGAAATACTCCACGCCTTCGTTGTAGTGGACGTCAGGAACATCCACCACCAGCATGGGGAGCGCTTGAATGACGGAGTATAGGAAGATCCACTGGCCACATCGGAGGTCGGTAATGTCATTAATATTCTTGCCGTGCGCGGAGCGACGCTCGAATTGCATGAAGCTTTCAATGAAAGGAGTGGGTCGCATTGCCTCCCGAGTATAAGATCCCATCAGGACAGCGTTGATGTCGGAATCCTTGAGCTTCTTGACGCTTTGCTTGGCCTCCTTCTTGGCGTCGAGTGGTTTCCGATGCAAGGGCTGCAGCGAAGGCATCTGTGGAATGTCGAATGGAATGGGAGGAAGCACTGGGGGTGTGCTACGGTCATACTCGGAGAGAACCTGTCGCAAGGCACGAACGGTCATTTGCTTTGGATCAGATGAATCGGCGGAGTCATTGCCCGCGCCCGAAATATCAATTGTACGCGTCGTCAGGGACGTGCGGTCAACCATCAAATCGTAGAGATCGGTGAAGTCGTGGTACAAATCCAGAAGGAGAAGACGGTTAAGTCCGTTCTCCTCGAATTCGTTCTTCTTCGACCGAGCCTTGGGGGGCCACGATCCGTACTTCTGCCGGTAGTACTGAATCGTAAAGCGGCGGAATTCTTGGAATCCCGTCCTCCAGTTCTTGAAGCGCACCACCTTGCTTTCCTGCGAGGTAGTCGAGTTGGCAACACCCGAGAAAACAGACGGGAAATCGAAATCTTCAAGTTTGCCGTAGAGACCGCGCAGACGGGTGTCGAGATCAATGAACGCGCGCTCCATGCGCTTCTGCGTGATGGGATGGATGAAGGTATATTTAGGGCTCCGCAGTTGCTTGAGCTCATCCAGCTTTCCAACACCATGGACAAAGCCCTCGACATAGAGCGGATAGTAGCGCAGACGCTCACCCAAGACGATAGCCTCGATCGTCTTCTCCCTGCTTCGGCGGACATCTGCAAGGCGTAATTCTTCACAGTAGTTGCTGAAACTGGTGGTGGCAGTCTCACCAAAGTTGGATGCATCCAAGTTCGAGAACTCGAAACGGGCCAAAAGGACCGCCACGTCCATGAAAATGGAGAAAAGAGTGGATGACTTGGGTGAGGCAATCAAAGATTGGCCGAGCAGGAATGCGAAAAGGTTGCGGAACAGAAGAAGAGTTTCTGTATCCTCCGAAGTGAGCCTTGCTTGCGGGTTGGACACGTCGCAGTTCAGTGGAATGGGGAGATAAAGATGAAGTTCCTGTAATTCCTCGGGTGTATCTTCGAATGCCATTCTTTGGCTTCCCGCACTGTCGTTATCGTTGTCAGTTTCTGGCTGAGGGTCCAGCGGCGACATAGGCGGAGACATTGGTGGGTTCAGTGATAATGTTCGGGTTGGCTGCTCGAGGCCGCTCTTGCCATCGTTGCCGCGGGCTAGATAGGTGAGGGAGGGGGATTCGGCAAATATGGTGGAATCGACCTTGAAAGATGGGGCGCGGCCGGTATTCTGGGGGAACAGATACACATAAGTGTCACCTTGTTCATTCCACAGTTCCTGGATCTGGAAAGTAACGGAAAAAAGATTAACTTAGAGCACCACAAAACAGACTGAGTTCGCGTATGCATACCCGTTCTCCTCTGGACAATGGTCCCAGATCATAAACGACCTTTTGGTCCAGTCCTGCGATCCAAGCAGCCGGAAGCATGGGACTTGCGGGAGTTGCCCGCTTATCCATTGAGCTGGCGCGCGAACGACCCGGCATCCAACTTCTGCGCTTCGACGGTGTGCTAGGGCGAGAATCCGGGTTCGATCCAGGGATACCCAACCCTGCCGAGCTGGAGGGCCGGCTCATATCACGACCTCTGCTCTGCGGACGGCCAACGGGTGAACTGGGAGCGCTGTTTGCCAGATCTTGGTTCACCGCCAGCAGTGAAGGTGGCGGGGGTAGGCTCTCCATATCGAGGTTATCGGGCATGGTTCTGGGCTCCGAAGAGAAGACGGCATTGGGGGTTGAGACATGGCGAGTGGGTTTTGAGCTGCTCCGGCGTCGCTTGTCGATGGGATTTTCTGAACTCAAAACTGGCGAAGACGCGGGCGAGGATTGGGAGTCCCGATCTTTGGATCCCAGCGAAAACAGAGATGAGATCCGCTTCGCCGACTTAACGGGAGCTGACAACATCTTTGATACAGATGTTGGAGGATAATTTTTTTTCGGGGAGGAAGGCGACCCGGAGGTAGAGAAGTTCAAGCCCGCATGGGACTGTAGGAATGAAGTGTTGTACTTGGCAGGTGATGGGAGGAGGTTTAGGGGGTGGAATGGATCGGCAGGAGGGATTGGAAGAATGACAAGAAACTTGATGTCCTCAGGGAATGGATGAGGCTAAGCTGAGATCCAAACAAAAAAAAAAAAAGGTAAAGAGAGAAGCTCAGGAGATGATAAAAATAAGAAAAAAGGTAAATATCGGAGCCTCCCATTTTTATTTGACTTATTTGACTTATTTTAGTATTTAATAATATAATACAATATATACCTAGGTAATACCCAAGATTCATATAATACGAGGGGGGGAAAGGGAAAAAGAGACGGAGCACATTCAACCCAATGCCAATAATAGAATGAGAGGTTCCCTGGCTGTGCATGTCTTGGATGTGGACCCAATTAAATAGGAGATAGGAGAATAGGAGATTTATATAGTCAAAGAATACATATACATAATCATATTTACAATTCCTTTGTATACAATATATAGAAAAAAGAAAAACTTGAGTCAAAATATCATACCTAGGTATCAATTATACGGATTATCAGAGAAATAACTCGATTTGGAAGTAGAAGCCTAACATACCTCACCTTGGGAGCATCCAATTAAAGTCCATATATAAAACACGATCATATCCGCTATGATCCGATATAACTCATACGAACTGGGGGATACAAGTACATACTAGCCTGGTATTGCCAAGGCACCTTCTTATGACATGCCTCGATGCTCTATATATATATCTCTCATGACATCTCAGTACCTTGTTTAAAATCGAGACCTAAAATATAGTTCCAAACTCCAATGTCCGTATATAGCTCTCTCAATATAAACAATAATACAGCTCCTGTTCCTGTTCCCCTGGAACCATTCAATTCCCGATCTCGGATGCTCGGTGCCCACCTGTCCGGGCACTTCGCCACATCCCACCCGTGGAAGCCCAAGCTCTTTACCCAAGCACCAAACTATTAGTTTTAACCTATACAGAAGTAGATGATATTCACGATCTACTTAATACCCAATTAATCATGACCATCACCGTTTCCCCCAAGACCATTGACCTTCAAACCGGCTGGCCCAACCCCGCCCTCCTCCCCGCCCCCATTCTCCGCCACTCCGCCACGACCGTACTGTCCAATCCCTCCATTTCAACCCCAGCCCTCCTCTACGGCCCCGATGAAGGATACGAGCCGCTCCGCACAAACATAGCCGCATGGCTGAGCGATTTCTACCAGCCGCGCGAGCCCATCTCCTCGAAGCGCATCTGCATCACTGGCGGGGCCAGCCAGAACCTGGCATGCGTGCTGCAAACCTTCACAGACCCAGTCTACACGCGGAATGTATGGATGGTCGCACCGACGTACCACCTGGCCGCGCGCATCATGGACGACGCTGGCTTCGCCGGGCGCTTACGAGGGGTCCCCGAAGATGACGAGGGCGTCGACATAGCGGTGCTGGAGAGCGGTTTACGCGCCGCAGAAGAGAATGCCCTGCGCACTGGGAATACCGAGCCGGTAGGACAATCCTGGGCCCATGACTGAGCTGGCATGACTGGCAGTCACCGTGCCATGCCACTTTGCCATCATTTATTGAGTCCCGGACTGACCCTGCCCCTCTTTCCCTGCAGAAACTGAAACCGCCCAGGCCCTGGCGCAAGATCTACAAGCATGTCATCTATGCTGTGCCGACTTTTGCGAATCCCTCGGGAAAGATTATGTCGCTGCGTAGACGTGAGGCGCTCGTTCGTCTCGCCCGTCAGTACGATGCGCTTATCGTTACGGATGATGTGTACGATTTCCTTCTGTGGTCGGCCAAGCCGGAGGGAGAGGGGAATTTCCGTGACCGCGCATGTATTCCGCGCATTGTCGATGTGGACCGCTACTTGGACGGTGGTCCACAGGATGAATGGGGACACGCACTAAGCAACGGCAGTTTCAGCAAACTCATCGGGCCTGGGGCCCGCACCGGCTGGGCCGAGGCTTCCGAAAAGGTTGCCTATGGATTATCACAAACGTACGGGCCACCGGGATGACTTGACTGACCAACCCCTTCTTCTCGGATCCGGATTCGCAGACTGACCCGATATCGCTTGCAGAGGCTCTTCCCGATCGGGCGGCGCTCCTTCCCATTTATGCGCCGCTGTCATTGACCAGATGTTCCCTACAGTCATACAAAACCACATCCGCGACGTCCTACAACCGAAATACGCCGAGCACTACCACACCTTGCTATCAGCAATCCACGAGCATCTCGTTCCGCTGGGTGTCACGGTCCCAGCGCCTGCCGCGACGGCGGGTGGCTACTTTATGTGGATTGGTCTACCGGCGCCTTTGCTCGCCACCGACGTAGTCCGGCTAGCGCAGAGCGAAGAAAATCTGCGTGTATCTCCAGGTGATGTTTTCCAGGTCCCGGGAGACCCGCATGTGACTGAGGGGTTTTCGGATCATCTGCGTCTCTGTTTTGCGTGGGAAGAACCACGACACTTGACCGAGGGAATGCGTAGGTTAGCGCGTGTTCTCAACCGTATGACTCGTACCCAGGTCTAGGTGTTGTGGCGTTGGACTTGGATCCACGCCACGTCGGAGCCACGCCAGCTGGTTCATATAGTACGGTCCGTACCGTGTCCACTAGGGACGCGTGGCGCATGAAATTTAAGTAGACAATTTAGAACGTAGTCTTGCCAGCTCATACAAGTCTCTTGAGTTGGGTATTTGATACATGAGTGTATATACCTGAGGCTCTGCATCGGGTATTTGAACTCTGCAATGAGTTGGCCCCCGGGTCCAAGATTATTTTTGGATCATGATTAGTCAAAGACACAACCCCGGGGGACAGGACACTGAGTCGTGAAAGACCATGTAATTCCAGAAACAGGGGGGCAAAATAATACCTCCCAAGACAATTTCAACAATTTCAAGGATCAAAGGGGAAGCCGATCCCGACCGGCTCCTGATCCTCTCAGGGGGGAAAGCAAAGCTTGGCCTTGGAGACTTCCCCTCTTCCCTTCACAATGACCAAAGGCCAACCCTTTAAGTCGACCTTGGGGAATTCCCAATGTCGTGGCCTGGTCATGTTATCACCTTGCTTTCAATGTTTTCTTTGTGATCCGTCATCAGGAATCTTTCAAACACCCCGGAATGTTCATCCATAACTTCGGGACGCGGAACGCCCCCTGACAACACGCGGGGGATATACACCCTCTTAACACGGGGCGTCGAGTCTCGTGTGACATGTCTACATTACACAAACATAGACACATACATGCATTTTAAAGCAAACGGAATAAAGTGATATTTTTCCACGATATCAGTTCTGGGAAATCGAGATATCAATCCCCTTTAATTATACATCTATTTCGTATTGAACGATGGGACCCACTCGGGTCAAGGGCATAGTGATACGCGACAACTTGCAATGCTCGTCCTATCCCCCCTGTGAGCATATAACCTGCATCTCAGATGATTGGAATGGATGACCCGGCATACCCTGTTTAGGTTATGAATCTAGCTATATAGCGCGTAGACCCAGGTTTTAACTCTGTTTATTTCCTCCGGCTGTTCTGTTCTACAGACGAAGAAATTGGGACCCCTCAAACACCCTAAATTCCTTCAAACACCCTAAATTGTGATTCGAAACACTCACTGCCGCCCATTTAGCCGAATCAAGCTGCAAGACTGATCTTCTGTTTCAACTCCAGTCTATCACGTTTCAAGCTTCAACCGCTGTCTCAAGACCTGGGAATCTGATTGGTTGGGTGTGGTGGACTTCAGGGCTGTGGTGCATTTGATTGGCTGAAACGGGGAAGTTGGCAAACGCTGGGGTTTTTATAGGTATGATATTCCCATTGATCCTGAGTCCTTTGTTGTCTTTTCTTTTCTATTCATTCCCTTCAATTCATTCATTCTTTGAGACCATATTTCATTGTTTTCATTTTTGGAAGGAACGGTGCATCTGGAGATTGACTCTCTAAATCTTCTTTTGCTTTTCTCCCTGCATATCGCTGCTGGTCAAGCATTAGACTCGATTCTTATTTTGATTTCTGCAGTACTGGTTACTGAATCTTCATTCCCTAGACATCCTTTTTTTTCTACTTCGCTGCTGGTCCAGCGTTATCCATTTTCAATATGGCCATCTTACAGACCTCCATCGCGATCTTTGTCACCCATATCATCCTTTTGCTCGGTTTGCCAGCCTCTTTGGTCGCAGCTGTGCCAGTTAACGTGCCCGTCTCTCCGGTGAACAACGTGTTGGCCACCACTCAAAAGACATCCGCCGCCTCAAGCTACTGGGTCGCCAATGTTGAGCGCCAGGGTGTCGTCCCCTTTCGGCAAGAGCGCCGACTACAAGATCTTCCGAAATGTAAAGGACTATGGTGCCACGGGTCAGTCATTCATCCAAACTCTATCCCCTCGGCCGGCCTGCTAACTATAACATAGGTGACGGCTCCACTGATGACACTGCGGCTATCAACGAGGCTATTTCTTCTGGAGGCCGTTGTGGTAAGGGCTGTGATTCCTCTACCACGACCCCTGCTATTGTCTACTTCCCGCCTGGTACCTATGTTGTCTCGAAGCCCATTGTCCAGTACTACTACACCCAGATTGTCGGAGATGCTGTCGAACTGCCCATTATCAAGGCCTCTGCCCAGTTCGCCGGTATGGCCGTGATTGACGCCGATCCCTACGAGGATGATGGCTCCAATTGGTACACCAACCAGAACAACTTCTTCCGCGCTATTCGCAACTTGGTCATTGATCTGACCAGCGTCCCCGCTGGCTCGGGCGCTGGTATCCACTGGCAGGTCGGCCAGGCTACGAGCTTGCAAAACATTCGCTTCGAGATGGTCAAGGGTGGTGGTGAGGCCAACAAGCAGCAGGGTATCTTCATGGACAACGGATCCGGTGGTTTCATGGCAGACTTGACTTTCAACGGTGGTAACTACGGCATGTTCCTCGGTAATCAACAGTTCACTACCCGTAACTTGGTTTTCAATGGCTGCCAGACTGCCATTTTCATGAACTGGAACTGGGCCTGGACTTTCAAGTCCGTCAAGATCAACAACTGCGAGGTTGGCCTGAATATGTCTACTTCGCCTTCCAACCAGACTGTTGGCTCCGTGTTGATGCTGGACAGCAAGCTCACCAACACTCCCACTGGTATCGTTACTGCCTGGACCCAGAAGAGTATTCCCGTTGGTGGCGGTAGCCTGATTTTGGACAACGTGGACTTCTCTGGCTCCAAGGCTGCTGTGGCTGGTGTTGATGGCAATGTCATTCTGGAAGGTGGCTCTGTCGTTGACCACTGGATCCAGGGTAACACTTACACCCCATCCAAGACTATCAACAAGCGCAGCGAGGCTCAGCCTGAGCTGGTTACCGTTGTTGAGACCGTTACAGAGACCATCCTTGCCTGTCCTGCTTCCCACGGCCTTCCCAGCGCCAGCCTTGCGGGGAGCGACGTACCTGCTCCTGCGAAGACTTCATCACTTGGATCCGCTCCCGCTCCTTCGCCTGCCCCGGGTGCTGGTACCAGCAGCGATGCGGATCGCTCTGCTGAGTCTTCGGTTGTCGCTGAAGTCCCCGAGCCCACTCCCGTGGCTGCTCCTTCTACTGAGGCCCCTGCCACTTCCGCCGTGCCTGTTGGTTCTTCGCCCTCCAGTGTTGTTTCTGCCAAGGAACCTGCTGCGCCAGTTACCTCCACTGCTGCATCTGCTGAAAGTACCAGCAGCGGCTCTGAAGTTAGCGATGGCCGCCAGTCTGGCAGCGATAGCAGCACCGGCACTTGCGGTGCCGCGGCTGCCGTTGCCTCTGCCCGCACCCAGAGCACTCTGAAGACTGCTGACAAGCCCGCTAGCCTGCTCAAGGGAGGTGCTATCTTCGAACGCTCCAAGCCTCTGTACGAGGACGTCGCAGCCTCCTCTTTCATCAGCGTCAAGTCTGCTGGCGCCAAGGGTGACGGAACTACTGACGACACTGAGGCCATCCAGAAGATTTTCAATAGCTACAAGGACGGTCAGATCATCTACTTCGATCACGGAGCCTATGTCATTACCTCCACCATCAAGGTTCCTAAGAACATCAAGGTCGTTGGTGAAATCTGGCCCATGCTCATGGCACACGGCAAGACCTTCGCCGACCAAGAGAACCCCGTCCCTGTCTTCCAGGTCGGCGAAAAGGGCGACACCGGCTCCGTCGAGATGAGCGACCTCATCATCACCACCAAGGGCCCCGCCCCTGGTGCCATCCTCATGGAGTGGAACATCGCCGGCACTTCCCAAGGTTCCGCCGGTATGTGGGATGTCCACTTCCGCATCGGTGGCGCCGCCGGCACCGAGCTGCAGAGCGACACTTGCCCCAAGACCCCGAAGGAGAAGACCACCCCGAAGAAGGAGTGCATGGCCGCCTTCATGCTCCTGCACATCACCAAGAAGGGCAGCGCCTACCTCGAGAACACCTGGTTCTGGACCGCCGACCACGAGCTCGACCTCAAGGACCACAACCAGATCAACGTCTACACTGCCCGCGGTGTACTCATCGAGTCGGAGAACGCCAACTGGCTGTGGGGTACCTCCTCCGAGCACCACCAGCTGTACAACTACCAGATCTCGGGCGCCAAGAACGTCTTCATGGGCCTCATCCAATCCGAGACTCCGTACTACCAGTCCAACCCGACCTCGCTGGTCCCCTTCACCCCCCCAGAAATCCTGGAACGATCCTGACTTCTCGAACTGCAAGACTAACTCCTGTCGCAAGGCATGGGGTCTGCGTGTTCTCGGCTCCTCGGATGTCTTCGTATACGGTGCCGGTCTCTACAGCTTCTTCGAGAACTACACCCAGTCCTGCCTCAACTCGGAGGATTGCCAGGAGAACATGGTCGAGGTTGATTGTTCCGATGTTAAGCTGTATGGTCTCAGTACCAAGGCTGCTGTGAATATGGTTACGTCGTCCAGTGGGAAGGGTCTTGTCCCTCAGAAGCCGAACAAGAGTAACTTCTGCTCGACTATTGCTCTCTTCGAACAGCATGCTTAGGTTATTCTTCTTTTCTCAAATCATCATTTTTTTCTTTGTGTTCTCATTCATTGTTGTAAACAATACCATTTAACTTTTTTTGTATTTCTCCATTGTATGAGATTCGGTCTCTATGATTTTTTTCTTCCAAAGCCTCCTGTCTTTAGGACTTAGGCACTTTTAACATTGTTCTTGTGTATCGGACTTGCACTCCGGAGGTCTTTTGCTCGATATCATTCGCGGTTTCTCACGAATGTGACCATATAAAAAGCCATGTAATCTGACTTTCGATCTTTGCCTGTAGTTTCCCGTTAGCTGTCAAATCGTAGTATGTTCCTCGGTTCTTCGTCCCAGGCGTTGTTGAAGTGAAAATCACGACTTGGGGAACATTTCTGCTTCGTTCCTGGGGGCAAGGAGAAACTACCACGGTCGTTCGATCCCCACTAGAAAGCAGACTTGCGAAACCAACAAGTGCAACGTAGACAAGAACATACCATCTCATTCGAGCAAGCACTGGAGAGTTTGTGTCAGAGGGCAAAGATTCCCCAGCCCGGCTACTGAGAGTGCACAGCGTGAAAGGAACGAGTGTGGACAGTCGAATACCCATTTACTACGGCAGTTGGGCGAGCTGCAGGGTGCATTGACTGGCAGTACACAGATGCGTCACTAGATAGAATTTTCATGTTATGTGTTTATACAAGTTACATTAGGTTGTCAATATCAGATTAGAATAAGATCATAAACAGTTTGATTTTCTATTGCAATTCTACCTAATGACTTGCTTGGTTTCACCATAGGCTACTTATCCTGAACACCACGTAAAGGTGCAAGTCTTGTCCAGGTGTTGCACACAGGACCCGTGCAACTGGGTATGGAAAGGGGAAGGGGAAGGGGAACAAAGAAAGAAGCAAAGTACATAGGTAAGTAATAAAGAAACAAACAGACAATCGAAACAAAAACAAAGGAGAGAAGAGACGTACCTGAGTAAACTTCAGATCTCCTGATGTTCAGTGGAGGACCCAGAAAAGACAGTCTGTTTCCACAGAGGTGGAGGCACTTACCAAATCGGGTACCCAAGGGATTCCCAAGGGTTCTCTGAGTTGTCCTGTAGGGCTCAAGAGATCTTAGGTTTCCCCGAGCGGTCCTTTAAGGCACCCCCCCCCCACATGCTTACGTCCCATTAACTGCCTTAACTGGGTCGCAGCAAAGAGCTATCAGCGCCTCAGGGTTGTCCTTCACTGGACAACAGAAGACATATATCGGATATGACTCTGGAGCTGAAGTGGACCGTCACCTGCCGAGGGACTGGTGGCGCCGGGGAGGGGGGCGGGGGGTGTGGCGTGAGGAAGGATGGAAGAGAAAAAAGAAGAAGAGAGAAATTGGGGGGGAAAGGGGGTATTTGTATTTTTCCAGTGGCTGAAGGACAGGAAGGAACTGGGGTGGGGGACGACCTCAGTTTTGACAAAAAGGGAAGGCACCTACCGCGTCACATGGAAAGAGCGTTTGTCGAGACAACCTTGGAAGATAACATCATTCGTGACAATAATTATCACTTAGCTATCGTATGCCTGACGCTTCGGGATATCTTCCATCAGATCCTCTCATTCAGAGAGTCTCACAACTGGTTGATATTGGTCGATTGGGCACTACCAGAAACTGTTGATCATCGACACCATACTGGTCAATGTCTAGTTTCTTGGAGCTGTTCCTCAGGCCGTCCTTGACCCGGTAAGTCCCCTTGAGATTGACAATTGACGACTATTGTAAGACTTCGAACACGACAAAGAATGTATCAGAAAAGAAACTAAGTCTCCCAAAGTTATTATGTGATTCCTGGTGAAATTCATCCATTGCGTAAGGGAAATGAAATAAGAAACAGCCAGACGACGCTCTTCTAAACAAAATGGCACTGAAGAAAATCAAAGCAATGGGTGGACTTCGACTTAATGCTGTCCAAAGTGAAAAAGCCAATCCAAACTCCTATGTCAAAGTCTCTAGAGTTCCTTCTTCAGAGAATGCTCGGGCTTGTGAGTAGTTTCGTAATCAACATGCACATAGGCACGCTCAACGTCGGGAAGCGACTCGAGCTTAATCTGGAGCTCCTCGGCGACATCGTGAGTGGCACGCAGGGATGCCTCTGGGTCCATGACGACATCCACCTCGACCAGCAGGCGAGGGCCAGAGGTGTATGCACGGACGGTATCGATGGCAGTGATGGCAGGAGAGTGGGTCATGGCTGATAGAAATGTTAGTTTTCGACTCAGAGCTGAAAAAGGACCGAAAGGGAATGAACATACAGATATAAGTAATAAGCTGCTGCATCTTAGTGTCGGCAGTAACGCCGATGAGCAACTCGAACTCGCCATAGGCGGAGTGCAGCCACAGTACACTGACCAGCACGGACAGAATGATAGCACCCATAGGATCGATCCACCAACGCAGCTTACTACCACCGACGGAGGTCAGAACACCGAACCCGTTAATGAACAGATCGTTGCGGTGATCCTCCCACAGGATGCGGATCTGCGAGACCTGGTTGCGCAGGGCCCAGCAGTACAGGAAAAGGACAAATTTGGTGGCAAAGGCGACGGCGACGGCAATGACAGCAGGGAGGTGGAAAGACTGGGTTCCTTCCTCGGAGCCCGAGACCAGTTCGCGAATAGAGAAGGCGATGATGATGAAAGAAACGGCGGTCATAAGGAAGCAGAAGCAGATGTTACCAGCGGTTTCAATGCGGGCCTTTCCGGCAGGGAACTTGCGCGGATCGACGCGGTTGACGGCCTTGTTGCAGAGCAAGAGGGTCAGATTGGACATGGGGTCGAAGACCGCGTCGGCCATTGTGGTGAACAGAGAGAGCGATCCGGACGAGACGGCACCGTACACCTGGATGATCGAGAGAATGATATTCGCGGCAAAACTACCGTAAACAGCAATCCGGTACTTGAGACGGTTGTCGACGCTCAATTCGCGGGCGGCACGTCTGTGCTCCTCGACGGGCTTCAACATGCGCTCGATGTTTTCATTTTGGGACTCGTAGAAGCCCTGTAGCTTCTTGGTCACGAAAGCCTGTTTTCCAAGACGGGCAGTGTCTTGCACAATGGAACCCACTTTCCGGCTTTTGGAATCCCGTTTCCGCGAGGTATTGGCTTTCATCTGCCGGATCTCATCCTCAGTCTTCAGTTTCGAGGCAAGCTGGAACGGATCGCTTTCAGGGGTGTAGCGTGGCGGAGGTTGGCCTTCTTCATCACTGGAACTACCACTGCGGTGTTGCTGCATGGTGGTGAGCTCGTGCTCAAGGGCGGTTGTGGTGCCTTCATTGAAGGATAGAGGCATTCTGTCCCGGTGTGACGGTGAGCTGCTATGGGTATGATGTAAATTCTGGAAGGCATGAGGGTGGTTGGAAAGACTTTGACGCAAATGTTCCTCCATGATGAACGTTGAATTTAATGAATGGGACTTGGGATGAAAGAAATGCAAGGGGAGAAATAAATTCCTGTGGCAGTCCACGGGTGCTTATCTGATCGCGGATCATCCATCCCCGGTGCCCTGGATGCCCCACCTTAGCTCCTTGGCACCTCCGAGGTCGGTGCATTTCATATCTACAACATCCAATATATACATCCATGGATGGATACATATACTGTTGCAAGTATTCTGGCTACTATCATTGGTTATTCTATGGTACCTGAGACAACCATCTAATATATTTAGGGCCTATGGGGGCCATATCCACAGTTTGACAGTTAGTATTGTCTTCCCGTTACCAAAGGCTCCATACATATATGCATATGTACATCCCTCCGAATCGACATTGAACAGAGTTTCCGTGAGTTGAAGCTGCTTCATAAACATTGTGGATACTGCGCTATTCAGGTCCCTTGGTAGGCGTAATGTACGACGCACGACAAACGGACAAAGACAGGGCTGGCAGACTCTATGCTGCGCGTGATGAATCGATATATTGATCGTCGGGGAAACAGTGAATCAAATCGTTGGGACGACCAACGACGACATGAAATCGTCGGGGCGACGCTGGACTCGCGCAACGCAGCCTATTATAACTTCTTTGGGTCTTTCACAGTTTGTTTTCTTCCGTTTTCTCCTTCTCGATTCTACTTTGTACCCTACCCATTTCTACAAACCACTTTCAAATTCGTTCTTCATCTTGTCGTTATCAAAATGGCTAAAGCCAAAGAATCCACCACCCCAAGGCCAAGGAGGCCAAGGAGACCTAGCCGGCCAAAGCAGGCATTGTTAAGAGAACTCCAGTCAAGGCCTCGCCTGTCAAGCTGTCCCGTGCCAAATCCGTCGTTCCTAGCGAGGACATCCTCTTCATGTGGAAAATTATGCGGATGTCTGCGATGAAAGTAAGTTTCTCTCAGTTGTCTTGACGTCTGTCTTCACTAAGTGTCTGTCTCGATTGTCTCTGACTTGACTTTGACTCTATTTTGACACGTCTCTCAGATGTCTTGACATATCTGATTGATACATGATAGTATGTCGTGTACTAACTGAATTGTCTTATAGATTGACTGGCCTGCTATCGCCAAAGACGCCGGCACGTCTGTTGGAGCCGTCCAGAAACGACGGTACCGTCTTCGCATCAAAATCCAGCAGTATCTTTCGGAAAGAAAGAGGATGTCTCTCCTTCTAAGCGATCCTATACCAAGGCCAATTCCGTCGTCCTTAGCGAGGACCTTCTGTTCATGTGGAAAATCACGCAGATGTCTGTGATGGAAGTAAGTGTCTCTCAGTTATCTTGACTATGTCTGTCTTCGCTATGTGCCTAGCTCGATTATGTCTCTGACTTGACCGTGTGTCGGTTGCCACACGTCTCTCAGATATCTTGGCATGTCTGATTGATATATGATAGTATGCTGTGTACTAACTGAATTGTCTTACAGATTGACTGGCCTGCCATGGCCAAAGATGCGGGCACCTCGGTTGGAACTGTCCAGAAACGATTCTCCCGTCTTCGCGTCAAAATCCAACAGTGTCTTTCGGCTGTTGCTTCCAGCGAATCCTCCGGCAAGGGCACCAACAGCTCTGAGATCAACGAGGAACGTCGACGGCTCTGAGTCCCCCAAGAAGGACGCCATTGGCTCTGAATAGATGGAACATGATTTCGGGGGCAACGCACGTGGAGGACGGTGTGACAGGGAAAGAAGACTCCGGATGAGTCTTGCGTGGTCACCATTCTCATGGTTTCTACTACCATCTCGCAAAATCGCCATTGGTCTCTTACATGTTTGGGTGCACTTTGTTATGTGCCCGTTAGTCTTGTTTCGTGACGGCAGCATCCTTGCGATGTCTGTGACGGTCTGATTTTTTTCCCGGTACAATCCGATGAACTTCAAATCCGTTTTATTTGATTCCATAAATAAAGGTTCTTATGACCTTTGTGTAGTATAACTTCAAATAGATCTTGAAGTTGTAGATGTACGACTGTGAAAAGTATGTACCTTTTGGATGAGAACCCTACCAGGTACCGATGAATCTGAATCTGACATCTTGCCCAACAATGTATCCAACCAGATGCCCAGACATGTCCACTTGGACAATTCAATAAGATGACCTCATTCCTGCATGTCCATAGATCCGAGCCCCTCATTTATTTACCCCGCCCCCTTCCAGTTCATCCCGAGCTCTACATACTTCTCTCACTTCAACATCACCCAATTCATCATGTCCAACCCCTACTTTGATATTGAATACACTACGTCTGGCGGCCAGGGTAAGTTTACACTCTATCTCATTTGAGTAACACTAACTCTATGCAGTGGAAAACTGGGGTCGCATCGAGTTCAAACTCTATGACGACGTCGTCCCAAAGACCGCAACCAACTTCCGCAGCCTAGCCACAGGCGAAAAAGGCTTCGGATATGCAGGCTCTGCTTTCCACCGCGTGATTTCCGGGTTCATGGCCCAGGGTGGTGACTTTACTCGCGGAAATGTAAGTCATCTCTCCGCGGGGAAATCCGAGCGCCAGCTAATCTCTACTCTCTATCCAGGGCACGGGCGGAAAGTCCATCTACGGCGAGAAGTTCGAAGATGAGAACTTCAAGATCAAGCATACTAAGGGCGGTTTACTCTCCATGGCGAATGCTGGACCTAACACCAACGGTTCTCAATTCTTCATTACTGTGAGTCGGAACCATGCTTAAAGAAATACACGGGAGACGTGTTCTGACTACATTAGTTTGTGCCAACTCCCCACTTGGATGGAAAGCACGTTGTCTTCGGAGAGGTTGTTTCCGGCCAGGATATTCTCCAAAAGATGGAGAGCAAGAGCTTAGATCGGTCTGGGAAGACTGACGGTACCATTAAGATTGCTGCTTCAGGAACAGTCTAGGCACAGTCTAGGCCATCATTGGGAAATGCTGCTCTCTTCTATCTAAGCAGCTTACTGAATATCAATGTGGACGTGAATTCGTCCATCGTCTCATCGATCCATGTGTCCCATTTTTTCTATATCTAGACTTTCATCAAGTCACGTAGGATGAACACTGCAAGTCCAAGAGCAGGGCAAATACATTGGTCGCATACACTGCGACATTAAGAGCAACTATGTAGTAACCAAACACAAAGTAACTACCTCCAGCCAACTCATTTCACAGCAACCAGAAACAACCGCGGATACTTCAACAACACCCTCCCATCAACAGAAACAGGATAAGCATCCCGCAGACGCCTCAAATAATCCTCCAAGAAATCCACCTTCTCGGCATCCTCCAACGGATCCAAAAACGGCCTCAACCCCGTCCCCTTAACCCACTCAATAACCGCCTCATGACTCTCAAGCGAATGATAATAACTCGTCTCAAAAACCTCAACCCGACTAGCAAACGGAATAAGCAGATCATAAAGCTCCTGCGGCGACTGGAACCGATCTCTCTGCACACCGGCTAGTTTCTCCGCCCAGGGACCCTGAGCAGCCGTCTCCGCCATAAGAACATGCGAAGGTTGGTCCAGGTTATGCGGGACCTGGAGTGCGAAAACAGCGCCCTTTTCCTGGGGCTGTAGCAGCCGCTTAATAACCGCAATGCGCTCGTCGGCTTTCAGCCACTGGAACACCGCGTTAGAGAAAGAAGAGGTCGACTGGCGTCGCTGGGTCGGGCGTGTAGGTGGTCAGATCTGCGACCTGGAAGTCCCGGTCTGGGAGGACTTGTTTTGCGCGTTTGATCATGTCTGGGGATGAGTCCAGGCCTGTTATTTTTGCTGTTGGGTATTGGGTTGCTAGGACTGTTGTTGAGTTGGCTGGGCCACAGCCTAGGTCGATGATTCTTTTTGGGGATGTTAGGGGGACGTGGGAGAGGAGATCGCGGGCGGGTTGGGTGCGTTCGTTTTCGAATTTGAGGTATTGGTTTGCGCTCCAGTCTTTCGTTTGTTGGGACATTGTTGTGGTGAAGTGTCTGTAGACTGGTTTGGGGATTGGGATTCTTGGGGAGTGGGTGACTAGCCTGGTTGCTGAGTTCAGGCGACAGTGCATTTTTTAGATGATTTAAATACTAGAAGATGTTTGGCTGTAGGAGGGATACTTGCTTTTAGATTGATATCTTATGGCTAATGAGGTGAATCGAGGAAGTGGCGATGTCGGATGTTCGGTGATCCCTCCGATATCGCTATGAAGAGCGTTGCATTGGAATCCAGAACGATGATGAATGCATGGTAAATCTGACATTTAATTACCTCTATATCTAGCTACTAGCTAACGTAGGAGATGAAGGTAGATCCAAAACTGAACACGATGTGCTTCCGAATTATGCCGCCCACTTTTTAGTGGGCCATTTCTCCGCACCCTCCGCATTTAGTTACCCACCAGGTTGCCAAAGAGGGCCTGAAGCCAGGTCAGGACATCCGTGGCACTATCAGTGGGGAAAGGCAGATCCGAAGCGCTAGCGGAGGGAACAGCGCTGGCGGTAGGGGCTTGAGACGCGGCGGAAGTAGCCGACTGACGGGCAGTGGTAGCGAAAGTAGTAGGCTGAGCAGCAACCGCGGAGGAGGAGGTAGGCTGAACAGCAGCTGTGGTGGGGGTCTGAACAGCGACAGAAGGGGCTGAAGTAACAGCGATATCCGTAGCGCTGGAGGTCGAGGCCGACGACTCAACCGGAGCCGCGCCACCAGCTCCACCGAGAGTGAAGTCGACACACGACTCGTAGGTCTGGTCGATGGATTCGGCGAACCAGTACCACTGCAGCACACAGTCACCGGCGGTGGCACACTGGCTTCCGAGATCGTCGGGGATAGTGACGCTGAAGTTGGTCTCGTCGTCGGTGACACCGCTGGCGGTGGAGGCGTACTCATCCCAGGAGATCAGGGGCTTGCCAATGACCTTGTTGGAAGCGGTGTCGACGACGGAAACGTTGGCGACACCGGTGTGGGGGGCGCGGATGTCGACAGTGAAGTCGACCTTCTGTCCTGCCGTGTATGACTGGACGTTGTCCTTGTTGTCGGCGAACTTGTAGCCCTTGCAAAGCCAGATATCGCACTCCTCGGCTTTGTAGTCGTTCTGGCTGGAGGCGATCTGCAGCTCGCCTTGGATGTTGCCGTACTTGTCAGAGCCTTGGTTGGACAGGACTTGCTGGCCACAGGCGGCTCCCATTGCGGTGCCGGGCTGGCGGGCCTTCGGAGTGGTAACGAAGCCATGGCCGTTGACCAAGGAGACGATGCTGGCGATAGCCAGAGCGGAGGTGAATTGCTTCATGTTTGATGAGTTGGGATGTCGAGGAGTGAATGGAAATGATCGGTAAACCGGACCGATGAATGAATGTATACTTGATGAATGAATGTCTGCACGGTATCAAACCGGAGGAAAATGAATGTGGATGTGAATGAAAATTCAAAAAGGACTGGCCAGCATGCTGAACTGGTCTGTCGCGTGGCATGCGGCTGCTTATATAGTAGCCATATTCAAAAGGAGCTCTATTTGGACCTGCATTGGACATTAATCAACCACAAACACTAGATTGACACTTATCAGAGACATCTCCGACAGCGAGTAGGGCCGAATGCATGTATCACACTGAAACACATCGGATATACCTAAGGGGACAGTGCTCCCCCACCGGGAGGGGATACGTGAGACCGGCGGCAATGTTAGCTCGCATCATATCGGTAAAATACAACATAGGACCTCGGAAATAGGCCTTCGGGGGTATATTGAACTAGGGATGATTCTCCCGAGACGAGGCCGACGTTCCTGAGGCTAGGGTTGCCAAGCCTGGCTCCACGCGCCGAACAGGGATGCAAGTTTCATATTGATGGGACCTGCACCGGTGCCAATGGGGAGACTGACAGCTGAGACAGGAATTTAATGGGCGCTTTACGTTAATTAAGAACGTGGAGATCGAATAGGCTTGACTTGGCAGATTCTGCTCGGACATTTATCCAATTTCATTCCAATTTCATTCCAGGATTATCCGAGTCTTTGATAGTCCACACTTGAAAACCAAACTAAATCCGATGAAACTGACTAGTTATACTAGCAATTTCTTGATCTATCAGTTTCAGAATGAAGCCAAATTGAACAATATCACATGCGTAATTTTGACTCTTTCATTCGCCTTCCAACCTGTTCCCAGCATTGGGCATTCCCACATATGGGATATCTTATACACATTGTCTCCGGGGGGCAACTTCAGCCTACCCCCTTGCAGCTAAATACAGAGCTCAAATCTATTGGCATCGGCCGAAGATGTCATGAAACCGGAGTGCTTCTCGCAACAAGTACTTTATTGAGCCTGCTTTGCATTTCTCCCTATACCTAATTGGCTCTTGGATGCTTATAAGGTCTCTTCCTCTCGATCCACCAAAAATTGGTGTATATTCCCAGCTACTTAGAGCCAAGCATCCAGAAATGACAGTAGTCTTCTATTTCTCCAGGGCTGGTGTCTCATGTACTGCAACAGTGTCGAAGAAGCATCACTCTTCATCCCTCAGCTCCTAGTGATTCAGCGACAGATCAAAGACAATCTTCCCCTTCGCATGTCCTCCATCCAGTCTCTTGAATGCCTCTTCATACTGCTCAAGGGGCCAGACACTATCCACCAATTCCCGACACACCCCCTGCTCAACCAACTTCGAAATCTCCTCTAACTGTCTCCTCACAGGCTGCATAACAAAGAACAAATCTTTTACACTGACCCCCTCAATCCCATCCGGACAGACCTGCAATGGTGGCTGATAGATACTCAGCACAACACCACCATCCTTAACAGTCCACCACGCATCCCCAAGAGCCTTCCCTCCAACACAATCAACAACAACATCTACCTTATTAGAAGGCAACTGCATAGCCCACTCCCTCAAGTCCACAACCCGATAATCAAGCACCTCCTTCGCACCAAGCGATCTCACAAGCTCCACATTCCGAGAACCACACGTCCCAACCACCTCCGCACCAAGCATCGTCGCCAACTGCACAAGCCAAATACCCACACCACCAGAAGCAGCAGTAACAAGAACTCTCTTTCCCGCCCAAGCGACCTTGGCAGCCTCCATATCCATCTCTCCCCCATTGCCATTTCCAGGGGTACCAAGAGCATGGATAAAAAGAACCTGCCAAGCCGTCTGCGCGGAGACAGGAACCGCAGCAGCCTGCACCCAGCTTAGACGCTTCGGCTTGTGTGCCAGCTCGTCCGTAACGGCGATGGAATACTCGCGCGCATTCCCTGGTCGGATATAGTTTGTGCGCGCGTATACTTCATCGCCGGGTTGAAAGGGCGAGTCTGACGGTGCCGAGATGACGATTCCCGCCATGTCCGGGCATGGGATTAGAGTGCGCGCTGTTGGTGGCGGGAAGTTCTTTGGCCAGAGGAGTTCGCCGGCGCAGGGACTGCAGGCTTTTATTTGGATTAGGTGTTCTCCCTGTTCATGATTTGGGGTTGGGACGGGTGTGTTTGTCAGGGTGAGGGTTTTGGAGGAAGCGGCTTGTTGGATGATGCTGCGCATATTGGGGGGAAGGGGGTTTGACATGTCTGGGGTTTGTAGATACGTTGTTATCTGCTAGAAGGAATGGGTTGACTGCCCAGGTGTGTCTCAAGTTATATAGGTGAGTGTCGAGGCGTCATCCGGATCCCCGCATAGTCTATTTGATAGCCTATCTCCCACATAAGCCATAAGCTACGGAGTACACGGAGTACTTAGCCTAAGCATTTTATACATTTATTCATTCCAAGGTTTAGAAATCAGGATTTACCTAGATGCAGCAGGGCTTCGTATTCATGTCGGCAATTATAATTAACCATAAATGCCAAGGTCATGCAATGTGTCGTCTACCTATAAAATCCCAGATAGACACCCTATAAAAGCGATGGACCCTGATTTTAACCACATTTTTGAGTGATCGTCAGAAAAAATGCCTCAATAAGCCTTGATAACTTTTTTTTAAAGGAACTGGAGTGAGTTTTAGCCAGACTAGGTGGAAATTCTGCAGGATGTCTGTGAAGAATCACTTTGTAGGGACACTTCCTACTGGTTAGAAGACTCGTACTTTTGTCAATTCACATGCAGCGACACCAACGAGGTCCAATTCGAGAGCCAATACCGGAATCAGTTTCCACCCCACAATGCCCACATATCACCTCTCAAGCCCCTCAAGGCCCTCAAGCCTATGACGGCGCTGTGTAGTTCCCAAAATGGCCTTTGACATGAGAGCGGGGTCCGATGCCGTTCCCCGTTGAACATTCAAATTCTTCGCCTCTTCTCGACTTTGATTTTCTGTACCTGATCGGTTCTCTACAATGTATAAAAAACGCACTGAGCCTGACGATGATATCGCCGTGGTATGTCTCGATTGTTTTTTTTCTTTTTTTCCGATGTTTTGTTTATGTTTTGACACAATATTAGGATTCCACGACCCATGTCCCGACCCTTTACGGCGATGACTGGCAATCGTAACTATTATCTCCTTATATGAGAAAGGAAAATAGTCTCTCACACAATCTCAGGGAAACCACCTCGATCGGCTCCTCGCTGTATCGCGGGCTAGAGGAGAATGGCCGACGATATCAAACATTGAGCCACAAAGAATATCTGTACGCTTGGATTTCCGAATCAAGGTATATCCTGCTTATTTCCTATCAGGATCCCATCGGATGAGAAACAGTTCGAGACATACGAAGCTGGGTATGTGGAATCCTCCTTTTTACCCTTCAATAACTAACACTATCGCAGCCACTTGGTCGCCCTCGTCATGGACTCAGACCGCGAAAACCCCCTTTTCCGGGCGCCTGTTAAAGATCCCAAAAATATCCTCGATCTTGGTACAGGTCTGGGTAATTGGGCCATGTATGTGGAAAGAAAACACCTTTCATCTCGGGGGACCACCACTCACCCTCTTCTAGCGATGTAGCCGACATGTTCCCATCAAGTGAGTCCAGAACCCTCCGATTCACTCTATATCAACATATTAACCAAAATCCCCAGCCACCGTCCGCGGCGTCGACCTCTTCCCACCACCAGTAAAATGGATGCCCCCAAACTGCATCCTCGAAGTCGACAATATCGCCGAAGAATGGACCTGGAACGAACCCCAGGACCTAATCCACATGCGCATCATGATCGGAGCCTTCGACGACGCAGAGTGGAGCCGCGTCTACCAGCAATGCTACGAGTAAGCCACTAACCCCATCATCCCATCCCAAGCACCCCACCCATCTAACCCAACCCCAAAGCAACATCCGCCCAGGCGGCTGGATCGAACAACTAGAAGCAAGTCCCTACATCGAATGCGACGACGACAGTCTACCAGAAGACAACATCCTGCGCAGCTGGGGACCAGCATTGTCCGCGTGCGGCAAGCGCGCCGGCCGTCCGCTGGAAACAATCGACATGATGCAAGATGCCTTCCGCAAGGCTGGGTTCGTGGATATCCATGAAAAAGAATACAAGTGGCCCATCGGACCGTGGCCCCGTGACCAGAAATATAAAGAGGCCGGCACGGTTAACTACCAGCATTGGATGTCGGGTATGGAAGGCTGGGCTATGTGGTTGCTTTGTAAATTCGGGGCGCCGGAGCCGTGGTCGCAGGAGGAGGTTATTGTTTATGTGGCGAAGTTGAGGGCTGAGATGCAGAATCCTCGGTATCATATTTATGAGCGCGCGTAAGGTTTCTTTTCTTTGATGTGTGTGTGCATTGGGCTGATTCTTTACAGGCGACGTGTGTGGGCGAGGAAGCCTTTCCCTGAGGAGGTTGCGGCGAGGGAGCAGGCTGAGGCGAGAGCTCAGGCTGAAACGGGAGCTCAGGCTGAAACGGGAGCTCAGGCTGACACGAGGGAGCAGGCTGACACGAGAGCTCAGGCTGAAGCTGAGACTGACACTAATGAGAGGGTTGATATCAAGAGGGAGGAGTAAAAGGTAGTGTACTTTCATTGCCGGGGTAAATGAAACGGACTATCCCCTGTTTTGATGTCAGAGACGAAGGAGGCAGTCATTACTGCAGTGTCAATTGCAGGTTGATGACATGTCTGATAATGCCTGGAAAAATAGCCAGCCTTGGATTGGCCCTTTGTGTGTTTTTTTTGGAGTCTTTTGTAGCTGATGTTTATGACTTCCTACCAATGCATTCAACCGTTTCTTATATGCGCGCCATGTACTTAACTCCGAGTTAGGTGCACCCACATATCCTGATATAGAGGGGCCATTGTCCTTCACACGGTACAGCACTGGAGCACGAATAGTATAAAATTCCCAAGTACCTATTTACCTGGAAGATATAAGTACCTATGGTACGAAACGAAGGTGCCACTCACTCTCCTGTAAGTCAGACATGCTGCTGAAGGTATTCGCAGTAAAAGGCTAATAGATATGTGTGGTGACAATGTGCGAGGTATCATGGCAAAGAGCAGGAAAAGATAGCCAAAAGAGGACCAAAAGAGAAAGCAAAAGCTATGCGCTTGCAGAAATAGCCCAAAACCACAACCAGAGATGAATATAGAAAATAACCAAAAAGAAAAGAAAAAAAAAATTTAGAGACGTGCTAGCAGCGATCACCAATTGATCCTGCATGACGCTAGCGCTCCTGCTCAGTTGGCTGGAAGCGCACGCGATCAGTCTGGGGCTGCGAATTACCCTGCAGCCGATTCCTCTCCTGATCCGAGTCATTCGTAGCATAATCATCAGCGAAAGGATTCCGCACCTGGAAATCCTCAGAGTTGTATTCATATCGGCCGGTAGTTGTAGATCCCGAGACGGGATGGGAACCAAGCGGGCGACCACCAGTCATAGTCGTAGAAGGCAGCTGCGCCGCGACGGGTGCGGGGGACTCGGGACTCTGTGTTGAGGTCCCAGCTGGCGCCGCAGAGGGAGGGAAGAAACTCGTAGCGCCTGATGCGGCAGCCTGCGACGTCGGCGAGGGGGTATTCAAATTAGACGAGGTTGGCGACGAAGACGCTCTAAGCTTGCGCGCCTTCAACATGGCACGCTGCTGCTGCGACACCGCCACGGAGATCTCGTCGTTCGTCTCAATGAGCGTCAACAGGGTGTCCTCGTCCGGAGCTGGGTTGGTCGAGTGGATATATCCTTGGATAATACGCGAACCGGTCCGGCAGCGGTCAACGAACTCCTTGATGAGGTCGTTGTCTTCCAGCTCTGTCGGCGGCGTGGACTGGACGAACTGCGTTAGCAGCTTTGCCGAGTTGCGCGCTTCCTCGATGCGGGCCGCTAGTTCCACCGGCCCGGGGAGGGTGTTTGCCGGCGCGCGAGCCTGGCTGTATGGTTGCTGCTGGTGGGGGTAAGCCCTGGGCGGGAGTTGCGGCGGGACGATGGAATTCATTGGGAAACGGTCGATCTGGGTAGGTTAGAGACCTTGGACGGCGTGCAGAGAGACTATGATGTGCTCACCAAACCGTGTGAGGCTTTCGTCTTCTCCTTCCCCACATTTGCAACAGGAGTTTGAGATCTTCATCCCATGCACGCTGTTGCTCGAGGGTGTCCAGATACTGGCGGAGATAGCTCTGCACGTGCCAGTCGCGTCCGGTACGCAGTAGTTCTTTGATAGTCGTCACGAATTTGGCATCGAAGTTCCGGGTGAAGGTGTGGCCCGGGTTGTCGACCAGGATGCGCATGAGCATGACCGCATTGTACTGGGTGTGGTTCGGGGTACCGGCGGAATCGCTGAGATACTTGCGGATGCGCAGGGCCGCTTCCTTGGCGGCATTGGGGCTCGACTCGGCGGCTTCGACGATTTTGGGGAGGTGGACGAATTCGGTTCCTTGCTGGAGTGTGCAAATGCGATTGTCAGTCTCGGAAAGGGGGTTGTTGTTGTCATCTCCGAGGCACATACCGCGTCGCGTGAAGAGCCATTCGAATTCACATTTGCATTCGACTCGCAGAAGGCAGTCTAGAGAAGGTGTCAGTGTGACTTATTTAATGTCTCTGAAATCAGCACAAACCAATTCTTTCAGGACAATGGCTTCTGGTGAATCTTCAGGGTGTCCGACACTGTCGCTCGAGCCTATGTTCAGGTACAAGTTAGTGAATTTGCGGGGAGCCGTGGAGACAGTGAGACACTCACTTGAGCGCCTGCTCAGAGATCCCAGGAAGCGCTTCATGGTGATCGTAGAGTCTCTTTTTTTCAGGGGAAATTTTGAAAGAAAGAAAAAGTTCAGCCAAAGAATAATTGTAGCCGGGGGCCAGTGCCTCCCTCGAACTAGTCTGCAGGGAACTAATAGGCCTCGCTAAGGGCCGAGAAGACAGGAGAGATATATATTGTATATAATGTCAAGATCTCTAGCGGTCAAAGCCACATTCCACGCACGCAGCCAGGTGTTTTACATTGCCAAGCTGTTGCCATCCAGGCTCCAGGCAATTCATCTCATTGCTTTATTCTGGTGACTCAGCCACGTGCTGGCGTAGACAGTACACGATCACAATGTGCATTGACCATATATTTAGAAGTACCAAGTACTTAACACTACTCCTCATACTCCTCACATAAACCCATCACCCCTCCCTCTACTCTGCTTCAATAGCATCAGCCATCTGCCCCAAAGTCTCAAACCGCCAATCAAAGATCGGATTCCCTCGATTCCCCATCAAAGCCCCAGGCCTCTCAATCCAAACTGACTTAATGCCAACCTTTCTCGCAGGTTGATGATCATGAAACTGACTCTGCGCCGTCTGCAGAACCTGCCCAGGCCCAACCCCAAACTCGCGCTGTACAGCACTCAACATATACTCAAAGTTCCGTAGATCAGGCTTGTAACTGCCAATATCCTGCGCGGTAAGAATCATATCAAAAGACACGCCCTGCAAGCTGCCGGCATTGGACTTGGCGAATGAAGCCCGGTCCACGTTCGACAGCACCACTAGCCTGTAGTGCTTTGATAGTCGACGCAGAGCGTCCACAGTGTCTGGGAAGGCTGGCCAGGTTCCGACGGAGTTACCGAATTCGCGGCTTTCCTCCTCGGTTGGCGGGTTGAGGCCTAGGCGTGCGGCAAGGGTGGGGTGGATTGCTGATAGCAGGTCTGAGTACGGAAGGTCCGGGGTTGCGGTTTGTTGGGCGCTTTCGAGGTCGTGGTAGGTTGTTAGGAGGTGTTCCCTAGTGAATTGGGTGGCGCTTTTTGAGAGGATTGGTTCTAATGCAGCGATGATGCCACTTTCCCAGTCTATTAGGGTGCCGTAGACGTCGAAGCAGAGGAGGCGGTAGTCTGAGAGGTTGGTCATTTTGGTCTGATTTGGGTAGTATATATATAATGGGAGTAGATTGGGATAATCAAGGAATCTTGAAAGTGTATTCTGTTCTGGGCTACTTATACCCCCGCATGCAGATCTCTGCTTATACATAGAATGGATGGTTCCCTTGGCATGTTCCTAGATAAGGATTGTCGGGGACCAGAAGTGGTATAGACAGGATTTTTCCTTGAGATTCCATTGTCAACAATCCCCTCATATAAAGTGGATATAGAGGTTAGCCTGTAGTCCAGATACGCTATCCAGTAATTGCTACAATGGATCGAATGCATATTGAAACGGAAAAAAAAGACCATATTATATGGAAGATTGGAACCTCGACAGAGGTGTGCAGCTAGACAAGACAGAAACGGAAATCATCTCTATCAAAAGAGAAAACACTCGATAGAGTCATGGAGAAAGAACCACGTTTGTATCATGATTGGATCGGGAAGTACAGAATCCTATTTCCATCACCCTGGGCCATATCGTTTAAACTTTTTATTGGGTTCTCCTCCGAGTGTTGGCGCCATGACCTTAAAATCTTGTATGATCCGGTATCGATTCCGTTCCAACATACATAGCTGATGCACAGAACTCCGATCCTTCCCGTCCACCGCAAAAATCTTTTCACATTGCGTAACCACACATCCCCTCACACCTTCTTATGGCGATCCGTTTATGCCTCGATGAGAGCACGGCGGATCTGGGTGCCACGCTGGCGGGAAGAGAGGCGGACCTGCTTGTCGGTGCTGGCCTTCTTGACCTCCTCGGCAGCCTCGGTGAGGATGAGCTCGATGTGGCAGGGGTTGGTCATGTAGGGGTTGATCTGGGAAGAAAAAGGTCAGCATTTTTGGCAAATACAGACTCAACCGTAAATCTTAGGAGAAACGTACACGACCGTGGGCACGGTAAGTGCGGCGGCGACCCTTGGGGGCCTGGTTGACCTGGATGCGCTTGATGATCAGAGCGCTGGTGTCGAGACCCTTGCCATCGGCGTTGGCCTCGGCGTTCTTGAGCAGATCGATGATGTGCTCAGCGGACTTGACGGGCCAGCGGGCCTTGGAGACACCGAACTGCTTGCCTGTAAACCAAAAACTGTCAGTCGATGTTCGACTCCATTCACAAATTTTCATCCAGATCGTAGACAATCCACAGCATCGCCAATAAGCCAAGAAATCCATCCTATCGTTTCGTCCATGTTTTCCTCATCACTTCAGTGCATATCCCAGTGGCTGTCGTATATTTGGCGATGCTGTTCGTCCTCCCCACAATCCATTCAAAACCCCGATCCATCCGGAATTTTCTTCAAAAAAGGGCGACTCACCCTGAGCAGTGCGACCGGTGGAGCCAGCGTAGCGGCGCATGGGAACGGCCATGGACTTGTTGGTGACGTTCTCGAGGAAAGTGAGGGCCTTGGACAGCTTCATGCCGTTGACAGCCTGGGCGGTCTCACGGGTGTTCTTGAAGCTGACACGGAGGTAAGAGCCGCGCGCGCGGGCGCTCTTGGCCTCCGAGATCTCCTGGGCGGCGTAACGGACCTGTGAAAAGCATCGCTCGTTAGCAATGGGATCGTCGTTGGGTGTTGGTGATATTGGCGAAAGTCGACCCGGCGATCGGACATTGAATGTGCATCACACGAGTGGCATTTCGTAGAGAATGGGATTCCGAATGGGCATTATCGTTGACAGGAACATGCAGCACTCACCATCTTGAAGGAGTTGGCGAGGGGGGTGTGATGGTCCTCGGTGGTGAGTTGTTGTCGCTTTTCGTCGTCGTCCGGCTCTCGCTTGAGCCACTAGATTTGGTGCGGTTTTTTTCGCTCTTGGCGCTCTGGCCCTAAGCGAGCCCTAACGCTAGCCGTTTTAGGTGGATTCTTCCTTTTGAGTTATGTCAGAGATTAGTCATTAAGATTCTGCCCCACATCTCAGGTGTCGATATGTCTAAATCGACTAAGGTGAACACCTTCTACCTAGGTACCCTTGGAAGCTACATACATACTCAATACTTGATGATTGAACGGAACAGATTTAATTCTTTATAAACCCACATCTATATTGTCCATCATTTGCCTATTTCTTCTGCTCTGGCACCTGTGTAATAAGCTCACCCTTCTCAACAGCCGACCGCAAGTTATCGAGTACCAAAATTTCCATCTCTTTCTGAGTCTCATAAGTCGCAGTACCAATATGCGGCAGCAACATAACGTTAGGGTTGCTAACAAGCCCGGGCTCAATTTGTGGCTCGCACTCGTACACATCCAGACCAGCAGACCGCACCTATATAACAGCTAGTCAGTCGCCTATCCATCATGGAAGGGAAGGTTTAAGCCCAATGCGCAGCATTACATACCTTTCCAGAGTCAAGCGCCGCGACCAATGCTTTCTCATCAATCAGCGCCCCACGCGCCGTGTTAACAATCACCACGCCATCCTTCATCTTGGTGAACTCGGTCGCACCAATGATGTGGCGTGTGGATGCATTCAAGGCCAAGTTCAAGCTAAGCACGTCCGCATTAGCGAGCAACTCGTCAAACGAGACGTATGTCGCACCGCCTTCCAGCTCGGCTGGCAGACGGGACCGGTTGTGGTACTGAATCTTCATCCCAAAGGCCTTGGCGCGGATTGCCATTTCCTGCTCATGGTTAGCTGGCGTCAGGTGGTGAACTACTGCGTCGGTGCTACTTACCCGTCCGATGCCTCCCATCCCCAGAATTCCGAGGACTTTGCCCTTGGGGTCGTGGCCCAGGCTGGTTTTGTACTCCTTTCCTCCTGCGGTGATTGGGCCTTGCCACTTTCCTGTGTTCATTGGCATTATGGTTAGTTACTGGTTACTGGGGGAGGATTATTCCTCTGATTTAGAGCCACTTACCTTCCCGGAGAGCAGTCATGGGCACATGAGCCTGGCGCAGAGCGCCGATCATCAGGAAAATGCCAACATCGGCTGTCGCATCGTTCACGGCGACTGGGGTGCTGGACACAGCGATGTTCTTCTCGGAGCAGGCGGCCACGTCAATGTTGTCGTATCCCGCGCCGTTGTGACAAATGTACTTGAGGGATTTAGGTAGGACTGCGAGCATCTCTGCATTGAACGGGCCGGTGTACTATGCGCTGTAAGCAAGATAACTTGGAGTGAAGGAGCCAGGCCGATGTGTACCTTGGTGGAGGTGTTGGACCGATAGAGCGCGACTACATCATCATACTTGCCGGCCTTGCAGTTTGCGATGAACTCTTCTCTGGTTCCGCTGGGGAATTCCTGATATCGTCTGCTTTAGCGGGATTTGATCGCGGCGCAATAGGAATTGCTAACCTTCAATGTCAATAGAGATGAGATGCTCTCCCACTCCTTGCGCGCGTGTGTGATTTCTCCAATGAGGAGAGCTGATTGTGTTGCCATGTTGTTTCTGCAAATGTTAGATGCGCCAAATGATATCGGCGGGGTTGCTCACACTTGTAACGTTCTAAGGTTCTATAGTTGTATCAAGAGGGCAAGGCGACAAGGCGACTGAGGGGGATGAAGCGAGCAACTTGGAGATTAGTAGCTTTCAGAATGAAAAGAAAAGAGAAATTACAAGAGTCTAGGAAATCCAAAAAATTATTGGAGATCCCCGCTATCGCGGAACCCCCCATGTCGTGACGGGGGCTCCTCCGACGGTGTCCTGGATATAGATATAGATCAGACCGTATACATTATATACGTTGTATAGATCAACCATATGTCTCCCAATTCATTTTACATTTATCTCTATACTTCATTGACTTAACTTATTACTTCTTCACTTGTTAGCCTCTCACCCTTCTAAGTGCAAATGCACACATGTAATCACCCCCACGTCGGGTATTGAAATCACCACTTTCATCCAAAAACCGACAGCGGAGCACCTCCGGGCTCAAGTCTTCCCCCCCACGACGACCAAGTGGGGTGTTTTGCGTCTTTTGAGGGGAAACGGGCCGAGTTGACTCCAAATGCCGCCAGAGGTCGGATTTCGCTTCGCTATTTACTTCGAATCTTTCTTCTGTTCTCTCTAAAACTTCTTACTCCTCCCTACACTGTATATACACATCATGGCAAACACAACTACCACCGCGCTCGTTCTCCACGGCGCCAAAGACCTCCGCCTAGTAAGTAAACCAAACACAAACCAAGAACCCAACCCTAACCCAAACCCAGGAACAACGCACCATCCCCGCTCCGTCAACAACAGAAGTCCAAGTCGCCATCCGCGCAACAGGCCTCTGCGGCTCAGACCTACACTACTACAGCCACGGCCGCAATGGCGACTTCGTCGTCCGGGCACCAATGTGTCAGGCCACGAATCCGCCGGCACAGTAACAGCCACCGGCAGCGCCGTGACAACCCTCAAAGTCGGCGACCGCGTCGCACTAGAAGTCGGCCTCCCATGTCGCACCTGCGCGCTCTGCAAACAAGGCCGCTACAACATCTGCAAAGGCATGCAATTCCGCAGCTCGGCAAAAGTCTTCCCCCACCTCGACGGCACGCTGATGGAGCGCACAAACCACCCTGCGGATATGTGCCACCTGCTCCCGGACAGCGTGTCCGATGCTGGCGGTGCGCTCGTCGAGCCGCTGGCTGTCACGCTGCATGCTGTGCGTCGCTCACACCCGCCGAGTAAGGAGGAGGTTGCGATGAACCGTGCCGCTGGGGAGGAGACTGCGGCGTTGGTTTTTGGTGCTGGTGCGATTGGTCTGCTGCTTGCTGGGGCTTTGGCTGCTAGTGAGAATTTCTCGAAGATTGTTGTTGCTGATATTGATGCGCGGAGACTTAAGATCGCGGAGGGGATGGGTATTGGGCTTAAGACTGCTCTTATTCCCAGGGCGGAGACTCCGCCTCCGGCGAAGGATGCGCCTCATGCTGAGCAGACGGCGTATGCGCTGGAGAATGCGCAGAAGGTTGCTGCTGCGTTGGTCGAGGCGGTCGGGGCTAGGGATGGCCTTGTTGTAAACGGATTCAGTCGTGTTTATGACTGTACCGGTGTGCCCGCTTGTGTGCAGGCTGGTATCTATGCTAGTGCACCTGGTGGTGTGCTGGTGCAGATTGGTATGGGGAACCCTATCCAGACGCTGCCTGTTGGCGCCGCGGCGCTGCGCGAGGTGGATATCATTGGTGTGTTCCGTTATGATGGACATGCGTACCCTGCTGCTATTGCGCTGCTGGCGAGCGGGAAGATGAAGAGTGTTGAGGAGAAGGTTGTTACGCATAGACTTAAGTTGGAGGAGGGAGAGCGGGCGTTTACACTTGCTGGGAAGGGAGTTGATGAGGAGGGGAACCCTGTTGTGAAGGTTATTATTGAGAACCGACGGGGCTCCAGTGGCTCTCTGTGAATTTGATGCTGGTGACGATGGTGATGATGATGATGAATTGTGTTTGGAAATACCCGGATTGTGATAATAGAGCAAAAGGATGGATATATATGTGGGGTTGTATATGTGGGTATGAGATTTATGAACAGCAAAATTGCATCTACAAAATTGGACAAAGGCGTTGATAATAGTGATAGCTTGTAGGGCGCGAAAGGCCAATGAGATATATTGCCACTTCTTATGCTATTCTTCCTAATATTCCCGGGTCGCTCATTTCAACCCTCCAGCTAGCAAGAGGCTCTGACCCGTCATGTACCCTGTTTTCACAAGCATAGTCACAACATTGGCCGTCTCCTCGGGCGTCCCAAGGCGACCAAGCGGAATACCAGCCGCTACCTCAGGGATAGCCGCAGCATTGGGAATCATACCGGTGTCCCCAATCATGGCAGGTGCCACATCGTTCACACTGATATTGAATTCAGCCAGCCGGGTAGAAAGGTTCTTCATCATGCCTGTCAGACCACCTTTAGAGGCGGCGTAATCTAAAAGAAAGTTAGCTTGATTCCCCCCCCCCCGGAAAGAAAACGAGTGACATACGACATCCATTGATTCCTCCGCCTTGCGCAGCAATCGAGGACATAAACACAATACGCCCCCAATTCTGGCTCTTCATACGCTCCACCACCCCCTTGACGAGAATGAATGAAGCGCGCAGGTTGACCTGTAAAGTATAATCGAACTCTTCGAGAGAGCAATCCCAGATTTGCGGGAACCGCTTCCCGTGCCCAGCGTTCGAGATCAGGATATCGGGTCGGTGGCCGTGCTCGGTGTCGATCTGCTGGAACATCGTCTCGATGTCGTCAGCGGAGCCAACATCCACTTTATGAATTGAGATGCGGAGCTTGTTATCGGCGTATTTGCTCTGCAGATCGGTCACCAGCGCGTTCATTGCGGTCAGGTTGGTCGCGTATGTCAGGGCGAGATGCACTCCATGTTCGGCAAGCTGGTGTGCGCAGGCAGCTCCGATGCTACAAGATCCATTGTGAGTTATTCATTCTCGGTGTTGAGGTAACTTGAGTTGGGATAGAGCTTACCCTCCCGATGCACCGGTGATAAGCGCAAGTCGGCCCTGGATCTCGTTAAGTGACATGATGCGACAGAGTTGATATATGTTGACGATATGCAATGATTCAAGTGCAAAAGTAAACACCCAGACCTCGAAGTTTGATCTGGCAAAGCAAAAAGGACTGCGTTGCTGGCCTCGGTTACCCCTCGGGGCCATCTCCGAGGGTAGCCCCCGCAGCCCCGCATCATTTGCCGTCAGACTGGGGTGTGGGGGTATCACATCACACGTATCATACAATGAGCAAAGACATTCCCAATCATTTAAAAGAGAAGGCTGCTGCTCATATCCCCCATCCAAGCAGATGGCTGCCAAGACTGCGAGCGTGGCTCCCCAGATTGGTACATATCAGAGGCATTCTGGAACGCATCCAGTCCCAACAATCCGCCAGAAATCTGGTCTCCGGATACATAATCGCCCACTGCCTCCAGATCCAGCCAGGAGAAGTCATTTGCGGGACTGAATTGCATGTATCCCGGGTCTGCGACCGGGTTCGGAAGGGCTGTTTGCAGTGGGAAGTCACTATTCTGCTGTGTCTCTTCGGTTGGGTTTGACGTGGACTTGGGCTTCCACAGAAGCTCTAGAAGGCGAGCATACCGCGACCCGACATCGTCGGTGCCGGCGCTTGCTTGTTTGAGGACTTGGGTGGTTCGGATGACTAGACCTTGGACTTTTGCTTCTTCTGATGGGACCATCATTCCGAAGGAACGAGCCTATCGTATCAGTTAGACGATATATAGAAGAGGACGAACTGCACAGGGTTCTTACCTTGTAGAGGAAAACGGCAGAGTAGATGCCATATCTAAATCGCATGAGCTGTTTGATCCGATATAACACGCGATGAGATCAAACTTACAAGTAGAAGCGGAGAGGCATGAAGTGGAGATGTTTCTCAGGATCTACCAGATCCACCAGGATTGTCAGGTATGACTTGGCCGCATCAACAGATTCATAGATGAATCGTGAATCCTGCATCGAGGCGACATTCTTGAATGTCGATCGTAGATTTTCTCGCTGGCCTTGTAAATCGGTTTTCGGTTTGACTAGCGACTGCGAGATCGCAGCTTGGAACGCGAAAGCAGTTGTATACAGACGCAAATACTCGTACGACAACTGCAGTGTTGCCCGCATAGGTGGTGAGCCTATTGATATGTTAGAACCAAGACATACCCAAAAGCCCAAAGAATAGAGAAAAAGGCCAACTTACAGTTTAATGAACCCCAAAGTGACTTCCACCGCAGAATCGCCAGACGGAAATCATCCACATATTTAACATAGTCTCCCATCAGCATCATCTGGTTACTAGTACGCATCCCTGAATACAAAACCTCATGAACGTTCCCATAAAGCTGCGTAAGATCCAGCATAGCCTGAAAGATCTTCGCATAGTCCTCGTCGCCCTCATTAACCGGCTGCAGCGACGGGAAATCCTGACTAACAAGACCAGTCATAGGCCCCGGCCCACGAGACCAGAAAGCACGTCCAATACGCACAGAAATCAATCGATCAGAGACATAGCAGCTCGCCCAGGCCAGCCGCCGACGAGCCTCACTCTCCTGATCACCATAAGAATCCCCACGGAAAGAAGTGCGATCCATGCCGATGAAATACCCCGAGCGCAACGCAAGCCCGACATGCATCCAGGCAGCGCGGTCTTCCTCTCCACGCCCAACACGCTCAATGCGAGGCCGCAGTCCCTGCGGCTCCCACTCGGCAAGTAACAGAAGCGCTTCGACCGCTTCAACATCACACTCTGCGCCCGCGGCGATGCCGGAAATCAGTTCGTGCATGTACTTCGAGCAGTACTCGTGGATCTCGGGCTGGTCGACCAAGTCCTTGGAGGCAATGGTCAGGACTGCGGTGAGCAGGTGCTTCTCATTAGTGGCGAAGGCATCTAGAGCGGTGCGCGTGAAATACTTCCGCGGCACGAGGGGAAGATACGGATGGAAGTTCTCCGCGTAGCGGGAGATCAGTTGCCACACCGTTTCCGGGTCTAGAGCGCACGATTGAACGAGTCTGTAAGCCCTGATTCCGGTAGTTGGGTTGCTAAAGTCTGAGACAGCGCCGTTGCGCAGGCTGTTGTATACCGGGAACGTTGTTGGCTCCGACCGAACATGGTCGTTGGGGACCTCCGGGATTGTCCCCGTGTCTTCTGTGGCGATGCCAGTCAAGCATTGCCAGGCGTCTGATGGATTGCGCGGGACAGATGATATAGAGGTGTCGTCTTCCTCGACGGATGCTGAGGCTGGAGCTGGTGGGTTAGGTGGCAAAAAGACTACCGGGCCGGGGTAGGATGCCGATTGCACTCTGCGGTTTTCCGAGTTGGTTGGGCTTGATGCTTCCGAATCCTTGCCTGGTGAATTATTGACTGGTGTAAAGTTTTTGATTTTGTTCTTTCGGATTCGACGGCCTCCACGGTTTGAGCCGCCGAGTATGCATTCACGCTTTTCGCGCACGCAGCGCGTACATGGTGGTTTGCCAGGTTTACCGTTGGATTCTCTGCATGCGATCAGCGCGGAACAGATCCGGGAAAAGACAATAAGAGCTGAAGGTGAAACAGTAAGAAAAGAGTAAGAAAGATGGTCTTACAGGTCACATCGAGACTTGCGCTGTCGGCAATGCAAGCAGGCTCGAGAGACGCGTTTGGCGATATCGCGCCGCGAGGCTTCTGACGGGGATTCTTCCTCCATGGCTGTAGTAGAGACATTGAAGAGTACGAAATCAAAGTCCGGCTTCTCCACAGAGAAGTCCGACCCTTACTCATCGTGTCCATGCGGTAGACGCCTCCATGTGGGGGACGAACGTTGGGAAAGGCTAAATGATTTACCCTATTGTACTTGACCTCTTTACATGTAATTATTTCCTTTTAGAAGATTTTAGAATAAATTGACTAGCATACTAGCATACTATAGTATTAGATATGTCTTATTGCTCCTTATACGCTATTTAATTAACCATTCAGTCATATGTTTTCAGGTGAAGAGGAAAACCGTCAATAGCCGACGGCTAATGACATCGGCTATAGGAATTGCCCGGAGCAACCCCGCGTTCTCATTTGGGTGGGATGGGGGTGGGATGGGGGTGGGATCTCTTATTTGGAGCTCCTCCCTTTTGGTTCTTTAGTTCTTAGAGTTCTTTTCATTTCAAACCTCCTTTTCATATCCATATTCACAATGGCAGACGTAATGTCCCTCTTCTCCCTAAGCGGGAAAACCGCCCTCGTCACCGGTGGAACACGAGGTATTGGCCAAGCTATGGCCTTTGCCCTGGCTGAGGCCGGCGCCGATATTATCTTGGTTCAGGTGAGTCATTCATAGTATAGAAAGAGTTGAGAGAGCATGTGCTAACATGTAAATAGAGAGACACCACCAACACATCAACCAAGGACGAGATCATTAATCGCCTTGGGCGGAAGGCATGGATCCATGTCGCCGAACTTTCAGATCGGCAAGCCGTCAAAGGCATCGTTCCCGCATTGACTAGCCAAGGGCTGAAGCCGGAGATTTTGGTGAACTGTGCAGGGATCCAACGGCGACACCCGGCGGAAAAATTCCCCGACGAGGACTGGGACGAGGTGAGTCGAGAGCCCCAATATAAACCAATATAAATCCGCCCCCCCTTGAAACACCATGTCTTACTGGAATAATACATAGGTCCTGGAAGTTAACCTTTCCTCCGTGTTCATTTTGTGCCGAGAATTCGCCGCCTATCTATTGGCTCGTGATGCCTCTGAATTCCCACAGGGTCACCGAGGCTCCATCATTAATGTCGGGTCCCTGCTCTGCTTCCAGGGTGGAATTACAGTCCCCGCCTATGCAGCATCCAAGGGTGGCATTGGGCAGTTGACCAAAGCGCTATCGAATGACTGGGTCGCCAAGGGAATCAATGTCAATGCCATTGCGCCCGGTTATATTGCTACCGATATGAACACTGCTCTTATCAACGATGCTGACCGCAACGCCGGTATCATGGCACGTATCCCTGCTGGTCGATGGGGTAACCCTGAGGATTTCAAGGGAGCGGTGGTGTATCTGGCCAGTCGGGCTAGCAGCTATGTGTCTGGTGAGATACTCACCGTTGATGGAGGATGGATGGGACGGTAAATGTTTGAAAAATGAATATAACGTATATTATTTTGAATCAATTGAACATATAAATCTCTTTCTTTGGCTTACAACATATATTGTCTTATACTGTCTTATTGTCTTATTATCGTCAGATGTGGTCAGTGCGTTGCCCCTCGACAACGCCACTGTCTGACAATAAAACACCGGTCTGAAGAACCACGCACATGTGAATATCTACGGGTTTTGACCGGCTGTTCTCCGGGAAATTGAAAGTCTACATAATTAATAATGTCTCAGACTTCCTAGGCTCTCATCCAAAGGCGTCACGCCCAGAATCGAACCTGGATCTGCAGGGATCGTCAGCAAATCACACCCCATCTAAAGGAGACACTAGTCATCTTGGAAACACCGGCGTCCTTGGTGTCACTAAAGGAGTTCTCCCGATAGGTTTCTCGGCCATTTAAACGCCTTGAACACTTGCTAATCAGACCATATAGGGCCATACAGGGGCTTTGCACAGACCTGACTCGTGGTCCCCATTTATCTGTTTAAAACTCCTTCAGGGCCGATCTTCCATTTCCATTTGCATTTGCTGCATTTCTTCCGGTTCTTCCATTCATTTGGCCTTGAAAGACAGTCGGCCGGTCTCGATTGTTGACACTCTCTTTACTGAACTTGGGATTTACTCCTATATCTGGTCTGGACTGCCTCTAGTACATTGTCTAATTCCACCGAAAAGGGGAAAAACGTGCCCCCCTTGCTTACATTCCTGTCGACTTTGCAAGAGTGAGAGCCTCTACCAAGTTTCAATTCTTGGTGACGTGCTAATTTCTCTCGAATTCCAAAGATCAGGGTTATTTTGGGTCGCTTTGTTGACTTCATTCACATTGAAACAATCCGCATTGTTCATTGTCCTCAAACCAGCCACAATGTTCCCATAATAAGACATTGTCTTTGTCCGATACAATCAAAGAGGTCTTTCTATCTATACTCACTTTCGCCAACCCTATAACCCATCCCTGATCTACCGTCTACGACTTCGATTCCCCGCAAACGCCCACTTCCAATATCTAAATTTTCATATTTCAATCTCAGCCGCTGAACAGCTCGAAACATATTCCAGATCGTCTTCTTGACTAGTGGGTTGTGCAACGTCCAGAGCACAGCCTTGCATGTTTTCAACCCAGACCGCAACTTCTTTCTTTCTTTCTTCAATATCTGCGCCCGTTCAATGGCAGCAACCCATCCGCATATCGCGGCACGAGGGTACGGGTCGAACGCCACATACATATATGAGTACTCCAGGGGGCTGGGTGGTGTGGACGTCCCCCGCGATGTGATCTTTACTCAGATCATCTACACTTCCCTGGCCATCGTGGCATTCGTCTTGTTCTGTGGCCGAGTCGCCCAGATCAGCCATGCATATCTACGACAAATCACTGCATCTAGCGCAAACAAGCAACAGCAGACCTTCTGGGCCCAGGAACAGTCAACATGGTGGTCCAACATCAAGAAATACATCCTATACGCCCCATTAGGAAAGAAGCGACACAACCGGGAACTACAGCTCTCTTCCGCTGTCAATGTCGGCACCTTACCCTCCCGACTGCAGACCATCCTGGTCGGGCTATACTTCGCCAGTCAACTCGCGTACTGCCTCATCCTGGACTACAGTGTCAACAACAAGGCAGCTTTGATGGCCGAGCTGCGCGGCCGATCCGGGACGCTGGCCGTCCTCAACATGATCCCGCTCTTCCTCCTCGCGGGCCGAAACAACCCCTTGATCCCATTACTCCACATCAGCTTTGACACATACAACCTCCTCCACCGCTGGCTGGGCCGCATCGTCATCTTCGAGTCAGTCGCACACACAGCCGCATGGGCCGTCAATGCGGTCGACGAGGAAGACTTCGCCCGCATGCTCATCCGCGTACGTGATACCCCTTTCTTCCTCTGGGGCCTGGTCAGCACAGCCGCAATGGTCTTCCTTTGCCTACACTCCCCCTCACCCATCCGCCACGCCTTCTACGAGACCTTCCTCCACCTGCACCAGCTGGCCGCAGTGTTCGCCTTCCTCGGCGTATACCTGCACCTGCAGATAGACGATCTCCCACAGCAAAGCTGGGGTCACACGATCGCCGCAATCTGGCTAGGCGACCGACTCGCGCGACTCTTCCGCCTCGTCCACCTCAACATCTCAACCTCCGGCACAACAACAATGGTCGTAGAAGCCCTCCCCGGCGAAGCCTGCCGCGTAACCTTCCACCTGCCCAAACTCATCCACATCGAACCAGGCTGCCATGTCTTCGCCTACATCCCGCGGATCTCATGGTGGATGTCACACCCCTTCTCAATAGCCTGGGCGGAACCCAGCACGAGCAGCACAGCAGCCTTCCTCCCTTCCCCAACCCAATCCCCACCAACCCAAGGCAAAGGATACACCGACCTAGAAAAACAATCCAACCTGCCCGCCAAACCCTCCAAACCCTCCACACAAGTCTCCCTCATAATCGGCGCCCAAAAAGGCATGACCCGCCGCCTCTACAACCTCGCCAACGCCTCCCCCTCAAAAACCCTCACGCTAGGAGGCTTCATCGAAGGCCCCTACGGCTCCCACCCAACAAACCCCCCCAGCTACGGCACAACAGTGCTCTTCAGCGCCGGCGCAGGAATAACCCACCACCTCCTCCAAACCCGCGCGCTCGTCACCGCCGCCGCGCAAAACACCGCCGCAACGCGAAAAGTCTACCTGAATCTGGTCTGTCCGTTCAACAGACCACCTCACCTGGGTAAGCAGCTTCATGGACCAGATCCTGCGCCTGCCGAATCGGCGGGATATTCTCGTCGTGAAGCTTTTCATCTCGAAGCCGCGTCGCGCGGCGGATATCGTCAGTCCGTCCGCGACGGTGCTTATGCATTCCGGTCGCTGTAGGCCGGATGTTGTTCTTGATGAGATCTTGCCCGGTAGGACGGGTGCGACGCTCGTTAGTGTTTGTGGGCCTGGGGCTTTTGCTGATGAGGTGAGGTCTGCGGCTAGGGGAGAGGATTGGGAAGGGGGCTGTTGTGGATTTTGCTGAAGAGGCTTTTACGTGGTGAGGCTTCGTTTGTGGTTTATATGCATTCGCTTCTTCTTTTTCTTCTTTTCCTCCCTAGGGAGTTCCTTTCTTGTATACAGCTTTTTTTGTTCATGCATTCTTTTTCTTCTTTTCGGTTGGCGGTTTGCGCATATACCTCTTATTGTTTAACGGTATACACTATCACTAGCATAATTTCCTGTCTTCTCTACATACATTTGGTAACGTCTTATTGAGAACTTAGAGGGGATTTGATCTATGTATCTGGGGTGCAAGAGATGCTTGAATGAAGAGTAATAAATATGTAATTGAATAAGAGGCTCTATACTAGTGTATGTATTATCTAGGGCATCCCCATCTGCAAGACCAAGTATAATATGTAAACAATAGAATGTCCAACAAGAGCGGAGGGATTAGATCTGGCGGTCTAATGCAGAATGTTTTTTTTTTTGGGTGGAAACAGTAGCCACCTCAAGCCTGTTCATTAAAAAAAAGAAAAGACAACCGCCAAATGGCATAAATCAGGCAGTCTTGGTCTTCTTGCTGCGCGTTCCCTTGGGCACACGAGCAAGCCAGTAGATACCAACAGCAGCAAATATGTTGAAGATGATAAACGCGAACATAATTCCGAAGTTGCGCCACGCGTCGCTCTGGTAACTCAGCACGCTCGCGAGGAAAGTATCCGTCTTGTCAATGCTGCAGAAAGTGCAGTCGCTAGTGGCATTCCCGTTCACGAGGTAACCGCCGCGAGGGGGCTCGATCATGGTTCCGTTTGGTGCATAGAGTCCGTTGATGTAGGTGTTCATGTATTCCATACAGGTCTTGCCGGCAGTAGGCTCGAAGTGGAGCATCTCGACTGGCTCACAGAAGACGTCTGCGCCGGATGTGCCGGTCGACAGCATTGCGGAGACTAGATATGTGAATGGCGAGACGCGGTACATGAAGATCCAGAAGCGGGGCATGTTGTCGGGGGTGGCGAGGACACCACAGAAGACCAGACAGAGGGAGAAGAGTAGGTTGGCGAGATTGCCTCCTGTTTCGGCGAGCTCGATGCCGGCAATCATCATGTGTGCGAAGGTGCAGGTGAAGATCATGAAGCTCAGGATGAGGAGCCACATCAAGGCGCCACGCTCGTGGAGGTCGTCGGCGCTGGTGTTGCGTTGGAGCCCGATGGGGTAGTACCAGCAGACGAAGATGAGGACGGACATGAGGGCGTTCCAAGGGAGTTCGACAATGATGTTTGCGGACATGAAGGCTTGCCAGGAGTATGATTTGGAGGGGCGTTCGCGGACTTCGTAGAGAGAGCGCTGGGTGACGAAGTGTGGCATGATTTGTTGTACCAAGTTACCGAAGACTGTCATCAACATGAAGACACTGAACATCTGGTTCTGCAGTCCCTGCATACTGTTCTGTGCGTGGAAGAAGGAGAAACCGACGTAGAGAGCTGTGAGAGTGCAGAGCGCAATCTTGGAGTAGATGTAGACTGGGGTTCGCCAGTACTGGCTGAACACGCGGACGAGACATTCCCAGAGTTGGACGGTAAACGGTGCGGCGAATTCGTTGAAGCTGGTTGGGTCGTTGTCGTTTGTGGCAACGGGCTTCAGAGAGAGGTTGGACTTGAGCTCGGCGAGGTGGTTTTGGACTTCCTTACGCTCAGGGCTGTCACGCCACACGGCAGGCCAGTCGATCTCACTATGGGTTCCGGGGGCAGCTCCAATGACCTCTAGCATCCACTCGGCAGGGTTGGCCTCGGGAGACAGCTTGGGTGCACCGTTTCGTTCAAAGTAGTTGGAAAGCGTCGAGGACTTCTCACCGATTTCCCCGAAATGAGACGGTCTTACCACCCTTAGCGAGGAACAGGAGACGATCGAAACGCTGGAAGAGCATAGCAGAGGGCTGGTGAATAGTGCAGAGAATAGCCTGACCGTGCTTAGTCAAGGTATCAATAAGATCCAAGATAGACCAAGATGTTTGACTATCAAGACCCGAAGTGGGCTCGTCCAGGAACAAAAGCAGCTGTGGCTTAGCAGCCAGCTCGACACCAATAGTAAGACGCTTACGCTGCTCGACGTTAAGACCTTCACCGGGGACACCGACGACGGCATCCGCATAGTGTTCCATTCCAAGAAGCTTGATCACTTCCTCGACGTAATCGAGTTTCTCTTGGCGAGAAACGTGACGCGGTTGACGGAGAATAGCACTAAAGCGAAGAGCCTCGCGGACTGTGGTAGTGTGGAGATGCAGATCCTGTTGTTGGACGTAGCCAGTCTTACGTTGGAAAGACTGGTCGCGAGGACGGCCATCAACCAACATTTCACCAGACACAACACCCATTGTCACACGCGTGGCAAGGACATCCAGAAGAGTGGTTTTACCGGCTCCAGAAACACCCATAAGAGCAGTGCATGTACCGGGCTTAACCCAGCCGTCGACGTGGTCGAGAATGCGACGTTCCTCTTTCTTGATCTGGATATCGTAACAGACGTCTTGCCATTGGAAGATAGCAGTTTGTCTCTGGATTGCGGCAGTGGTTCCTTCGCCGTCGGAGCTAGCACCATCCTTCTTTTCGGCAGAGGACACGGCGTGTGTCTGCTCGACGTCATCGGAGCTGCCAGAGTGCTTGGGGGCGTGGCCGCGACGGAAAAGCAGAACCTCACCCTTGGACTTCGCCTCGGAGATGTACTCGGTACCGATGAGGTAGGTGGCCATGAAGAAGACCATGAAACCGATCATGATTCCCAAGTTTCTCCACCTGTGACTGTTGGAGTACTGGAAGCTAGCAGTGTAGTAGGCCTCGCCGTCGATAAAGTCCTGGCCGGCTACGGCTCCTTTCTGCGAGCAGATCTTGTTGAACGGACCGACATCTGTGTAGCCGTCTCCCACCGGGATGAAAGAATCCGGGTTGCATTTGAACTGGCGACCGTGGAACTCGTTCACGATCAAGGTTTCGAAACCGTAAGCAATCGGATCAATATAGTTCATCCAGCGAGACCATCCAAGCATGTTGCGGGTTGGGATGGTGAAACCAGTGTAGATGACTAGACCGAGGATCAGGATAGCGGCGGGCACCAGAGCCTGAGATAGAGTGCGCGAGTAAGAAGCGATCGTACGGAAAACCATGGACATGGTCATAGTAGTCACGAAAGAGAAGAGTAGGAAGGTGAAGAAGGCGCCGGCGGTTTGGCGCAGACCAGTCATGAAATAGAGCGTGATGTTGAAAGTGATGGCATTAAGAATCTTATACGGCATGTCACACAGCATTGACGAGATTGCTTCGGCAAACGGATGATACATGGCGTAACGGGCTTGTTTTTCGACAATAGGACGTTGCGCGTAAAGGGTCAGAATCTCCAGGGCACTGGAGAAGGAGTTGAGCAAGACGGCGAAGAAGAGAAGGGCACCACGAGAGTAGAAACTAGTCACATCATCAGGCAACTGGAAGAAAACCGAACCGATAATCAATGCCATGATAGTGTTTCCAATCAAGGCGGATATAGTCAAACTGTAGTCACCCTGCAAACGCTGGAACCCACGTGTCACACAGATCTGGACCTGCTCGGTGACAGATAGGGTGTATGGAGACTTGACACGCTGACCCTTCGACTGCATAGCCTTGCGAGACTCGACAAACTTATCGAGAGACTCGCCACCAATCGGGTACTGCTGATCATAGTCGGCGATCTCTTTCTGAAGCTCCTTGTACGCAGCGCTGTTCTTCCAAGCGGCGGCGAACTCGTCGGGGGTACGGGGGACCATGTTCTCAAAGCCAGGCTTGACAATTCGCTCAGCAGGGCTGGTGAGAGAGGTCAAGAAATCGGCAGTAGTCTGGCGCTCGGGACAATCGAAGCCCATGTTGGTGAAGAATTCCTTGGCCTCGGTGGTGCGGCCGAAGTAGATCTGTCGACCCTCGTACAGCACAGTGACCTTGTCGAAAACATCGTAGGCACTTTGGGACGCCTGGTAGATAGCAACTGCACAGGTGGTGCCTGAGTACTTGGACATCAGGTTCAATGTCTTACAGAATTCCAGGGCATTGGCACTGTCCAGACCACGGGTACTGTTATCCCAACATTGGAGAGGGCTGCCGCAGAGGGTAGCCTCGGCGATACTGACACGCTTCCGCTCACCACCGGAGACACCACGGATGAAATCGTTACCGACCTGGGTGTTGATTGTGTGTGACAGACCAAGCATGGCCATGACGACGTCACGCATGTGCTCTGCGTATTGGTCCCGACTGACACCCGGCAAACGGTTGCGCGGGCACGAGCCATAGCAGCAAACTTCAAAGTGTTTCCCACAGAAAGCTGGGGGAAATGCACGTCGGTTTCGGCAGTGTAGATGGCCTCACCGCGGAACTGGCTGCGCATCTGCTTATCGGAGATTCCTTGGTAGTTCAGGTGAGAGTTGCCATCCTTGAAGATACCGTTCATCTCTCCTGCGATGGTCTTCAAGAAAGTTGAACAGCCAGATCCAGGACGGCCGAGAACGACCAGCATCTCGCCGCTCTTCACTAGTCCATCAAAGTCGCGGAGAATCTGGATCTTCTGCTTGCCAGTTCCAGTCATGGAACGGAACAAGGCACCGATTTGCAGAACGGAGTTGGCCACATCCTTTTGGTAATCTGTGGGACTGCCAAATCCGTGCACGCTGAGGTTCTTGAATGCTAGGCCAGCCTGACGCTTCGGGTATCGTTCTGGATCGCGGGATTGGATGGCAAGGAGGTTCTTCATCCAATTCTTGGCCTTGAAGTTTTCGCTGTGAGGGTTCAAGGTCGAGTCCTCATGGGTTTCGATGAATGGGTTCTCTGCATTTTGGGTTGAGACAGAGAAGCGGGTTGACTGGCGGGTGAGTTGCTGGGCCAGGCGGGTGACCTCGACCTCGGCGTAGTCCTCATTGCCAATCTCGCTCTTCTCATTAGCGGTGTCATCGGTGCTGACGCTGGCGGTGGGGTCATGGCGGCGAGCTTCCATGTTGGCGACATGGGATTCCTGCACGTCTCGGGTGCCGGTGATATTAGGGTTCAATGTCCCTCAGGAGCGACATGGTGACCTTCCACGGTCACTGTCGAATTGAAATGAAACTGATTAAGTGGGGTAATATCCCTAGAAAAGATGAATAGGAGAGGTGATCACCATCAACGGGATGGGATGTATATAGAGATTGTATAAGATTAGGGTTCGACTAATAAAAAAGGACGGAAGGATTCAACGAGCGAAGGATTTGAATTAAGTACGAATATGAAAAAGCAAGAAAAATAAAATAAAGAAATAAAAAAATAAAAAGGGTTCAAAAGATCTAGAGATCGGGACTCGGAAACATTGTATCCTGTGTCCGGAAAGGAAATAAAAACGGGGACACCCGTTGAAACAGACCCGGGGCGGAGCTGCTGACTTTCCGGAGAATTGCAATTTTTCGTTTCGGATTTTTTTCTTTCTCGAGACTCTAGCCCTTGGCGGCTTAGTGCCAAGAAATAGCAATACTATATTAGGCTAACAATGGCCATCTTGGATTCATTATAAGCGAAAGTAATTTATTATAGTACGCCAACGAACACGAATGCGATGTACTACATGTACCTGTACCTATGTACATAAGTACATATACCTATATAGGTACATAGGTATGTACCTAGGTAGGTACATGTATGTAATACTTCAGCTAAAGAGGGATGTCGGGTATATGTACATGCCATGTTTTTTTATACACGTGTGCACGGGTACAACATCAACGCTTCCAGAAGGATGTCGGGACGAGCACCTTCCGTTCCACAGACAGCCCTGGAGGGCTCGGATGCCCGGGCACAGTGCATCCGAGGCTGACTCAGCTATGTCTGGACCTACCAAGGTATCTATGGATGGACCCACCTGCCTAGGTGGGCATAGATAGATCTTTGAACGCGTAAAAACCATCTTATCTCCGTCCAATTCCCCCGTACTTAAGCCCCCCCTCTTACCCCTAATTTTATTATGACTGGACCAAATGAACGGACGAAATCGGTCGAATGGACCAAATGCCCATTTCGTCCGAGTCGAGGCGTCTCTCATCTTGAAATCTCTTGGGAATCTCACGCACCAGGATGCCAGGATGTGGCACTGTCAGAGTCAGATAGGCCCCCCATAGACCTCCCTTGCATGAGGCTGATATGCAGTCTGATGGCCCATCCATGGATTGCTCCGTCCTTCGGACGAGTCTAGCCGGAAAGGCACCACCTGGGCAGGCTACAGTGGTTTTTACGCCTTACCAAATACGGAGTATGCCTGTCTGCTCGGTGGAGCAGGCAATTTCCAAATTTGAATCTGACCACACGTAAGTCAGCCACGCAGGGAAAAGTGAAATAACGATCGAATCATAATAATCTAAATTGTACATTGGATATTGGAACGGAAAACAGAGCGGTGTGCCAGTAGTCGTGGTCCTCCCAAGGAACCCCCACAAGCAACATTTGAATCATAGAGATCAGTCATATTCAAGACATGTCGGTCACAGCCTCGTCATCATCTGCATCTGCATCTTCATCTTCATCCTCATCAATTAGTTCCACCAACAGATTGCCACCACGGCCAATCTTCTCCTTGACTGACCCTCCCTCATCAACGGGGTACACCACCCGAGGCATCGGTGAGACCAGTCGGAATCCGTATTGGTGCACAAACCCCTCTGGTGCACTCGCCACGCGCTCTGTTTCCTGCTCCTGTAAGATGTCGTAGCACTCAACCACCGCGTAGATCTCTTCAATATCCACATCGGGCGCAAACTTGCGCATGATACGATCGCCGGACGGGAGCCGCACGCTAATACGAACGGCGTCCTTGACATCTGGTCCGGGCTCCGCGCTAAGCGATTGCCCGCGCCAAAGCTTCCACTGGGCGAGATTGCGGCGCCGCTGCTCCTCAGCCGCCTGTCGGCCAGCGGCTTCCTGTTCTTCGCGTTGGCGTGCCAGTTCCGCTTCCCGGCGCTGGCGCGCTCGTTCACGGTCGATCGCCAGCGACCGCTCGTAGGCTGAGTCTTGCTCTTCGCGGAGGCTGCGCGAGGCTTGTTGCTCGGCGCGTGAAGACCGGAGTCGCTCCAGCGGCTCGCTGTTCGATGTCACGACTGTCCGGAGCTTGTTCACGACCTCGGATGGCGTAGTGAGTCCTGCGATCCGTCCTACGACAGACATGGCGGTTGACGAGACATTCGGGGTATGGACGATAACCGCTGCAAAGGGGAATTTTGTGCATTTCAATGAGTTGGCGACTTGGTATGCTTCGGAATCTTGCACGTTGCCGCCCCACACCAGGAGGTTGTTCTGGGGGTCATTGATGAATTCAACGACCTCAGGTGCCAGCAGAGTATCACGAACCCAACTGTTCGTATCGTCATGCTCTGGAGATAGGAGAATGACCATGAGGTACTTCAAGTCGCGATGGGCTTTCTCCAGCGCCATGTTGTATCCATTCTCTAGGAACGGAATCGGGTTAGATTCATATTCTTCCTCGAACTCGCGGATAAAGCGAGCGGCAGTATCCTTGGGGCCGAGGGCTCGACGGCCAGTGGTATTCCGGCGAGCGCCTTGCAGCGCCGGGTTCGCTGTCCTGTTGAACAAGCGTGGCAAGAAAGGGAAAAGGACACCAAACAGGCGGAATGAAGTGCAGAGGAGTCGATACACCAAATTAAATGGAGTGAGGAGTAAACTGAGGATGAATGGAGGCCTGTAGATTGGCTGATCTCCTGGTTGTGTGTCAACTCGTGGAGCCAGATCTGTAGCTGTGGCACGAGTAACTTGCGACAAGTGTTCGGTCAGATCGTCCGTCATTAAATTCTGGGTTCGGCGGTTGGGTTGGGGTGGAGGTGGGCGATCCATGGCAGCGCGAGCTTCTTCAAGGGGATCCGGGCCTTCCCCATCAAAGAACTTGGATATGGCAATCTAGCGTGCGGGGATCAGTTAAACTCTCGTACACTTGGCCAGGAGCCGGGGGAGATAGACTAACTTGCACATTCCATTGCGACCGACGAAGTAGCGGAATTGCCTCTGAAGGTTCCTGGCTGGTGACAGCCATGTACATTTCTAGCGTAGACTTCTCGCTATCGGAAAGCTGGTCCAGGTCAACCTCCGGTTGTGACATCTTGCCGTAGAAGGGCCGTAAGCCATAAACTCGATATGGGTGTTATCAAAAGAGAGTACAGGGGGTGGCCATGAAGAGTATTATCATTTGGGGATGACCATTGAGCACGTGCAGACAGTCCAATATGTAGATGGGTAAGAACGACGTGACGTCGAAGCTCTAAGTGGCCTCAAGATGAAGCTCCCATTGATGTTCTGACCGCCTGGTCCGTGCATATCCCCCTTCGCTCGAGTTCGTTTCTCGCCCCGCGTCTTCATTTCCATCAGTTCTGTCGCTCTTAATCATTCCTTGGGATGAGAGACGACTTCGGTCTTATTCTTACACCCCATTCATGCCTATTTTTATCGGCTGAGATACCGCCCGACGTCCGTGGGCTCTCCCGGAATTGACCCGCCAACCGCGTGGACCATTGGTGACTTGAATTCATATAGGATCAAAGCAGGGGAATGCGGTTTTCACCCAATAGCATCCTTTGTTCCCTACCGAGTCCGGTTTCAATGGGGATCTCTTTGCGCTGATCCGCACCATCAAGTGGGTATCAGCCAGATATCATGGCGTCTGCCGGAAAGCCTCCATTGGAGGATGCTCGTCGGACGACGGGATCACCGAAAATGAAGAGCCGCGGTGAGTGTGATTCGAAGTCAAAGGCTTGCATATCACTTCCGTTTCAGGTCTGAGATGTGCAAGCCATGCTGGTGATGAATTCCGAATTCAAGATGGACGGAGTTGCTGACAACAATGATTTTGCTTGATAGAGAATGCGAAAGACACATTGTGCCGCAACGTGACCATCTATGGGCGATGCCGCTATGAAGACAAAGGTATTGGCGAACCTTGATCACGGCCAGCGAGGGTGGTGAAGCTGATTGGAACACTCGTATCCAGGTTGTGCTTTCAATCATGACCCGACGAAGCTCAATGCAAACCAGTCGGATAGGTGCGAGACAAGGTCTTCAGACAAAACCGGATGAATTTTGCTAACAGCGACTGTCTCGTTTGATAGCAAGAAGCGGTTCAATGTCGACTCACCTAGTTTCACCCCATCATTGCTGTCTGGGAACGGTGTATCAGCACCAAAGAAGTCCACCGCTATATCTCCAAAGGCTGCTAGTGCAGCTCCTTTTCAACCTCGAACAACCTCATCACGTATGTGCTTTGTGCGAAGAACAAGGGAGGTTCAAAGGCACTGACGTTAGAAAAAGGTTCTAACACGAGTACACCCACAACGCGGTCAGAAGCAGTCCAAGATTGGGCGGTAGCTGATGTCCAGGAATTTGTTCCCCAAGGCTTCGAGCACGTGGTCAGTCGCCCCTGCCGTATTATTTGATTCCCCTCGGTTCCCTTATACTGTTTTTTTGTCTTTTGTTTTTTTCTTAACCATCCCAATCTCTCCCACTGCCCATATTTTTATCATCATCTCTAGCATCGCGATGGCGCAGCAGGGTGGCTTGTCTCCCGAGGCAGCTGAATTTGACCCCCGGCGTACTGATGATGACAGTCCTCCCGGGTTCTTCTCAGGTCGTCTGCCTCGTCAGCCTCGCCAGTCTCGCTATCCCAAGCACTTCTTCAGCGAAGGTCTCGGCAATCGTAACCGTGCTAATCCTCCCGCCCAGGCACCTCTCCAGGGCAATGGAAACGGAGGAATCACACCGGCGGGTGCATTTGATCCTTTCGTGACTACCCCAACCCCCCATGACTCCTGGTGCCGTTGGCCCTGTCTCTGCAAATCCTTATTCCCACGACCCTACTGGCGCGATGGGAGGCGCTTTCTTTGCGAGCCAAACTGGATTCCAGCAACCGGTACGTTGGTGGCCAATGGATCCTTCTCCTTTTTGCTTTATATAAGCTCTAACAGCCCAATAGATCCAGTACCATCTTTATGCCCCAATTGGCCCTCATAGCCAGAACACATTGGGATACCAGCGCAACGTGCATGATCTCTTTATCCCCAACGACTTGCGCGAAGAACTGCAGAAGAAATCCGCAGCCACTCTCCAGACTCTCCCTAGTATGTTGGACCGCAATTGACAATAATTTGTGTTCATGCTGACGGACTTGAAGACACCCAACTCCCTGCCCAGGTTGACTACTTCCATTCACTTGTCCCTCTGGACCTCAATCATCAGAAGAATGCGGCGACCTTTGGCTACCCAAGCTGGATCTACAAGGCCCAGTCTAGCAAAGATGGCACCTTTTATGCTCTTCGCCGACTTGAAGGTATGTCAATCTTTCCATCTCTTCTTTTGTTGTAGCTCCAAACTAACCTTAATAGGTTTCCGCCTGACCAATGAAAAGGCTATCCGTTCTGTGCAAGCCTGGAAGCGTGTCTGCAACGCCAGTGTGGTGACCATTCACGACGCGTTCACTAGCCGCAGCTTCCAAGACAGTTCTTTGATCTTTGTGACTGACTATCACCCACTGTCCAAGACACTTGCAGACCAGCATCTAAGCGCTGGAACCCGCTTCCCCGGACGTCACACCAATGCTCATATTCCTGAGCAACTTCTCTGGGGCTACATGACCCAGATCGCCAATGGGCTCAAGGCTATTCATGGCAATGGTCTTGCTGCCCGAGTGCTTGAGCCTAGCAAGATTTTGCTTACCGCTAAGACTCGTGTCCGCATCAACGCCTGCGCTATCCTTGATGTGGTGCAGTTCGATAACCAGCGGACTGTATCTGATCTCCAGCGACAAGATCTAGTCAACTTTGGCCAACTGATCGTCACCCTTGGCGCCAACACGCCCACTGTCGCCCACAACCCTACCAAAGCCATGGAGCATTTCACCCGTGCCTACAGCTCTCAGTTGAAGAACTCAGTGTTCTGGCTCCTGAACGGACTGCAAAAGGATCAGGAGCGAACCATTGATACTTTTATCACTGGAATCTCATCCCAGCTGATGTCGACTTTTGATTCCGCACTCCACCTGGATGATCAGCTGAACTCTGATCTCGCCCGTGAGTTGGAGAATGGACGAATCGCGCGCCTGTTGAGCAAACTTGGCTTCATCAATGAACGTCCTGAATATGACCTTGACCCGCGCTGGTCGGAGAGCGGAGAACGCTACTTCCTGAAGCTCTTCCGCGATTACGTCTTCCACTCGGTGGATAGCCAAGGTGACCCGGTGGTTGATCTTGGCCATGTGCTGGCTTGTTTGAACAAGCTTGATGCGGGAACTGACGAGAAGATCCATTTGGTCAGTCGCGACGACCAGAGTTCTTTCATTGTCAGCTACAAGGAGGTCAAGAAAGCCCTCGAGTCTTCCTTCCAGGCTCTGATGAAGCCCGCTAGACGAATGCACTAGCGAGTCTTCGACACTTTTTATATGTGGTAATCGTTATGGATTCTGGCTGCTTGTTACTTGCTATTTTTGACCACCTGTTTGACGAGCATGTCTCTGGTCTGGCAGCTGTCAACTAGAGGCATTCACTGAGGGGTCTCAGGGGTTAACTCAAAGGTTACATCTTTTGTTTTGATTTGCAAGCACCGATCTCGCTCTGCCACTTTTATTGAAACACAAACATAGGAATGAAGAACTTCAAATTGTTTTCCTGATCGTAAACTTGTAGCCCTCACAGTTCTCCCCGAGTCATCTCATAGACACAACCATCCAACCTCTCCACAAGTTCCTCAATCATCAGTTCTTCCCCATCTTCATCTTCATCTTTATCCTGAATCTTCCTCGGCGGAACCAATACCTGATCCAAAACATGCACCACCCCATCCCTCGCCAACAAGTCCAATCGTTCGACCCTACCAAATCCATTAACTCGCATATCAACCTCACCAAACCGCTTCTTTACATCAACCACCAAATCCCTCTCCTTCAATAGAGTCACAAGCCGCACATTCGCATAGTCTTCCTCTACCCTACCAACACACCCACCCTTGCCCTTCCCATTCCCACTATCATGGCCAGAAAACAACCCATGAGCCTTCCCATTACTACTATACAAGACATCCGAGTAGAGCGTCCGATTCGGCACAATATGATACTGCATCAGCGCACGCATACACCTCTCACCCTGCCGCGAGAAAAGAAACCGATTCGCCTGCTCCCCGAGCCGTCTAAAGGCAGCGTTTGTGGGCGCAAAGGTTGTACCGCCCTGCCGCTGCGCCGGGTCAAGGCTGTTAGCGAGATTCGTGCGTGCTAGGGCCAGCGTGAAGGTGCTGAAGTCGGCTGGTGCTTCGTGCAGCATTGTGCGTGTCTCTGGGGGTGGATGGAGGGGACTGGTTATTATGTGGATTATGCCGTTTTTGGTTTTCTAAGGTGAGGTTAGTACGAGTACGTACATACACATGATACGATGTCGATGTTTTCCTTACCATGTCAGCTCCCACTACCCTACTCCTCCGGTTCAACATCACTCCGTCGTGGTGCTCTCGGACAACAATCCTCTGTGGCAGATTCGATTCCAGGGCTCGTTCTGTCAGCTTCGTCGCTAGCGTCCCGTGGCTCGCGATATGCTGGATAGATAATCGATCAGGGAGGATATGATACCGCAGCAAGCTGGACATGTACTTGGGACTGGGTCCATTTCGCCCTCGTGGAAGTCCCTCTAGGGCTTGGTTCGTCAACGCAAAGAAGGTGTGGTTTGCTGTCGTGCTATTAAGGATGTCGATTAGGTCGTTGTCGCCGGCGATGAGCTCGGCGAGTCGGGATGTATGCTCGTTTCCTTTGATGAGCTCCCATGTTGTTTTGTCTGCGTGGCATAGCGGGCCTGGACAGGCGTCGATTGGCCGGTGGATCGGATAGTGTCGGTGTCTGTTGCATGATCTGCCGTCGCGGTCGTATCTGCATCCTCCGTGTTCGGGCCTTTTTCCATGTCCATGGTGTTCGTCGTCGTCGTCTGGCCATCCTCCTCGTCTGGGACAATCACCACCGGGCCATCTCTCGTGCGGATCTTCGTCGTATCCGGGCCAGTCGCCGTGCTCGGGATACTCATCATCATCAGGCCAGTCCCCATGTCTTCCCCAGCCTCCATGCCCGGGCCAATCACCGTGTCTAGGGTATTCATCGTCATCACGCCAGTCCCCATCTCCTCCCCAGCCTCTATGCCCATCTGGAGAAATGCCTAACAGGCTCGTCTCGACGTCTGCTTTAGACAACTGATCATCTGCGGCTGGACGAGTCTCAGGGACTATTTCCGCAAGGACACTCTCATCCGGGATGACAAAGGCCGAGGCCAATGGAGCTGCCACAGACAAGAAAAGGTAAGTGGAACGCATAGTGCCGATATCGACGGGGAAGTCGGAATCAGATGCTCGATAAGGCCATGGTGATGTGCCTATATAGACGCAAAGGCCGTCCTGTCGGACCACCTCAACTGTCTTGATTCCTGGCTGTACCAGTGGTATAATATTGACCAAACTACGTTCGAAGAGCCTAGCTGAAATCTGTCCAGTCCTCGCTCGTCCGGTCGTGGTACCGTGCACAGACTCGAGAACACAACTTGGGTCAACAAGAGCACCAGTCATCGCTGAGAACATGTTACATATTCCAATCAAGACCAGAATCCAGCTGGATATAGGCATGGCTTATACTTGGCAGTCTCGGCTCCGGGACTAACTTGCTTCGTCGAGATCTTTCTTGTTATGCAATGAAAACCGGACAGGCTTGGAAGAATTGGTATTATTCCCTAGCCAAACTCATACAAGTGATATTTCTCATGCACACTCATCTTTCGTAATAGCATCTAATCCAGATCCGGCACAGGCAGCCCATTGACAATCTTGACTTTCCGGCCTAGCTTGTCCAACGCGACTTTGGAGTTATGCGCACGCAACTTGCTCGTCTCTTCATCAGACACAAGCACAAAGTCATAAGTGAGAAGAGCATGGCCCTCTGGAACGTTATATTTCTTAGCAATCTCAGCATCTGCCTTACCAATATCCACAGTCAAGGAATCCTTGACGCCGAAGACAGCATCGGAAGTTTCGTAAGGGTCGTTGCGAAGGTAGAGAGCGCTGAGGTAAAATTAGCCATGATAATGTCCAAAAACAAGTCGAAACCCGCAAAACATACGTAATCAAATGATCATAACCCTCCTTCTCGAACATAAAATGCATATGCGAAGGACGATACGGATGCCGATGCAACTTCTTCAACAACCTCCCAACAGGGCCATCATGCGGAATGGGATACGGCACCGGCGTAATAGCCTTAAACCAAAAGACACCCTCCCGATCAGAGCGCATAATACACCGCCCATCAGGCCCCTCCCTCCCCGCATACTGCACATCATAATGGCCCGTCGAATCCGTCTCCCAGATGTCAATCTTGACATCCTCCACAGGCCTCCCCTGCAAATCCCGCAGCGTGCAGACCACCAGCAAGGGCTCGCCCTTGGGATCATGCGACATGGAATCGCCGGCGGGCATTTCCTCTGCGTCGTGCGTGTGGAAGGGTCCCAGCACGGTTCCCTCTGTGGAGCCCTTGGGCTTTGGGTGGTCGATTGAGTCGACCAGGATGGATAGACCCAGTACGTCGGACAGGAGGATGAATTCTTGTCGTACGTCTGTGCAGATCTGGCCTACTTCGGTTAGGAAGCGGAGGCCGGTCATCCATTCGTCGCTGCTGAGACGGGTTTCGCGGGCGAAGTCGTGCAGGTGTGTTACTAGGCGCTCGAGGATGTATTTCATGCGCTCGTCTTCGCAGAGACTGTTGATTGTGATTACATTGTCGGTGATGTTGTCCACTGTTTGGTCTTTCATTGGTGGGATTTTGACTTTGGAGGGGTCCATGGTGTGTAGTCTTGTAGATTTGAGGTGAATGGTAAATAGTTTATTGCTAGAGTCCGGGGTCAAGCTGTTTATATGTTATAGGGGGTTGGTATTACTTCCATCAGGAGATACAAGTCCCAATCAGAAGCTCCCAAATGGAAACCTTTTTCACCCCGCAATCCCCACTACTTCTCCTCCCGTCGGATGTAAATGTCGGATTTATATGCCGGAGTTCTGAGGATATACTATGGGGGAACCTATCCGAATGTCTTCAGGGCAGAGTATATATCCGGCCAAGTCTTGGTATTAAGATCTAGCATAATTATAATAGCCAACCTTGGAATCTTAAGCAAAATATCTACTGTATTACAATAACTTGGCAATAGCAACGTAGACGCAGAGATGATATGTTATACCTAGGTAGTAGTTATTCAGAGAAGAGAAGGTGAATAAGTCAAAAGGAACGCTAATCAGAGGGATATCTAACACAGTACTCCCACGCCCAACCCATTTTGCCAATATGTGAAAACGAAAGACAACAGAGACTGTACACAATTCAATAGAAAGAATACTTTACGCATGCACCATACGCCGATCACGATCACGATCAGCCTCCCGCTCACGTTCTCGGTCATAGCCACCTCCAGAAACAGGAGCTGAACCCGGTGCAGGAAGAGCACCCCCACCACTGCCCGCACCTGGGTGCTCTCCACGCTCCACACCACGCTCCCTCTCCTGCACAGCCGCAGCGACCCGTGTGTGATGATCCACTGTATCCAAAATAGCCTGTCTGAGCCGCTGATTGGCATCGGGATCCTCATCCTCCGGGCGATCCAAGACACGACCGGCAGGGATATGAGGGCGGTCCCTTTTCTCTGTCTCGCTCACTGCCCGTCGCGGGGAATTATCATTTGAAGGGAGCTCCATCGGAACTGTAGACCCAGGAGCCAGGTTCGGGGCTGAAGGGGCGGACTCGCGTCGGTGCTGATAGTAGTATGTGGGGACCTCTGGCTCAAAGGGCGGTTGTCGGGGATGCTCACGCTCGGCGGAGATCGGGGAAGTGGACCCATACCGAACTGAGGTGGGGTAAGGTTGGCGCTGGTGCGGTCTTTGTCGGAGCGCTCGTGGGATACCGTTGATGTGGTGTTCCCCGCCCGCATTGCTGTGATTTCTTCTTCTTTGACGTCGCGCCAGGAGCACTTGGCGTGTTTCTTCGTGCAACCAACGCAGGCTGTGAGATTCTTAAGGCAGTCCATGTGGAGGCGGCGGCAGCGGTCGCAGGGTGGGATTACACGTTCACCGCGCTGGAGCTCTTCCATGCGGGCTACCATTTCTAGCTTGTAGGGGCCTCCGTCGTCTTTTTCTTGATGAATTGATTTTGGTGGCGGGAGGAGGGATGATGGGGTGCTTGGGATGGCGACTGTGGTTGCCGTCGCGGGGTTGTAGAGGCTGTAGTCTGCTGGGTCGGAGGCACGGGGCCGGGAGAGTGGTTGGGGATTGACTGGGGCTGTTGCGTCGTCGTAGCCGCGGGCGTGGCGATCAGCCGTTGTGAAGAACCTTTTCATCAAATCCGCACGGGTTGTCGGGGAGGCACCTTTGATCGATTGCCCGTTGATCATGGTGACATTATCGGTGTTGGATTGTGAGAACATGAATTGGGAGGCTAGGGGGGTTCTCCTCTGTGTGCTCGCCTTCAGGACGTTGAGCGTTGACAGCGACGAAACCAGACGGAGAAGGATGAGATGATGTATGGCCGTTTCCTGGGCCATGACCGTTGGCATCGCGCCAGATTTCGGTGACATTTCGGGATTGGGAATGTAGAGAAGCGTCGTTCTCTCGTCGGGTGATAATAGCATTGCGGCGATTCTTCAAACGATGGTTAAGCTGTCTCGCTCGAGCAGAGACTAAGCACACAAATATTGTCAGCGAACGGCTCTTAAGCTGATATATGTATATAGTGAATTGCTTACCTTGATCGGCCATCTGAATTATATGTTGCAAGTTCTTCTCAAGAATCTCCAGCGCGCCCAGCTCCTTTTCCTCATCCTCGATGATAGGCTGGGGTGGGATCATCTTCTGCGGCATGCCGGAAGCAATCAAAACGAAATCCTCCTCGCTGATCTCCACGCGACACTGCTTGGTATAGAACTGGCAGACTCGCACGCCGTTGCGCGACTTCTCCAGATTGAACTGCTCGGGCTTATTCTTCGCAAATTCGACGACATCGAGCCAAGTCACCGTAGGTCCGTCTTTGCCATGGGATTTCAACACTTGCGGGGGTCCGTCGAACAGGCGCTCGAAGCGTTTGATCAAGATCGGACCAAGCGGGCATGCGCCCAGATTTCCGGCGATGCTCTCGTGGCGGTGTAAAACGCCGTCGTATTCGCCGAGCAGATGGATGATCGCGGGCATGGTATCATCGACGGAGACGAGCGGTAGGTTGTCAGGGTATTGTCGTGCCAGGTAGTTAATCTGTAGGTGGTTCGAGTGCGTCTTAGGCACCTTCGACGACATGCCATGATCGGCGGTGGGAGACCGAGGCCGTTTATGAGACGACTCTGCCGTTTGAGCGTGGGATTCCATTGTGGGTGGAAGTGGGAGAGACACTATGCCCTACACACTGGAGTGGTTTTCGATACGGTGGAAAGAGATTGGAGATTGGGAGGAAAGAGACAAGTCGCGGAGAGGGTTAGATAAGAGCCCGAAACATGGAACTTGCGCGGAGATGAACCGGGACTTGCGCATAGAGTAACCGGCAGGTAACTCCTTTTATAAGACTCGAGCTACATTCATGAAGGTGAAGAAATGAAAAGAGAAAAGTGCAGGGCACCTCTAGAGGGACGGAACAACGCACGGGGAGTGGAGAGGAAAAACGTGATCTGGATTTCCGTTAGGGGCTCCTGGATTTGGAGAATTTTTTTCCTATTCTTTTCTTGTATTTTCTCCTCTTTACGATTGACGAATAGTGTTACAGCAGAAATTCCAATTGCAACTTGCACAATGTGAGGATCTCCCCACTATAGAGTACCTGGTGACCTTTGAGGAGTCCTCAGCGGAGTCCCGCCGGAGGGTTCCGCTGGCCTGCGATACGCTGGTTAAACAGATGTACGACAGTTACACCTTGCTTATAGTCTCACATATTTTGTATGCGGAGGGAATTCTACATAAAACATAATCCTAGATCATTCTATAAGTCCTCCTAATCTCTCAATCACTAAAATTAAGCCTTGAGCCTTGTGGGGAGGTCTTTAGTTTCGCTGATGCCTGAACGGGCCAGCGGGCTGAAACATTTCTCGGGAGCTCGGAGGAAATCACAATGAAAATAATCTGGTCTGGGATCAGATTACTTGAAACAATCAACAAAGAGATAAGTAAATAACGCACATAAGTACATGCAATACATGCAATTGAGAAAGGAATGTCAAAAAAGCCCTCAACATTGAAATGTTCAGATTAAAGATAAGATACTCGTAATATACCGGTAAAATACCTCCGAGCGGGATCCCTCGTGGCTGTCAACTGCAATAATACAGTGGTAATTGGTAATCTCCATACCAAGGCGGAGGACCGCCATGCCTGAGGCCACTCTCAACCTAAAAATCCCTCATATACGCGCCCACCTTGCTTGTACCTTCCGCTACCCCCACGGAGATACAGAGATACCAGTCTGTGTCCCTCGGATAGATCCAATCTTGCTTCCCTCGTCTAATATCTTCCTTCCATTCTTTTAAATCCCTCAATTTCACAGGCCATGTCTGAACGAGGCTCATTCCGAGGCGGTCGCGGTCGTGGAGGCCGCGGCGGACAGGGCCAGCAGAAAAGTGGCGGTGGTGGCGGTGCACAGGAGAAGCCCAAAAAGGAAAACATCTTGGATCTCAACAAGTACATGGACAAGGAGGTCCAAGTGAAGTTCAGTGGTGGTCGTGAGGGTATGTTGGACTGATTTCTTCTCATATATCTCTTTTTACTTTTACTTTTTCTTCTTCTTTCCGTCTTTCGTGACTTCTCATCGCCATCTATGAACTATATATGCTAACTCTAAGTACAGTCACCGGTACCCTCAAGGGCTACGACCAGCTGATGAACCTGGTCCTCGACGAAGTTAAGGAAACCATGCGCGGTGAGTTCCAATTTGCCTGCTTGGATCTAATCTCCATATCTCTGTTTCTTATATACTAACTTCCACAGATGAGGAGGGCAACACTACCACCCGCTCAATGGGTCTGATCGTCGCCCGCGGCACTTTGATCGTACTGATCTCTCCTGCTGACGGCAGCGAGGAGATCCCCAACCCTTTCTTGCAAGCAGAAGAGTAGAGAAAAGGCACTCTTTCTGACATATTATCTTCTTTCCGGGTTTCATTCATTCCGGATCTGGATGTCATTTCAGGAAATAGACATCCTAAGTCTGGTTGGAGCTTCAAAACACTACACACCTTAATGTCCCATTGGCTTTCGGCGTGCGCCGGAACATACGCTCATCAGTAGCTACGAAGGGAACGAACGCAATATGATGGTTTTGCTTTTTTTTCTTTTCTGTCGACTTGGAATGTGCATAGTAGGACTGCCTACTGTTGTGGTGCAGTTCCGTCTTTTGTCTCTTCTTTCTTTTCACGGAAGGAGATGATGGATTTGGGAATCATGATACATAGCGCCAAAAACCAAACAAGGATATAACCCGAAAAAATAACAAAGTCAACACGAAAGGTATCCAAGCAAAGTGCGTAGGTATCATAGATTAAAATCCAACATAACATATTCACATACTATCCTGTTCATCGATCTACTGGCCCACTTCCCCAGATGTTGGCCCCACTGTATCTCCAAACTCGGCGGAGTCATCAGAAGCACCATCGCCAGGGTCATTAGTTGCCAAGGAAACCTGCCGTGGCTGTGCATCCTTCAGCCTTCTTACACCCTCTGCCTCCTCAACCCAGGGACCAACCTTCTCCATGCCATCGATATACTCGGCACCAATGCGCAGATTGAGACCCGCGCTAAGGGCACGCTCGATGCGGGTCTCGCGAGTCTGCGACACAAGTGTGCGGAAAACGTGCACGAAGAAGCCGCCAAGGATGTCAACGCTCCAGTCCTCCGGAACAAGATCTAGGACCTCACGGACATCGAACCATGCTGCGAATCGCGCGAGGAGATCGCTTGTACGCTCGATGCGGTCTGACAGGTCCTCGATGTGCAAGAACTCGTCGAGCAGGTGGCGGAAGAGTTGTGACTGTAGGTTGTAGTCCGCTAGTTCTGGTGGGGTGCCTGTTGAAGAGGAAGAAGAGCTACGCGGACCGCCGAAGAGACAGTACCGGATTGCGGAGTCGTAGTCGCCTAGCCCGTGTGTGAGGAGACGGAGGGCCGGGCCGTGGTGGCCCTGTAGGCCATCGAGGATAATGCATTCTGAGACTAGTTCGTTCTGGAATGGCTCGATGCGAGTGAGGACGTTGGGGATTGAGTAACTGATTCCTGTTGGGAGGGGTTGCGAGGTGAATTGGGAGCTGGATATTCCACCCAGCAGCTGAAGTAATCGGAGTCGGGATTGCCACCAGGGCTCTACGGGAGTGTTCTCGATTATGAAGTTCAGGTATGTCGCTTTAGGGGCACGCAGGGCTCGATAGGTTGAGTAGGAGTCGGCCAAAGAAGCTCGTGCTTCGGGGGATGACTCGAGCACGGAAAGTACCGTGTCTAAGTAGTACGAGATCAGGTCGTCGGCATATTGCGTGTACTGTATTCACATGTCAGTTAGATGTGCATGAACTAAGGTTACAAGAAGACTCACATTCTTAGCAAATACCAGGTGCTCTAGGTAGACCTGGACCGCGTTCGGAGCTCGCTCCTTCAGCAAAGCAACAACATCCGCCGGTTCCAGTCGAACACGGCTGGCATTGTCTGCGAATACCTGGATGCCCAGATTGGGGTTTCGCCCAGCCAGCCAAGAGCCATACTCTTCAACCAGCTGCACATCCTTGATCTTGACCAAGTACCTGCGCATCTGCGTCTCCACGCCATTCGCGGAGACCTCTCCGCCAGCGTCAGTCTCCCCGTCGACGATTCGTCGCCAGGTCTTGAGGACATTTCGAGACATCTTTTGGCTTTGATACAAACGGCTTAGTACATAGAGCCGCTTGTATGTTTCCAGGAGCATCACTGCTCGGTCGAAATTGCCTTTCCAATTATCAACCAGCCTATTCAACTCAGGGCGAATTGGCGACGCTGCCCGCTGATCCTGCGTCAGATAGGCATCTTGTTCCAAGGTCAGGTGCAAAAGCGCGGCATCTGTGCTATCCAAAACATATGTCTCATCGGTGATACTACCATATCCCCGCTTCTGCTGCCAGGAGAGAAGGAACCTTTTTACCATGTTGAGAACAGGACTGCGAGCAGCATCCAATCCCGAGGATTCGACACCTATCTTTCCGACCTGTTCAATGTATTTTTCCGCCATGCTTGCCAACCCAGCATGTGTCCATATACCCTGAGGCCCCTGCAAAACCTCACATCGCAAAAGAGGAATGAATAGCAATGCCAAACGCGGGTCGAGGTTACCTGCCAGTAGCGCTTTCTCGGTGCCATCGATTGCCGTGGCATTGCGGTCATCTGGCTGCATGGAGAGAAGATCTCCATAAAGCATGAGGCTGGCCTTTTGCTTCACGTAGCTCAATCCGATGAATTCGGCCTCGGTCTTTGGCTCGGTGTCCTGTACGGAGAGCAACAAGTCCAGAACGGCATCCCTCCGCAACACAATGTTCTCGCTCTCTTCGGTCTCCTGGGCCTTCTGCAAGGTGTCATCCAGCTGGACTATCAATGGATTCTGCAGTACGCGCCATATGTGAGATCCTGACCACACGACAAGGTTGCTTTGGACCTTGCCCAATCCATGTGCAAATTTTGCTTCTTCTTTATTCCGTTGAGCCTCCCAGCCCTGGTTTGCTGAACCATCACTCTTCTTCGATCCCTCGGAGTCGGTCAGTTCCTGCGAATCGAACAGTTCTTTCTCCTTTTGCGAGTGTTCGATAGATGCCTGGGTTCTTGAATCTGCTATTGACACATGCGCGGGCAGCGTGAGGCTTTTAAAGCGGACCATCCGCAAGAGCTGCCCGATTTTATTGAGCTCAAGATGGCTAGCGCTGAGGGTATGTCGGAGGCCAACTTGAGTAGGTCGTGGCTCTCCAGGAGATGGTATCTCTATCCAGCTCTTGGTTCGCTCAGTCTCGCCTGGGTCATCGTCCCAGCGTTGGATTTCGAGTCTGGTTCGAACCTTCCCAGCGTCTTCGTCTTCGATTACAGCGAGAACAAACTCCTCTTTGGCGCCCCCACTAGTCTGGAGCATTTCATCATCCTCATTTGTATCAACCACAACCGACTTTGGGAATCTGTGGAAGTTGATTGTTCCCCGAACGACCTCGCCGTCCATGTCGACAAACATCCCAACGCCCGGTTCTGTTTCCTCGGTTCCGGTCACAAGTAAAAATTCAGAAGGTGTTGGGGACACCACATGGGGCTGAAGACGCTTCGAGCCTTGCTTTGTTGGCGGAGGTAAAGGTGGTAAGGGCTTCAAGCTGTCATTAGTAGGAGACTTATTATCTGGCTCCTGGTCACTGGGGGGGCTTGGGGGAGCTCCTCGCCTCTCGCTCCTCCGAGCTTGATCTTCTGGGTTCCCCGGTAGATGTGAAAGGATCGGGTGTCCCTGACGGCGATCTATCTAGCTGGGCCGCTTGTGTCTGCGGTGAAAGCATTCCCACGAAGGTATTCAGACTAGTGCTTCTGCCATGCCCTGAAGCATCACTCGGTGGGGAGGTAGGGTAGAGAGGAAGAGGGTGAGCGTTTGAGCGGAGTTTGCGGTGCTGGGTTCATATCTTCCACATGCCCGGACTCAAAGACCTCATTCGAAGAGGATATTGGGAAAAGCGGAATCTTTTGCTGGTGTGCCACTTCAAGTAATGAGTACGAATGAGAATCCGCAGCACACGCGATCGTTCCTCGTCGCGCTGCAGTTAAGCAACCAGGAAACTCGATCTTCTTGATCCGTCGCGCCTCATCCCCAATCTGGACCAGCATGATCCTGTTCTGCACAGCAATCATGACAGTCGGGTCCTCGCCTTCCTCTGCATCCCAGTTGAGGTCCAACCCACCGATCCAGCGGCAGTTATTGACCTTTGTGGCTCCAAAAGCCGGACTGAGCTCCGGCAGCATGTAGAATGTAACAGTGCCATTGCAGAGGACACATGCCTTGTTCACTGAGGATAAGACAACTATTTGTCGAACACCTTCTTGATCACTGCCCGGTGGGGGACTCTGGGCGAACAGGATCGGTAATCGGGATGCCAATATGAAGGTAGGCTCGGCGGCTTCGTCCGGGGATGCTGGCGGGAGGCATACGAAATGCAAAATCTCGGCTGCAGAGGTACCAATATATAGATTTTCATCTGTGCAATGCGAGTTAGCTCGGGGTTCATCGAGCAGGCAGCACCTACGACCAAAACAGATAAAGCTTACTCCAGTATTCAACACAGGTGATGTAGACGTCGGAGCTATGCTCGGTCGCTAACGGCACGTCCTCGAACAGGGAATGTAACAAATAAGGTACAGTCCCTGGCGGACTGACCTTGCGCCTCTTGCGAGGACCAATTCCATCGTCTGAAGCCATCATGAGGCTGTCGTTCCATGCATCTCCCCGCAAGCTTGGAGAGTGACGATGTGAGGGCGGTCAGTAGCTGGGGCCAAAGCTCAGGGGGCCACAGTTGATGGCAGAGGACAACGGCCACAGTGGTGGCTTTTTATCTGGCAGAATATGGTATGATCTATAGATGCTTCTAAGGTGCAATCCTAACTTGTACACTTTGATGCTAAAGTTGAGTTTTCCCAGAATTGAACTTATTTTAGAATCGCTTGCTTCATTTACTTTCTAATGGTTCTTATCAACAACTTGAAGCTTTAAATATGACACTAAAGTAGGACATTAAGGGCGGTCAGTAAAGCGGTCAATCCAATCTACAAGTGGCTGTTATCTCCTACCGTATATTGTAAACGGGTGCCTCGGGTGAATTGCTGTCATCTTGAAACAACACACTCATTGTACAGCCTGCATGTTCAAGGTCACTGGACATCCTCTGCCCTTTGATACTCACATTCATAAATTTGTACACCAACCCCAGGATCGTACGTTGTACACATACAGTCGGAACAATATCGGCCCGTCCGCCGCGTGTCCTGTTCCTCGCGATAACAGATCTCCATCTTCCCCTTGGTGGACTGCTATTTGATGTGGGGTGACAGTGCAGACCCTTGGGGTTAGGACCGACAATGGATTCATTTGCTATTACAGAGGGTTTGGTTCCTCAGGACCAACATGATAGCCAACCTGAATCACCCATGTCCAGCAAATTGACCGAAGAGACCAACAAGTTCCAACGCGCCATTTCAGCCTGGAGAGGTAATTATTATCTTACATGTTGCCGAGTCTTTACTGACATATAATAGGGATTGATTTGACCAACACTATCGCGAAGCTCGATACAACCGCTACGGATCTCGTTGAACAGCAGCGTGATGCACTCGTGCAAAGAAAGGAACTGGCGCAGAAGACGAAAGACTACAAGAAGCTGGATGATGAATCTAAGCTCACAGAGTATAAATCACTACTAAAATCCTATCAGTCCTTTATCGATCTCTTGACCAACCAAGGCAAAACGTCATCGTCCTCATTCTTACAACTATACTCTTCATTATCCGAGGCTCCGGACCCCTACCCACTCCTAGAAGCTTCTGTCGACTCCCTTGTCCTGTCCAAAGATACAGTTCCCAAACTGACCTCAGAACGAGATCAATTGCAGAAGTCGGTGGATCGTCTCACCAGGCAACAAGAGGAGACAGAGAAACGCCTGCAGGAGGAACGTGCTGCGCGGAAGAAACTAGAGGAAAACCAGGAATCAAAAGCTAAGGAGATCGAAGCATCGTGGGAAGCTGTCTTGACAGAAAAGACAAACAACTGGGCGGCAAAGGAGAAGTCTTTGGAAGAGAAAGTGGAGAACCAGGATCGATTGATCAAGGAACTCAAAGCAAGCTATGAAGTCTCCCAGCGCCTGGGTGAGGGCGAGAATCAGGGTGATGATAGTGAAGGTTCCCGGAGCGGCGCTACTGCAGCTGAGCTTGAGCTCGTCTCTGCCGATTTAGAGAAAACAAGCTTGAGACTGGCTGACGTGGAAGCACGCAATGAACAAATGCGGTTGGAGCTGGCTCAGGCTGCATCACATGCATCTGGTCCAGTTTCTGTTGAGGACGACCCCGATTATCTACGTCTCCAGTCAGAGAATTCCTCCTTGCTTCGGAAACTGGATGCTGCACGATTTGACAAAGACTCAGAACGACACACCTGGGAAGCTAAACTGCTTCAATCGGAGCGGGCAGCTTCAAAGGCAGCTGTGGAAAGGGAAGAGTTGCGTGCGCGGTTAGCAAAGGTAGCCGACTATGATGAGATCCGCCGGGAGCTGGAGATGATCAGGTCAATTGAATTTGCAGCTGGTGATGATGATGAGGCGGGAGACGGTGCTGGAGAGGGTGCTGCGGTTAACGCAAATGGCGAGGGGGCCAAATCCAAAGACAAGAATTCTCTGGAGCAACTCCTTATGGCCCGGAACAAGAAATTGACAGATGATCTCACTCTCCTGCGAGTCTCGCACCGCGATATCCAAGAGCAGCTCGAAACACTGCGAAATGAGCTTTCGACTTCAAAGGGAGAGCTGGAAAAGTCACGAACCCTGTCAACTACTCTTGAAAATGACCTTCTTCGGGTGCAAGAGGAGGCTGCAAATGCATTCCCGTCCTCGGCGATGTCTGTTGCAGGAACCTACAGCTCGAGATACCCCCACTCTGCTCGTCGGGGCGCATCATCACCCACCTCGTCCATCATCTCTGGCTTTGACCAAAGTGCCATGTCTGCGAACACCATGGAATCAATCCGTGCAGGAGAGGCCGTTGGCGGCGGCTCTGGCCTCCTGCCTATGATCCAGGCCCAACGAGACCGCTTCAAGAAGAAGAATGCCGAACTCGAGGAAGAGCTGTCAAAGCTATATGCCACTGTCAAGTCCCTCCGACAGGAAGTTGCATCGCTCCAAAAGGACAACCTGAGTCTCTACGAAAAGACTCGCTATGTCTCGACCTATAGTCGTGGTCAGGGTGCTTCCACATCTGCATCGTCGTTTGCAACCCCCCCCCAGCTCAACTTCGGTTTATACCTCTGCAGACACGCCTTCGGGTCTGTCCCTCGACCGATACCAGAGTGCCTACGAGGCTCGTATCTCACCGTTTGCTGCGTTCCGGGGCCGTGAATCAACGCGCGCATACAAACGCATGAGCCTACCAGAGCGGATTGTCTTCTCTCTCACCCGAATCATTCTTGCCAACCGGATGAGTCGGAATCTGTTCGCTGGTTACTGCTTTGCACTCCATCTTCTGCTTTTCACTGTGCTCTATATGATGAGCACGACGGAGATTGAGAAGCGTAGCGCTATGGGCGCCGTCGGTAGCGCTGCTGCTGCTGCATACGGTAGTAGCAGCGGAGCCGGAGGGGGCATGGGGAGTGGTGGCGGTCAGCTGAACGGTGATGACTGGCAGCAGGAAGGTTTCAACTAATATTCCAAAGTTTTGTCTGATGTTTACACAGCGAAGAGCTCCGGAGTTCTTTTTTTTTTTTTCTGTCCCCTCTTCATGACTGATCATAACTCCTGGCGTTTTGGGTTAAGTGTTACTCCACGTTGTACTATTCTGGGGTGTGGGTCGAGCTGCATCGTGTGTAAATTCGATTTCTTGCAAATATCCTGTGTCTGTGACCAATATAGTGAGATGATTGTAGATTTCGGATCTTTCCAAGGGATGTCATGGGTTCAGGTGACGTTTTATAAACGAGCATCCGAAGCAGACCCAAGCCGTAAGTATGGATCCCCTTCCAATGCTATGAATGCCCCTACTGGCCTCTCGGATAGGACGGGGCTTTTTCTGAGCTTCTGTCTGCAAGTATCAACGTGGTCTTTCCTTGCGAACTCCGAACCTTTATTGTATTTCGTTCCCATGCGCGTAGTTAAACAATCTATCAGCACAATACTTAGTCGCCTGACTGACACTCACTCACTCCATTGGATTGATTGGTCAATTGGAAAGAATATCAAAATTTATGTCCATAGAGCAGCAGTGCCGCCAGTAAGAATAGAATATACGTAGAAAGACAAAGGGATAAGAAGGTCGTGCTCCGAATGTGGTGCATTAGTGCCGGAGAATTATAGCCGACCAGATATATATATCACCAGTGGCTTGCCCAAGTCAAATACAGACAAAAAAGCCGACGGTTGGTAAAAGCAGGTGTCAGCAGCCACATGAATAGGTGCTAGCTATAATAATAATGAAGGTCAGAGCAACTTTGTGGTAAGATGGCGTTATCTAGGCGCTGGTGCGCTGCAACCTGGAAGGCCAAAGTAAGACGGGGAAGGGAAAGTCAACCCCCGCCATGTCAGCCTCGGCAATCCAGGCAACATTCCTAGATACGTTGTAAATAAGTTGAATATTTAGGACTATGACATGGTTGAAATTATGAACAAGCTCTAATTTGATAAGTGCCGGGACCCATGTCACCAATGCCTGCAACAATTTCCCCGAGTTCTGCACAAATCGTAGGAGGGATGGGCCTAGCATGGGTGCACTCCGCATACTAACCTGTACCGGCAATGATTTTGCATATCCAACCGCCCAACACACATGGCACTGTTCTTCAGTCAGATTTATTAATAGCACCGGGGAATTTATAGATCACCACATTGGCTCGGTTCAAGCTGCTACAACCGAACCGCCAAGGGAAACCCCGTTGTTTTGCTTAGCGCGTTGCTATCATGACTTTCAATCAAATTTGTTGGCAGCTGACGACAAATCAGAAGCCAAAGAGACTGGGAGGGTCAGCCCTGGGCGCGTCGATCTACCAATCAGAGCCCGTGGTCGAGCTTTAATCCCTGCTAGTACCTGCAGGTTGCATCGATCGCTCTGTTAATAGCACAGCATCGTTTTGAGTCGGACCTGTGTTACTATCTTTGATATATGCTTGAATTGAAGGATAGTTGCAATTACCACTTCTATATGTATCCTGCCCCTCGGCCCGGCCAATTTATCATGTCAATTCCTCCCTTGTCATTCCTTTCTTCAACACGCTTACCTCCCTCTCATCTTCATACCCGACCTGCATCAAAGGCTTGCTGGACAATCCTTGATCAATCCGAAAAAGTCACCGCCATTGACCGCCCCTCTATTCCTCTGCCTACTAGCATACAGACATAGTAGCAATGCGTTTTGCTCCTCTCATCATCTGCCTGGCAGCAATATCGCTTGCTGCCCCAACACACTTCCTTGACGATGCATACGACTGGTCCGATGAACTGGCAGAATTCTATGGAAAAGTGAGCCGGTACATCAACACCGCAAGGCACAACATTAGAGTACCGGGGGCTTGCGAAGCCTCTAAGATTGCTCTGCCCTCCTATGCTTCGGGAATGACCAGCCCGTCAGGTCTAAAACCCAGATACGTTGCACTTGGACGGGGCACCCAGGTATGACAAGCTCTTCAGATACCTTGCCGAGTTACATCGCTCATTATGAAACTAGAACTATACATGTGCGGACTCTACTTCTAAATCCACACCTGTGGCGGTGGGCGCTGTCGCAAGACTCTACAATGCCACATGCATTGCAGCCAACTACCCCGATCTCTTGGCAAAACTTCCCGACTTTGCCTACAGGATCCCCCTACCAACCAACGAATATGCCTCATTCCCTCCAGCCAACCTTGTATTGATGGGCCACCACTTCTTCACCGATGCAATCCCCGAGTTCAACTTGAACACTACACCCCAAAAGCAGAATGGAATTGTCATGACGAAGAAGGGAGGTGCAATTGACGCACCTCCAGGTGCAGTGTCAGGGCAGTACGGTGCTGTGCCTTGGCTCTACCTCACTTCTACTGATGGCACGGTGGGCAACTACAAGAGCGTCTATCGAGTCAATACTGCCGCTGGGTCGCCACCAAAGACCTGCGAGGGTATGCCACCCGCATTTCAAATGCAATACGCTGCAAATTACTACTTCTTTGGGGAATAGTTGATTGTTTTTGTTATATTTGTATATACAGAAGGGTAACTTCGGTCGGAGGATGTGATTTTTCTATTTGCGGGCGGGCTCTGTCTTACTTTGTTATTATTATTTATTCAATGACCAATAATGAGCTTTTATGACCGGGGAATGGATTGTTGTTCTTCATTTTCATCGATCGTAGTGTTACGTCTCATCCACGTCTCACACACGTACGTCTCAGGACTTATTCGCCAGTAGTACACCATTTTGTGGTTTGCAGAAGAAAACTTACTTTTAGTCAATCCAATTACTTCACTTACAGCTTGAAATACCATCAAAAAGAATCAATACCAGTGACCTTTTTGTTTTCAATCACAATATGCCATCTCAAACAATGCAGGGCTTTAACAGATCACGTGCCATATACGCAGATGAAGAGTTCCACGTGACTTCCTCACACGGAGGATACGCTAAACCCAAAATGACCTAGCGCCGTTCTGATTTTCTGAAAGATCCCAAAGGCGCAAAAAAAATCTCGACCGCATCAACGAGCAGCATCGGTATCGATCCGCATCCGACAGATAGTTAGCGGCCAATTCTGTTTGAATTGATTGATCCCACTATCTCAGATACGTTGCCAATTTTTTTCTCAATCTTTATCGACTCCCACGGAACTTTTATTCCAATTTTCAACTACACTCGGTTTTAAGCACTCGGAAACGACAGCTTAACCTCCCTCCCCTTTAACTCCCTTTACAACCGAGTTTTATTTCTCAAAACACATACAATGTCTTTCGCTCCTCGTGGACGTGGTGGATTTGGTGGTGACCGCGGTGGCCGTGGTGGTGGTCGAGGTTTGTTCAGTCCAGTCTATTATTTGAATCAGCAAGCATGAAGGCCCAAAGTCTCGCTGGTGATTCCACCGCACCAATGGCCATGATCCTATTTCTTGCTGTGACATTACCGTTCACCTCGCTGACTCGTTGAAGGTGGTTTCGGCGACCGTGGTGGCCGTGGTGGTGGCCGCGGAGGCCGTGGAGGCTTCGGTGATCGTGGCGGCCGTGGAGGTGGTCGTGGTGCCCCTCGTGGTGGCCGTGGAGGTCGTGGTGCTCCTCGTGGCCGTGGTGCTCCCCGCGGTGGCGGTGGTGCTCGTGGTGGTGCCAAGGTTGTCATTGTAAGTGTTGGAAATTATCATGGACATGGGTATCAGTCACTTACGGAGACTTTTTTTCTTGCAAACAGGAGCCTCACCGTCACGCCGGTATCTTCGTCGCTCGCGGCGGTAAGGAGGACATGCTTGTCACCAAAAACCTTACGCCTGGAACTGCTGTCTATGGCGAGAAGCGCATCTCCGTTGAGGGTCCCGCAGCTGAGGATGGTGCTGTCACCAAGCACGAGTACCGTGTCTGGAACCCCTTCCGTTCTAAGGTAAATCCCCTTTTCCTGAGACATGGCATCGTTGGTGATTTTATTGAATTTTTCTCGGAATCATTCAATATCACCCCATAGCCATGGCTGTCTATTGCTTAGTCCTTTCTTTCTGACGTCTTTTTCCATTTTCTAGTTGGCCGCTGGTGTCCTGGGTGGTCTTGATGACATCTACATGAAGCCCGGCTCCAAGGTTCTCTACATTGGTGGTGCCTCCGGTACCTCCGTTTCTCACGTCGCTGATATTGTCGGACCCACTGGTAACGTCTACGCCGTCGAGTTCTCTCACCGCTCTGGCCGTGATCTGATCGGCATGGCCACTCACCGCACCAACGTCATCCCCATCGTTGAGGATGCCCGTCACCCTCTCCGTTACCGTATGCTCGTGCCCATGGTTGATGTCATCTTTGCCGATGTTGCCCAGCCCGATCAGGCCCGTATTGTCGGATTGAACGCCCACATGTTCCTCAAGGCTGAGGGTGGTGTCATTGTCTCCATCAAGGCCAACTGTATCGACAGCACAGCCAAGCCCGAGGTTGTGTTCGCTAAGGAGGTCCAGAAGATGCGTGAGGAGAAGATCAAGCCTAAGGAGCAGCTGACCCTCGAGCCTTTCGAGCGTGACCACTGCATCGTCGCTGGTATCTACAAGCGCACCGCATAAAGGTTTTAATCTCTAGTCTCTGGTCATGTCCATTCCCTTTTGATGTTCCCCTCGGCGTCTCGTGTTCTGTGATGTATCGAATGTTTTCCACCTTTCTTGTGACAGGTATTTCCGCCTATGTACTTTTGGCTGCGTCTTAAAATTTAGTTTTCCTTTTCGATGAATTTTACACGCTGGAATGTGTCATACTGAGTGTCTTGATCTGAGGTGATGAGATAGCTCTGGTTAGCGTATGATACCCGTACCTAGGTAGCAACCAGTGGCCAATACAAGCGATCCTAGTCTTGCTAACAATCGCCGGCAATATTTGAGCAAGTATTTTAGATCTAGCTTCCAGTCTTCAAGGGTTCTAAGCTTGGTCTGCAAGTGTGACCTGTCCACCGATATAGATCATATATGACATAGCCTTAGAACATCCCTAACAAAAAAAAGAAACAACAATTTACTAACTATTACTATCGTCTAAGAGTAAAAAAAGTTCGCTCACATGTTTCTCTAGGTCATCTCGCTGTCCCAATCCCATTCTCGGACTTGCGCCGGGCCTCCCGGGACTCGGTTTTCTCACCGAGGCTTGCACCAAGAAAATGACTCGGAATTGATGCGTGAGACCTGAATTAAGCGATCATATTCGTGGGATATGATATACCATTGGCCAACGGGGGAATTATCATGACTGAACGAGCGTGGGGGAGAGACACAAGTTCCGCTTCAACCCCGCAAAGTGTGTCACTATATAATGGAACACATCCATTTTCCGTTCTACATAGTTGAATATATTCCTATTTCATTGCACCGTACCTCTTGTCGATTAATGCGACTGAACTGATCGATTGACCTGACTAAACCCAACTACGTTATCCTATACCCATCATGTCGATTCTCATCACCGGTGCGGGGGGTTATGTCGGCCAGGAATTGGCGGCGTCCCTTCTCGAAAGCACACCAGTCACGACAACCGTGACAATAACCGATATCGTTGAGCCCCAGATCCCAGAGTCAGCTGCACAGCACGCAAGCCGCCTAAGCTGTGTCAAGGCGGACCTCACCTCCACCAAAGAGGTCGACGAACTGATTAGCGCATCCAATCCCTATGAGACAGTCTACATCCTCCACGGTATCATGTCCGGCGGCTCCGAGGCCAACTTCGAGCTGGGAATTCGCGTCAACCTCGACGCAACAAGATACATTCTGGACCGACTACGTGCGACCATGCCCGGAGTGAAGGTGGTTTTCACATCATCACTGGCAGTCTACGGCCTTGCACCGCCAGGATTCGTCATTGACGAGACAAACTTCCCACCCATGCCATCTTCCTCATATGGATCGCAGAAACTCATTATTGAAACACTGTTGAACGACTACTCGCGACGCGGATTCTTGGATGGCCGGTGCGTGCGTCTGCCCACGGTGACAGTAAGAGCTGGCAAGCCCACACAGGCTGCCAGTAGCTTCGCCAGTGATATCATCCGCGAGCCCTTCCACGGTAAGAAGGCTATTCTGCCTGTGGCCAGGGAAACGGAGATGTGGATCTGCTCGCCGCACACTGTTATCAAGAACTTGATTCATGCGCGTGACGTGCCCAAAGAGGCATTTGGAGACTCAAGATCTGTTAATCTTCCTGGGTTGAAGGTCAGTATTCAGCAGATGTTGGATGCTTTGCTGGAAGTTGGTGGTAAGGAGCGTCGGGCTCTCGTGGAGGAGAAATATGATGCTGCTACCGACAAGATTGTGCAATCATGGACTCCTCGATTTGATACTGCTCGTGCTTTCAAGTTGGGTTTCGCAGCGGATATTTCGATGGAGGAGAACATTAGACAGTTTGCGAGCCGGTTTGTATGAGACGGAGGGCATGTAGCCAATCAATAGGCACGAAATTGGATGACCGAAATGGAATGATCGGAAAACAAGGCGTATTGGAATGCCCCAACATCAAGCATGTCGTGTTTTGACACGGTACAGATCGATAAAGACAATATATAGGCCTATTTAAACAGTATTATAGCCCATATCACGAATTAATGCAGAGTAAGGAAGTATTCGGGATGTCAAGGGCGGTTTGGAAAAGCGGGTTATGTAATTGGCTGAGCTGGGCGAACAATTTCAGACTTCGGAACCTCAACCTCAGGGTGTCTCCATCAGCTCTTTTCTCCATCTCTCCCCCTTCTCCCCCTCCCTCCACCTACACAAGTCGTTCTCAATGGCTTCTCGGCGCCTTGCTTTTAACCTGAACCAGGCTCTCCGCACTCGTGCGGCCCTGAAGTCCATCCAGCCCGTGAAGCGTGGCTTTGCCTCGCCGGTTGCGTTGCCGTCCACCACCCAGTCCACCACCCTCTCCAACGGATTCACTGTACGACCAAGCAACTCATCTCAATGACATCGCAATTTAGCTAACTTGCTTCTAGATCGCCACTGATCACTCGCCATGGGCTCAAACCTCGACGGTCGGCGTGTGGATCGATGCCGGTAGCCGGGCAGAGACTGACAAGACCAACGGAACTGCACACTTCCTTGAGCACCTTGCCTTCAAGGTTCGACCACACAAACCTCAGACCACGAAGCGCTTTTATCTGATGAATATGACTAGGGCACCAACAAGCGCTCCCAGCACCAATTGGAGCTTGAGATCGAGAACATGGGCGCTCACCTCAACGCCTACACTTCGGTACGACCCGGGAAACCACCCATCAACGTCTACCAAACCAAATACTGATCGCGACTACAGAGGGAAAACACTGTCTACTACGCCAAGGCCTTCAACAACGATGTCCCCAAGGCCGTCGACATCCTCGCCGATATCCTTCAGAACTCCAAGCTCGAGGCTGGTGCCATTGAGCGTGAGCGTGATGTGATCCTGCGCGAGCAGGAGGAGGTTGACAAGCAGCTCGAGGAGGTTGTCTTCGACCACCTTCACGCCACCGCTTACCAGACCCAGCCCCTTGGACGCACCATCCTCGGCCCCAAGGAGAACATCCAGACCATCACCCGGGACAACCTGACCGACTACATCAAGACCAACTACACTGCTGACCGCATGGTCCTGGTCGGTGCTGGTGGCATTCCCCACGAGCAGCTCGTGAGACTCGCCGAGGAGCACTTCGGTGGCCTCCCCAGCAAGCCCCCTACCTCGGCTGCCTTGGCCCTCACTGCCGAGCAGAAGCGCACCCCGAGTTCATCGGCTCCGAGGTCCGCCTCCGCGACGACACCATCCCCTCCGCTCACATCGCTCTCGCCGTCGAGGGTGTTAGCTGGAAGGATGATGACTACTTCACCGCTCTGGTCACCCAGGCCATTGTCGGTAACTGGGACCGTGCCATGGGCCAGTCGCCCTTCCTCGGCAGCAAGCTCAGCTCCCACGTCAGCCACCACAACCTCGCTAACAGCTTCATGAGCTTCTCCACCAGCTACAGCGACACTGGGTAAGTTTTATTGTTGATAATCCATGTATTTGATCGAAAACATGCTGACTTGATATTAGTCTCTGGGGTATCTACCTTGTCAGCGAGAACCTTACTCAGCTCGATGACCTTATCCACTTCACTCTCCGTGAGTGGTCTCGCCTGTGCAACAACGTCACCTCCGCCGAGGTCGAGCGTGCCAAGGCCCAGCTCAAGGCTTCTATCCTCTTGTCTCTCGATGGCACCACTGCTGTCGCTGAGGACATCGGTCGCCAGATCATCACCACTGGCCGCCGCCTGAGCGCTGAGGATATTGAGCGTACTGTCAGCCAGATCACCGAGAAGGACGTCATGGACTTCGCTACCCGCAAGCTGTGGGATCAGGACCTCGCCATGAGCGCCGTCGGCAGCATCGAGGGTGTCCTCGACTACCAGCGCATCCGTGGAGACATGTCCCGCATGATCTCCTAAGTTGTTCTAGAGTATGATCGCGTGTGAAATAGCTGCTGAATGCTCCAGGAAAACTGGATTTTTGGCGGCTTTGATTTGAATGTACTATCAATCATTGCCTTGGGCTGTTAGATCCCAAATTCGTGTGTGAAATAGCAATTAATGGTTTGCCATAGTAGACTATATAGTTTGCTGCCTTTGCAGCAAACAGACCAATTATCTCCTTTGTTTGTTCTATTTCTTCCAGTGCACTGCGAAGTTGCTTCTTCCCAGCGTATTGTCGTCGCCGTCGCCGTCGCCGTCGCCATTGTACTTGCCTCCGTCGCCTAGTGTGCTTCATCCTCGTCGCTCTCTTCCAACGTTAACCGCTTGCGCTTTCCTACACATCAGACTCCAGGTTCTCATGTTTCCGCCATCTCACGGCTCTTCAAATTCTTCATTTACCCTTCGCTTGCTCTATTCCGCCGTGATCGAAATCCCAACACCTAAGTATCTATCTAGGTATTTTATTTTGACGATTGGCACCTCTGCTGGCTTGGTTCAATTCGTAACTCTTGTATGTGGCCTCAATATCTTCATTTGGTGATTATTTCCTCATCACTGCGTTTCCGTACTGTTTTCTTATAACTGACATGGATGTTTTAGTGACTGAGGTTCTCTCGTCATGGAGCGATTCGCCACCTTGCCAGCCGAGTTACGGCTGCTGGTGTGGGAGTTTGCGCTCCCAGCGCGAGTTGTTGAGATCGGAGAGCCGTGCGACCCAGATATCTTACCAGAGGAAGACCTCAGACAGGCATGGATCCTTAACAGGAAGTATCCAGCCATGGCTCATGTCTGTAGGGAATCCCGCCGAATTGCTTTGGCCAAATTCAAGCTCTCCAACGGTGTTACTCTTGCGCCGGATTGCATGACCGACAGTCGATGGTGGTGGAAGTCTACTGAGACTATTCACTTCAATGCTCCTGAGATTATCACAACCCAGCAAAGATGCAGACTGGAGGATGACCTGCTCGACTTGATGAAAGTTCCTATTCTGTGTAAAAAGGTCTCTATCAGTGCGGATGTCGTCCACCCTTTCTTGCGTTTCCGTAATAGGTCCGATATCCCAAAGTCGTTGGTATGGGAAGTCCTTTCCTCAATGGAGACATGTATTATCTCCCTACATACCGTATGTATCCGAGCCACCAACGAGCAAGCTCGGGAGCTGGGCCTCTTTGGCAACGGTGACGAGCCAGCACAGTTGATCGACCCTTTTGACAAGGCAGCTATCACGCGATTCAGACAGCTCTGGATGGAAACAAAACAGGAGGTATCTTCAGTCAAATTCTTCGACACGGTTGACACCGACAGATTCATTTTCCGAGTCGAAAGGTGGCTCGCGGAGATGTCAGCGGAGTACATCGATTTCAAATGGACCAATCCACCATTCCCGACTCCAGGACCGCAGATTATAACTGAATCACTTCGCCGGTACCCAGCTCGAAGACACAATCCGGACACCAAACAATATCTCGCGGAATTCCCCACTCTGGAGCTGAGGATCATGTTTCGACTCTGCCCACCTGCGGCGGTCGATCATGTGATTACGTAACCATCCCGCATCTGATCGGGAGATTTTTTGAAGGCATTTTGTTTGACGTACACTTTCCTGTAACTCTTACCACATCATAACAATGGGAAAACGCGGCGGCAAAAAGGTAATTTTATCTTCCATACGAGCTATGTGAGGTGTTTATTGTACTGACCGTGTCTCCTTTCTTGCAGGGTGGTAAAGGCCGCGGCGGTGGCGGCGGCGCAGGCCGTACGCGCGCTCAATGGCAAGATATCACTAGAGAGAATGAGAAGTTTGAGCGTTACTACAATGAACCCGAGTTCCTCCCGGAGGAGGAAAAGGAGCTTTTCTGGGCTACTATGCGCAAGGATCTTCCCAACAGCTTCCGTTTCACCGGTTCTCGAGGGTAAGTCACAACTGGTCTTTTTTTTGCGATTCGCGCTTTGGGAGGTTTCAATTGATATTGACTGTTGCGTGACTTTTGTTAGACATGCGCTGGCTGTTCAGCAGCGTCTTATCGACCACCACATTCCCGAAATCACTTCTATCAAATACGAGGACGAATTCGTCGAGCCTCCCCGCCCAGTTTCATGGTACCCAGATCAGCTCGCTTGGTCCATGACCACCCCTAAGAACGTTATCCGTCGATTTGCGCCCTTTGCTTCGTTCCAGAAATTCCTTGTCGCCGAGACCGACGTCGGAAACATCAGCCGCCAGGAGGTTGTTAGCATGATTCCTCCTCTCCTTATCGACGCTAAGCCTGGAATGACTGTGTTGGATATGTGCGCTGCGCCGGGTAGCAAGTCTGCGCAGCTGATGGAGCTGCTTCATGCAGGCGAGGAGGATGCCATTGCACAAGTCACTGAGCAGATCAAGAACGGCACTGCTGGACCTGAACCCCTCGGCCCCGAAGGACTGAACGACGACGGCCGAAGCACCGGCCTGTTGATTGCCAACGATAGCGACTACAAGCGCGCTCACATGCTTATTCACCAGATGAAGCGCCTGAGCTCGCCCAACCTGATCGTTACCAACCACGATGCCACAATGTTCCCTTCCATCAAGCTGCCTCCTCTGCCCACTGCCGACGGCAGCAAACCCAAGAACAGATACTTGAAGTTCGACCGCATTCTGGCAGATGTTCCTTGCTCTGGTGATGGTACCACACGCAAGAACGTTGGTGTCTGGAAGGACTGGACCCCTGGCAATGCTTTGGGACTTTACAGCACTCAGTCTCGGATCTTGGTTCGTGCTCTGCAGATGCTGAAGGTCGGCGGACGGGTCGTCTACTCAACCTGCAGTCTGAACCCTGTGGAGAACGAGGCTGTTGTCGCCTCCGCAATTGAACGCTGCGGTGGCGCTGCCAACGTTAAGATCGTCGATTGCAGCCAGGAGTTGCCCGGTCTCAAAAGAGCTTCCGGGTTGCATAACTGGAAAGTCATGGACCGTGAGGGCCGCATGTGGAACAACTGGCAGGAGGTTGAGGAGCACCGAGACCTGGAGGGCATCAATGGTCTTGCCAGACTTGCAGAGGGCATGTTCGCCCCGACAGGCGAGGCTGCCAACCTGCCCCTTGACCGATGCATGCGTGTTTACCCTCACCAGCAGGACACTGGTGGTTTCTTTATCACCGTCCTTGAGAAGACCTCCGAAATCAAGGCTAAGCCGGAGAGCAGTAATGTTATCCCCAAGGCTTCCGTTGCAGCTCTCGCCGCAGAGCTTGATTCTAAGAAGAACGAGACTGATGGAAAGCCTTTGGAGAAGCTCGAGTCACTGGATGAATTGGTCACTCCCGACCAAGGGGCCCAGGACGAACTCGCAAAGAATGCTTCTGTTGCTGAGGCCGCCCATCAACTTCCGTTCTCTGCTACTCTTAACCCAACTCCTGTCTCTCCCGTAAAGCGGGATGCAGACGACCTCGAAGAGGAACTTCCTGCTAAGAGGACTAAGCTCGACGATGGCAGGGAGGTCCTTGTCGGTGACCGACCTGTCCACCCCCCAGCGCCTGCCGTGGGAACTGGCATTGAAACGCCTGGTAACAGCACACCTGTTCCCTCCGCGGCTACTGCACAGCCTTTTAAGAAGAAGGGTCCCCGTCAAGAGGAGCCGTTCAAGTACCTTGATCCCAACCACGAGGAGCTTGTTTCCATCTATGAATTCTACAAGCTGTCGGAGCGATTCCCCCGTGATCGTTTCATGGTTCGCAATGCCGAAGGTCTCCCCACCCGCACAGTTTACTACACCAGTGCCTTGGGCCGGGACATTCTTACCTGCAATGAAGGCCAGGGCATGAAGTTCGTCCACTGCGGTGTGAAGATGTTCGTCAAGCAGGATGCGCAGCGCGAGAATGTCTGCAGATGGCGTGTTCAGACCGATGGCTTGAAGATTGTCGAGCCTTGGCTGGGCCCTGAACGGTCCGTTGTCCTGACTAAGAGGGAGACTTTGCGTCGCCTCCTTGTGGAGATGTTCCCCAAGGTCACCGACGATGGCTGGAAGGCTCTGGGTGAGATTGGCGAGCAAGTCAAGGATATTCCCATGGGATGCAGTATTCTTCGCATTCAAGCAACCGGTGGAGAAGATGGTCTTCCGTGAGTTTTTCCCCTTTACATTTATTCTACTAATATTTGCATCTTATTAACTAACATAATCTACAGTGAGGCCATGGTTCTGCCATTGTGGCGATCTCTCCATTCTTTGAACCTTATGCTTCCCAAGGAAGAACGCCGTGCCATGTTGCTACGTATTTTCAATGACTCCACCCCTCTGATCAACACCACGCAGAAGCAGGGTGGCGAGACTGAGCCGACCGCCGAGGCTGAGGACGTTGCACTGAAGGAAGAGAATGCCGCGGTTGGACAGGAAGCGCAGGACGACATGGATGATCGTGAGACGTACACCAAGGATGGCGATGAAGAGGATCGATTCAACACCACCGTGTAGATGGTTCTGATTTTACATGCTAATATGGGGATCTCAATGCTGTACCAAAAAGCCAATATCATGAATTCTGTGCCTTTTTTTTTTCGGTCTACTCTTGGTAATTTCCCGAGTGAACTGCATCGGAGAAACGTCGGTAGACTTTGATATCACAACAGGGATCGTCGGACCCCCACAACTTCCCCGCAGGAGAATTGCTTACTTTTGATTCCGAGCTGGTTAAAATGGATATCTGGATTAAATGGATTAAATGGGTTAATATTGGATCGGAATTTTGGTAAAGGGATACTCTACATACTCCGTATAACTCCATAAATCGGACTGAGATAGTGTGAAAAGCTGTACAAAAGGAAAGACAAAGTATCCTGCCATCTGCCCAGGTGATATCCGGCAAAGACAAGGCAAAGTGCAACCTTGGGAGCTGGGGGATCTTCGGTCCGGTTACTGGGGACAGTAAGGGCTTATGGCCGTGGCACTTTCGGCTGACACTGGAATATATGCATATTGACATTGCCTCTTATAGTAGACAGATTGTTGAACATTCCAACAGTTAAAATTACGAGGAATCTCCTGTTTTGTTTAATTCAGAACAACTCTCACCTCTTCCACAATACCCAAAATACTCATGGCCGCAGATACATGCTGTAGACCTCTCCGCATATGCACCACGGAGCATCCGGGTCACCCCTCAATTTGTCTCGGAGAATGACGAAAGGCCTGACTTGAAAGAAAAGAGGGGGCCTTTGCTACGGTAGTACATCAATTGCAGGCCATTACCTGCACTAGTATAGCAATTGCATGTTAGCTTGATTCGTGCTAATGATGTCCCGAGTCTCCATACTATATGAATGTCGCAACCCCTAGATTTAATATTTTGCAATAAAATTAGACTTAAACCCAAGTGCTCCTTCTTCCCCCTGTCCACATAACCCCCGCTTCACCCCTGTGTGAACTGCCGAGACAGTTATGAAGCTCTCGTCCTCTTGGGCCATTGCCTGTCTGGCGGCCCAGGCCGCTGGTGCGGCCATTAGCCATTCGGTGAATGGTTTTACTATCACCGAGCACCCGGATCCTGTTAAGCGCGACTTGCTCCAAAAATATGTACGTTGTGTTTGGGCCTTTGGGTTCAGATGGTTGTACTGACAAGCACATTGTATAGGTCACTTGGGATGACAAGTCTCTTTTTGTCAATGGCGAGAGAATCATGCTTTTTAGTGGTGAAATTCACCCATATCGGTAAGTTAAAAGGCATCGATTAGCTTTTACTTTTCCAAGAGAGAATTAGACTGATCAAGACCCCTGCAGTCTGCCTGTTCCATCTTTGTGGATTGATGTGTTCCAGAAAATCAAGGCTCTTGGATTCAACTGCGTTTCTTTCTATACCGATTGGGCCCTGTTGGAAGGTAAGCCGGGTGAGTATACTGCCGAGGGAATCTTCGCTCTGGAGCCATTCTTCGACGCCGCCAAAGAGGCCGGCATCTATCTTCTGGCGCGACCTGGTCCCTACGTCAATGCTGAAGCATCGGGTGGTGGTTTCCCGGGATGGCTTCAGCGCGTGAATGGGACCCTGCGAAGTAGCGATGAAGAGTTCCTAAAGGCAACAGACAAGTACGAGACTCTGCCATGATACACAATTGGAACCACCGTGAATACTGACAGTAACTAGTTACATGGCCAATGTTGCCGCAACCATGGCCAAGGGTCAAATCACCAACGGAGGCCCTATCATTCTTTTCCAACCTGAGAATGAGTACAGTGGCGCGTGCTGCGGATACGAAGATTTCCCTGATGGCGCTTTTATGCAGTACGTGCAGGACCAGGCTCACAAGGCTGGAATTGTCGTGCCTATTATCAGCAATGATGCCTATGCTGGTGGTCACAATGCCCCTGGAACTGGCGAGGGGGCTGTGGATATCTACGGACATGACAATTACCCTCTTGGATTTGACTGCGCGAACCCTTCGACCTGGCCAGAGGGTAAACTGCCCACTGATTTCTATACCACACACATGAAACAGAGTCCTTCTACTCCATACTCTCTGATTGAGGTAAGATATATGGATATCCATGTGTGTATTATCAATCATTTAACTGGAGTATAGTTCCAAGCTGGTGCCTTCGATCCTTGGGGAGGTGTCGGGTTCACGAAGTGTGCTGCCCTTCTGAACCATGAGTTCGAGAGAGTGTTCTATAAGAACAACCTCAGCTTCCGAGTTGCGATCCTCAACCTATACATGGTATGTTCTTAATCCCCTATCATGGTCACCGATTCTAATCTCTTATAGACCTTTGGTGGTACCAATTGGGGCAACCTGGGCCACCCCGGTGGATACACATCCTATGATTACGGTTCCCCGATTACTGAATCTCGCAACGTCACCCGCGAGAAGTACAGCGAGCTGAAGCTAATTGCCAACTTTGCTAGAGTGTCGCCGGCGTACCTTGTCTCGACACCAGGAGCCTTGACCACTTCCAAGTACACCACCTCGTCTGATCTAGCCGTGACTCCCCTGCTCGGAGGCAACAAAACGGCTTCTTCCTTCTTCGTCGTCCGACACTCCGACTACTCGAGCCAAGAGGCCGTTGACTACAAACTCAAGCTTCCCACTAGCGCCGGTACAGTGACTATTCCCCAGCTTGGTGGAAGCCTTACTCTCAGCGGCCGTGACTCCAAGATTCATGTCGTTGACTATGATGTGGCGGGCACCAACATCCTCTATTCCTCTGCTGAGGTGTTTACCTGGACGAAGTCTGGTAAATCCAAGATTCTTGTGCTGTACGGCGGCCCTGGTGAGCACCACGAGTTGGCTGTATCTTCCAAGTCGAAAGCCTCGGTCATTGAAGGATCATCATCGAGCATCACCACTAAGCAGGTGGGCAAGGCGGTTGTGATTGGGTGGGACGTCGACACTACTCGCCGTATCGTGCAAGTGGGTGATCTGAAGATCGTTCTTCTGGGTAAGTGCTCTCTCAGATACCTGCTTCATCATAACTAACTAAGCTACTAGATCGGAACTCTGCCTACAACTACTGGGTCCCTCAGGTCCCAACCAAGGGAACAAGCCCTGGGTATAGCTCCCAAAAGGCTGCCACCTCATCCATCATCGTCAAGGCCGGCTACCTCGTGCGGACTGCTTTTGTGCAGGGCGACGACCTCCATCTCACTGCTGATTTCAACGCCACCACCCCGATTGAGGTGATTGGCGCCCCACCTAAGGCCAAGAACCTCGTCGTCAACGGCAAGAAAGCGCAAGTCAAGGTCGACAAGAATGGCATCTGGTCTAGCAGCGTCGCTTACAAAGCGCCGAAGGTCGAGCTGCCGACTCTGAAGAGTCTGAAGTGGAAGTCTATTGATACTCTTCCCGAGGTCCAAACCTCGTACGATGATTCCGCATGGGTTTCCGCAGACCAAGCCACCAAAAATAGCATCTTTAAACTCAAGACTCCAACCTCGCTATTCGCCTCTGACTACGGCTTCCACACCGGAACCCTTCTCTTCCGTGGCCACTTCGTCGCAACGGGCGACGAGAAGACTTTCTTTGCGCAAACACAAGGAGGCAGCGCATTTGGCAGCTCCGTCTGGCTGAACGAGAACCATATCGGATCATGGGGTGGAATTGACACCGACGACGACCACAACGGAACCTACACACTACCAACCCTGAAGAAGGACGAGCCGTACGTGCTCACCGTGGTCATAGACAACATGGGTCTAAATGAAAACTGGGTCATCGGCGAAGACCAGATGAAGAACCCCCCGCGGTATTCTAAACTATGAACTGTCCGGCCGCTCCGCTAGTGACATTACCTGGAAGCTGACCGGCAACCTGGGCGGCGAGGATTACCTGGACAAAGTGCGCGGCCCGCTCAATGAAGGTGGTCTCTATGCCGAGCGCCAGGGCTTCCACCAGCCCCAGCCGCCGACCCAGAGCTGGAAATCCGACAGTCCCTTCGACGGCCTGTCGGCGCCTGGAATCAAGTTCTACAGTGCAAGCTTCGATCTGAACATCGAGGAGGGCTGGGATGTTCCTCTGTACTTTAACTTCGGGAACTCCACCTCGTCGCCAGCGGCTTACCGTGTCCAGCTCTATGTCAACGGGTATCAGTACGGCAAGTATGTGAACAATATTGGTCCCCAGACGAGCTTCCCTGTTCCCGAGGGTATTCTCAACTACCGGGGTACCAACTATTTGGGGTTGAGTCTGTGGGTGCTTGAGTCGGATGGGGCCAAGTTGGAGAGTTTCGACTTGATTCATACTACTCCTGTGCTGACGGCGCTGAAGGTTGAATCTGTGGACCAGCCTAAGTATGAGAAGCGTAAGGGGGCTTACTAGGTGCTGGCAAGTATGTAGTTAAATAGTCCCGCGAGTATACAATACAAAGAGAATGAGGCAAAGTACTCTTTTCTAGTGTTATTTTGGGTATAATGATAACTAGACTGTCCAAAGTGTCCGAAGTATCAAAAAGTAGGGCTTCACAAGGTCATCCCCACTTCTCCGCAGATCCCAGCCACCCCCAACCTCCTCTCTCCTTTGCTGGACATTTGCTTGCATTTTCCTTATTTCCTTGCGCTTCTCAATTTATCATTTTTAATAGCTTTGAAAATTGTTCTCCATACTCCATATTTCCCATAATTCCGACAAAACCCACTCCGACACCGCATATACCACCAAACCCCACAAGCGCATTCAGCCCGCAAGCTGACCTCAAGTCACCCATTCGCTCGAATCGAAATACCCAAACCCTCTCACAATCATCTCGGTATCTACCCACCCTAACAACCGAAAACCAACAACTAAACAACCAGACACCATGTCGTCCCACCCCTCTCGAAGCCCTCGACCTAGATCCAACCAAACCCAACCTCGACACAAGAGACCTAAACCCAAACCTCCTGCACACAGACACCTCCCTCCAAAAACGCTACACAACAATCTCAATCCCCTCAACCTACGGGCGTCTCAACACAAGCCCCGCCGCAGGCACAGTAGTGGGGATCGTACTGGGCAGCGTCGCAGGCTTCGTACTGCTAATGTACGTACTCTTCCTGGCGGTGAACCCAGGGGGCGTTGCACGAGGCGGCGTGGCAGCCCCAACCTCATCATCGATATCGATGTCGATGTCCATGGACGAAGAAGAAATCGTGGATGTGCGCAGTCGACGCGACCCAGCCGCTGCGCGACGGCGACGCGACGTCATCGAGGTCGCCGAGGAAAGGGATAGTTTCCGTGATAGTTATCGGCGTCGTCCATCGTCGAGACATGATCGCGTCATTGTAGAGGAGTCTTTGGCCACTTCTACTACTGGCGATGAGGATGTTATTGAGGTTGAGGAGGAGGAGTCTAGTGTGCCTTCTGATGTTTCGCCGCGTCCGCCAAGGAGGTCGAGGAGGGGTGGGGTTAGGCATGTTGATCCCCTTGCTTATGGTGGGGGTAGTGACTATAGTAGTCAGCGGTGATTTGGGATTTGGTGTTTTGTTTGGAGGCTTGAGATGCGATACCCTTATGTGTTATGATTTATTCTTTATTGATTGATAATGTCGGAAAAAGTGTTCCATATGCATTTGCCTAAAATGAGTATATAATGAAAGCAATAAACGTACGGCTAGTTCCATCCTGCTATGGTATTCTCCAACGATCTAGATATCAATGAGCAACCACACCAGAAATCCAGCCGCACCAGCAAGACCCATAATAATATCTCCAGTAATAGCAGGGACTTCACCCGTCGAGACAGAACTTGCGTTGTAAACTAATTTACGAAGTGAGAGGTTCCGTAGAATCTAGCTACCTAATGTGCCTATGTACTTGACTTCCTCTGCCGGTGTTCACGGTTTCGTGCTCAGACCTTGCCGCCTTTTGCTCGGGTATAACTGCGCAGGTGAGCACCCGTGGACGCCCCTGCCCTGGGTAAGCGGCATTTAGTAAAACATTCCAAGGTTAAATGCAACACGCTAGGTACCCAGGTAGTCCTCTCTGTTGGCGCAGGTAGTAACACTTGATCACACAAGGTCATGTGATTCATGTGACCCTAAACCTACAACGATAGATAGTTTCGCCTCCTCTTTCTTTGTTAGCTAGATATAACTATCAAGGGTATTACTGAGAGGTCTGGGACTGTAATGGTGCGGTGGTCTGTTTTCATGGTTTGGGATGTTGTATAGCGAGCCTCGAGCTCTGCCTTCGTCCCTTTCAACATTTTCTTGACCTGAATATCTGCTGGACCCCATATATCCGTTTGACCGCGTCTATGCCACGGGGCACCCTTTTCCGATTGCAGCCTTGAAGGAAAAATGAATTTATAATGGCGTCGGGCTTCCCGCTGCGGGCCGCACAGACACCGGTGGGGCGACGATCTCGATTGGAAATTTGTGCGGAAGATGCGGACCTCGGGACTACCTACCTAGGTAGGTATATTGTACGGCCTGGGCGGGACGGACCGACAATGAGTCTTAAGGAAGAACGCGCCACTTGAGGCCCAACTTACTGTAATTCGGGGTTTATGGTAAAGAATATATGCCATGGTGGAACGTTCCCTCGGCTATAATGGGGCACTCGATACCGAATTTGGCGGTGTTGTAGCATGCAATATGTTGTATATAGGGATAGTTGAAGATAGTGGGGATCTAAAGGATAGCATGTGATAGCGCAGTGTACTCTTTCGCTTTTTGGTTTGGTTTGGTGTTTTTTCCCCCTACTTTTTGGCGAAAATGACCCGCGACAGATACAAGACCTCACTAAGGTATGAGACATTTCCCCCATTGCATCAAGAGGTGGTCCCGAGATACGAGCACTATTTGTTACTGAATGTATCGCTCTGCCTTGATGCGCCTCGTCAGAACAGAAAATTGCGGAAAGATCGTCTACGGAAGACTGCTTGGCGCAGACATAAGCTTTCCAAGAAAATTCTAAACGTACGTTGTATAAACGTGCATATATTTGACCCCCCACACATTACCCGAGACAGTCTCAGGTAGCGTCGGGCCACCATAAGCCCTATACCCGAACTATATACATGCGTATTCCAAGTTCTTGAAGCGATCCCTTTAAGTGTGGACAAACTCATAGTTGATGTAGTTGCTGCCCATAGGCACATGTGCATATCCACCGATCTTGCCATTATTCTCACACTGATCGATAACAGCTTGCAGATAGCCAGCGATGCAATTGCAATCACCACACATGGCCGTTGAGGACGATGAGTCATCCTGGCACAAAACGATGTTGGCGGTACCAGATTTCACCGAAGAGTCGTGGCATCCCGAGCCATGGGGCTGAGCACAGCCAGAATCACCGCAGGTATCTTTGCCGAGGCCGGCGATTTGGCGCCAGTAGCCCATCGCATCTTCGACGTCTTTGGCGTCGGGACTGCCATCGGTGGTCTCGCAAGTGACGACTGGGGTACCGCAGTCGGCGCGAACGCCCATCATGAATAGAGTGCCTGCCATGAGGAAGGTGGACTTGAAAATCATCGTGCTATAGGTGTTCAGTCTTGTTAGTTATGTCTGGCTGCTAGGTCCCAGGCCAGGTCTCCAAAATGCGAACATACAAGGTAGAATACTGGATTCCGAGAGTAATATACAAGGCAGGTTGTGAAGTAGAGGTGATTGCTTTGAGGAGAAGATTGGCCCAAAGATTCACCGTGGAATAACGCTCTTTTATAGCTGGACTCCGTGACCTGTGCATATGCCTTGGTAACCATCTCTGACCGGAAGACGGATGGACTGAACTCCGACGAACTCTCGCGATGCTGATGCTGGTCAGTAGAGGAAGCGGGGTTTACCTATCATAGAATCCTTTCAAGTAGGCCCCCCACGAAAAAGTTCATTCTGTTTATATCCAGTCGGCCAATGCGTCGCCTCGCCAGGCACTCAAGTGTATAGGAGTTGTGCATAGTATCGCAGGCCTTGACCAAAGTACAAACACTCAATAGACAGACCTCAAGATTAGATAAATGTATCTTTCACTTATATGCTGTGCACCAAGTGTCAATGGGAAGGTATATTGTTCCGGTCAAGGACACCAGGTGCGGTGCTAGCATGTCAGAACGGACAGGCGAAGGCCCATGTTTACTTCAGACCCACGGTAAGCGAGATGATGTAACCTTCGTTTGTCAGATTTGTTATTCAATCCGCTGATCATGGGTTTGGGTGCATAAGTGAATTTTATGCAAGGTTCGAGTGTATCCTTCTAATCTATTTCCCGTTCTCTCCACGACAGGCAGTGGGGATTCGGGTAGGCCGCCTATGTCTATTGGCAACCTCATCTGAATCTAAGCGAGTTCTTCTTATGACGGTGGATCATCTACTGGGGCCATTTGGGGCCATATGTAGATCAGTCGTGGGGGCTAATTGACCCCGAGACTGGCAAGTTTCATGTCAATCACATTCTCGTGTCTACGCCTACGAAGTATTTCGTTTTGGATTTTGTCTTCTGACGCTTAATTATTGCTTTTGTTTATATGTACTTGTCCCTCCAAGGGCCCTGTCTGATATGAAACCATCAGCTGCTGCAGCAGGCTCCCGTCTGCTCCGGAACTTTCTCTACTTCCTTGCATTTTTTTCTCTCCTCGCATTCTACTCGCGCACCATTTCTTCTCGAGACCCAGGCTCCGTATTTTTTAAGCCTTGGACTGCATATGATGCCTCTTATTCTTCAGTGAGAGCGCACGAGGCGGATTCTTATATTGAGTCTGTGAACAATGCCACAGTGCGGTCTACGCCAAAGGCCTCCTCACAGCCCGGATTATGCGTTGGTATTGCATCTATCGCCCGAAATGGTGTACGATATTTCAAAACTGCCGTAGGAACAGTCCTGGAAGGTTTAAGTGAAGAAGAGCGCGCCGACATCCATCTTATATTGTTCATTGCACACACGGATCCCTCTCAGCATCCAGCATACTCAGAGCCTTGGCTTCATAAACTGCCGGACCAAGTGTTGCTATACGACCCCGCAGAAGTAGATATTGATCACATTCGATCCCTCGAGACAGACACGGCGAAAGTTTCCGGGCGTGAAAAGGCTCTCTTTGATTACACATATCTGCTGAAAGCATGTGAGGCAGTCAATACCCCGTATACTGTCATGCTCGAGGACGATGTCTTTGCTCTGGATGGATGGTACCATCGTACGCTAAAAGCTTTGGCGTCTGCAGAGAAGCAGACCAAGGAGATCGGAGCATCGAACTGTGGGTTTTCCCAAGGACTGTTTTCAACCATTAATACCATCTTTGCAGATCCTTTGTAACTGACGTATCTGCTTGACCTAGGGCTCTATCTCCGTCTCTTTTACACCGAAGAACTGCTCGGCTGGAACTCAGAAGAATGGCCAACCTATCTTTTCTACTCGATCCTTACTGTCCTATTGGTCGCTTGTACTTGCTTAGGCGTCAGACGATACGAGCCTCGATTAGCATCGCACCTCTCCAACGAAACCATCCTCCTCCTCAGCGGCGTCTGCGCACCTCTCCTCATCGGGCTTTTCTTTGCTACCGGTCGCGCCACAATGATGCCGATACCAGACGGTGTTCATCAAATGCCCCAGTTTGGCTGCTGCTCGCAAGCCTTTGTCTTTCCACGCTCGCGGATCCCAGACCTTACCGAACTATACGAAAGAAAGCGCCTGGGGTATGTCGATATGCTTACGGAGGAATTTGCAAATGAGAACGGGGAGATCCGATGGGCAGTCACTCCTGTCGTGATGCAGCATGCTGGGAGAAGAAGCTCCAAGGGAATGAATAATGATCCATATACACCACTCAAGCATAAAAATAAGGCCGAGTTGACAGAGGTTGAGAAGCTCTGGAACTTCAGGTTTGAGACACAGGATGCGGAGACATTGCGAGAGGAACATGTCCTTGTCAATGACCACGTTCTTGGTTATTGAAGGATTGCAAGCGCACGGTTACTCAAATGATAATATAAAGTTCTTATTCGCGACTATAAACCTAAGGGATTGTTAACTTGACCGCCGGGTTTTAGGAGAAAGCTCCGCTTTTCGTCTAATAATATATGTCTCCAAGAAACAGCCGTACCCAAAAGCAAATAGCCGCGGCCAAGTTCAACCTCCGCCAACTGCCTTTGCTATCGTCACGGCTAGCTGTACAAGTAAAGATTGGTTGTTTATGTTTGTACTGGGAGCAGGGAGGTCTGGCGCCGGGAGGGTATATCCAAGAGGGAGGCGGGCAATACGGAATGGCAGGCCGCTGTCACCTCCATCAAGGCCACCAGTGGCCCTTCCGGGCTCCTTTGACACCTCCTGGCTTGACTGACCATCTCCACTGTCCACACGCTGGACAAGTTGTACCAACTGAGTATTTCGGCCATTAGGCTGGCCATTTGCGTTCCCCTGCTGGGGATTTGTGTTCTGGTTCTGACCATGTTCATTAGGAAATTGGGGCCCTAGATTAAAGGAGGGGCAATTAGTTTTTTAAGCTCCTCAGCATGGTACTTAATCACCATGTATAGGAAATCCTTACTTGTAGAAGAGTGGAAGTGATCCCAAAGAGCTTGGAACAAGATGAAGGTGTTGGGATTGGCAGCAGCTCGCAGTATAGTTTCAGGGGAAGGCTCATTTCTATTTTATATGATCAGTAATGGGAATTTTCAAAAAGCAAGAGAGGGATATTACCTACCCCCTTCGAGAAATCTTCCATTTCAAAAATTTAATAAGGAGCCAAAATGCTCCTAATGCACATAGTGCAATGACCAAGGTGTTTAACAACGAGCCCAAAAAAACCCAAAAACTTCGAGGCCCCATCAAAGGTTGGGACTTGCATATGGGCGGTCTCGTTCCTCTTGTAAATATACATTTTTGGTGCTAACTCGAAGGAATCAGCACCATATCTTCCGGATGGTTGGTTCTTCGGCACTTAGGAAGAGACGGAAGACTGTCGGCAGAGCGAAGAGAAATCCATACCGGCGGGACGCATGGTGAGATCGAGACTCTCCAAGCCCGGGGCTGTCTGGGAAAGGAGCGGCAGTAGTCCGTTCTTCTCCGTTTCGGGGCGATTTTTCCATTCGTCCCAGACTGATCCCTGCAGCAGGAACGCCAGTTTTTCTTCATCTTCGTGTAAATGCTGCCGTTCACTGTGTTCGGTATGGGCTGACGAAATGCCAACAGACATGCAAGAAACCAGCCGAAGCCCAAGATCAACGAAGAGATAGACCCGGCCCTCCTTGCGATCGACGGAATGAAGGATGCCCTTGGGAACTTGTTCCAAGGCGAAGCTGAGGATGCAGGTATTGTCAATGCTTCCAGGTTGTCGAAATCATACGCTGCGTCGTACTTGAGAGCTCAGGTCGCTCGGTGGGTTACCGATGGGAGCCCAATAGGCAGCCCATGGTGAAATGACCAAAATGTTGGCGGGGACGAGAACAAGTAAAGTGGAAAGACTGTATTCATAGACTAACAGAAGACTGGGGGAGGAAGACAGAGAGAGAGACTGGGAGAGAGGAAGGAGCCCTGGAGGTAAACAAGCAGGCATGACTGGCATTACTGGCCTGGCTAATCAGGCAGCCACCCAGGTCGCGTGAACGAGGCTCCAACATAAGTAGAGTACCTTCTCGACGAAGATGGAGAACTTGAGGGAGGAATCGCGATCGCTGGCAGTACGGACGACGACCCTAGACTTTGAGTCATAGGGAATTGGGTGCTGAGTACTGTGGCTGTGCGCTCCACGCGATATCGTATATTGCGAGGTGTAGGTGGAAAATCTGCATATGATATAGTGGACACAGGTGTTACAGTTGTTGAAGAATTAGTGTCAAGGCTTCTTGTTCTGCCAGTGTGAGGTCTAGTCATCCACCATCATACCCGCCAGAAGTCTCAAGCGATGAACTGCAACTTAGTCGCAGTGCACAAACTTCCTTGATCTCCAGTCTTCGACATATTTGGTTCCATAACTCTGTGTTTAGAAAATTAGAATTCCCATTATTACGATCTGAGAGGAGTACAAAGGGAAAGGAGAAGTGAGGAAACTACGGAGTAAACTGACGTATTAGGCGTACAGTGGGACCTCCGAAATATTGGGCTAGACTTTGTAACTAGATATACCGCCCTACATACCGCCTCCCTTTCAAACATACCGCTATACTAATGCATAGTCGGCCGCTAATACGGCCGTAGTCTTTTTAGTGGCCTTCTTAGGTAGTCTCCTCCGATAGTCTTTTTATATGTCTTTTTAGTCGTCTTTTTTGCTAGTCCCCTTAGGTACATACCTTTGACTGCTAACTGTTAGTGCTAAGCCACGTGCCTGTACGCTAGCTATATTAGGAGTTTTAGACTGGCAGAACTGGCAGAATTTGAAAGGCGGTATATCTAGGTACAAAGGTTTAGCCTAACAATTCAGAGGTCCCACTGTATATAAGCCTTCCCGCTCCTCGAATTTACTTAGTCTATTTTTACTCAACAGAATCCTGACTGAAGATCAAGAAACTGGAATCTTCACCTGTAGGCCATTCCGTTATTCAAATAACCTCTTCTTAACCATGCAAAGATGCCATACGGTCTCTCCAGAAAATGTAGACCACGCCATCGAAGCCGCTCGCCAGTATATCTATAAATCTCTTCGTGCTTTTATCTTCGGACCGGGTTGTATGTATACATGTGCGGCAAAGATGTATACATTGCGGCAAAGATGAAGTAGATCATAAACCGGATCGAGTGTAAAAAAAAGGTAGTGTAAAAAATAAAAGCTAATACAATTGAGCCCCAGCCCCAGGATCCAACAACGCCATATCCTGTTTTGCGCCAGCGATAAGTAATAAAAACCAAGGATATATATGAGAGGAGCGAAAAACAATCAGACCCTGAGATCACTTCTCATCCCAGGGTTCACAAGCCAGCACCAGTTCCTGAGTGTCCAAAGCCAATCTCAGGAAACGCCAGCCTCTATCTCTCGATGTTCTTCTCAAGAGTATAGTGCGTGCACGGCATATCGACAGGACAAGACGCTCCAATACCAACCAAAACCCAAACCAAAGTAGCGTAGTCGCGTATTAAAAGCCAAGACCAAAAGTAGGCCTAGAACAAGATATCCAAACAGCAGCAACAGGCCATCGCAGCCATGATACCCGCGCAGATGCCACCTGCGCCACCGCCGGAGTTCCCGCGGTCATTGGCATAGTATCCCTGCTGTTGAGGGGGGTAGCCGCCCTGCTGCTGCGGTGGGTAATACATCGGCTGGCCTTGGGGGTAATAGCCCTGCTGGTTTTGCTGCGGCTGGCCGTAGCCTTGCTGGGTTGGGTAGTAGCCCTGTTGTTGGGGCTGGCCGCCGTAGTAGTCGCCCGCGGCGCCTTGTGGTTGTTGGTAGTATGGGCCCGCGTCGTGGGCCTGGGCGGGGTAGGAGGGTGGTGGGCTCGTCTGGAAGGAGTTAGTATCTAGGATTTGTGTTTTAAGGATGCTTGCGACTGATTGTTCTTGCACTTACGGGTTTGTTGTAAGACATGGTGGGGAGTGAATGCGGAGTTACCGAGGATGTCAGACTTAGTGTTGATTGGGGAGATTCGCTGCAAATGTGGAGGTGGATGTGGATGTGGCTGTTCCTCGGATGGGTTCGGTGTGTACTCGAGAGCCACGAACAGTAAAGAGAGGTCTGATAGAAAGATAGGAATCAAGAGAGAGGAAGCGCCGGGGTCGAAAAAGAGTTGCAGCCCTGGAGTGGCGCAGTTCCTGGCTTAGTCAACCATTCCAGGGTTTTCCGCGTTCCAAGATTTTTTTCTTACGCGGCCTCACTTTTAGTATAAGAATAGTAACTTAGATATCGTTGAGGCTAAACAAGGACTTGGGAGAGTCAAGAAGAGAAATCTGTATTCAATCTGTCAAGAGAAGGCCCTTTATAGAACGCCTGAGCTAGCAAGCAAAAGGCTCTGCCTAGCAAAGGCATATCCAACAGATATCTTTCATAGAATTTTCTCAGTGTTATAGCTAGATGGATAATAAATGGCTTTATAAATACAAGAATGAGAATAATATGCAGTACCTACTACAATATAGGCATGTCAGGCTTGTCACTCTAGGTCCAACGGCAAAATACTAGAAGACTTTTCCAAATATAACCAAAGACATATATAGGCAGCCATAGTATATGGAATATCCCCCGGAGAGTATCGTATATTGCACATAGGCAGACACTAAGCACGATTTACGGCTTCCTCCTCACCTAACTCGACTCGAAATGACAGCCATTCATAGATTGGATTCATCTAGACATACAAAGACACGGCCATTATGTAAAATCACAGGCAAACCCCCCCATCGCAATCCCCCAAAGCAGGAGAAACTTCGCGCCTATACGCCATGCTGCCCATAATACAAGGGGGAGACCAAAACTTTTTTTGTGTTTGTTGAATGTTCGTCGATGAGTAAAAAAGATAACTCCCAAGTGTCCACTTCTGTCTGGCATCGGCTGCTCTTTCTCGACTGCCAATTGGGTATTTCCTGCAGAGCTGCATAGTATAGAAAGTTGCCATATCGGAGACAGTGAAGTGGACTTGATGCGATTCGAATTTGCGAGGTCGAGGTTCACAGGAACCTGGGGTTGACTCCCCGCAAAGCCCCCCCAAATGAAAGAAAAAGAAAAAAGATGAGAAAGATCAAGAGTTGATCCATGAAAGGGTCGCATATCAATCTTCCTGTTCTATTCTCCACAACATTGTCTTCCAGCTTAAATGACCCAGCGGTAACTGGCATAGCGACCCGCAGTCTCAGACTTGCGGATGATCTTAACGACCTGACCACGGCGCAAACCAAGATAGCGGGCGACAGGGTCGGAGATCTGTATGCGGGGCAACTGGGACTCCTTCAGACGATAGCGCTCGAGAAGCTTGGCCTTCTCCTCGGGGCTAAGCAGAACGTGCTTGGGGACCAGCTCGTGGCGGGTGATGTTAACGAGTAGATCCTGTTCCTGGAAGTGCTCGCAGATACGGCCCGGGACTCCAGAAAGCAGGCGCACGGCAGAGGGTGAGATTGGTGTCTGCGTGATGAAGATACCGGTGTGGAAGTTGTTCTCGTCGACAAGGTGGTTGAAGGCGCGCACCTGCTTGGTACCGACACCTGAGGAGTCGGGGCAGAAGTCGACGTAGATCGTGCCGCAGTCTGGCTGGGGGTTTGGGTTTGCTTTGCTGGGCAGTGCTGTGTACTTCATCTTCATGGTCTCGGTGGGGCGGGCTTGGATTTTCATCTTGGTGCGACTGTTGTTGCGGAACAGTTTGTTAGTGATGCGTGACTTCAATGATGCGTGTCGGCATTGCCTAGCTCAAGTTTTCGCTATCTGAAGAAAATGTGACGGTGGACGCAAGGATTTCGCATACTCAGGGTAGCCCAGAGGGTCAGCATATTTTGCGCGGAAATCTTCTAGCGGGAGTAGCAGCTCGTTATCAGACACTTCGTAGCCCTGTTGTGTCGCCGATGGTTAGCCTTGGGTAAATGACATTATAGGAGAGACACTGAGAAGTCAGGGACTCGATCTGGAAGTGCCTACCCGGTCAGCGAGCAGTTCATAGACTGTTCTAAAGGTGCGCCAGAGTCGAGTCATCTCGCGCTCGGCCTCCATGGAGTGTGCTGAATCTCCATCCATGATGGAGTGAGAATTTGATGACTGAGATAGAAAAGGAAATAAGAGTTATCTCGCCAAGAGAGTTTAATAAGGAAAAAAACGGGATTGAAAGAGCTCCGGTGGAGAGATAAAGGTGAAGTCGAAAAATCGGCGGGAACTTTCTGCCAGCGACGCTTAAGCGGAGAAACCGACCGAACCATTTTAATTATTCCAAGTTTCCCCTTTTCCCTTTTGGTCTCGTTGGTCTATTTAATCCCTTCAGGATCCTCAGAAGGCAATTCCTCTCTTTCCTTCTCTGTCTCTCTTTTTACATTCGATTCGTCGCAATGGCTCCTACTGCTGCGGAGCGGGTTAAGCCCACCAAGCCGGACGAGGCCGCCTACAAGGCCAGTCTCGCTGAGGCCGAGAAGGAGCACACTGCTGCTCAAGAGAAATTGGTATGGATGCCTTTCTTTTTTGGAATTGTCACTTGAGCTCTCATCTGACTCTTGAGTCGCGGGGATGATCCCCGACCCACTCTGATTGTTAATTGTCTAATTGTCCTCGTGTTCATTATTTACTTGCATACCATGTCCTCGGGCCAATGACTGATATGCGCAACAGAACCAAATCAAGGCCAAGTTGGACAACGCGAAGCCTAATAACCAGGATTCGCCTACCGTTAAGAAGCAGCAAGAACTGCGCGCCGAATTGTCAGCCATTCGTCAGAAGCAATCAGGCTTCAAGTCCAGCCGGTCCTCCACCCAGGAGAAGATCAACGCCTTGGACGCCAACCTCAAGGCCCGCATTGCCGAGCAGAACAACTCTCGTGGACGTCTGTCATTCAAGAGCGTCGAAGAGATCGACGAAAAGATTGCCCGCCTCGAGAAGGAGGTCGACTCTGGTACCCTCCGCCTGGTGGATGAGCGCAAGGCTCTCACCGAGGTCTCCAACTTGCGCAAGCAGCGCAAGAGCTTCGCCGGGTTGGACGAGGCGCAGAAGGGCATTAACGACATCAAGAGCCAGATCTCTGAATTGCGCAAGACCCTCGACAACCCCGAGGCCAAGGCACTGAGCGACAAGTACAGCGAGATCCAGAAGGAGCTCGATGCCATCAAGGCCGAGCAGGATGGTGTCTTCAAGAACCTGAACGCTTTGCGCGATGAGCGCACCAAGCTGCGCAACGAGCAGCAGGAAAAGTACTCTGCTATTCGCACTATCAAGGATACCTACTTCAAGGCCCGCCGTGCCTACAAGGAGTACGAGGATGAGGCCTGGCGTGTGCGCCGCGAGCGCCAGAAGGCTGAGCAGGAGGCCTTTGCGCGTGAGAAGCGTAAGAAGATCGCTGATAAGAAGTTGGAGGAGGCCTCTCAGCTTGCCTACGCCGACGAGATCCTGACCGCACAGGGTCTGATCCGTCACTTTGACCCCGCTTATGACTTCTCCTCACTGGGTCTGGACGAGAAGAAGGATCAGGGCAGCAATTTCCGTGCCGGTGTTGGCCGCACTGTTGAAGCCGCTGAGATCAAGGGAATGAAGGTTGTGCGCAAGGACGATGAGGAGGACTACTTTGTCGGTTCCGGTGGAAAGAAGGGTAAGAAGGGCGGCAAGAAGGGTGGTGCCGCCAATGTTGAGAGCACCAAGTTCAACATGAACGTTGGTATCATTGAGGATTTTGCCAAGGTCAAGATTGACCCCCCCTATGAATCAGTCGGATGTTCCCGCCTCTGTGGAGAAGCTGGCTGCTAAGATCACCGAGTGGAAGAAGAACCAGGCCAGCAAGACGGAAGAGGTAAGTTTCATTTCTTTCCAAAGTGGTCGATCGTGATCAGTTGCTAATTACCACACAGAACATCAAGAAGGCCCAGGAAGAGATCACCCGTCTCGAAGAGGAGGAGACCAAGGCTACGGCTCCTCAGACCAACGGCCGGGCTACCGATGCTGCCAAGAAGCCCGCCCAAGAGAACGGTGCTCCATCGGCGGACGCTGAGCTGGCCCAGGAGGAGGATGCCGTGGCTGACGTTCAGGATGAGCTTGAGAAGGCCAAGATCGAGGAGAAGGCATAGATTTGAGGAGGAAGTTATTCGTACATGTTGAATGTGTCGACTTACATGAAGTCTAGCGTTTGTCTAGCATTCTTTCTGCGCTTTTTTTATATTTTTTTTTTGTCGTTTGGCTCTTGCATATGCATTATATCTAAGATTCATAAATGGACCTCGGGACAGCTGGTTCTAAAATTCATATAATCGAAGCCTTGTTATTTTAACCATCCAACCTCGGAAAAGGAGAAACCTCCCAAGTCGTACTTTGACCAGGGTTGTACAGCAACAGCATCATGTGATATCGAATTACTTCTAAAGATGATCTCTCAGTTGTATCTTGTCGTAAATGTATCCATAGATGTATATATAGGTAGTAGTTATGTAGGGGTACATTATTAGCAAGCCAGGGCTCCAAAGAGACAGAGTGCTAGTCATGCCCAAGCCGTTGGAAGTATCCAAGGGATCTCGGGAGGTAACACCTCCAACGCCAGCACTAATAATCGCATGAGGGGGAATAAACAGAGTGGAAGCAGGAAACAGTAAATAGGTAAGAAGACGCAGGATGCGAGATGTGTACATAGTCCCCCCAAACCCAAACAAGAGACTCCAGCCAAATATCCCATGTACAGGAGACAACAAGCCTCAGCCCAAAATGTCCAGAAAAGCAAAAGAAATAAGAAAGCCTAAACAGCCGTCACATCATATCACATCACATTGCATCAACATTGGAAGTGGTTAATGATCACGTCGTGCCAACAACCCACCAACATCATGAAGCTCGACATCAGCATCAAGCGTGGCATCCGAAGAACCAGACACCGAAATCAAACGGTTACCAAAAGCCGCCGGCGGAAACGGCAAGTCCGCAGGGCCAGAATGCGGCGGCCGAGGCCTATTCGCAGCAGCGCGTGTCCCAAAAATTCCCAAATCCTCTAGGAAAGCCCTACTGCCCCCACCCAGACGGCGCTGCACACCTTCCACCGGCGAGGACAGACACGTCTGGGCGCGCACATGATCCGACCCAGACTCCGGGAGTGCTCTTGTCAACAAACCGCCGACATCTGAGAGCGACACGCGGCGCGTCTGCGATGAAGGGGAGATCTCGCGCGGGGACTGGCTTGTGCGCAGATACTCGTGCGGCGAGACCTTGCGCTCGAGACTTTCTGTCGCCGAGATACGGTCGTCGTCTGAGTGACGGGTTGTTGCGAACGACCATGTCGGATCGAGGGTGCCGGTGCGAGCAACTGCTAGTGGGACGTGAGCTGGTGGGGCTGTTGGAGCTGGTCTAGGCAGACGTGTTTCGTCTGGATCTGGGATGGTGTACACGTCTGGGTCTAGACGGATGCATAGGCCAGTTGCTAATTCCGAGTCTGAGCCCCATTGGTGTTGCATGACCGTGTTTCTGCGGATGAAGGATTTGTCCATGCTTTCTGAGACGGAGGCGGAGCCTTGGGCGCGTTTGTATTTTAGTTTCTTGATGCCGCGGTCTCGGACGAAGGAGCCTATGACGAGGACGTTGGAGACTGCTGTTGCGGCGAGGATTTCGAGGGAGGCGAGGAGGGAGCGGTAGGGTTGAGAGCCTTGGTGTTCGATTACGGAGGGGACGCGGTAGGAGGTTATGCCGACTAAGATCAGAGATAGACAGAAGAGGGTTGATAGGGTGAGTCTGCGTTTTAGAGGCATTTGTGCCATGAGGATTATAGGGATTGGGATGGCCACGAGTAGAAGGTCGGTTATCACATCACAGGTGCCCATGGTTATTAGGTTGACGTAGCCGGTGCGACAGGTTGGGCCTGGGTCTGGGATGACCTGCCAGTAGTGGTGGAAGGGCTGGCATTCGGCCAGGGTTGCGATGACCACGGCTACTAAAGTTGAGAAGAGGAAGTAGGAGATGAAGCGGAGGAAGAAAGTTGTCGATCGGCGCCAGGAAAGCCCTGTGACTCGCTTTAGGAATTCACACACGGTCACTTTGGCCGTCCAGATGCTATAGTTGTGGGTTGTGAGTCACTTTGAACTAGCAGATTCAAGTTGAAGACGAGGGTGAATTGGGTGCGTCTTACAAGATGGCGTAGAAGATACGTGCAGCAAGAACCAGCTTACTGCCCAGTTCTCTGTTCGATATCTCCTGCTCTGTCAAGCCTGTGGTGGTGGTATTGTTGGTCCCCAAGATGAGAACGAAATGCACGAGGACCATGCGAATTACCAGGGGAATGACACTGATCATCATGACCTTGTCTCGGCAAAGAAGCGCTCAACGCGGATATAACGACCACATAGACGCACGATGATGATAAGCAAGGAGAATATGGTAGCCCACCAGCTCATCATGAGTGTCGGATTGATCTGGGCTCTGGTCTGCATGGCTGGGGAAGTCTCGTGATAAATGCCACGTGCGACCAGCGACACGGCCATGGAGGCCACGGAGGCCATGGCTAAACAAAAACAGCAGACTCGCAGAAAGCGATTCACGAAATGCGTTTTACATTATGGAACGAAAGTGTGGGGGATGTAACGGGTTATGGGGCAAATTGCGGAGACTAAGATGCAGACGATCTTAAGATGAGATGTGAGATGCTTAGGAGAGAAAGACAATATAAGATGAAATCGGGAGAGATAGGGGAAATTAATTAAATTGAAAATTACCCCCATCCTCAAAAGGAAGAGGGGAAAAGATCATGAGCAGATAAGCCAAGCCTCCATTTCATCCTGCAAACAGCCAGTGACGTTCGACTGGCTAATCAGGGAGATTCATACTCAGAGTATGTTTTTTAGGGGGTCTTACTGTTTAGATATGTGCGGTGAGAGATAATAGTGATAATATTCGATACAAAGAAACCACAATAGCTTTTTAACATACAAACCATATTATTCCTCCAATGAGTACCAGGTATACCCTGTTTAGAAACGGACAAGGGTCTTGGCTATGTTATAAGGGCTTGCGGTGTACACGTGGACTATTACTGCTTTGAAGATAATGTAGTACATGTACGGAGTACGGAGTACATACATGTATCCACAGATATAGAAAGGTAAAGGCAATAACCCCGATAAGCGAGTTAAACAGTATGGTACTTCTATCTCAATATATTTTAGCCAAGGCTTCATGGACTATCTATTCCGTACTCCGTCGGGGACTGTTATCTTCCCCAAACCTTATGACCATTAATCGCGCAAGCCTCATCCAACCACAGCTGCCGCCGAGTCTTCCCGCCTCTTCTCATCACGAAGCGACTCAATTCCAGCCCCAGCACGCAGCCCATCCAACACAACCCGCAACTCCTGAAGGAACTTGGTCACCTCCGCCTCCGTACCGACCGTGATACGGAGACAACCCTCACACCCAAGCTCCTTCCCACGGAAGCGGACCACCACCCCACGCTTCTCCGCCATAGCCTCGTAAGCCGCAAGCGCAGTCACATTACTCGGTCGGTCCTCGGCGTCCAGAATCTGCACGAGCAAGAAGTTCGCATCGCTCCCGCCAAGGAATTGCCCCACACCGGGAATCGCCGGTAGTTCGCGGAGCAAACGGTCGCGTTGCGCGATGATCTGCGAGCGGAAGCTGTGCATCACTGCCATATTTGGCGCTGTGAGTGCCGCCGAAGCAAGCGCGCTTGTCGGGCTGGAAATGTTATAAGGGGCTTTGAGGCTGTTGAGTAGACGCGCGACCTCCACGCTAGCGTAGGCCACGCCGAGACGGATACCAGCCAGACCAAATGCCTTGCTGAGTGTCTGCATGACAACTAGGTTGGGCCACTCGGTCACCCACTCTGCCAGGCTGGAGCCTTCGGGCGCAAAGTCGATATACGCCTCGTCGACCACCACGATGCCATTCCATGTTGGGTGCTCAAGCACCTTGCGGATGTCCTCTTTGCGGATCAGATTCGCGGTCGGGTTGCCCGGCGAGCAGATGTAGGCTAGCTTGATTGTTGGGTCGGCTGATAGGGCGTCGTTGACTTTATCGGCTTGTAGGTGGAACCCGTTCGTAGCGTCGAGCGGTACCTTGACGATCTCGACGTCGTTTACCTGCGCACTGACGCTGTACATTCCGTAGGTCGGGGGACATGTGAGAATCTTGTCTTTTCCAGGGACGCAGAAGCAGCGTAGTAGCGCGTCAATGGCTTCGTCTGAGCCAACGCCGCAGAACATGTGCTCGGGGAGGAGGGTCTTCGGGGTGTGGTGGTGGGTATTGCGGAGGTTACAGAAGAGCTGCTTCAGCTCAATCTGGTGACTGAGAGACGCATTGTTAGTCGAATCGGTCTGGATAGGACGCGATAGTGGAAATTCACTCACGGATCGGGGTAGCGGTTCAGGCCGAGAAAGTCAATCTCCGGCTTGGAGGCTCCCGTGGCATTGCCAGTCGGGGAGGTTTGCAATGCTCCCTCGCTGTTCAGGGCAAGGCCAGGACCGAAGGCATTCTCGTTGGCATCGAGGAGGACGTTCGTCCCATCATCTTTGTAGTCACTGACTCATTAGCTCGCCGATACCGGTGATTCGGAAAGGGCAGCATACTCTCTGGCACATCGGTAAGGCTGCAATGCCAGGATATTAGGGCGGGCACATGTGGCCAAATTAAACGGAGATGTTGAAGCCATTGTGGTGACCCAAGGGAGGAATGTGAAATGAGCGAAGTTGGTGGGGAGCCCCAGGTGGGGGATTTTATCGGAACTCTATGAGTCAAATGCCGATCTATACACTTATGGGCCTTTTTATTTGGACCACATCTACTCTCTTTTCCCCTATCAATAAGAGCAAGAAATCTTCATATATATTCTATTCAGGTGCCTCCGCTCAACTATAGATTCCTTTGCGATGATCACACATAATGTGCCTAATAGGGCTATAGTTCTCTGCCTCGCAGAGAACACTTGAGACAGGCCCTGAAGCAAGAAGCAGCGACGAACGCACCAAAGCGCAATCAAGCAATAAGCATAGTTGCTCTGCCGCTCACCCCTTCCTGAAAATTCTTTTCCACCACTGCTTTTTACCACCCTGGCACTGCGTTCTCTTCTCCTCGGGGTTCTCTCTCTGGGGCTTCTCCTGTTGATTCTCCTGGGGTTTCTGCTGGGTCTTCACCAGTGGCGGCAAAAAGAAATTCTCTGCCATCTGGATAACACAGGCCGGGCTATCGGCGTACATTTTCTTTTTGAAAATCATCGACAAAGCCTTGTCGCTCTTCAGCGGTATGTTCGATGCCTCGTCCACTTGAATAGCATCCATATGTTGGTGTACAGTGTCCAAGACCTCTGCTTCTTTCTGTTGTTTCGTGGCGGATCTGACAGCATCCACAGTTTCTACTACATGTAACATAGTAGGTATGTACATGTGTGTAGGTGGATTGAAATGTCCTCTGTGCAGTTTGTGCCTTTACTGCCTGTACATCTAGAAAGACCAAAAGAAGGGTACCCCAAAGCACGCTGGACTATTTTTATATAGAATTCCTAATAGGTCTGTATCATTTTGGGCAAAACAGATCATATTACTAAATTCACATTATTAGCCCTGGAGGTAGGGACACCTGCCTAGGTGGGCAGAGGCTCAGTGGACGACAAATGGCAGATCACTCCCATCCAACAACCCCATCATCTGCTGATTAAAAGAAATCCACCTCCCAAGCCAAGGTTCTTGCCAGTCACTTCCCTCATCTCGATTTTGTTCAATGACACCCATACCTAGGCGAACCGATGTCAACCCATCTCCCTGCAGATTCTGAGAGGTATATGCCAGGTGTGGCTGTAGTCCAAGAGCACTCAAATGCGCATCCACTTCGCTTCTCAGTTGAATTTGTTCTTCCTCCATTGCCGAAGACGGGAAACCCAGCTCGGTGTAGCGTACTGCGACGTTGTAGAATACCGAGAATAGATGATGGTGCTTGGCGATCGTACTGGAATGCTGACAGGCGCATTCGATCGATTTGAGGAACGTGTGCATTTGGCTTAGGTCTTCTTTGTCTCGTGTTTCGATACAATGGCAGAATAGGACGATGAAGGGCGTAAATGGTGTAAATAGAATTGTCCTAGGAATCGACATGAGTATTGAATACGGGTCTTGGTGAGAAGAAGCTGAAATAGCCCATTATGTTTATACATACCAATTCACATATACCGATAGAAGTAACGATGATTCATGCATTTCAAAGCCTCGGACTATTGCCTTGTGGGCTTCCAGAGCACATCTAGCAGAGGTGATGCATTCTGGGCCAAATGTTGTTCTATATCCGGGCTCTGGTGGCATGGCTCGATAGATGAGAGTTAGAATTGAAAGGCGCAGGACTTCGTCGGATGCAGCTGTGAATTCGATCTGCTCCTTTTCGTGAACGTTGCTGGTTGCTTGAGCCCAGAGTTGCTAAATTATATGGTTTGCGCTGGTCAGCAGATGCTTTATAGCCACCATAATTGAATGGGTGAGCATGCGGACGGGTTGAACACACATTCGCATCGCGCGCCTCTGTATGATATTCGTGAAGCTTCAGCGACAATTCAAGTGCTCGGCGTGTCCGCACATCTTCAGATGCGCCGAGCGCCTGTGGTGAGTAGAGCTGTTCGTAAATACTGCCAGCTAACCCTGCAAGCCTCACTAGCTGATATACGTAGGCAGTGACGTGGGGATTGAATGTTTGCAGATCTTCTGGTAAGGGATCCTCGATATCGCGATCTAGAATGAAAGAGGATCGTCCAAGCCGGACAGATAAATTTTTCTCAAAGAAGTAGATTATCCAGAAGAGACATCTCTTCTGCTTTGGTTCGTCGGAGCCGTTGAAGCGCTTATGGAATCCAAGAGAATAAGAGCACTGGTATGCCGCGTTTGCCAGTACCCCAGCCAGGGACGGGTTGCAGACGTGGATCGCATAGGTAACCTTGAGTTTCGATGTCAGAGAGTGATTTCAAAGGGAATGCCGAACATACACCTAGCACAAGAGCGAGAGTCATGTCATAGCTAGGCTGGATGTAAAGTGTCAGTTTCGAAAGTGCAATCTCAACATTCTTTTGGCACATTGAGCCTAGAGTGCTCTGTTCATCATTCTCCTCCACGCCAGCCCTCCGAGTATCAGTACCAGAGGCCAAATCTGAAAGCCAAATTAGTGCGAATGTTTCCACGAAAAGAGAATGTACTGACTCACAATGTAGAGCTGCATTGACAATGATGAAGTCTGTATCAGAGTAGTCCGAGTCAAAGTAAACCTTCAAGCATAAATCTGACAGACTCCGTGGACTAAGAAAGAAGGACAAGCCAAGGAAAAAGAAATTCCTTTCATCTGAACGCAAGACATTAGTATTTGCCAACAGATCAAAGTGAGAGACATACCCTGTGATCTCCGCAAAAGCTTGACAGCAGCTTTCAGCGGAGGCATTTGATACTCCAAAGAAGCTGGTGCTGTTAGAAGGGGGAATAAACGCATCGACGAATCATGGCGCTCGCTAAATGCACTTCCGATATGGCGCAGCATGTCTAGTAGTGTCTCAATCTCTTGATTACTCCCCGCAGGTTGTCTCGAGCCAACAACCGTGTGCGCAAGATCAATAGCAAATGTAGAATGCGCCGTGAATGAAGATTGGCCTCAGGATAGCATCGTTCACGGCTTCATGCGGCATCTGCTGATCGGATCTATCTCCATTGACTGGGCTTGCAGGTGTGGTCTGCGATGGTCTGGGACGAGGAGCAACACATGTTTCTAGGCGACTGGAGGATGTATCTATTGTTGCTCTCCCCGGATTATTTGCGACCAGTAATTCGACGAGGTGGTTCAGTCGACAGAGCCTTTTGTCAATTTGATCAATCTTGTCCTCGCTAATCAAATTTTGTGAGTATACACCACGCAATCGTTCGACCAGAAGAAGCTTACAATTGCGATGTTATCAAGACTCGCGAGCGCTTTTGCCTAGGAGGACGATTGGATATTCTGCAGTCTGAACCTGTAGATCGGCAATTTGAACAGGGAAATGTCCTGTCACAGCGGACCTAAACCAGTGAGCTATATACCAAAACCTGAAACGTAGATATCACCTTTCGCTTCCGACATCGATCACACTGGAAACAGTCAGTTCACGATTTATGGACGATTTATGACTTGGCGATTTAAACCCACCGCTCGTTCTACGGAGATATCATTTCCAGAAAGCTCTTCTGTCATATTGAAATATGCTATAGACACAAAATGATAGGATTAAAGTATAAAATTGAGGACTCATGAGTAGAAACAAATACCTCGGAGCCCGCGGACACCGACCATAGCCTCCGTCCCTCGGGTCGCGGAGTTCCGCAACGCGAGCCCTGCAAGACTGCTTCTGAGTCCATGGAATGTTGGCTTGGCCTCTTGGCTTGGTGGCACTAGGCCCACCCTTGGCACTATGTCCCGCTTGATGAAAGCGCTAAGCAGTCCTTGAGCTCCAATACGGGTTCGGAGCCCGCGGGTTCCGGTGAGCCCCAAAGGAGGATCTACGAGGCATCTTGCTAGCGTTCCCATAGCCAAGTACACATACTGGTAGATACTGGTAAAAGGGGCTTCCAGCCCTATCCACGGTGATTTTGCTGGCCGAAATTCCGAGCCTGGGTCCCACCGAAGGGTCTCCAGCTGGGCCTATTGAGAGTATGAAGCTTGGTATAAATAATCCTTCTTCGCTCGCTTCTTGCTTTTTGGTCAAACTCTCCATTCGACTTTACATACTACCTCTTACAAGACTATCAGGGCTCTAGCAGGATGGACACGACTCCTGACTCCCCCACACGGGGCCGAGACGACATCAGTTCAGAAGGTCGAACACGGACAAATAGCCTCGAATCTGGTTCTAAGGGTAAGGAGCCATTTCCGGGTAAACAAATCAGCAGCGACGAGAGAGTGGTGGATTTAGCTCGCACACTGAGCGAGCGGTCGAAGAAATCCTGTCACGAGCTCCCCTTTGAACTGAGAAAGGGCAGTGCTCTTGACCCGCAAAGTCCTCGATTCGACGCCAGAGCCTGGGCAGAAGCTTTCTACAATGTCCGATACAATGGAAATGATAGTCCTCCGCGTGTCGCCGGTCTTGCTTTTAATAACTTGAACGTTGTCGGTTATGGGAGCCCGGTGGATTATCAGATGAGCGTCGGAAACGCGGCGCTGAAGCTGCCGACCCTCGTGCAACAGTGGTTTGGGGGGAAGAAACGGAGAATCGACATCCTGCAGAACGTTGATGGATTGCTGCTTCCCGGCGAACAACTCTGTGTTTTGGGTCCCCCTGGCTCGGGCTGCTCAACCCTCTTGAAGACCATCGCAGGGGAGACCCACGGGTTTGAGGTAGACCCTGCGTCCTACATCAATTACCAAGGCATCACCCCGCAACAAATGTCGAAAAACTTTCGGGGCGAAGCCATCTACACTGCGGAAGTAGATGCACACTACCCTCAGCTCGCGGTGGGTGACACCCTTTACTTCGCCGCCCTTGCCCGTACCCCCCGCAAGATCCCTGGGGGAATGAGCCGTGAGCAGTACGCCACTCACCTACGAGATGTGATCATGTCTACCTTTGGTATCAGCCACACTGTGAACACCAAAGTTGGGAATGACTTCGTTCGCGGTGTCAGCGGAGGTGAGAGGAAGCGTGTCACCATTGCTGAGGCGGCATTAAGCTATGCTCCTTTGCAGTGCTGGGACAACAGTACCCGGGGCCTGGATAGCGCGAATGCCGTGGAGTTCTGCAGGACCTTACGGACACAAGGGGATATTTTCGGCTTGACTTCGTGTGTCGCCATCTATCAAGCTCCCCAGGCAGCCTACGAGGTAAGCACAATAAAAGACATAGGAGTGCGGGATTTGCCAAGGTATAACTGACATATATGCTAGATTTTTGATAAAGTCACGGTTCTCTACGAAGGAAAACAAATTTATTTTGGCCCCGCCCAAGAAGCCAGAGGGTATTTCACTCGACTGGGATTTGTATGCCCTGAGGCCCAGACGACGCCTGATTTTCTGACCTCAATGTCGAGCCCTGACGAGCGCGTCATCAAGCCAGGCTTTGAGAACCAAGTGCCGAGAACCTCGGAAGATTTCGCACAGCGATGGAAAGAGAGTCCTGAACGTCAGGCACTTCTGCTCGAGATCAAGCAGTACACCGATGAGCACCCATTTAATGCAGCGGACTTCGACCGCTTTGCGTCCTCTCGGAAAGCCGAGAAATCAAGCAAGCAACGGCTAAAATCTCCATATACTTTGTCATATTGGGGCCAGATTCGCATTTGTTTGTGGAGGGATTTTGAACGGCTCAAGAACGATCCTAGCGTGACCCTCGCGATGTTGTTTGGAAACTTCTTTGAGGCTCTGATCATTGCCAGTGTGTTCTACAACCTTCCCAAGGATACATCCTCGTTCTTCTCCCGGGGAGCGCTTCTATTCATGATGGTTCTCCTAAGTGCCTTCTCCAGCTTGCTCGAAATCCTCGTTTTGTACGAGAAACGAACAATTGTGGAAAAGCACGCGCGATATGCGCTCTATCACCCTAGCGCTGAGGCCATCTCATCGATGATCATGGACATGCCGTACAAGATAACTAATTCGCTGCTCACCAATCTCGTGCTATACTTCATGCCAAATCTGCGAAGGGAACCTGGTCCATTCTTCTTTCTCTTACTGGTGTCCTTTTCCATGATGATGGGCATGTCAATGTTCTTTCGCTTCTTCGCCTCCTTGACGAAATCAATCGAACAGGCTCTTGCCCCCTCGTCCATTATCCTGCTTGCTCTGGTGCTTTACACGGGATTTGCCATTCCCGTGAGCTACATGCGTGGCTGGGCGTCGTGGTTGCGATGGCTGAATCCGGTCTCGTATGGATTTGAAGCCGTGATGGTCAATGAATTCCATGGACGAGAATTCCTCTGCACTTCGTTTGTTCCGTCCGGACCAGGGTACGAGAATGTATCGAGTGAACAAAGGGTTTGTTCGACAATAGGAGCGGTTCCGGGCTCAGATGTCGTTCAAGGTACAGACTTTGTCCGCTCCTCGTTTGGGTATGAGAACGGCCATCGCTGGCGGAATGTCGGGATTATCATCGCCATCTCTATTTTCCTCGCAGTCTGCCACTTAGTTACCACCGAACTGGTATCTTCTCAGCGTTCCAAGGGCGAGGTTCTCGTCTTCCGCCGTGGTAAAGCTCAGCAAGCCCGATCGAAGCGATATCAGAGCGATGAAGAGCAAAATTCAAGCGCCGTGGTACAGAACGAGAAGCCCGCCAAGGATGCGACTGGAACCATTGCCGGGGTTGAGAAGCAAACTTCAATTTTTCACTGGGAAAATGTCACGTACAGTGTTGAGATCAAAGGCGAGGAGAGGCTCATTCTGGATCACGTTGATGGATGGATCCGGCCAGGGACATTGACAGCACTCATGGTAACATAATCCACCTCACACGCATAGGCTGAATTGCAGACTAACAATGGCATTACAGGGCGTCTCCGGTGCGGGTAAGACCACCTTGCTGGACGTCTTGGCGAGTCGCACGACTGTCGGGGTTGTCGGAGGAGACATGCTTGTCGATGGTCGACCCCGGGATGGGACTTTCCAACGCAAAACCGGATATGTCCAACAGCAGGATCTGCATCTTCACACGACGACTGTACGGGAAGCGCTGGAATTCAGTGCCTTGTTGAGACAGCCGCCTCAGTTCAGCCGCGCCGAAAAGTTGGCCTACGTGGAGACAGTCATCGATCTTTTGAACATGAGGGAATACGCCGAAGCTATAGTTGGAGTTCCAGGCGAGGGTCTCAACGTCGAACAACGAAAACGCCTCACAATCGGTGTCGAACTGGCTGCGCGTCCCAAGCTGCTACTTTTTCTCGATGAGCCTACCTCTGGCTTAGATAGCCAAACCTCTTGGTCGATTTGCAACCTTATGGAAACTCTGACAAAGAATGGACAGGCGATTCTTTGCACAATTCACCAACCGTCTGCCATGCTGTTCCAGCGCTTTGACAGACTCCTTCTACTCGCAAAGGGAGGCAAAACAGTCTACTTCGGAGAGGTCGGCCAAGGAGCCAAAACCCTTATGGATTATTTTGTCCGCAATGGCGGCTCTATTTGTCCTCCAGGCCACAACCCAGCAGAACACATGCTTGAAGTCATCGGAGCTGCACCCGGAGCACAGACAGATATTGACTGGCCTGCCGTGTGGAGAAACAGTCCTGAATACCTAGCAGTGCGAAGTGAACTTGCTAAACTGCGGGAATTGGCCAACAACTTGTCACCACTATCGGATCCAGGTGATAAATCTAGCTATGCGGAATTTGCAGCGTCTTTCTCTGAGCAACTCACCCATGTCGGACGTCGTGTATTCCAGCAGTACTGGCGAACTCCTTCCTACGTTTATTCCAAAGCCTTGTTGACCATTGGAAGTGTAAGTCTTCGTTCGCCTGCTCACAATTGATGGGGTCTAATTCTATTTTACCAGGCTCTCTTTATCGGATTCTCTCTGTTCAAGGCGGAAAATACCAAGCAGGGTCTACAGAACCAGTTGTTTGGTGTCTTTGTCTTTCTGTTTGTGATTGTCCAACTTGTCCTCCAAATCATCCCGTCGTTCGTCACACAGCGCACGCTCTATGAGTCCCGAGAACGGCAGTCGAAGACTTATATGTGGCAAGCCTTCATTTTATCCAATATCGCCATCGAGTTCATTTGGAATACGGTAAGTCTTGCCCTTGCCCTAGTCAACCTTTCTCTCTCGCTAATGCGGTCACTTCTATAAGGTCATGGCAATCTTTTGCTTCCTCGTCTGGTACTACCCCGTCGGCTTTTACCGCAATGCAGAGTATACAGACGCGGTCCATTCTCGGGGTACCCAAACAATTCTGGTTATTTGGGCGGCCTTCCTCTTCGCCAGTTCATTCGCACACATGTTAATTGCAGGCATGGATAGTCCAGAGATTGCATCAAGCTTGTCCAATATCATGTTCATCATGATGTACGTCTTCTGCGGTATTCTCGCCGGTCCTGCTTCTCTGTCACGATTCTGGATATTCATGTACCGGGTCAACCCCTTGACTTATATGGTGTCGTCCTTCTTGTCTGGAGCAGTCGGCGAGGCCCCTATGCATTGTGCCGACAACGAAGTTCTGTCATTTGCGGCCCCAGCTGGAATGACCTGTGGGGAGTATATGCAGGATTACCTTTCCGCGAACTCTGGATATTTGCTGAACCCCGGTGCTCAGGACCATTGCAATTTCTGCACTATGGGGAACACCAAAGAGTATTTGGAGAGTCTCAGCATCCAATTCGCCAATCGATGGCGGGATTTTGGTCTCTTGTGGGTTTACGTTGTTGCCAACACCATCGGAGCCATTGTCTTCTACAAGATTTTCCGTGTGCCGAGGAGTAAGAAAGGTACGAAGGGATAGTGGACCTGCTAATATTTTCTTATTTTGGTTCATGTTCTTCTGTGTTTTCGCTCATGTACGCTTACTTCCATGCTTTTTCTTTTCTCAACTGTCTTTAATCTTGTGAATCCCTTTTTTCTTAGAGACATTCATAGATCATGGTTGATTTACAGCATCGAACTCGCTCCCATCTCGAAAATTTTGACAAGTCATATATAGAGAAGTTGCTTTCGCAGATTAAGTCTCTTTTGGCCATTTTCTGCTGTCTAACCAACTGAGAAGGGGAGGGAGATATCTACATAACCAGGCGTCTAAAGAGGCTACCAAAAAGACGACTAAAAAGACTACCAGACTACCTGAGAAGACCACCCAGAAGACCACCAAGAAGACCACGGCTGCATAAGTGGCCGTCTATTCCAAGGTTATGCTGTTACGCTTGTACACCTTTTCCACTGCCTATTTTCTGGATTTTTGCGATAATTAGTACAACAATTAAAGGGACTATTTAAAACGAAAACATCCCACTATCCTTTTCAAATCTCCAATGGTCGACTTTCGCCTCGGGAGTATAGGTACAGCCCTCCTGGGCAATCCAACAAGTGATTACATAAGAGGTTGTCTCCGGCTCCGGGGCCGAGGTCGGCCCTGAGTGCATCCAAGATAGGTAATTTCGAGACCTCACTCAGTGAGGTCAAACAAAAAAGTGTGCCCAAGAAATCAAGCGTCCAATTCTCTATAACACTGTGCTCTGCTAGCACATTTATTTCGGCGCCTACAAACCAGAGCCACAATTGCTTATCCCACACATTTCCGATTTGGACATCTCAAAAGCCGCAAATCACTCAACACTCAGTTTTATGCAAGCTCTTTGATATTGGCGACTCCTACGTCTGTAGCGAAAATATGGCCTGTAAAGAACCATCTGTTTTGCCGGTGGATATCATGGAGGCCCAATTGTCCACAATTGACCTCCTAATGGCGATGTTCCCGTCTCCAGGCGAGCTGGAAATCCCCGAATCCACAACACAGTGCGTCGAGAGACTCCGCGACTGGTGCGAGAACCCGACCTCTACACCTCCTAAAATCCCTTCAAGTCTCTCTCTCACCGTCTGTCTACCAATTGCAGATGGAGACAGAACAATACAAGTCAATATATCTGTGCCACTGCAATGTGATAATCCAGAGACACTTGACCAGTCACCGTCATTGGGATATTCCCTTCGACAACCAGAATGGATGTCCAGAGCCGAAGTTGCTGGACTGACTGCCTCAATACCGCAAGGCGATGATGCTTTAGAGGCATTCGAATACATCCAAGCAGAAGCCAGCCGCTTTCTTGAAGACAAGCGGTCTCAGACCGTGGCTCCAGAAGACACAGACAGAGGGCCAAGCGTCCGAGTCTGGTTCTATTTTCCGTCCCTGTCAACCCGCAAAAAGAGAGATGATATGGTCAACCTCGCACCGGGGTATGCTCTAACGGGATTTGTGCTTGCGGGCAAGCCGGGCGTATTGTGTCTTGAGGGGGCTTCGCCTGATATCGACTCTTATATGAGTTTTATCAAGACGCATTCCTGGGGTGATATCCCTAGTCATCAGAAAAAAGTCAGCGAGAGGTTTCGAGAGACAGAGGGTGTTCAGAGGGTGTTTTCTGGGATGGAGGAAATTACGGACTCGTTAGGAGAGCGAGGTGGCCAGCGGGCTAATCGGGGTGATATGCAAGCGCTGGAGGCGTGGTTAGGGAGTAGAGGACTACAGGAAGCATTTGAAAAAGTTATATTCTAGGCGGCCATATAGTCCGCCCTGCATTCTGCATGTCTGTTTGAAACCTCCAGATAGGTTTCCTTTCAAGGACATATCAAGCCAGTCTCTCTGTCTCATTCAATGATACCTGGGTACACTCAGTATATAATATATCCCTTTCTTTGACTCTTTTGCAACCTGCTTCTCGACATTACGAACAAATAGATTCTATATATTACTACATTGCTTTGGTCTTTTTCTAGCACGAAGGGTTTGAATGGCTCCTGCTTGAGGGATCAAACACATGAGGGTCCACCGTGGCGTATTAGAAAAGAAAAAGAAATTGAAATTGAATCTCCTTGGTGTATTCCACAAATGAAAGGCTCTATATAGTCCTATGTATATATTGGGCGTGATAAACATTTCCTGCCGATGCACAGATACAAGATACATCGTCGATGATTTTGATACATGGGTCACAAAAATCCACAACGCCTCCATATGCCACATGCCTGCAACTCAGGGCTATTTGTCGATTACACTTGAGTCGCCTATTCTTTCTTTGTCTCCTTCGGCTCCGAGGTCTTCGGTGCTTGGGTGGGCTTCTTCGCTCCAGGGGGTGTTTCAAGTGCTGAAGCGGCTGCCATCTGAGACTTCTTGTGCTTCTGGCGTTTCTCCATAAGGTAAGTCCAACTTTTACCAAGGCCTGCTGTGAGCGGTGCCTTAATCGTCTGGACAGTACTTGGCCAGCGGATTGTCTTCTCAATGGACTTGGAGACCTCCTCCTGAAGGTAATCATCTCCAGCAATCCGTCGCTCAAACGAACCGCCTTCAGGCCGGCGAAGAACCTCGTCTGAATCTTTGCTCTCCTGCATCAACTTATTGAAATCGGCGCCCGGAATTCCAAAGCGAGATTGATACTGGAAGTACAACTTTTGCCGGAAAGATTCAGGCAGACGACGAACCATGTTACCACGCATCACTGGATCCATATCTTGCGCCATGGCTAAGATGGCGTCTGGATCATCGATCCAATCTTCGTTGCTGCAGCGGGGGTCCTGGAAAGTGACATTGGGCAGATTTTCAATGAGTGGTGCGTAGAGTCGGCGGAAGTGCGCCATTTGTCCGGAAACAATATTTCGCACCTTGCCGGGGTCCTCGGCGGGGAGGGCCATGCGTAGATCTCCCATATAGCTCATACCTGCGATTGTGCTGTATAACTCGAACTCAGTGAATTTCTCTGGCAGTAACAGCAGTGCGACTCGCAAAGCAGACAACAAGTTCATCTGGTTAGCCAATCGCACCTTCGGGTGGTCCCGCAAGATCTTGACGGGCTTTTGCAAACGACCAGCGAGATACATTGTGTCCCACTGGGTGAGGTCCCGGCATAACGTATCCAGGTTTACTACACCATATTTGATCATTGTCCCGTTCACGGTGATATAAGGATGGAAGTAGACCCCCGCGCCGAAGCGGTCTTGTACTTGGGAGACCGTGTACGACCCCAGCGAGCCCAACCCAGAATAATGGTCACGGTGTTGGTGTAGATTGATATCATGCCAATGCTGGGAGTATGACACTCCGAAAATGAAATCAATCATCTTCCCAGAGCCCTTTTGCATATTTTGGATGGCTGTGGGTGCCGAGGGGTGCAGCGAGCTGGATGGAGCTCCGCTTCCATTCTGTGGAAATACACCCGATCCATAGGCAAATGCGTATCGAATTGGTGCTTTGAATTGCCAAAGGATCATTCGCAATGCCTCCTTGAAATCCTGGTTTATGATCATGTGCTGGTTGACTCCAAAATCCTTAGAGGGCAGTTCCGAGAAATTGGTAATTGACAAGTCCGGATTCTCGTCCCAGTTTTCGGGTAACAGTGAAGATGAAGACGTCGAGAATGGGGAGGATGATTTGTTGGTGGTCACCTTGCATAGCAGATGCGATGTCGAAGCGCCGTTGTTTGCGGAGGGTCGGCCATTGTAGGGAATAATCGAACGACAATTGAATGACAAAAAACGAGCAGAAGAAGGAACAACATGTGGGGACGAGAGAAGGGTGCGAGAGCGCCAGAGGGAGCTGGGGTTAGCTCCACGAGAAGCAACCATCTAAGCAGATAAGTTGTAGCGGGATCATCGGGTACAGTGGGGGATCTGACATACTGTTACTCCCGGCATGATTAGGGTTCGGATAAAAGAAATCGGGGCGCGTAGCGCAGTAATGGAATCAAGTCAAAGGGCCCGCATAGAAAGCAAATGAGTGAATTGAAGTGAAGTGAATTTGGGCGCTCCGTCAACATTTCCGGCTCTGACGTACTCCCCGTCCGGTTCTAATTCGGGTGCTGAGTAAGGGTCACGTGGACGCGTGTGCAAGGGTGCATAACAACCAAAAGTAAACAGACGCGGAGGATCAACAACAACGGCTCTTTCGACAATATTCACCTACTTCCTCCACGAAAGGTCTCTTTACATGTCGGGAATTTGTATCAGTTATCTTTAAATTCCCTGATACCTCGTCATGGGCTCTGAAATGGATACCTTTGCGGCCCGCCTAGCCAGCTTCGATATAGTGCTGAAGCCGGAGAAGCGCAGATCTTCCGGCACAAAAACACCCAAAGCGATTACATGGCCGCACCAGCGACCTTCACCAGCTGAGGTATGTAATTTCTCGGAGAGATTACGCGCCCATTTCAAGGTGATTGACTTGTTGGGATTCTAGTTGGCGCACGCCGGATTCTACTACAAACCATACGAGACAAATCCCGACAACACAACATGTTTCGAGTGCCACCGGGCATTGGATGGCTGGGAGGAGGACGACAACCCCATTACAGAGCATCTCAAGCATGCGCCTGACTGCGGATGGGCCATCATGATGGACCTCCAACAGAGCAGCTCCAATCCCGCCTCGATTGAAGACCCTACGGGCGACCGGATCACACAAGCGAGACTGGCGACGTTTGGTGCGGCATGGCCTCACGATGGGAAAAAGGGCTGGGTATGCCAGTCGGACAAGGTAACACGTGACTTCACTGCATTCATATTCTTTTGGCTCACAACGACGACAGATGGTTGAAGCCGGATGGTATTTCTGCCCTACAGACGAGAGCAATGACTTAGCCAGTTGTGTCTATTGCAAGTTATCTTTGGATGGCTGGGAGCCCAAGGACGACCCATTGTGGGTATTCATCGCTCTTTCCCAGTTGGACGGTTGCTAACTTAGCCCAGTGACGAACATTATCGCCGCTCCTCAGATTGTTCGTTCTTTGTCTTCGCCCAGCCTCCAGGAAAGAAGAGCAAATCTACTCGTGCTAAGAAATCTCGGGTTTCTAAGGCGTCCTCCCGGCTTTCAACCCAATCTGTTGACCCAGTTACAACGGAAGCGCCCGATATGGAAATGGATGACTCGATGGACCAGAGCATCATGTCCCAAGCCGCCACAAAATCCAAATCCACAAAGAAGGCACCCAAGAGCAAATCAAGGGGGACCAAGACTAAGAAGGAGGAATCTGTGGAGGTGGAAAGCCAAGTTGAGGCGGACATAGAAGAAGTCACCCAGCCAGAGCCTACCAAACCCAAACGTGCAGGCAGAGGAAAGAAGAGGGCCAGTGAGGATATCAAAGATGAACCCAAACCAGTTGCCGTGGAGGAAAGAGAGCCATCGCAGCCGCCAGCAGAGCCCCCAGCGAAGAGACGCGCTACAAAAACACGGAGCAGCAGCATTGCTCGCAACTACAATTATGAAGACAGTGACTCTGCAATGGCGGACGCAGGGCCAGTGGATGGCGCTGTTTCGGAAGAAGAAACCAGTAGAGGTCGCAAGCCCACAAAAAAGAGAGCGTCCAAGGCCCGCAAGGTCTCTGATGTGCCTGTTGCATCCAAAGCCACGTCAAAAGCGCGAGCCCCTCGTGACTCAGAGATCGAGGCGCAAATTGAAGCAGGCCTCGAAGCAGATATCCCCGAACCTGTCGAACCCGAGCCAGAAATCGAGGCTGAGCCAGCAGAGCCACGGGCGTCGAAGAAGACAAAATCGAGCAAAAAGTCCAAGGCTGTGGCTAAAATTCCCGAACCTACCATATCTAATCAAGTAGAGGATGTCAGTGATCACGAAAACCATTCTGATCCTCATGTGGAACCGGTTGATGACGAACCGGAGGCGCCTGAACCCCCAGCCCAAAAGACCAAGCCGGCAAAAGGATCCAAGAAAAAGGGGACAAAGAAAACTAAGACCGAAGAGACGATAAAAGCACAGTCGCTAGAGCCTCCAGAATCTTTAGAACTCGGGGCTCCCGATGTTCGCGATGATCCCAAGCATCATGACTCTTTCATCTCCGTTGAGATTGTCAGCAAGGAGCCGGAGGATGCACCGGAGCCCGAAAAGCCAATGGCCAAGGCTGAATCGAAGAAGATTTCCAAGAAGAAGGATGCCTCATCAACTAAAGAGAAGAAATCCAAGAAATCCGAGAAAAAAGAGGAGCAGGCTGTTGTTCATGAACCACCAGTCGAAGAACATCGTGTCGAACCGTCGGTCGAGGAACATGATGATGAATTTGAGACTACGGATGATTTGCCTGACCAGCTTGAGATGGTCAACCCTCCCCAAAGAGCCTTCGCCCCCTCCACAAGAAATGTCTCCCGAGCCACAATCCCATCGAAAGACGCCCAGTCAACCGCCGAAGACCGCCAAACGGTACAGCGATATTCCCCACGAACAGCATCTTGCAGAGAACCTAGTCCAAAGCCAGATCTCCCCTCACGAAGTGCATGAGCCTCGGCGGGATTCAAAACGCTCTAACCGGGCAGTTTCACCACTTCCGCCAGCTCACCAAAACACTCCCTCACTATCACCCCAGTCGTCAGATGCGGAAAACAGGCCTCCATCGTCACGGCCCTCAGCGTCCCGCCCACTTGTTCATTCAACACCCAAGCATCCCGAGTTCCGGGCCCCTCTGGCAGCTAGTACCCCATCGCCATCCAAGCGCAATGCCAATGGCGGATTCGGACCTTCCGGCCACCCATGGACACCAGTGGATATTGATGAAGTACTCTTTGGGGAGGCCAGCGACAAGGAAAACGCAGACCTATCTGGACTTTTCAAAGGCGTGAAAGCCGGCTTGAGTAGCCCAGAGAAGAAGATGACGGTACAAGAATGGATCGTGTGGAACGCAAAGAATGGTGAAGAACGACTGAAGAGAGAATGTGAACGACTTGTCGGCCAATTCGAGAAAGAAGGCGGCCGAGCAATGCAGCGACTCGAAGCTATCGAGTGCATCGACTGAATCAACAATCATACTATGTTTTTCGGATGATATGAATTTTGCATGTTAGGCGTTAAGCTAGGTGTTGGAGAACCCGTGTTAGATTTTTAGCTTGCAATTTGATTTTTGGAAGTGCAATTATTGCACATGAAGGAACATGATCAGTAAAAGAACAAAGCCTGGAAAGTATGCCAAAACACCATGGGTATCAAGAACAGAACGCGCACCCCGAGAACAACACTCAAGAAATAATTCCCAACCGGCCCTCCCAGCTATCGTCCTCCTCCCGCTTAACCTTGTCCTTCTTCCGCTTCTCATTGCGCTTGAGTCGCTTCTCCTCCTCTCCTTAGCATCGATCTCCTCCCGCTCCTTAAGGCGCTGCCCTAGATCAAGCTGCCAAGCTTTACGCTCTTCCTCATCCCTCTGACGCTTCCGATGCGCAAGCATTCTCAACCGCAAGCGTACGTCCTCAACAGTCGCCCTCTTCACCTCGCCACTTTGGCCCGTCGCAATCAAATGTTGTTTGCTGTTCAAGTGCTCCACAAGCTGCAAGTTATCCTTGAAGGTAAGATCACAGTCCTTGCAGTAAAATCCGGCGCTGCGGCCGCGCTTGCCCATCCCCGCGCCTGCAGGCACAATCATTGTCTTTCCCACCATGGACGCGACGTCCAGGCGCTGGTTGCGGGCTGTGGTATCCTCAAGCATGCTGTAGTCGACTGGTGCGTGGTATTTCTTGCCCAGTAGCTTCGCTTCGTAGCGGGCTTTGCCTTCAGCCTTGCGCTTGGCTTCATCGTCTGCCGCTTTTTTGGCGTATTCTTCACGGTCCCAGGTTTTGCGGAAGGCCGTGTCCGACACCGGGGTGCCGTAGGCGTTTGGTCCTGACATGTTTGTGATTGAGATGGATAATTGTTTTGGGGAGATGTAGTGGGAGGTTGGTGAGTGGCGATCTTTAAAAGTTGGAGCTTCCAAGGTTGAGGTCGGTTTGAGGCCGATATTGAAGATTATGTCAGCGATCCTGATTTCCAAGGTTCCACCCGTGGACCCAACGTTGGAATACAATAGCTACCTAGGTAAATACATCTTCAAATGTTGCCTTTCCAAAGGTTATTCCAAGTTCCCCAAAGTGGTTTATTGTTGATCAAATCATGTTATAGGTGAGAGACCTAATTAATATCTAGGACTGGTACTTATAAGGCACTGTAATAAGTAGGATGCTTTACGACCACATCACCTTTGACTACATGTATACATAGCCCCTAGGAGGCTGGAAACAGGCAGCTATTTGGACTAATCGAGCATTTGATGATCTGAATAATACGAGCTTAGCTAGGGGCTGTAATTTCAGGCAGCAGTTTTCGGGTCCCGCTCGTATAACACGAGCTCTCGTATAAGATGAACAATATCCCTCACATCCAATGTACAATTGAGTTACAAGCAACATCCTCAGAAAGCAAGTTCAAAAACATGGACCAATCCCAACACCCCTCCAGTTCTCAACCCATCAGCGCCAATCTAATGACCCTCCCCTCCGAGCTCCACCTCCAAATAAGCACCTACCTTACCTACCCAGACGCCCTAGCTCTAAAACACAGCAGTCGCCACTTCTACTCGATAGTGAACACAGGCGTGCGGCTGAAGGTTGACTGGCTCCTCGAGCGGCTTGAGCGTAAGCTTGAATGCCCCATGGAGAAGTGCTCGTTCAGCACTGACGAGTCCTTTTGCAATGGACGTGTGCGCGGCATTATGGAGCGCCGTCGGTGGCATCTTGAGTGTCGCCCGGTCAGAAATGGCTGTCTGCTTGTGAGTGGCCAGACTTGCCGTTCGCATTTGGTGCCCGCTTGGTTCAAAGTGAAAGCACTGGGGAAAAGGAGAGCTGTCAAGGTGATGGAAAGCTGGGGACATGAAGGTCCGTTATCGCTTTAGCTCTATCTTGTTTTCATCCGATAGAAACATCGGCTGATATCTTGTTGCATAGCATTTATAATTGGCATTATGGCTGTTCTGTTTAATTTGCTGTGGCATCTGGCCCAGAGGTGAGATATTGTCTCATGCTGCTTGTATGTGGTTTGAAGACCTTGCTAATTCAACTCGCCAGTACTTGGCACCTCGATAGTAGATTGAGAGGAAACTGCATTACTGCTCATTGAGAGCAGAGCTCGGAAGTCAGTTAACGATGCCGACCATCAACCACGAAGTCGAACTGGCATGTCTCAATGTATGGACCATGACCTCTTTTCCATGAGAAATGACTTGACACGCGACCATAGCAATCTCACAAAAAGTCACTCATGTTACACTATACACAACGGTGTTTCCGAGCGCATTTTGCATAGGCATGATGTAATGGAGGTTCGCAACATATTCGATGCGGAGAATCGAAATGGATCTTGTCGAGACACATCCCCACAGAGTCAGAGGTATGGAGTCATGATCTTCATAGATTGCAAGCTTTCCAGGTGCTGTGATGCAGCGAACTTGAATTTGACCTCATCTGAGAATCCCAGCCCTAATCAGGGTCTTATCGGTGACGTCACATTGACGGCCGTGTATACTTCCTACATGTATATATAGCTTCGCCCTCTATATTACTCAGACTTTCTACTTTAATATATCTTTCATCATTCGAACATTACACAAAAATGTCTACAGCAGATGCCACTATCAACACCAAGACGGGCAACCACCCCGTGGACCCCTACAAGACCCAGAACTTCGAAGACCCGCCTCTCCCTGAGAAGATCGAAGACCTGGTCGAATTTATCTCCCAAGTTAAATTTGGCATGTTGACAACCAAGCAATCAGAGGGTGACTATCTGGCCTCGCGATGCATGGCATTAGCCGCAACTGTATGAGCAGAGCCACAAATAAAGGAGAAACATGCTAATCCATTACCCAAAACAGGAGAACGGTGGCATCGACCTCATTTTCCACACAAACCTTTTCTCCGGAAAAACAATGGATCTTACTGTGCACCCACAAGAAACAAACATGTCCTTCCTCGACCCTGTCACAGGAGCCTGGGCCTCCATCTCAGGCACTGCGTCAGTGGTTGGTGATCCCGCCACCGTGAAGAAGTACTACTCGCCCACACTCAAGGCTTGGCTTGGCGATATGGGGGATGGTGTCCATGACGGTGGACCCTTCGGATCCCCGGATTGGCGTTATTAAACTCCAGGCCAAGTTAGCCACGCATGTTGTTCCGCACAAGGGTCTGCTTGGACGTGCTGTTGAAAGTATTAAGGGTGCTGTCCAAGGAAACGTGCCTCATGTCAATGGCATTCGAGAGTTGAGTATGCAGGAGTTGGCTGAGTGTATGTTTTCTTCCTCTTTTGATCTTTTGAATACGTGCAACAAATATGCTAACTAGTCCCTGTAGGGCGCCGGACGCATCAGGAATAAGTGCATTTCACTCCGAAGAGCATTTCCTCTTTCTATGAGGTATATAAAGCTTTAATGAAAATGAAAATGAAAATTGAAAGAATTTGAATCCTAAATATACCGCCTCCCCATATGGGCCTTTTGCTTCATAGTGATGGCTGCGGATTGGGCCATTGTACCTAGCATATGTCGTCTCGAGCGTGTAGAGACATTGTCCATGTTGATGTTCCAAAGTTCCTCGCCGCAAACACTTCGACTTGTCGAGTCTCGTATCTACAAATGTGAGTGATATGTATCAGTTAGAGTTTGATTGCAAAGAAATGATATCCTCGTCTTATGGCTCTTATATCCATTCAGTAACTTTGGCATCCACTTAACTATTCTTCTTGACTTGACATGTCAGTGCTAAGGGACTCCTCACCGAGGTTGGCGAAGATGAGTACAAGCCCACAAATTATACCAAGGCGCTGGCTGAGCCTCCCTCAGATTGGACATTTGTACCTTGGTGTCAAAATGTCAATGAGCGTGATACTACCTATGTAGTATACCTCCCTGCAATACAATCTTCTTCGGGCACCATTCAGCCTCATGCTTCAAGATAAAAAGACACACTAGCAGCCGAGGGTTGCATCTACCCTATAAGACAGGCCGAGGGTCAGGCCATACATTTGCACTTTATGCGGAATTGATCGGCCAAAGCAACTGGACCAAAGATACAGTGCACATGGATTTACAAGAAAGGTACAACGTAAATATTCAGACACTAAACTAAACAAAGAGTGAATTTAGGAAGAAGACATAAGGGAGCCTAACACCGTCGCCATCACAATTGAAACAAGATAAAACTGGGTATCGTCCCCAAACTCCCGCTGCTATGCACGTAATTCATGAAGGGACGCCAATTCCAAATTGACGCTGAAGTGAGCAAACAATTAAATCTGGTGGCTTTGTTAGCATAAGAACATACAGATAATGGTAATGTAGACTCACCAAAGCAAGACCGTGGCGGAAAGGAACACGGCCATTGTGCAGCAGCATAGCGATGGACCTCTGGGGAGTAGCTTGCAGCTTGCGGAAGGCCTCGCGAACGTGCCGCGGCTCGATGGGAGTGCGGCCCTCCTCGGGCGGGTCGAACAGGCCGGTCTCGCGCTTCCGCTTCTTGAGGTTCTCACCAGCTTCGGCGCCACCGCGACGGTGCTTCTCATCGTCTTCGCGCTCCTTGACTTTGAGTGCCTCCTCGGTCAGGGTCTGGACAATCTCAAAGGTGAGGAATCCGAGGATGTCGACGATGTCATCGTTCGGCTTGGATTCGGTCACGACGCCGAAGCCTGCCCACTCGCGGAAACGCTTGCTCTTGCGGTAGGTAAAGGAAGCCTGGCGACACTCGGACCAGAATACATACTCCTCCTTTGTCATGTGGCGGGTGCGTTCATCGGCGGCAGCAAGACGCTGGAGCGTCGCGTAGTTCTGCTCCTCCTCCTCTTCATCTTCTTCGTCCTCACGTTCGGGGACCTGGACTGAGAAGAAGCTGTTGACATCCCATGCAAGTCCGACCTTGGCGCGCTTATTCTTGGGCTTGGGGGCCACGTCTTGGGGCCCTGCAACAACACCAGCCGCGTCGTCGGCGGCAGCGAAGTCGGCCGCGTCACCACCACCCTTGTCGTCCGAGTCCTTGACATTCTTACGGACGTCCTTCCAGGACAGGAAGGTTCGCAGACGGGATACCTTGGCCTTATCGTGGCGAATCAGGAAAATTAGGTCGTCAGTAGAGATCGAGCGAACTCCGCGGCGGGTTGCCAATGCAGTACTGCGGGTAAGCTAATTTATCGTTAGTGACAAGGGTCCTTCAAGTAGGATTCGTAGTGCTCACAATTTCGACCACTTGTTGGCGGGTGATGTCTTCAATCAAAGTGGTAGTCTCAGGAGACGGCTCTGCTGTTTTCTCCGGAGACAAACATCATCTTAATATTGTCGTTAGTAAATGAGCCTTCAAATATGTTTTCCTTCTCCATCCCATGATCTTCCTGGCTCTCGCTAATGGTTTCGGGGCTGGTCGCGAAAGTGAACGACTTGAAGATGTGGGTGGAAAGCAAGTGAACCCGAAGGCCAGGCAATCCTTCAGGACCATGGATCTCGGTGTAATACTCGTAAAAGTACTCTCCCATGGAAAAGAAGTCTGACTCAGAATCGTCCGATAGATGATCTTGATGCGCATCAGTGACATCTCCAACAGAATGCATGGAAATATCGTCAGGGAAATCCACGCCCGAGTCTGAATCTTCCCAAGGAGCATTGACAGGGGAGGCCATATCAAGATCAGTTAAGGTCGGATGGGTCTCGTCATAATCATCATAACGGCTCTGCATCAGTTCTTTGTTTCGCGCAAGCTCTTCGCTACCCGGCGCCCAGAGCTCAACGATTGATCCGGCGTCCAGGTTCGGAAAAGACATGATTGGCGAATGATGATGCAGTGAAAGTGTTTGATAGAGTGGGTGGACGAAATTCCAAAGGATGCGTGAGAGGCTAATGAGAAAAGCCAAAGGCACAGAGGGTTCCTCTGGTGAATAGAAAAGATGAAGAGCGACAGGTGGCAGGTGAAGGTCGGGTGAAGAAGAAGTGAGATACCCAGGCACCCCGGCAAACCGTAGGCTGAGTAGTAGCCGTCATGAAGTCGATATCGATAAGAAGCTCGCTCGTGACCACCGCAAATCTCAGAATATAAAGAGAAGGCACAAACATCTTGCCAATTGCTCCTAACCCCAGGGAATAATCGTCCTTGGTCTTCAACCCAGTATCCCTCATTGATCCACGCCAAAGCTTCGATATTGAGCACCAGTTGCAGATAGGATCCAGGCAATCTCGAGGATTGCGGTTTTATTGCTCGACGTCAAGGCATCCCAACGATCCAGCAACGCAAGACTGAAAGGTCATGCTGGACCCATTACACGACATGAACACATGTTTTAGACCAAATGTCGACCTTCGCTATAAATTATCGGAGACGACAGGAACGAGATGGCGTCGTTTCAGCAAATGGGCATATTCGCAAGGCGAGTGAGATGTCGCAAGCCCAGCCGGACAAGCACAGCCGGACCGCCCGTGGACATCATGTTTGCAACCCGCAAAGGCATCGACTTTCGCAGGATGACTTCATCCTATCGGACTCGGGGAATTGAGGTGGCTGTGGCCCTGTCCCCAAGACAATGTGTTTGCGCCATGCAATGTCGTGTCGCAAAGCCAGCCGACAGTCACAATATGGTCAGAGGCCTTTCGAAGCCTCATCAGACGATCAAATTGAGATATTCGAGAGCCAGAGAGATCAAGGGACGAAAACAAAAAATGACCGGAGATCGGGGGGGAACTCACCTGTTGTATCTCCTGCCGATACTTCGGAGTTCGATCGGAGCTCATGATGAATGACGGTAACCCTACAGGGGGAAATGTCTTTGATGGTCGAGATTAGGCTAGCACTGGTATTCAGACAGTAGGAATGAGCGGTATTGGATCGATGCAATGCAAAGTGAGAGAAGATGGGCGCAAGGAGGATGAAGCTCTGGACGTTCGGGGAGAAGCACAGGCCGATATGGGGGGCGATAAGTGATAACCGGATACTCTTTAATCCGGCGGTGGCGGAGTATTCTGCCGGTATCGCGGGGCAGTACGGCTGTTCTTTTTTTTTTTACTGTTTGTTATACAGTGAGATCCATTGCATTGTCCAATTGCACAGCCTGAGATCCTACAGCCAATATGCTCCATCTAGTTGGACTTGGTCTCGCCGACGAGACGGATATCACCGTCCGCGGCCTGGAGATCGTCAAGCGGGCCGAGAGAGTCTATCTAGAGGCATACACGAGTATTCTTCTTGTCGATAAGGAAAAATTGGTGAGCTGAGTTCCAAGACTTTATTTTCAGAAACATTGCATATCCTTTGGGCAGATGGACTGATTGAACGTACTACCAGTAGGAAGCGTTCTATGGCCGCCCCGTCATTGAGGCAGACCGTGAACTAGTCGAAACCGGCAGCGATGACATCCTAGCTGACGGCGACAAAGTCGATATTGTGTTCCTAGTAGTGGGAGATCCATTCGGGTACGGTCATTATCACCTCCCCTACAAGATCCTAGCTAAAATCATACAACCAACAGCGCAACAACGCATACCGACCTCGTCCTCCGCGCGCGCGAACTTGGCATCGAAACCAAGGTTGTCCCGAACGCCTCCATCATGTCCGGAATCGGCTGCACAGGACTCCAGCTCTATAACTTCGGACAAACAGTCAGCATGGTTTTCTTCACTGAGACCTGGAAGCCGTCGTCGTACTACGACCGTGTGCGCGAGAACGTTCAGACCGGCCTACACACACTAGTCCTGCTTGATATTAAGGTCAAGGAGCAGTCGCTAGAAAACATGGCGCGCGGACGCCGCATTTTCGAGCCACCGCGCTACATGACTGTTGCGCAGTGTGCGGCACAGATGCTGGAGACTGAGGAGGAGCGACAGGAGGGTGTCTATGGGCCGGATAATTTGGCTGTTGGTGCGGCGCGTGTTGGCGCTGCTAATCAGCAGCTTGTTTCTGGCACGCTTAAGGAGTTGTCCACTGTTGAGATGGGCGCACCATTGCACAGTCTTGTTCTTCTTGGTCGGAGGACGCACGATCTCGAGAGGGACTATATTCGCGAATATGCGGTCAATAAGGAGACTTTCGATGCGAGCTATGCCAAGGGGTATGGGGCTAGTTTGTGAGGATTGAGTTGAAGAGAGATGATTTCAAGATTAAAATACATGATAAGTCTTTTTAAATGGAGTTACTTGCTATAGATACACTGAAGTTGTTGGAATGTTCAAGTTTGCAAAGATAGTATGTGGTATATTGGCTGTCATTCAACTTGATCCTGCGGGGATCAACTGACCAGAGCAGAGTCTGGATTTTTCTATTCTAGCAATACATACATGGGAAGACAAAATGAAAATGCGCAATATAACGAAGTCGCAAAGCAAATGGTATCGAAAAAGCCGAAATGTGGAAAAAGCAAATATGCAGGCATAAATCAAAAAGGTTCAACATGCAAAAGCACCACTGCCCACTAGTACAGCAATGAATGCAAATGAGAAAAATATCAGTCGGAGAAATTGAGGTGACCTGCACCAGCAGGATATGGAGATCAAAGCGTATCAGAACCAAAAAAAACCACCCAACCGACACCTTATGATATGCAAAATGTTGAAGCAATGTACAATTCAACTCTCGAGAAAAAGAAGTCACTCTCGTATCATATCACATCAGATCTCTTCTTCCTCGCCAGGGAGAAGGATCTCATGTCCAGAACCTTCATATACGAAGATAGCTGCAAGGCAACCAAACACGGATACCAAGGCAATCAACCACCAGGCGAAGCCAACCATGCCAATATCCAGGCCATATCCGTACCACGCACCGGAAAAGATAGGTCCAATGGTACGGAAGGCTGATGACACGGACTGGCCAATACCGTGGATTGTGCCGAGGACCGATGGGTGCGGCGAGCAGTTATTCAGCAGGATGATGGAGGTGGGAAGAGTGAAGGTTCGAGCGGTAACCTGGAAGAAGAGGACGATGATGATCCAGAACCAGACCCAGGGGCCGTTGGCTTGGCCAGGAGGAGGAATTGTAGATGGAGCCAGCGAAATATAGGGGGGCAATGAAGTATGCGATCGGGAAGAGGGAGAGGAAATACTGGTAGCTTTTGGCTGTGCCCAGACGACCGTTGATGGTAGGGTAGATGGTGAACTGGAGGACCATGCCAATCACACCCAAAATGGCGGTCGCGAAACCAACGCTCTGCGGCAGCATGCCGAGTCCGCCGGTGAAGGCGAATGGCAAGCTCTGGGCGGGGCTCGCGGGGTCGTTGGCATCATAGCGGGGAGTAGACAGGAAGAGTAGCCAGAGGTTGTTGAAGGCACCCATTTGGAAGTCGAAGAAAGCCTGTGCGCCGAGTGTGCACAACACATTTTTGGTCCAGATTTTTCGGAAAGGCAAGACACGTTGCAGGCGCACAGGCTTGTGGGCCTTTTCTTCGAGCTCATAACTTTCCGAGCGGTCCTGGTCCAGCAAAGGCCCATCCTCGTCGTAGTCGCGAGCGGAATCCTTGTGTACAAGGATGATGAAGGCGGGACAACTGTCTTCACGCCGCGTGCAAATATCTTTTTAGCAAATGCACCCAGGCCAGGTTTGCCCTTGCAAGATGCCAAGGTCTCTTCTAATCCATACGCAACCAAAGCTGCAGTTGAAGAGAGGAAACAGAAGTTCGCGATCATTGGCAGTGCATAAGGGTAAGTCTCGAGCCACTGCACTCCGTTCGCGCCCCCAAAAGAAGAATTGGGACCAAAGAGACGGGGATAGCTCTTCACGGGATCAGCCAACATGCCACCCATCACTGCGAAACTGGTTAGCGATTTGTCGCATAGTCGCGAATAGCATTGACAGAACGAGGTACTCACCAGGACCAAACAACGACGCGATGTTGAAACCAATAGGCAAAATCAAGAAAGCGCGCGAGTGATATTTCTTCTCCTTAACATTCTCCGCAATCATAGTTCGAATAATACCGACAGTGCCGTTGATGGCGCCACCAAACGAGCGCCAGAACACGGCCTGCGCGAACGACGTTGAATACGCAACACCCAAACAAGATACCGCGGTGCCAACCAGACCAACAAGTAGAACGAACTTGCGGCCACCCCACTGAGCATCGGCAACACGACCCCAGGGGATCGCCGTTGCGAACTGAGCTGCGGTAAAAGCACCCTGGAGAATTCCCGCCTGAGTCGCAACATCCGAGTCGGAGAGGTTCGGGTCGAAGGATTTGAGCTGGTAGAACATGTAGGCTTGTAGCGAAGCGATCTGCAAGAAGTCAAAGACACGGCAGAGACCTAGCAGCGCCAATTGACCTTTCCGCGGCAGCGACATCCACGTTACGAGCGCGGGCGCGTTGGCGCCCGCGCAGTCGGGAGCTCATTCTCCTGCGGGGCCAGTGTCTGTGGCTGGCCATGGCTAATAGAGCGGGCGCGCACGTGCTGTGTTTTGCGGTCACCACCCAGATCCATCGAGGTGTTCCTTAACATGTTATCATCGATGGTGGGCGAGTCGGGCGAGTCGACGGAGTGGGAGGAGGAGCGTTCTTCAACGCTGGCGAGGGAGGTGTTGGACTCGCGTCGGCGGCGGCCTGTGTTATCGGAGGATTCGCCGGTGCCTTGGGTGAGATGGAAGCCGCTCGACCAGGATGTCGTACGTCCGTGGCGGGCATTATTCGATTTATGATTTCCGGACCTGGCAGGCATTGAGGAATGTACCCGTGGACTAGTGTAAACCAAGCCGTAAGGATCAAAAAGTAGTGTGGCCCCTTGGGTTTCACGTAATTTTCCGTTGGGTGGTTTCGAAGCTTGATGCGAGTTAATTATGATTGGCTATGTAGAGAATGGAAAGAAAGAGAGAAAGAGTTGTATTTTTTATTTTATTTCTCTTCAAATTTCCCCCATGTTGTTGTACCGTCTCCAGGGGATTTTGCCGATGACGTCCTTTCTCGGTACTTTTATTTGAGGCCCACTAGGCCCGGGGAATGCCACGGACTTAACTACTTGTACTCCGTACGCAACCTTCGAAACATTACTATTTTTATATTCTGATCATAACAATATATTGACAAAGTATTCATTTTGTTAAATCAAATCCCTTAATATAAGTGAACGTTCCATATGATACTCCGTAGATAGCACTCTCTCTGATACATAGATCGACAACGACACCGGCTTGCGACGACGGCTCCACATCTCCCTGCCGAGCCTTCCTCCCTTGGGTCATGACTGGCCGGTGCGTTTTAAACGGAAATCTTGGCAGGTACGAACCTTGGTGGGGTGTTATTCTAGCTTTACGGTAATTTACAGTCCTTTAATTTCATACATACAGATACGTACGTGTCTTACGGAAGAAATGTATGGATGTATTAATGTTTCGTAATTGTTCAAGTGGATCGGACCTTCCATTTTTAAGCTTTACCACATTAAATGTGACACAAAGTTATTTATTTTCTTTGTTTTCATTTCAAGGTTATTTATTTCAAGTAATAGTACCGAGGTACTAATAATAAATTACTAATTAATCCCAAGCCCTGTTTCTAGAACCAATAGCAAAAGCTAGCGCCGACAGTTCATGCGTTTCAGCCACATTCCGCGTCATTGGGAAAAGCCACTCTGATACATCTCACGTACAATGCAAACGTATGCCTCCTCCAGTCCTGCCACAGCTTATTGCTAAACTGGCATACTCGACCCTACAAGGCGAAACTAGGGGTTGATATGCCGCATGTTGCATGATCACGGCTACAAAACTTCCGAAGTGGACACAGTACATCGTAGGTTTTTACATACTTTGATCGACATAGAGATAGACATTTTACAAACTGTCATATATGTCAACTATGGAACGCCGGATTTAACAAACTCTAGAAGAAGTTAATTTGAAGTATGAATGCCCAGCACGGCAGTATCGAACAGCTCCACCTTACTCCAGAGGTACGTGCATGCGGTGCGTAGCAGTTCAGAGGACCTTTGAAATCGACGCCGAAAATGACTGCTTTGGGAGCCAAAAACAGCTGTCTTCCACCGAGTAACTTTCGTGGGCGAGTTGCCGTTTTGACGGCGGCCGTCTCTTCAAGCGTCAGTTCCCACGTGGGCTGCATGAGCACAGCCAAGGTGAAGGTATGGTCCTGCAGCGAGTCTGGCTTCCTCCATCCAGACACGTACACAGTCCAGCTCTGCTGGCGACAGGTTTAGAGGGTACGCTCACGCCAGTTCTCGCCGGAGAGACAGGCTCGGCGTCATGACTAGGGAGATATCACGCCGCTCAGTGAGTCCATTCCACCACCAGTTTAGCTTCTATAGCCCATATACTATTCGAAGTGATAGTAATGCAGTGCTTTAACAATGCGTTCCAATCGTTCCTCTCATTCATCTTACTAAAGAAAAGACTTGACATATAAAACGGCCGTTCCACAGGCTTCTCATCTTGGTCAGTCTCTCCACCCGCCTTAGGTCCCAGAAACACTGGATTCGAGCCCGAAACACTTCATTCTGAGCCAACTTCCCAACAGTGCTTCACTGTACCCCGTTCTCTATCCGCAAACTTTGTATCAGGCTCTCAGTTCTCAGATACCACAGGCCAATAGCAGGATGTTGTATCCGTAAGCAACATAATAACTTGATCTGATAGGTCGTTACCACTATCGCTGGCCTGATAAATGCCCCGAAGCATACACACTACCGGCTCCTTGCCCCGGTATTCTGGAGTTCCCGGAGCTTTATGGCTGCACATCCACCGCAGCATAACCCAATAGCAAAGATGTTGGCTGCTGATTGATCGTCTGAGTTAACTGCATATTTACAGCAGGCACAGACGCCTAGGAACACCGCGTTGGTTGACATTTTGTGGAAGTAATGTCTTGATATGATTAACTCGAGTTCTCAACATAAAGTGCGGGCGAAAATACTTACAATAAGATTGATAGGGGACACAACAAGATAGCAATAAGAAGCAAATTGTTATATGTTGTGAAGATAAATCAGATTGTACAAATTCCTCGATGTTAGTGGATTGAGTAGTAGAAAACAACCTATATGGTAGTTGTATGGGGTAGGAAGAAAAGGCCTGTTGAACCGCTGACATTATAAGTCGAGCGGGTAGGATCTATATATTAATATGCATGGGCGTTGGATTGGGTTGGGCTGGGTTGGGTCGAAAACTACCTGGGCGGACCTAAACATAACTGGTGAATGGATCTGAAATCTCGAACCAAATCTAATACCCCTCGCTGCAGATCCGGGTAAGATGAGGCAATGTATGCGTTGGTCTGCGACGCTGACCTACAGGGCCATGCCACACGTCAGTCAGCTAGTCCTAAGTCGAATTTCCGCGCATATGCACACGCTGAGCGTGGGCCTTGTCAGCCTTGGCTAGGGGCACTTGCACGTATATATACATCACCTCGTCCGGTGAACTAATCGGACAGCGACAACAGTCTGTAGAGTAGAAATGCAGCTACTAATCAAATTACAGCACTTTTTGTAAAAGTACATAATGTCGTCGGGTGGGGTTTAGGCCTACACAATTGCAGGTCGCATTTAAATGTTTGAGCCAGTAGTAAGCCACGAGACTGCCCAAGATGAATTTTGGCCAGGCATTTATGCTATTAGAAAGCCGCGAAGGGGCGCAGCACTAGCAATCACCAGGAGTTACGGCGAGGATAGAGTAAGGGAATGGGTCACATGGACGAGGCATCAGAACAAACTCGAGCAAAAGGGCGATTATCGAAGTCACTACGTAGAACGGGGAGGATAATCAATGTTTAGAACGATGGGGACTAGATGGGTTGCGAACTTGCTATAAGACCAATGTTTTCGCATCACTCGAGGACAAGTCTTTCCAGTTCTCGGCCAAGCTCCTAAAACCGCCACCTACGTAGAGCAGTCAAACATGGATAAGAATCCCAAAGGAGATACTCCGGTATCTCAAAACGCATACGCATTAAGGGACTCACCGCAGGATCTCCTCAATAAGCCGTCGGGCCAGGAGTGGAAAAGAGGGTTCGCAAAGCTCCGTTAGGAAACCATGCGATGCTAATTTCAACCACCAATATGGCCAACGAGACCTGATCGGGAGGAGGAAGAGACGTGGAAGCTCTTATAAGGGCCAGACCCCGCTCACTTCCAGTCAACCCACAACTCTACCACCACCACTGGAGCCACTCCCTCTTAGCTTTCTCGAGACCGGGAGATCATTGTCAAGTTGGGTGATATCGATGGTATTTCTCAATTCTGATTGGTGGGAAGGTCGGAAATAAAAAAAAGGGCTACGACTGTCAGCCCGGTGCTGGTAGCCATCCAATTCGTGACAGCTCGGCGGCTGAAACCGGGTTATAACTCGGTGGCATTGAGGACGGCCAGGGTCTATCGGCATGAATAGACCAAGCATTTGGGAAAATCTCCGAGGTACGCTTGCCGTTGTGGAGGTGATTGTACATGACGGTAATGTGAGGTCTCTGGGTATCAATGAGCTGGAACGCCTTGGAGAAGGCACGAAGCTGTCAGTAAGGAATTATTGACACAGAATCTCCATTCGTGGCGAGATGCTGCACAGATATTCCACTGAATTTGAAGTGTCAACCAGGAAAATTGGAGAATATTAAGAAAGCCTTTTGAGCGTCTAGCTCTAACTATATAACCGAGTTGCCGTCCCAAATTGATGTTTTCATATCGAGTATGCTTTTGGCATTTGGTTTGCCTTTAAGCATTAGTTTTTATATTGCGTTCTTTGAAGGACACTTCCAATAATCTCAGATAAAAGTTCCTTGAACGACATGCCATTCATCTTCGCCGTCGCTGGTAATGGGGAATGACCTGGAAGAAGGCCAGAAATAGGATTCACCTACACCACCATGAAAGCATGAGTACCTTGAGTCAGATATAATGAGGATTATTGATATACTCACTTCTAACACGTTTGGGACGGAGCCTGGCTCGTCGGAATCAAAGCGAATGTCGACACGTCCAGCGTCACGGCAGTTGAGGACTTTCCAAGTTCGTAGGGCAACCTCACAGGTAGCTTTGATATGCGATTCGTCCATGTCGTGGGAATCATTATACAATAACGTCTTACTTCCGTTGCTTGATTTGCTCTCTCTGCTAGCAAAGTCCAGCGACCCATTGGACTGGTAACCGTTCGTGTTGCTGTGATCCGGGGACGCTTGCCAGATATGCTCTCTGATACCTACCACCCGGCTATGCGACCCCGTTCCCAGTATGCTCACTGTAAATTCCCGGCCCGACAAAAAGCGTTCCACAAGGATATCTTGGCCCGGAAATTTCTGAGATAATTCCCGTGCTGCCGGTTCCAATTCGGCCGGTTCTTTGACTTTGTTAAAGCCATCGATTCCTTTAGAGGATCCTTCAATGACCGGCTTGATAAATAGTGGATAAGGCGGCAGTGCTGCAGAACGTTCCAAAAAGTCCGCCACGTCGTCGTTCAGCATGGGGATCACGCGAAAAGGCGCATTAGGGATCATATGATGATCTAGGATAGTCTGCTTTTATCATATGCTTTTATCAGACAATCTGAATTGTGGAAGTTTGGATTTTTTTCCTCTTGATACCTTGGTGATTGATTTGTTCTGGCATATCGCCATTGTCGCAGCATCGCTGAATGTGTAAGGAACTTGATATGCTTCCAAGAGCGCCGGGACCTGCGACTCTCTCGCAGACCCATGAAACCCTTGCGCCATATTGAATACCAAATCCCAGCCCTTATCCTTTCCTGCGGCTAGTAGTTGGACCAGAGACTGAATTCCAGGTACCAGCGTTACATGGTGGCCCAGGTGCTCAAGTGTGGTCATGACAGCATCGATTTCACCAATGTGAGTGAGGGCCGCGCATTGCTCTTCTGAATAACCGACCTTGAGATAAGACGACCTCTGCTCGCAAACCAGAGCTATATTGAGGCAGGGAATACGCGGATCGTCCATCCTGCAACTGAAAGCCATTCGAATGCGCCCACGGCTGGAACAAATCGCTGCCTTCTGATTAAATTGATACCGATCGTTGCCAAAACCAATGTGAGAAATGGCGACTTGAATATTTTGAGCCGGGCATGCTTGTTTTTGAATTGTTCAGCCCGGAAATTATGTCAACGTCATGGCTCGCATTCCTGTCTTGAATCTCTCTTCAGAATGAATGCAGGGAAATTATGTATTGATGACGTGACGGTATGAAAAAGCGGCTTAACTTTCTGCCAAGAGAACATTGGTTAATGTTGGGTGCCTGAGGCACCAACTGTATGATAGTTACCTAGGACCCAGATAGTTTGCTCTCTCTCTCTCTCTCTCGTTCTCCTCTTCGTCTATCACAATACATACGCTGTTTTCTCTATTGATCTTACATTGTATCATGTTTCAATGATAATCGTTTCCCGAGGCTGATATTATGTGTGCTTTGCTGATTATTACACCAGGCGGGCTTCGGACACAGTTGGCTTTTCTTAGGTGCTGTTGGAATAACTAATTCGTTCCTAATTTTTGCCATGACTGATAGTGCTGCTCAAAGGCACTTGGATTCATCTTTTCACCCCGATTTCCTCTTATCTCAACAGTCCAAAAATGCTTGAAAAGTAACTATCGCAGCCAGATGTGTCCTCCATGCTACCTATCCATGCGACATGCTGATCCGGCCGACACAGTACGAGACAACCCGGACCTCCCTTATCAATGCCGTATCCTATGTAAGCTTGGTCCCTATCATCAGCGAATACCCTCCAATAGTCCCAACCCGTCACATCGTCGAACGGATGGAAGAGCTCCGGAAGGTCCAGCAGATTAACTGCGCTTCTGGGGCTTGACTGTATGAGAAGCAATTCAAGGATGGGGCCGCGTGATTTCAGAGTCCGTGTCCGTTGTAGGTTCATTAAGTGAGATGCTCTGCTGAAGGTGTCCGCAAAACGGGCCAGAGCTTTCATCCTCTCCGGTTGGCGTAGATCACCCGGAAACACAAGGAGCCTCCACGACCCGTCACTCGCAAGACGCTGCGCCAAGTGTATAGGTACCCCATCGCATTGATAGACGACTAGAAAAGAGCTTAAACGCATGCCCAGTTTGAGATTCCTTGCAAGATTTGTAGCACCGTCTTGCCCTCCCCGGGTGACCAAGATACTGTGAGGATACGTGACGTCGACCCCGGCCATAAATCCAGCATACTGCTCGCGGACCTCATAAATTCCGCTTGAGTTATCGTTCTCCTCTTCTTCGTATGCGTGCACAAGACGGGAATCCAGATCCATCAGCTGCTTGGCGACTGGACGCCGTTCAGTCTCATAAGTCTCCAGGATAGTGGGCTCCGCACCATTGGTGATAACGGCTCCCAGTTTCCATATTAGGTTGTATGAGTCTTGGATTGATATGTTCATTCCCTGCCCTCCTTTTGGAGAGTGAGTGTGGGCAGCATCTCCAACGATAAAAACACTATAAGGTAGTAAGTAGTTTGTCATCTCATGAAACATGCCACTTACCGTTCATGAGGTCTGTAATGTCTAACTAGGCGTCTGCCTATCTGTGATTCCATAGTCAGCACGAAGTTCGTGCAACTGGTCGTGTGCAGTCTTACTGGATAGATAGACCACCAATCGCAATGACTATACGTCAAATTGTATGGCTTCATTATCCTGTCGGCCATTTCTACCAAGTCCCGAGGGGAAGGGTTGTAGTTTTTCAGGGCTTCTTCTTTGTGCTCATCTCGAAGATGGATGTAAAATCGAACTAATCTGTTCTCTCTGGGTACTGTCATGATGCTTCCATGAGACCGAGAGTGTATTGAGCAGGCTCGACGGATATCAGCTAGAATACCCGGTCAATTAATGATTCTTCGCACAGAGTGGTTATACAAACGGAAGTCAGTTATTGGGATTATGTCTAGCACACCCCAGGTTGAAGCTTCTGATACTTCATCGGCGGGGACATGTAGATGGTTCCTAACCCAGCTGTGCGCGCCATCGCATGCAATCAGGTAGCGCGCATGTATGGTATCTTTCTCGTCCAGGCCATATAATTAGCCCAACATTTAGAGACCAGGGGGGCTCGTTGATAAGGAAGCCACACGAAGATTACATACCATGTTTCTCAACACCTCTCGCTCCCACAATGACCCGAAATTGTTGCATGTCATCATCATCGTCAGGGAGGAGATGTAATGATTCAGCCTCCTTGTGCCTCTCCACGTAAATGTTTTTACTACCCAGATAGTCAACAAATACTTGTTCCACAGCCCCTTGGTTGAGCATAATTTGTCCAAATCGCGAACTTTGCCCGGAGTCTGCTTCATATTTCTTGTGTCGCTCAATATTTCCCGTTCCGTTGTTTGTGATCTAAAGTCTCAGTTTTTCAGGTATAAAGGGCTAGTTGAATCATCCCTGGTACTTACCCAGTGAGCCATGTCGACGTCGTGGATACCTTGCCTCAAGATCGGGTCAACGATGCCGAAGCTTTCTAGTATCTCTAGAGTCCGGCTTTGTATCCCATCAGCATGACCAGTTTCGGTCCGGTTTCCCTTTTGGTCAATGATCCGAGTCGACATCTGGTATTGAGCTGCCCAACACGCAGCTGCGAGCCCTGCTGGCCCTGCTCCAACTATTAACAGATCAACATACGAGGCCGAGGAAGACATTCCCTCAAGTTGGACTTAGGAATATTATGACCTATAATGACGAGTAGTTGCAGAAGGCAACTTACATATATCCCAAGTAGCATGATCGTGAATTTACCCGAGTGCCCCAACCAGATGATGACGTCACATATCGATACGCACTATGAGGTTCGAGGCATTACCTTGGCATTTCGTTAATCCTGTTTGTCTATTATACAGGGCATACAGGGCTCCTAGCAGGAATTCGTCACATAAACACACATAGACTGCGACGTGCGCTTGAAAATCATCCAATATATGTCACGATGACACGAACATACGTTTTTCATCTATTCCAACCTTATCTCCTACACTTGTAGAAATGAACGAATAGACAGTGCATGAACAAGTCCAACCGTATTTCTAACATGATGTCCCATATGCTGTACTAATCAGGCTTCGATTTCCGGGAATCTACTTGTTCAGCGCAGTAGTGCTCAACAAAATGTACCCGCTGACATGAGTAGGCGCACCCTGAGTACATATGTACAGAGTGGGGTTATGAATTGGTAATCTGGCCATCAAGGTTGACATAGTGGTCTCTTTGGTAGAACGTGGTTTTCAACGTTCTCAACGTTCTCCCGATTAGATTAGTTAATGCGGTTTGTGCCAGATTCTTACCATTTACAGCGAGAAAGGCTCGTAATAGGAGGATAATTCGAGATCTTCGTAGTATAACTAGTACTCAGCGTAGAAGCTAGTATAATATTATATAGTATATCCGAGTGTTTTACAATCTCGGTATATTAACTTTTAAGAGACTAGCCCGCGTTATAGGTAACGCCGGCTAGAACGGGCTTAACGGCATGCTATTCCTCCATCCAAACACGTACACAGTCCAGCTCTGCCGGCGACAGGTTTAGAGGTACTGCTCGCGCCAGTTCTCGCCGGAGAGACGGGCTCGACGTCATGGCTAGGGAGATATCACGCCGCTCAGTGACTCCATTCCACCACCCGTTTAGCTGCTTCTATAACCCCATATACTGTTCGATGATAGTAATGTTGTGCTTTAACAATACATTCATCGTTCCTCTCATTCATCATTCATCTTACTAAAGAAAGGACTCGACACATAAAACGGCCGTTCCACAGGCCTCTCATCATGGTCAGTCTCTCCACCCGCCTTAGGGCCCAGTAGCGACTGCATTCGAGCCCGAAACACTTCATTCTGAGCCAACTTTCCAACAGGCTTCACTGTACCCCGTTCTCTATCCGCAAACTTTGCATCAGGCTGCCCTTCATACGTCGTCTCCGGACCATCTATCCATTTCTTCTTTCCCTGGAGACACTCATTTTTCATTTCCTCTGAACTTTTGTTGATCATACTCTTCCAGAATTCCCCTTCTCCAGGAGAAACAACACCAGCATGCTCAAGCATTCCAACAGCACCAGCAACCCAGTCCTGGCAATTTCCGACCCCAAACTCGGGGATGTTAGATTCATCATTCCCAAACGCAGAGATCAGGCTAGCAGCTTGTTGCGACTGCTCAGAAGAAAGAGAAGAGAGCTCGCAGCGACCTTTAAGAACAGGGTCTTCGAGCGGCTGTGTCCGTGGATCATAGATGAAGTCTTCGTCTGTGGGGTTGCGGATATGGTGCATTTCGCAAGTTGAGGAGCCGTGCTTGTAAATGGCGACTCCCATGTGGGAGGGGCCGTCGCCTAGTTTGGCGTCGCCGCGGCCGTAGATATTTATTGAAAGGCCGTGAGTGGGAGATTCCATGGCTGGCGCTGGTAGAGTAAAGGGACCTATACTATGTACATGTAGTTATCTAGTTGTCGGCGGTTATGAACCTTGGAAGCTATCAGTGTCCCCACACCGCTCCCGAGAGCGGTGTGTGGGGATGTTGATAACATAAATACCGCCCGTGTGTTGCTACTCCTAGCAATACCACTAGCTTATCGTCCACCCCAAGCTTATACTGGAGCACGAATGCTTCGCCATTTATCCACGATCGCTTAAGCTTCCACAACCGCTACGTCTATGATCCACTCCATCTCCTGTTCAGGTATTCGACCAGATAGAATAGGTGATAGAAATTTATGTTGACCATGCCAAATCCGCGGGGGCGAGTGAGTGGTCGGCCCATGAAGTAGATACAAGCTCCAATCTGGCTAGCTCAGGCATCGATCCTTTGATTTCTTGAAACCAGTCGTGCCAATTGTACGGAACGCAAAGCTGCAGTCGAGTCCACCCTCGACCTTCTAAGAGTCTTTCCCATGGTTTGAGGAACAGCCTCCCCTGTTCATGGGTGTAGAAAAGCTCTTGAGCCTCACAGGGCGGCATTTGAAGTAGCACACGTAGCCGGAGCAGGCCGCGGAAGCTCTTCTCAACCAACCTAAAGAACGCATAATGGGTTGCCATCCAGTCCTCCTCAGCTTGCCCCGGGTCCCAGAAGCCAACAACAAACGAGATGTCTATAGATGTTATAAGAGATGCACAACGCGGTGCCAAAATCCTTGACATCAGAAAAGGGGTGTCCATAGCCTCGCCCATCACAAAGACATTCGTCCCATAAAGAACTTCCAATGCTTCTTTATATCTGTATAATAATAGGTCAATGCTCTAACAGTGGAAGGATACCGACTTACCCAATTCGGCAACATCTCAGCCACTCCACGCCGCCAATTTTGGGCCTCGGGATGTGCATGTACCCCTCGCGGCCCGAGATTGAACAGATATCCTCAACAGGATCATCGATGAATCCATCAGAATGTTCACAAACAGCATGCCACCAGCGCCAGCGAGGCTCGCTGTGCGGTTCCGACGATGGCTTTCTCCAAAAATACCGAATATGCACTCGCCGATCGCCCATAAGCTCGAGGTATATCAGCCTCCTGATCTCAGCCGGGAGACGAAAGAGTGGACTTTGCTGTTGGGAGCTTTTCTGTCGAGCTCCCCGGCTGTATGGGCGCTGTTCTGGTTGGATCGGCAGCTTCCATCGATTGAATATATTGCCGTTAATCTCACAGGTGGAATCCCAGATTCCTATTGCGTTTGGGGAACATTCTTTCAGTGTAAACTTGGGCTCTTTCGGCGCTTTCTTTTTGTGCTTGAAAAGTTTGTTGAAAAAAATAGGGTGCCATGGCGGTGAAGTCTGGAGGAGCGTGAAGGGGAGCGTTGACTTTATATGTACCTGGATGTGGGTGGATGCCCCCCAGGCATAATCCGGTACGTTTGCAGTGACATGGAATATGGCTGAAACGCTTATACTCTCAGCGCTAACTACTGCCGCCGGTGTTCCGAGGTTGGCTTAGTATCTCCATGGGTATCAATTTAATTTTCTTCTTTTTTTGAAATAAATATTTTGTGAGTATTGTCGGAAACGGTGGACAATTCCCTTTATTAGTTCCACACAGTCCCGAACACCCTTTTAATCACGCTATACTCAACATAAAAAGGCGGAACAAATTTCTCCACCATGCGATCCCATGAGGCCCTCCAGGGTGGATTATGCAAAGCACGGTAGAACTCCCAATACTCCGGCCAAAATCCAGCTGAGCCCCAGTCCACTAGAACAACAGTGCCATCAGTCCGAACAATGATATTCCCTGGGTGTAAATCTCCATGTGTAAACACGATCTTGTGATTTTTGAGACCTCGGACCGTCTGGTACAGCATGTACTCGCTGTTGAAAAAGTTCGATTCGATGTCATGTTCACGTTCGAGCAGTTCCAAGGGCAGTCGATCTCGCAAAGCTTGTGCGATTCCTTCATCGAAACTTTCCTCGGATGAGTATGGTCCGTAGCTGTAGCTAGTGTAGTCGCCGTAGCCAGCCTCGAAGATGCCGTCTCGACAGGGTGATCCGTCAAGTCCACCGATGAGATCCCCTGGAATCTCCCGCATCTGGTTCACGTAGTCCCGTAATTGCTCCAGTATGCGATTTTGCTCAGCCTGCGAAACACGGTCCCAGTATTGTTCCAGTGGCTCGCCCGCTTCATATGACATTACGATGTATCCAACGCCGTCAAGGATATATGCACTGAGAAGCTTTGGTGTTGCTATGGTCGTACGGGTAGATGCCAAATGTAACGCTTCGGCTTCGGCCAAACGAATACCATGGCCGAATTTCACAACCATCTCCGAATCTGCGAAAACAAGACGCGCGCCCATTTTGCCGGGACAAAGGTCGTCTGCTGTCTGCAAGTCACCGGGGTCGAGTATGATAGAAGGAGGTCCAATGGTTTCTGAGTAAATTAAGCGTGTTTTTTGCTCCCCTGTTTCCAGGCCTTCTTCCAGGCCTTCAGGACTGGTGCAGCCGATATCCATAGCGGAAGCTGTAGTTTCCTTTTCCACCGAGGTCTTCTCTATATCAGCACTTGCTGCTGCGCTGGTCTCTGGCGTCTGGAGACTGGTGTTCTCCTTTGGATCCCTCGCAAGACAGTCACTATGGAGCAAACCACATCCCGCGAACGATTCCACAGTACCCCCATATCGAGGTGGAAGCTGGGAGCCAAGATATCGACTAAGGTCCTCTGGGTTCTTCAACAATACCGTGTTTCTCAAGAGAGCTTCATCGATATCGAGAGATGCGAGGTATTCATCCCGAGGGTTGATGATGTATGCCTTTCCCAGAATATTAGGATAGTGATGCCGAATGGATGTCACCAATTCCTCGAGGGCATTGCGAATCTTTCCCTGGGAGGACTGCTGTCCTTTCTTGATGTGCTGAATATCGCTCATCTTGAATTCAATCACACAGGAAGCCGAATAGTCATGTAGGTCAGAACTAGCGGCTGCTTGCATCAGAAGCATGGAGAGCTTTTCCATTACAGCAAGACCTAACTTCACCAACCCTTTAGACGTCGTCAGGCTTTCATATAATGGTGCGTATCCTTTAATCTTAATCTCATCAATGCTGACCCACAGCACATATTGGCCGTCATTCAATGTGATATGGCACAGGTCCAAGTCTGGAAGGATGGACTCTGCTTCAGCAAGGAAAGCCCTCGGGTCAAAGAAGGGTCTCCGGTCTAAAGTTTTCTCGAGTGAGGCGCTTGCCCTGGACACTTGAAGTGCTGGGATTGCGGAATGGCGTCTGAGAAACTATTGTTAAGTTAGTGACGAATGTCAGTGGTGCCAGTAGTCCGAATACCTTCTCCAAGATCACCTCCAGTACCTGCCACTCCGCGTGCTTCAAATCAACACCCCAGATCTCAGTGTTGCGGGACTTTTTCAAAATAGAAGGAAGAGCGTCCCGAAAATGACTATCCAAAGGACTTGATTCCTCCAATGAAACAGACATTGCCAACAAGGCGTGCTAAGAAGGACGAAAGGCTGTCAGTTAAACTGGTATCCAAAATTTTGATTGTAGGTCTATCAAAGGCTTAAATACCATGTAGGAAATGGAGTAAGTTACTACTTATTGCTTGTGGGAGAGGGCGTAGGCAGCAAGGCTTTATCTCGAGCCCAGTTGCCTAGCGATGTGTTGAGCCGCGTGCGCCTTTCAAGGTTGACCCGGGCGGAGCCCTAGAGGCTCTAGTGGGCTTAGTCACTTAAATATTGATGGATGGATATGATTGGTTTTACCTAGGTATCACAATGCTCTTGAGCGAGAAAAGCTGGCACCTCAGAGTACCGAAGACTATTGGAGCTAAAATGTTGGACGGGTTCCGCGGATATTGGCAATCGAATTCAGCGAGATGGCGGGTTTCGGATTCCAAAAACTACTGTCGATTCTAGAGGACAAGGACCTGCCGATGCCACCTTTGGAAAGGGAAAAATACGACAACCGGTTGGCCGTCTCAATCTGGACAAATTTGCGAGCCTCAGTGGCAGCAGTCAACGCAAGAGGTAACCGCCCGAAGGGATTTATCTCATTTTGAAACTTCATTGTTATTGTTGTTGTTGCTATCATTGTCCTTCCTGCTACTGCTTTTTCGTCTTGAAATTCCCGTCGTGTGATGTTTTGTTCGCTTGTTTTTGTTGATATTACCTTTCAAGTCGTCGGAGTCAAGTGTTTCTGCCAATGTTTATATACGATACAAACCAGAGCCATATATATATTTGATATATAAGTTTTACGGTTTACCCCAGAGTTATTGTCTTCTTGTAAATTGAAATAGATAATGACTGGAAAGAGCAAAAACGCGTCAGAACCCAGCTTCAAGAGCGATATGTATATGAGTTATACGTTATGTTAGCATGTATGTACAGCGCTGAGTACCTAGTGGTATAGATGCAAAGAAGAAGCAAAAAAGGAAAAAGAGTAAAGAATGAGGAGTCACTATTCGTTGCGCGAACGAGAGCGCCTGTGACTGTATAGACGCCGCTCACCGAGCGGGAGATAGGAAGTTGCTTCGTCCTCGCTGAACCATCGCCGCCAATTCCACCAGGGGAGATCGGTGGCCTGTAAGGGAGGGTGCTTCCGCTCAGCCATCTCATTCATCAACCCAGAGGACTCCTGATCCTCCGATTGATTTAACGAATGCCTGGTATAGTATCGATGTCCGAGGAAGGCTCCCGCGAAGAGCGGGATCACCACGAGGAGAACGGTGCCCCAGGCGAGTAGACCTGTGACATTGTCAGCTTTGCTTGATGGAATAGAAATTATCTTCTGGATATACTCACGGCCAATGTCCCACCCGTCCGAGTAATTCGGAGTACCGGAAGGACTGGGATAGCTCGAGGGATGTGTCCAAATATTGGAGCCCGGGTTGTTGGGGTCAATCCACGGCACGGTGTTGACACCTACTGGCGGAATGAAAGGGACGGCTGCCTCTTCACCGGGATATCCATATCCTTGTGCATCGAAACAGGTAGAGTCGGCGCAGAATTCGCTCAGCTCGGACGAGGGCACAAAGGTATACTTGGTCTCGGACTCTCCCAGCACAATGCCCTCGCGGTCCACCGCTTCGGCCTTAGCCCAAAGGTAGAAACTGGAGTTGGTGTATTCTGTCTCGAAGCCGGTTTTGGAAACCTCGTCCAGCAAGGTCCAAGGTCCGGTCATGTTCATCGCTCCCCAAAATCGCCATTTGTTGACGCGAGTTGCACCATTCCAACTGACATAGAAGCTGGTAGGGGATAATCGTTCCGCGCTTCGGGAGTATGTCCATAGAGCAGGTGAGTCTGTTGGTACACCGTCCCATTCGAACTTCATTGCGCGGTAGTTCATCACGGTGTCTTTAGCGAAAGAGCCCCAGAACAGTAGATTGCCCGCCTGGTCGTGCTCGGATACGAACGGGTTATTTCCCCATCCGATGAAGGCATTTCTGTTAGGGGAGCATTTGAAGGTTTCCCTGGCTGGAGCTCACTAGGTCGTGTTGGATTGGGACGTAATTGCGGATCTGAAGGGCCGTTTTTTTCCTCGTGGTCGATCATGATGATCATGCCCGCTGAATAGGTATGGGTCTTGTTGAAGCCGTTATAGCCATTGTTGTAAAGTGAGAGAAAGGTGTGCGTAGCATTCTCATACAACCACCGGGCGTCATGCTGTTGCGAGAAGCTGAAATTGATATTCCGGAAAGAGGGCTGCGCGCCGTGAAGCCTCCACATCACCGAGCCATCCGTACCGGAGATCTTGTAGACGGCCAAAGTATGCCGCGACGAAATCAGATAGTCACCGGCAGCATTCTTGTCGATGGAGTTGATATGGAAGTAATCCCAAGGCTCATGCACGTTCAATCCCGTTCCAGAAGTGTCCGTATGAGCCGGCCATGTATAGCTCGACGATGGATCAACATGATCGAGAGACCGCCATTCAAACAGGACCTTGTTGGTTTCCACCTCCACCTCCTGGAAAACACTCTCCATAATCCACCCTACCCCAGTTTTGACGTTCCACGGTGTCATGTCGAATTGCCGTTGCTGGTAGATGGTCATGAGAGCGGTTTTGCCATCGTTGATGGGACGAAATTCGTGCATGTCGCTCGAGGCCATTCCTCCACCCGGCTGAACTGATCGCACGACTCGGTAGTTTTTATCCATGATGATACCATGCCCGCGACAGTATCCTTTTTGCTGGTTGCCCTGGAAGAAACATAGGTGATCCGCGCCCTTATACTTACACACGTGGAGGCCATGGGCGTTGCCTGGCCCCGAAATACCCCAGCCGCTCCATACTAATTCCTAGTGACCGCATAACGAGTTAGTTTCCCATCGTGGACGAATCTCAACCCCGCAAGATAAAGACCTACCCCTGTGTTGTCGTAAATGTATGGGCCGGGGTTCTGTAGTTCGTATGGTGTGATGAAGATGTAGCCCGGGCTGAGCTTGTCTGGATTGGACTTTTCGACATTGAAGACGGGCGGGTATATGTCGGGTCTCTATCTCGCGATAATAATTTCAGTCAAAGAGCACACTTAGGGGTAAATCAATTTCACTGACCGATTTGTAGAAAGAGGTATCCTCTCCAAGTGCGCTATCAATAGCGCATAAGCAGAGAATACCAAGAAAGAAGAGCGGCCCAGTCCTCAAAGAGGAAGATATGGAGGCGCCCATGGATCCTTTAACACCACTCCCGACGTGAGATACAAAAAGAAATACAATGGGTAGAGCCAAATAGAAAGGAGATCATGCAAAAGATGTATATAAGAGAGATTATATTGAAGATAAAACATGTAGAAGTGTAGAAAAAAAGACAAAGAGAAGACGCAAGACCAAAGATGGCAAAGAGACACAAGGTGAACCAACAGTGTACGAATCCCTCTCCACCTGTCAATGCATACTTTTTGCAGATATAGTGGGGTATCAATTACGCCGATCGTCTATATCCATTGGCTAACAGCCATATAAAGCTTGAAACAGATGTTTAGTCAAGCGTAATTCGACCAACACCCGTCTAGTGCCAAGATGCCCAGTCTTACTAAAATTTGTGTTGTTTAAGTTGTGGGGAGTGTTCGGCAATTGGTTACTCGCGCAAAATCGTGGTAAAATGATCATCATTCCCCCCTCATTAGCATGATCTTCTCCAAAGATTTCGATCGTCTAATTATTGCTGCGGAAAACCTTGTTGTTTGCTTCTTCTCCCCCCCCTAATACCTGTAATCCAGATAATGTGACGGTACGGGTATTTCTCAAGGGCCACGTCATGGCCGCAAGACTAAGGTGATGTGGCTGGCGCTAACTAGTCTCGAATACCATGACTCCGAGATACTGTTTCGTATGCTCGTCTTCAATTCTTGTCGAGGTTCGGGATGAGCCTGACACTTCAACCATGTAACACCTGGGCATGTCTCGGATACGGGACCATGGATAAACACTCTGTTACCTGCCGGGCACTAGCCAAAATCAGGTGGGCAGCTGTTGGAATCCCGCGTACAATGTTGTAGACTTATCCTGTTCGGGAGGTGCAACCACCGGATCGGGCTTCCAAGGTTCCCGCACCGATAAAGCTAAAAGCTAAAAGCCACGTGCATGTGGCTGAGAAGAAATCGTTGCTTACAGTGAATTGGAAGTGTGGATTGGGTAAGGTATAGCGGTGGCGTATGGTGCGTCGTCAGAGCATACGCGGGCTATGTTGGTACACGTGCATTAGATTTGAACCTACAAGTTCGTCATTATGGACGTTTAGTATCCATAATTTAGAGGTAAACACCGGACAAGGATATGGATACTGTCGTACCACAGCCAAGACATGTCGATTGATCATTTGAGTTCTTGACTTTCTGTGCAGCGTTTCAAGTGAATAGGAGCCGTATGAGATTCTCCTGGTGCCATGCTAGACGCTATAAACCATTCAACACTTGAAGCCACGGCGGGTAGATAAGATATTAGATAAAGTGGGATCTTATACTGCTCTCGACGCATAAGACTGAAAGAGGACCTATCGGTGTCCATGACCACAGCTGAGATACCTCTCTCATGCGGCAAACGCGGCGCAATCCCCAGAACCACCAGTTCATACCCGAATAGCCCCGAAGCTCAAAGCTCACAAGTGTCGCCGAACCACTCAATCCCAAGATAATCACTCGACGAAATGAACCGAACACAACTGCAGGTGTCGTTAGTCCACGTACGCCAACCCGAAGCCTAGGCCTATATTGCGTATTTCTGTCAAAGCTCTGAATCCTCGATTTAAGCCTCTAAGAGAATCCCGCTCCGGAGCCCAGAATTAAAGAAGTGATCTAAACGAACAGAGAAAAGCAGTATCAGTTATTCCGATATTCATTACAGCGTTATAACATACGTAACAATAACAAGTAACTTACTGTATCGCGGGTCCACGTAATCAATGTGGGTCCATTTCCCCATCGACCGCCAAGCCACTAACCAAGGAATATCCACCGGCATCTCTCCAATAAAGTGTGGCTGGTACCTTTCCTCTCGGTTCTTGGTTTCGTACGAGTACGAGAGTGGAGAGGGCTTGAGACCGGGTGTGGACGGTGTGGACAGCGGATTTAGAAGGTGTCAATAGCTAGTGTTTATTTACCTGCCGAAGCTGCTATATGTACATGTACAACTGAGGCAATATGAGTGAATTCCTGTTCTTGTGTATGTTGTATGCTGCAAACCTCAGAATCAATTGTTCATTCGTATACATTTTGCAGCCTTCAGTTGGCTTGTTTGATAAATTGCTCTACTCCATGTGCGCCTTGCATTGACCGTGATCCTTCGAAAAAGTCGGCGGTAAGGCTGTTCGTAGCCAAGGTTAGGCGCCCCTTGCCTCTAGGCACCTGGCAATGCATGATGATGACAGAGCCTCGGGGAAGCGGGTCCGCTGTGGTGTGTATCCCTCATTTGAAAGCTGGGGATGGTTTGATGTGCACGCACAGCACACTTGCATAAGGAATGATGGTAAAAAATAGAAGAAATAGTATGTACTGTTATATTACCGGATTTTGTTCTCCAAGACGCCTCTCATTAAACCAATTATGAGAAACTGGAGATGAAAAACAAGGGATCGAGATGATAGATGCAGTGGTTTGTTCCAAGGATAACAGCAAAAAGCAACAACGACCACCGGGTCCGGCGACATACTAGATGCGCCTGCGCACGCTAGCAGCCAGCAAAAGTGAGATATGGGGAATATGAAGAAAAGGAAAAAAGATGTCTAAGGTGCAAGGGCGAGAATTTTAGCGAGGAGAGAAACGCTTGAAAGCCAGAGTGGCAGCGAAGCCAGCGGCAAGCAGCGAACCACCAATAGTGACGGCCTGGAGGGCAGCATTCATCATCTGGTGACGGTTGCGGGTGCTGCAGCGCTTGTAGAAGTCGGCCATGTCGTTGCCGCGGGGGAAAGGGGTATCAGGGATCTCCTCCTCGAGGAACTCGCAGAGCGGGCCCCAGCCGTCGTTGATGTTATATTCGAGCAGACGCTCAGGGGGAACCAAGCTGCGGACCTCGGCGACGTGGTCCTCGTAGACTTGCTTGCCCTTGCCGGGGAAGTCGCCGCGGAAGAATGTCTCGAAGAACTTGTTCAGCATGGGGTAGTACATGCCAGCGGCCCAGCTGAAGTTCGACACGAACTTGTGCTCTGGGTCTGACACTCGCCAGTAAACGGTCTTCATGACGGATCTGGTGGTTTGTTAGTATTGTAGTTCTTTAGACCAGAAATACAGATCTGTAAGGTGTGGCTGTGACTTACGCGTGCCATGGGTCGACATCACGGGTGGTCAGAATGACCTTTGCATTGGGGTAGGCCTCGATCAGCTCCTTTGCGAAGGCACAGGCAGGCCAGTCACAGACGGCCTGGCAGTCACCCAGAAGCTGGTCCCATTCCTTGCGGCCGAACTCGCCGATTCCGTTGTACTTGGCGTTCAGAGCATCGTGCCACATCAGGCAATCCGGCGGGTTCTCAACACTTGCGCACATCATGTGGTAGCACTTGCCATAGCCCAGACGCTCAAAGGCCTTGCGGAGAGCTGTCAACTAATAGTTAGTTTATATGTTCCTCCTTCCTATCAGACCTGGTATATACACCAAGTCCAATGCAACACAGAACATCATACTCACAGGCAGTTCCAGTACGACCAACGCCCAGAGCAAGGACCTTCATAGGCACTGTGCGGTGGCACTTTCGGCGGTCAATGTTTGTGTCATTGGTGAAGATGTCGGTCACGGGCTGGGGAGCCAGATTATCGGAGAGCATGAGAGACATGGTGGGATGTTTATGAGCTCAATTGTAATTCGATACGGTTGAAACTTTTATAGAGAGAAAAGAGGTGTAGATGGTATAAACGAAAGGAAGTAATAGAGCTGGATAAAGAAAGGACAAGACTTATGGAAAAAGTCTAGAAGGGGGGTTTTTAAGAGATCGATATGGAGATAAGGGGAAGAGTAAATGAATAAATACCAAAAATGCAAAAATTAAAAAAAAGAAAGATCAGCTAAAAAAGAGTCCAGACTTGGTACTGAACTGATCTCCAAGGGAGATAACAAATTGAAGCGAGTGGGCATCCGGTCAGTACCAATGACGAGGCCCGAGCCACTTTTTCCAGAGAGAACTATGTCTCCCAGTGGCAATGTTTCCATTATGTATTCTTGGCTTTTGGCCCTTCATTCCTGAAGTGGATTGTGTATAAAAAGTACCTGTATGTTGTACACTTTAAAAGACAACGGAAGACAACGGGATACGTACCTTGAAAAGTCATTGTATAATGTATACATATTGTACAATGCACGGCGCGTAGAGAGACGTCACAGGCTGACGCACAGGGATGTCAAGGATTGTCAGGGGGGAGCGTTTTGTGGAGTTGTGTATGGTATTGTCTGTATGGTATGGTTTGTATGGTATCGTGTCCATTGAAATGTTGGTAAATGGAAAATTACCGCGGAGTAATTATTCCAAGGTTGTCTGCCGCGCCAAGGCCGATCCACGTACACTTCGAAATTCGAAATATTCTTTGATCAGTCTTTTCGGCAAAACTGACGATCCATGCAATGTCGGTCATTGGTGGGGCTTTAAATGGGAACGCGTACACCTTCAACTTGTGGAGAGTATTTCCGAATGTGAAGGCCCGTGCTGGTTTGAATACACCACATACAACAGACATTGTAGGCTCGTCACTATTGTAGACTCATCTACTATGTATGAGCCTGCAATGTCGTGTTGTACGGAGCATTCCATACTCCGTATATCATCTCCTATCCACACAGAACAGCTCGAATTGTGTCTGCCAAGCGTGGCCCACAATGTTCCAAGCAGATCATCTCGCTGTTCCGCCCAGGGGAATATCGTTCCGGGTACGAGAATCCGGCGCGCCCGCTCCATCAGATTGATTGAATTTGGCTCGTTCGAGACTGCAGTGGCGAGCTCCACATGTCAAGCCTAGTCTAATTTCCTCTCAACGCCGCGGAAAGTATGTAACAGTTTCAGCCAGTCGGTCACGATGGGGCCCTTCTCCTGGATCGTCCGCCCATGCTGCCTATCACGGGGAAGACACTCTGCCCGATTTGACACGGACCTTAAAGCAGTCGTCACCCAGGTATCGATCAGGGGAAGTTGGCGTTGGGCATGTCAGAAACGAAGTTTCGCATGGTTTTCATCGACAGGGAACGGGGTAATGTCTGAGGATTTCCGCAATTCTGCTGTCACGAATCAGTATTGTCACGGTTGAACTGATCGTCCCGTTGTTGCTGAGATATTTTCCATTCGGGGAAAGTATACTCGGACGGGGTCGAATCAGGTATTCGTCACGTGTGCAACAAATCTGAGCAGATTTCTGTGAGGCTGTGTAGACAGTACGGTTATCATAGTCTATGATGAATGGAATTGTTCCAGAGATTCCACGTGATATAACCTGGAACGTGCATGGCCAGTCGAATGTAGTAAAAGCAAAGGAAAACAAGGAGACTGTCTCACCAAAGCAGACCCTTTTTAAGGGTCAACAGCGACACAGCTCCTTAAATGTGCTGTGCCAAGACCCTTAGACCAACGCTCGCCATCGAGGCTATGATCACCTCACCAAGCCATGACCAATTGGGGAGCCCCTCTATACGATGGAAACAGGGCTGAACATTGCAATCTAACCTGAGCTTAAAGCTCCTTGGTCTATCGAGCCAAGATTGCGCATTCCGTCTCCGCCAGGCATCCACCGACGGCAGTGATTTCGGCAATCAGTGACAACACAGCTATACCCCGAACCGTGACCCGAGCGGTTTTCCATGGGGACGCTGGCGGAAAGAGAATACGAGCGAAATGCTTGGCAGCAAACAGATTGAGGTACCCTTAAGTGGTGGCATGAACTGTACCGATGATTTGATATCTCCAGAATAATCCTCCCTAATATGAACATGAACAGCACTAATATTGTCTGAAAGCCACCGATACACCTGAAACTCCATGCAAATGACTGTTTTTTTGATCTGATTTGTCCAATGCAGTCGGGTCCGTAATCGGCAACGGCCCCGTATAGTTTCCCGAATCCGAGTATCGTTCACTTCTATTCCAACTTGTCCAGGTGTTCCAATCGCGTGAGAACGACCTGCTTGCTTGTCTCTTGAATCTCGCCTGCGAGAAAGACTTCGTCCAGGATTGCGTAGACCTATAAATCCGGCGCACGTGGTCAGTATCATAGCTCATGCAACGTTCATGTCGAATAGCGCACTCATCGCTAGCCTAGCGACTTGCACGCACCTTGTAGAAATTGAAGACCAAATCCAGCTCGCACACATTGCCAAAGAATTGGTCCAGCACTTCGACAAAGAAATGGATAGCCTCGAGATAGGCTAACTCGTTGTCATTCGCATCGACGCAGACGCAAAAGAACAAACCAGCATATCTTCGGTAGACGACCTTGGTACTCCGACGGAACTCAACAAAGTTGGACTGGTATTTCTGATCTCGGGGGGCGACGAGGCGATGAACCTAGACGGTTGTCGGTGGTTAGTGGGATGGGAACCTCGGAGCAAGTGCGGGTGCGGGTGCGGGTGGTATTGTTTGGACAAACCTCGCCTTTCAGTTTGACTTTCTCTTCATCCTATAAGCCGGTGTCAGCTGAAAGTTCCAATTATGTATTGGCAAACAGGTTCTGGCAACACTCACACTGTACGGTGAGTACCATTTCGCCAGGCGCGTTTTCCCCCTATACCGTCATCAGCGTTGAAATCGAAATTGACCGGGGCGGACATCCACTCACTGGCGATTCTGAACCAGGATAAATGAGAGGACCATTGCGATAGAAAGCCAGGATGTTACCTGGTCAGCATTTATGAAACCACTCGGGGGGAGTGTTGCGACAAGCTTTGGATGGTCTCCGCTGCTCCCGTTATCGAAGCTCCCCTCCCATATTGCCCGAACTCACCGCCCAGATCGGTTTCTATAGAAAATGGAGATGAAATAGAAGCGCATATTGGAGAATTATAGCTAATTATTCTACTGAATCCTCAAGCAATTCCGTTTCCATGAGACATTTAATACATCAACTGAACTAGTATAACAGTATTTTCCAAAACATAGAGTATCAACAGACATAAAGCGTAGAATTCGTTAAAGACCCCCATCACAGTCCGGTGTAACACATGTAACGAGGCAACGAGTGACACTGCGTGACGGAATAAATCGGGCTGGTTTGCCATGTTTCATAGCGCCTAGCCACAGCCCTCACCCCGAGCTCATCCGATTCCAAAACCTCGTCAGGCGACTCTAGAAATACCCCATTAGCAACCATGTAGATATAACAGTGAGATTGAGAGGAAGTCCGCAAAACAAGAAACAAAGCAAGTAAACCAGAAAATAAAAAGGAAGAAACCACATACCGTATAGCTCTGAGGACTAGGAGGCTCTGTATTTCTATCCCCCTTCTGGCTCTGCACCTGACTCTGGCGCCGAGTCTGGCTCTCATCCACAGAGTCCTCCTCAGACTCGTAATCCTCCTCGTCCTCAGAGTCAGGATACCACCGTTCAGGATCCCCATTGTAGACAAGATACCAGCCGATCTTCTCACCGGGGGCTAGTCGATCGCGCAATTCCTCCAGCGCCGCCGTCTGGTCATCCGTCAACCCAGAGCCCTGTTCCACGCAATCCTCGATATTCGCTCCGCCGCCACCACTCCCATCCTCCGGAATCTCCAGAACCCGCGTTGAAACATACGCATAGTCCTGGCTGACGGTGCCACTCGTCTCGTCGGCGGGGTCATACTGCTCGATAAACGACAGCTCCGGTAGCCGGTTCACGAGGTCCGCTTGTGTTTTGTGGAAGGATTCTGCAATGAGCTCGGTCGTCAGCGGTTGCTGGATGTATTCCGCTGCTGCTTCTTCGAGATTGTGGAGTACGATGTATACGCGGATCCCCGTGAACCCGGCGCGGGGCCAGCGGAAGCCGTGGAGCATATAGACCGGCATAGTATTTGGGCCTTTTCTTTGGGGCCGTTTTCGGGGTCTCGGGAGGGTTGTCGCACTGTCTAGCGACCGCTAGCTGGGGAGTACGGTCGGTTTTGCAGGGGATTCGGAGGTCATATTAAGTCTGTGTCATGGCTGTGGTTTTTCGGGGCGGGTGTATCGAATCGATGCGATTGGGTTTTGCGGGTCCCCGTGCGTAGCTCCAACGGGCAACGGGGGTTTCGATCTGTACTGCTTTAATGCAAATGTTGCTTTAATGTCTCAAATATTGAATAGAATTCGATATTGGGGCAATATATCATTAGCCTGTTTCATTTAATTTAGGTGATACATAACTGAAAACCCACAGGTCTGGAGAAAGGTGTGCCTTGCTTCTATCACGTGGTAGATTATTAGTTCGTTGGCTTTATAGATTGGCTACCTGGGTACTATATAGGCTGTTCTTTATTGTCCCTAATTATTATGTTGACCTAGATCTTCTTTGACATATAATATGTTGAGAAACTGCTAATTCCAATGTAACATCATCTCAGATTTGTTTGTCTTCAACGTTGGAAGTACGGACTCTCCACCTTCGGAGTTCTGCGATGAATATGACCTGTCATTTTTGGGGAACCACCTGGTCTAATTTAAAATCTGGTATTTCACGGATAGCCAGTCAACTGAAATTAACATGAATCGTTTAAAATGAGGAGATGTGATGCATTATGCGGGGCTAGAAATAAGACATTCGACCTAGCGAAGCTCTGTCCAAGGCATAGGAAATGAAACCAACATGAAAACTGGCTAATGGCTAAATCAAAGGCGCTGAGGGCTGAATTCTGGTAGATATTGGGGTACTGGGCCTCTCAATCATGGTCTCCTCTTCAAATCCGCAAATCTTCGCGTCAGTTCATCCAGCTCCGGTATCCCATTGTTATTACTCTTGCTCTTGGAGCCAGCATCCTCCTTTGAAACAGCAGCGGCTTTCCCCTCAGTGCCGGGAAGCTTGACTCTGGGGTGTGGATTGTCCGTTCTGGGGGCCGGCGGCGCAACACTAACAGGACTTCGCCCCGCAGCGAGTCCACGTGGAGGCGTGGCTTTGGTCAATTCACTGGTCTCCGAGGCACGCCTTGCTTCAGAGAGGTCCGGCGTTGAGGCCGAGTCTCCTTGCTGCTTGCCAGGAGTTTGCGGTAATTGGGGTTCCTCTTCGTCACCGCTACCATCACCGCGATTGTCCTCAAATTCTTGCGGCGCATTTCCCAGCTCTTGTTCGGCTCCATGCCACTCAACGCCGTAAGCTTTCGCAATCTCTCGCAGGTAACTCTCAACAAGTTCGTGTCCCGGAGGACGCACACGCAAGCCCTTGACAAGCCGATCAGGAACCTTGACAGAGTCGACCTTATTATCTTGCGCCAAAGTCATAAACTCCTTGCCGTATCGCTCGCCCAGCATAGTGCGAAGCATAGTGAATTCGCGCACCTCGTGCGGGAAACGATGCCACGCGTAGAAGACCACAGTAGCAGCCTCATCGAGTGCAGTATCCATGTAGGGGTTATCGTCATCCGCAAGCCCATCACCAGAGTCCTCCGCACTACCAGATGCCGTTGTCGGCGAAGGCCGCTCAGCCTCCTTCTTTTGCGCTCCTCCTCCCAGCCAAGAGAACCCGAATCGCGAGCCTGTGCTTTCCCCAGCACCCCCAGCACCCTTGACGCCTGCGGTGGTTGATACCGTAGCACCAGCTTGTTCTTGGGTGCGCTTCTTGAGCAATTCCTTGGCGCGAAGTCTCGCGCGGGTCCCTTGGTCGCTGAAGGCCATCTGATCCAACACGTTTGCGCGCGCAAGCAGCAGCTCACAGTAGAGCTCGACCATCTCCATTACCTCTACTGCAATATCGGTTGCAATGACATTTTCGACTCGAATGCGCGCTGATGCATCGCGGCCTTCGCTGAGGAGCTGGGAGAGTTCGCGGCGTTGGACGACTGAGGAGCCTGTGTCTTTCTTTTGTAGGAGGCGGAGACGGGGGATAAGCAAGCGGAGGGTGGAAACTAGCCTGGTCTTTGATTCCATGTTAGTTATTTGGTTTGTATATCAGGCGCGCATGGGAGTTGCAGGGCAGGCAGGCGTTATGTAGACAGTGCGGGGTAGCCTTGTGAGCTCTAGGTAGTGAGATCTAGGGGAAGTGCCCCGATCATGGAATGCGTATGCGAAAGAAGAAAGGAAAAAAAAAGGGAATAGACCGTGAGGCCTTACCGTTTGAACCGAGGGAGGCATTTTGGCGTGATGAGTTGTTAGAAGAGAAGATGTGGGGGAGAGGCCGATGGGGCCGATGAGACCTTGGGGTCACCAGGGTCACCACTTTATCGGGTTGCCCTTTGTTTTCTCACATTCGAAACTTGAAGACTCCACACAACTCAAACAATGGAATGATTTGTTTAATTAGGCATTTGGTTTGGTTTCAATGTTTTCGGTGTTCTGGGGGTTCGGGGAGTTCTGGGAGTTCTGAGTGGCCACATAGCTCTGATATCAGCGCCTTGTTTCTTGAGGCTCTCCTGCTCCAACGTATCGGCAATAGTCCGTTTGAAATCTTGGGTGTAGAGAAGCCATTTGTTGATCTCCTTTGTCTGTCTGTTGCAGCGGGCTGTGATCTCGTCTAGCAGTAAATTGAACTCATTCGAGGTCAGGAAGCTCGCAGCTGAGCACTCTGAATATCATCAGGATGGATGAACTCGAAATTTAGATGATGACTTACCCTGGACATGGTCTTCCTCCATAGTGGGGAAGCTTCGGGTGCTAAAGGATGTGGTAAATAGGGAGATGAAATGGAAGAGATGGGATGGAGAGATGGGGAAACAGATATCTTCTTGGGATATAGATGCGATGCTAAGAGATCTTAATTCTACATGTAGTTACCTTGTGAGCTTGACGGCTCTTGCTATCGAAAGATCTCAGACTTGTGTCTTCTGTGATTCTTATGGCTTCAAGGTGATATTAGAGATACCATACATTAGATATATGTTGTACTAGATATCTACAACCATAACTTCCATGATTTTTTTTCTTCGATGCTTTGCCACCCTATACTTGCGGGGATTTCCGTTTTGGGAAGTTGACGGGAGTGGGTCTCAACGGTGATAGGGCCAACTTTGGAAGAGCATCAAAGATATAAAGACCCTCTCAATCTCAATTTTCTCTTTTTCAATTCACAAAGATTCCAATAAGCAAAATGGCCTCTAACAATGCCCACCCTTCCACCAAAGCATTGCATGCAGACGATGTCCTAAATCTAGTGACCGACGTCGCACCCCCAATCCATCTCTCTACGATCTTCAGATACCCCAATGATCCAGACCAACTTGTCCCATCCGAAGACCCGGTGGTAGGTCCCAAGCCAACACACAGCCAGCCATAACCCCAACCCCAACTAACCGTCCCATCTAGGATGAATTCAACGGCAAGAACTATGTCTATTCCCGCGAGTTCGCACCAAACGCGACTCGCTTCGAATCAGTGCTCTCATCCCTAATAGGCGGCCACGCAGTGAGCTACTCAACAGGACTAGCCGCCCTGCACGCTGCTCTGACACTGCTCAACCCGCGCCGCATCTCCGTGGGCGAGGGATACCACGGCAGCCACGAAGTCATCTCGGTAGTATCGCGTCTGTCCGGGCTACAGAAACTCCCCCCTCGACTGTCCCACCGAAAGCCTAGATGCCGGTGATGTCATCCTACTAGAGACGCCCGTCAACCCGCTGGGCACGGCGTTCAGCATCGAGGAACACGCGCGCAAAGCCCATTCCCGCGGCGCATTCCTCATTGTCGATAGTACGTTTGCACCGCCTGGTTTGCAGGATCCGTTCCTCTGGGGCGCGGATATCGTCATGCATTCCGGATCGAAGTATTTCGGTGGACATAGCGATATGCTGTGTGGCGTGCTTGCTACCAAGCGAGCCGATTGGACGAAACAGTTGTTTGAGGATAGAATCGCGCTTGGCAGTGTGATGGGGAATATGGAGAGCTGGCTCGGGATCCGGAGTCTGCGCACGCTGGAGGTCCGGGTTCAGCGGGCTAGCCAGAATTCGGCTAGGTTGATTTCCTGGCTTCATGCTGCTATGCAAGCCTCATCTCCTGCTGAGGGCAGTGACGAGATGATTGTTCAATCGGTTTTAAAGAAGATTTACCATGCCAGTTTGCAGGACGAGCCGTGGTTGCAGAAGCAGATGCCGAATGGCTTTGGACCTGTCTTCTCTATTGTCTTGGACAATGAGGAGTTTGCGAAGGTTTTGCCAACTAAGCTTCACTTCTTCCAGCATGCTACTAGTCTAGGCGGGGTTGAGTCTTTGATTGAGTGGCGGGCTTTGTCGGATCCCAGAGTTGACCGGAAGCTGTTGAGAGTTAGCGTTGGACTCGAGAACTGGGAGGACCTGAAGAATGACTTGCTCCAGGCGTTCAAGTCGCTCTTGGGGTGACAGCAAACTTAGAGTGCTAGATCACGTCCATGGACAACGATAGTCGCATGAGCGGCCTGGTCTTCTGGGGTAGTCCTTTTTATATGCCATTTTGTTGGTCTTTTAAACGTCTGGTTATGTATATATCTTGCCCCCTACTTAGTTTGTTGGCTACGCAGAACAGACAAGAGCCAAAAAAAGGCTTAATTTATGAATGCGACTTTCTATGTATAACCTTTGATGAGAGATCTTGGTTATATTCGATGCTTATTATGTTATATGAGAAGACAGTCACGACCCAATCGACCAATATCAAATATCCACTGCGACGAAGTCTCCAAGCGTTCTTCCTGGTCCCAATAATCTTTCAGGATCTTGGCTGCATTGATAACGTTCAAGCATCTCGTAGCAGTCCAGAACTTCTCTAAAGATTCGACCAAAAAGTCTTTCTGGGCCCGAGACCGACACTCCAAGCCCGCCACGAAGATAGCCCACAGAACACATTTGAAAAGCGCCTCGTCGTCTTTCAAACTATCGATCAGACCCAACAGCTCAGAGACCAAATCATCCTGCATTGTGGTGGATTTTGTGAGTGCATCAAGAATGCGTCTCCCATATAGCAAGGCCCCGGTTTTGAACGCCTGCGATAATGTGCAGAGATTATTGATTTCGTCTAGCGAAGACTGTCCGGAGCGTTGGACACTCGAAGCCCAGGCGTAACTGTCAAAGTCTTGGATGAGTTCCATCATCGCGGTGGTATTTGTTATATGCGTTTGGAGAGCAGCGCCGTCCGGCAACTGTCCTGCGATGGCGTCCCTCTCGTTAGAGAGAAATTGTATCGCCGTCAACAGGAACTCCGGACATCCAAGGAAAGACTGTTCAATTTCTTCATGCGGTTGCCTCTCTGCTTGGCCGTGAAATATGAATTCAGACAGTAGTTTTGGTCGTAAAAATGTTGCCCCCAGTGTTTCGATTCTATTTTGTAAGTCAGTCTCCCGCATGGCTTTATACCATCCAATTGGCTTAGTGTAACTCACAAATGAATCTGGCTGGAGATGAACTCCCAGATCTGCTGTACCGTCTCGCCAGGTCCATTATTAATTCCAGCTTGCGCCTCCAGCAGCGGCCGGTGGGATGTAATCAAACTCTTCGCACCCTCGAGATGGAAATTCCAGCCTTCACTTCCGGATTCAAGGAGATCGAGGAAAATAAGAAGAAATATGCTAGCGACAGTTGTGTCGCTCTTCTCTATTCTTCCGTCACTAAGTACTCGAGAGAGCGCTTCCATGGCTTGATGTTTGAAAAGTAGCGCATCGCGATTGGCATCAAAGCGACCAGCGGATGTCGGAGCTTGAAGTTGATGGAACGACTGGCCTGTATTGGCATGATGTCGCGCCGCGAGAGCAAGTATGCCCTTCTGTAAGACCGGATCTTTCAACCCGAAGGGGATCAGACTCCGGAATGGATTTCTGGCGCTGTCGTATACAATGAACAATTTGCATATGCGTTCGTTATCTGAATGCGATGTCAGCTATTAATACCCCCGGTGCCAGAGCTCCCTTTGCATGTGAATCTTACAGTAGTCTATATAATATTTCGAAGTTTGATCTAGGTTTGCCATAGACGGGTCTTGCAAGGTAACCGGCAGGGTTCTTCTGCCAGCAGAAGCTTGGACCAGCGCACGAGACGATTTCTGCGGTGTCAATATCGCGGATTTCTTAATTCTTGAAGTGTGCACAGGAGTGCCATCTGCCAGACCTTCATACGAATGGCCTTGCATCTTTCCGCGAATCGCCACGCCCTTGACCCACCTCAGCGGTCTTTTGTCGAAGCATTCCATGCCGGCTCTCTCGCACTTGGTGCATGGTGTTCCGGACTGGTCGCATTGAATGCGGCGGCTGCGACATGTCCAGCATGGATAGCATACTGTCTCCATTTGGATATGGCATAGGGAATGTGGAATGTGGAATGTGGCAAGGAAAGGTATAAGATAAGACTCGCGGTTGGGCAGGCCGGGGTGAAGATTTGCTGACTGAGCATACCCGCCGACGCCGCCTTTCCTTGAAACAATGCGGTTCTGAACCTATATATATCTTTTGATCCATCAACTTCGCAAATTCAGTCTCATACTCGGTGTCTGTTAATTTTGCTCTACTAGAAGATAGAGAGAAACACGAGAGAATGGGTAGAAAAAGAGATCAAATATTCCAAGGGTTACTAGAGATGATAGAGTTGATCTATACAAAGTAGACGCCACTGAGAGGCTAGTCAGTCCTTATGAGTGACTATGGCTGCTATGCATGAATAGATTTTTGCTTTATCGCATCCTTTCAATCTATATCATACGACTCCGATATAGATATTCCCTCCAATTGATAATCCAAACCTTCAAAAGTCATATTGTATCATATGGTAATAGAATAGACCTTTGAATCCAATTCTGCGGGTTCAGATCCGCAAGACTGCCAGACCAAAAACAGAGATACTGTACAGCTCTGGGTGGAAGAAGAACGAAAGCTACAACTCTCAAGTCCACACTGGATAGGAATAGCAACCTGATTGCAAGGATACACCTTTGAAGCCGTTGCAGAAGAAGGAAGGATGGATATGGCTGAGCTGGAGTATGCACACCACACCGTCGCCGTCCAGCGACAGTGGGGCTTCTTGGAGTCACACTAAGTCACATTTGACGAGTCAATGAGATTAGCAACGGAAGAGACCGAGCTATCTGAGACATGCAAGACCCAAACAAACGGACTTGCAGCAACCCCCAATCCTCGAATTGCTGCATCCAATGCGGGCCCGACGACCCAGAGAGAGCAGGCGCCGTCGAGCCAATCAGGCACGGCAGACAGCAAGATCAAATCAAAGGAAGCGAGGACAAGCCACTATAGCAGATTAGACCTGAAAATTGGGGGCCGAAGAGCGGTCCTTGAGAAGAGAGATGCTTACTCTCCGGTCAAAATTCCCAGGGCCGTATCCGTATAATTAGAACATCCTTGGAATTCATTCCGCATGATCCAACACAGATTTTAATTGGTCGACCCACTAGTCACACAGCCACGCTGATTGGTCTGCTCGGGTCCTGACATCATTTGGCGTGGGAATCCGTGGCCGCCATGCCTATTTGGGAAGAATATCACAACTGTATGGTCGGTTTTAGCAATCCCTTCGCGTTTCAGTTGCTTAGGCGTAGACAGGAGGTTTTAGCGTGTAGGTTATGTTTACTTATATAGCTGCTAGTGTTCGCACACTAAGTGTAGTCTACTGTTTCCTATCTCTATAACCAATCCTCTGACAGAAACTACTTCGAATCGACATTTGTATACCAACAAGAAAGAATCTGACATTGACACCTTCATTTGACTACAGTGCGTGTCCATATAATCCCACACCATGTCCCTTGCCCAATAACTAACGAGACCTTTTGTCTTCTTCAGACCACAATGCCTGCCATCCCACCCACAATAGACGCAAAAATCACACAGTCCTCCACAATGGATAACACGGTCAGCCTGCTCAAGCGGAGTGGCATGGACGACCCCGACAAATACCCGCTCTACATCTTCCTCATCATCGCTGGCTGCATTGTAGGATCACTCATTGGGTTCAGTGTATACAGTATGTTCTACGGCCTTGACGACTCAGATAGGTTCAAGGACATGTCCCACGAGCAACGAAACTACATGCGCGAGACCAGACAGCGGAATTTGAACATGCTGGCTGTTGAGGCGAGGAGACCTGATATGATTGTTCCTATCAGGGAATCGAATGCTTGAGTCGTTTCGGTCTGGCGTTTGGGATTGGGATTTCTACATGTGGATTGAGGGCAAGGAATTGTTTGGATCTGCCTACGTATAATTTATGTATGTTAAATGCGGGCTCTGATAGTAATGATGCATGTATATGGCGTATCATATACCGGAACATAGATAATTTCAATCTTTGTTTATATCTACCAAGTATGTCAAGGGCAGTGGAATGCTTGACCCGGGGGAATCAAAGCGAGGACGACTGGTGAGAGAGCGCTCAGTATATTCTATGAAGACCTAGCCGGGATTGCAAAAGATCCCAGTGGTAAGGATTGACGAATAAAAACAAAGAACACTATTTTTCCAATGTCCAACCAAAAAGACACGGTTGGTTTCAGTCTCAACCAGCTGTCATATGTAACCAAAAAGCAAAACCCCTTGCGTACCAGAAGCAATAAAAGCGAATATTCAACAAGCTGAAAAGAAAAGAGCAATGCTGAGGAGCAAAGGGATATAAAAAGTCATGAAGCAGAGTAAAAATGTCCAACGTTGAGCGTCGTCAAGAAAGGGCATCCAAGGGATGTGAAGAATCATAAAAAGGGGGATTATGTAGAAGAATTAAAAAAATGTGAAAGAATCGAACAATAATGCCCGCGGAGTTCCAATTAGATTGATTACCGCGGGCAGATATAATGCGGAAAGGATGCCCCAAGGTGGTGTCTGTACACACCCCGTACATATATGCAATATTGTGCAGTCAATACAGCCGAATCAGGGGGAGCTGATTTAGATGTTCATGACCATGGCGGCAATGGCGCCGAAGGCCAGGGTGAACATGGAAACGGTAGCGCTGGTAGCACCGCCAGTGGCGGAAGATGTGGACGCAGCGGCAGCGGCAGCGGTCGTCGTGGAGGCCGCTTGGATTTCAGCAGAACCAGTCAGGACGTGCGGCTGGTAGGTATAGCTTAGTGTCGGGCTCGACTTGGGCAGGCGGGTGCTGGGGCTAGTGACGCTCAAGGCGGAGGTCGTAGAAGAGGTGGAGCTAGCAGTGGAGGTGGAGCTAGAGGTAGGAGTCGGGGTCGAGGTGGAAGTCTCCGAGGGAGTAGAGGTAGAGGTGAGGGTCTCGGTAGTGCTAGTGCTGGTAGGAGTAGGAGTAGGGGTCGAGGTGCTAGTGCTAGTGCTGGAGCTGGAGCTGGAGCTGCTAGTGGAGGTAGGAGTGCTGGTGGAAACCTCGATGGTCTCGGACGAAGTGCTGCCACTACCCTCATTCTCGAAGACAACAATGTGCGCGGTGGAGCCCTTGGGGACGGTCACAACGCAGCCCGTAGCGCCGCCAGCGCCAACGAAGGGCTCACCGATCATCTCGTTGACGTTGTTGACAGCAGGGTCGATCCTGCAGGGCAGGCCGTTGCAGCCGCCACCCTCACACTCAATCTCGATACCGAAGTCAGGCTTGACATTGCGGAAGGGGGTGGTGGGTTCCAAGTAGATAGGGTTCCAGCCGATCTTCAGGAAGGTCTCGCCATTGTCGTCCATGTTGGCACCAGCGGTGTACGGAGACCAGTTACCGACGGGATTCTCGGAGGTACCCCAAATGCAGCCTTCCTCCGCGGTGACACCTGGAGCATTAATGTAGTAATGGGCAGCAGTGGAGCACCAGTAGGACATGCCGGGCACGGCCAGATCGGCCAGTTCATCGACCATGGTGGGGATAAGCATGGCCTCATTTCCGGGTAGAACAGTCTGGCAGAAAGAGACAGACTTTCCAGCCTTGTTGTGGGCCTTGACAGGACCAGTGGCCGACTCACAGTAGTCGCGGTCGGGGAAGGGTTTGTGGATTTTACCGTCGTCGTCACAGTACAGACCACCCCTCATGGACATAGGGTAAGAGTAGGACGTCGCCTTGGGATCCCACTGCATAGACACTTGACCGGGAGGGCAAGCGTAAGGGCAGTAGTTGCCAGGTTCGCAGGGCTCGTCGGGGCTCATAGCCCAACCGGCGTTTTGCTCATGCGGGGTGATTTCCACCAGGCCAGCGTCAGTGGGGAACTCACACTTTCCACCCCTCTTTCCCAGAGCCACATCACGAGTCTCGTGGTGATGGTTGTGGCCATGGCTATGTTTTGCGGCTTCAGCGCTCGCAATGAGGGCAACAAGCGCCGCTGCGCGGAAGGATGTGATCTGGAACTTCATCGTGTCAGGGGGAAAGACCTAGCAGATTGATAAATATCAATAAAGAATGAATATATGAAGCGAATGGCTAAGTCAAACGAGTGACAAAAAAAATATACGGCCGATGGCCAAGGACAGACACAGTGCTCACAGAGAATGAAGGTCAAGACGAGAGAAGGAAAGAGATGGGGAAAAGCACCAAGAAAAGGGACACGGCCTCTAGGGTCCCGGCTCAGGTCCACGAGTCTGCTAGCCTAAAAGAGCGTTAGATCTGGGATGATGTGCGCGCAATTCCGGCGTCGAGCAAGTAGCCCCGACTTTCATGAGCGGCTCGTCCGTGATTGCCCATAATTCCCATAATTTCCATAATTGCTCCCCCAAACTGGAATTATGGGCGCAGCCTTGGACCCCCAAAAAGCTGTGCCCCTGAAGCAAAACTCCACTAGTGGGCAGCCATATGGACCCGCTAGACACTTAGTGTCAGGGGCAGTGAGAGTCTGCAGCCAATGATGAACGGCATTACCCCGATGGTTCCTGCTTGGCAGGGGCAGTAAGGCCAATAAGCTAAGAGCTGTGCTTTTGTGGAGTTGTCCCGCGAACTCTTTCAACGGGAAAAAGATAAAATTCAAAATCCTCAAATGAAGAGGATGGAGGAGAGTGGAGGAGAAGAGGAACGCGTTGCTCGGCGCAACGTTTGGGAACCTTCAGGGCTGGAGATCTATCACATGACGTCTCAACATCCAACTTATAACCTTTGAACTTGCAGCCTTGCAATAAATCTATGGATGCTGCATTGCAAAACAAACCAAGTGAACTTGGAGTACATCGGACATTCCATACCAAAGGAAGAGAACTCCACCGAAGCACATGAATGGGCCGATATTCCCAAGCGGGAGAGATTGCCCTTTTAGCCTAGTAACCGTCAATCCCAATCAAACCCACCATCCTGCACCGGTCTGGACTTGTTGATCATCAAGTGGACTTTGATAGGCACGGCATCACTTGGCCGAGAGTCCGAAGTCCTTAGAACGTGTTGTTCCGACTGCCTAATGTGTGGCTTGGTTAAAGCTTGGCCTAGGAGAGATGATGGGGTTTTTGATGGCATAGCAAGAGATCGACAAGATCACCACTGTGATCACTCTGGCCACGATCTCCATTCGATGCTATGTACAAGACGCACCAGAGTTACATAAATAGTAAAGTACGCATTGTGAGGAATGTCCGGTATCGCCCGTGCCTGTAATTGGTAGGAATATCAATGCAAAAAGCATGGAGCTGATTTAGTACATGATGCAGGCGTCGAATGTCGATATCTTCAATGGCTTATCAGATTATTCCAAGTCTTTCAGGGCTACTCTGTACGTCATTAATGATAGAAGACAAGTAACTCTTTATACTACTTCAGACTTTGATCATTGGTGAGATATCTGTCAGATAGTCCAGCAGCCCTGAACGGTAGGTATCTTGCATCAGCTTCGATTACATCCTGCTGCAACGGGTGCTAAGAGTGGATGCCGAGAAAGGCAATGCATCACGCACGATAAACAGGATATCTTTTGAGTTTGCTGCAAGGACTGTTGATGTTCCTCGCATGGTGAATATCCACTCGGCCTATCACCTGGATTTTGCGGGCCCCAGTGCATCTAACAATATATGACAGGTCGCATTGAAACGACCACACCGTTATATTGTATAGATACTCAAATTGTCTTGCTGATGACGAGCCTCGTAGGCCTGCACTTCGACCGGAGTAAAGGTGTGGAATATAGGGGTGTGATTTGCTCTGTAGGTGCTTCTTGGTGATTTTGGTTTGTATTTTCAGATATACATCATGGGCTTTCGTTATAGGGCTGTATCATCAGACATCAAATATTCACAAATGAAGTTACTCGCCTCGTTGACCCTCTAGGTCCTTCCACCCAGCAAAAGCCGCAATATCATCGCGATCTCTCCATCCCCATGCAATACAATAATGCCGTGCAAGCAACTGCCACTCCTCCATCTCATCGAGCATCTCTAGCCCAGCAACTCTTTCTTTCTCATCCTCGTTAACCCACCGCTTCCAAATAAACTCGATATCAGCCGCAGCTTGGCCATCACCAAAGCCCTGGTCTTGGAAGCGGTCTCGCTGCGCCTCAAGCGACGCATACCTAGAGAGAGTCTTGAGCTGGATTCCCCGGGCCGCAAGATTCGACACCATCGTACGACCAAAGGCATCATTCGGCCGAATAGGCTCATAAAGAACCAACCCGAGCGGAGCGACATTCATCTGCGCCTCCTGCAAGCCGTCGCCAGTTCCAGGTACTACACGCCCATGACCAAAAAGACGCTGCGTGAAGAATGCAACCACCTGCTCCGCTTCGGCAGGCGATAGATAGACCAAACAGCACTCGGAGATCAGCAAAGTCGGTAGTCCCGTTTCCACGCCTGGCAGTGCTGCGGCGGGGTCACTGCATGTCGACAGCGACCGCAGGTCAACCGGGTGGACATGGTACGACGGCGAATGGAGCGCGTCGCCGGCCTCCGACACGGTAACTCGAGTATCCTTTTCCACGAAACCTGCGACGAGTCGATCCCCAGCGCGTTCTGTAGCACAGGCGCCGATCTAATCGCGCGGATCTTCTCCGCTGTGTTCACGGCGAAATCGAGCTCGTGGTAGACGAAGTCCGGGGTTTGGCGCGACGAGAGAAGCCGGAAGACGCGCGTGTCCGACCCGGCGCCTGAGAGATATGATCTGTTTCTTGTGTGTATTTCCCGGCGAGGACGGGCCGAGGAAACGCGCCACGAGCTGGTCAATGGCTGTTGTGCGGGCGTAGGTTCCTGGGGCGCGGGAGGTGTCCCGGTCAGCCATAGGCTCTCTTGTCATTTGGGATAGCATAGTCTGGAAAAACGGACTCACCTCTGTTGATAATTGGCAATCGCCGCGTCGCCGACCCGGGAGGTGTCAATGCCGCCGCGTACGCATCCTCTAGGTATCCTAGCTCGACGGCGCTGAGGCGGGACACGCTTGCGTCATTGTCTGTGCCTTGAACGATGCGGTCTTTTCCAGAAGGGAATCCAGCTTCTTCTGTGCGACCTATGCCGCGGCCTCGACCTCGGCCTCGTCGGAGAGTGTTGAGGTTGGGAATGTGAGTGGCCATGGGGAATGGAGGAAGCTTGGAGCTCTTGGTGGGGTAGCTATCTGCCCAAGTGGGCATGGATCTCGTCATATTCTCCGTCTGTCTACATATTAATATTTTCAAACTACCTACTAGTTTCAGAGTTATATCTTTATCAATTTATTCCAACTACACCCTCGACCCTACCCCTTGTTTAATCGACCCGGTAACTACACTAACCTTGCCCAGGTGGACAGTTGTAAGATTCAACCTCAATGGAAGCTCTTCAGGCTTATAAAACCAGTGAATTATGTCCAGCAGCAAAAACAGTTGCAAAAGTGCACTGGAAACACCACCAAGCTATCACAGTGGTAGGCCTATCTAACTCTCCCAAGCGCAATTCCCCTGCTAATATATGTCTTGGTAGAATTGCTACTAGGTCCGCACCTAAGCCAACTTACTTTTGGCAAAGGCAATAGCCTGTGCGCCATACTCAGCTCCGTAGCCCTGGTGCGTCGCACCGTTACTGCCGTTGCAGCAGTATGGGTCTGGGGCGTCGCAGTACGATTGGATCTTACTGGCCAGGGGCAAGAGAAGCCAGAAGGACGTGCGTCAAACTATATCTCGAGCGTTAGGTCCAAAGCTCCCAAGTTCAAGGGGAATATAGGGAAGTCCATACGCCACCAGCAGCACAAGTTCCAACATTATACGGCAATCCTGCCACATACAGTGGATCACCCATGAAGATGGCTGCCTTGACCATGTTCACAGCGGATGTCGACAGCTGTACCGCAGTGTTGGTGTAGCCTTGGTTTGGTACGCCGCCGCCGCACAAGGCTGCGTCCATGATTTCACCACCCTGAAGCATCGTAAGAAGTTGGTCTTTCGCGAAGAGGAAATACAGCTCACCTGGGAATATCCGACCAGAACAAGCTTGGTTGATGGACACTGTTTGTTATAGGAGTTCACAGCCGAGGCGACAGCTGCGATACCCTGGGCAACTGAGTTCGAGTAGCTCACGCCGCCGCAAGACGATTGTCCACCACATGCAGGGTAGCTGATGGCCTCGGCTGTGGAGCCTGAGTAGGCACTGAGGAGGCCATTGACAACTGTGCTGGATGAGCCGTATCCGGGAGATACGGTGGTCTCGCGTGCGCCAAAGATGTGGACGCTCGGGCAGTCGACACGTTTCTCAATGTCAGGTTCGGCCGGGACAGCCAGAGCGCTGCCGGCAAGGAGGGAGAACGTCAAGATATTGGAAATCATAGTGTTAATGGATATCAGTCAGAAGTGCAAGCTAGTTGTGGCCTTGGATATATTCAGGTGTGAAAGTGGGTATGAAGTTCGAACAGAGGAGACAACGGTTGCTTTATGTAGATGTAGAACGTCCCCTTGTCAATTGGAGAAGAGCATTGCATTTGCCGTATAATAGGTCAGCAAGAAATGAAAGTTGTTCCTTTGGACCGAGGGGAGATTTTTGCCTAATGGCCATTTGGAGTATGAAACCTCATCTGCGTTGTAGCAAGGTCGGCAGTTTCAGCCGTGAAGAAATGGAACAGGAGCCACCCGGGCACACAATTAGGCTAAATCAACCGATGTATAGGCTTGGACCAGGCTAGAATGGTTCAAACTTGACAGGCTATTGGATGTGGGGTTGGAAATGTGATGTCCTGTGCCATTTCTCCGCGTTATTATAGGCAATAGAATCGTCAGATCTTTCTGGGGTATGGAATGGGGATTCTCGCTCTAACTGACTTTGGACGAGCTATAATTCTTCGCATATATCTCGGCAAAAAGAACTATATCGATTTCCAGAGCCCTAGCTAGGTATAGAGATCTAACTGTAATACTGTGATTATCAAGAGACGCTCTCAGCATCGACACCGAGGATAGTCAGTTCAACTTCCCAATCGGGAATGGCTCGAAACGTCCCTGTTTCATTGGTCTCAGCTACAGTGTCAAGTATGCAGGGTACTAAAGGTAGGTGGTCCTTTTATTCCTGCTGGAATTTGAGATGCTGAAAAATAGGGTCCTGCTTCGTTCGCGGCTATCGGGCCGAATCCGAGGGCCCTGCCCTGTGTTTGTCATGCCATGTCTCTTTTCTATGTACAAGTGAACTTAACAAAGTATCTAAACATACACAAAGTTGTTTCGGCAAAGCGGACAAGTGCTCTGGTTGCTGCTCTTGAACCAGCGGAACAGACAGACCGAGTGGAAGGTGTTCTTGCAAGTGGCACACCGTTTGTTCGGTGTCTGCATGTCTGTTGAGATAACAGAGTAACAGATAGCGCACTCGCTCTGACCCTTCAGAGCACCTTGGACGTTTCGTCGGAAAGCCAATAATCCGTCAACCAGGTTGCCATTGGCAAACATGATCACTCCCTGGATCGTCAGCAGCCAGCTCTTCCATTTCTTCTCGTCCACAAGCACGCGACTTCGACCGACAACCAACGCCGGTTGAAGCGGGTACGCAGGTGGAAGAGTGATAGAAATAGCAACTGGAGGCGACTCCTCGTCGACTGGAATGCTGGCAATGATTTCGCCCGTCTTCGGGGAAATCTTCACCTCCAGTGCGCGTTCTTCGTTTGCATCCTGTGTGGCAATCCAGTCGGTCACACTTCTGAGTGCATCCTGAACGACGAGGGGGAGATCTGAAAACAGTATTAGTTATAATTTCTCGTTCAAAGGGGCTCACCACCAAAGATCACTCACGTATTTTTCAGTCCAGGCTTCCACCGGACCCTTGATGCGTTTCTTGGTGTCAATCCACCAATTCTTGGTCATGTTGGCAGAATATCTCAGGCACAGATAGTACAAATGTACCAGGAGCCATTGTGTTTCCTTTTCGGCACTCTCGGACTCATCCGGCTCAAATGATCGAATATCAAGCTTGGATGCATCGATCATCTTTCCATGTGATTTCTGAAGGAAATCAAACGTGAACTCTAGCAGTGGGATGAGGATATTGTTTTCTCTGATGCTCGATGTGTAGTACTCTTGGACAGGGAGCGACTTGTCGGACTGTTAGCAAGGTTATTTTACAGTTTGTCATGGAGCAGTCAAAACTTACAGCATTTGAGAAATGGTCAAACACCACCTTCCAGCTAAGAAGGTACGCCCGCATACTGGTCCACATCTTGTCATCTCCGTACCCAGCAGAGACCATTTGCATTGTCGGGGGTTCAAGCAATAGAGACACGAGCTCATCAGGAAGGCTGACTGCAGTCTTGGATAAAGCGACCTCAAAAGATACCTTCTCCTGAGCATGGGGGATATAGTGATGGAGAATTGTGTAAGCAGTTCGTTGAACTGCTCGACTGTGCGCAGTCAGAAGGTGGAACGTTCCACTGACATCCTCCAGCTTGTCAACAGGAATAGTGTTAATCAGGCGTCGTAATAAGTCAACGGCAACATCCCGAGGTTGGTGGAATGTGGTTGAGGAATCTATGTTTCGTTAGACAGATCAGTGATGAGAGAAATCTAAAGCGCTTACCGAACGTGTCAATGGTGGAGGCCAGGGCATTGTAAAGACCGACCTTCCGGTCTAACCAAGCATCCTGGACGTCGTCATTGCTGTCGTCACTTTCCGATATAGACTTCAATCGTGCGAAGAGTCTGAAAGATGACACTAGTAATGGTAGACCCTCTTCGCCTCCATTGGTTTCCCGCAATGCAGAGTTTAGGATGCCCATGCTTTCTTCCCAATGAGATCCATAGATCTCCCCGAGAGCTGGAAGGACAAGAGAAAGAGTCTGGATAACTTCGGATTTCAAACCGAGAGATATTGAGTCGGATTGGAGACATTCAATCAAATTCTTGGCGAGGAAGACTAGTCTCTGTGTCGGAATGGTGGAGACAACATCTTCTTCCCAGACAATAGGATATTCAACAGAGCCAGCTTCCGCAATCCTGTGGACAGTTAGTATTGGTACTATATTTGCTAATCTGTTGTCAGACACTTACCAACTTGGGAAGGATCCTGGGGCTTGAGTCCAGTGGAATCGGCAATTAGCTCATTGCAGATTCTGTTTCCGATGGTATTTGAAAGTATGGAGCTTCGCAACACCGCGAACCAGGATGCTGAGCGTATGAGATTCGCTGTCCGCGCCTCTCTGCAGATCTTTGCAACGTCCTCCGATGATTTTGACTTTTGCAATGAATCCGCAACAGTCATTATCTTGACGAAGGCTTCGCCAACCCTATAATCCAAGGGATTTGTACCCTTTAGTTCCTCTAGTCTGGTTTCCCAAAACTCGACAAACAAAGAGGAAATGGTCTTCTCGGGTGCGAAACTGACTGGCTCACTGTCGCGAATCCACTCACCGACCACCTTGCGGCCAGCAAAAACAATCTCCATGTACTCTTCTCGCTGATCAGCCAGCTCGAGACCTGAGATGCCGTTGCAATTCTCAATGCTCAAATCGTCATCTATAAGTTGAATTGCCAAGGGCAAGAAATGGAACAAAGTCTCTAGGTCCGCTTGGCCCATATGTTTCAGTAAGTCAGAAGAAGAGAGAATGTTGATGGTGAAGATTGCCAGGCGGAATGCAGAAGAGCGATGGTCTGCATCGCGAGGAATAGTCAGCCATAACCCCTCGAAGGACTCAGATAGTTCACGCTGGATCAAGTGAACGGCGCCTCCTAGGGGACTTGTTATAGCAATGGAGGGGCGAGGTGGAAGTTGGAGAAAGGGGGTCAGGGATTCCTCCCATGCACGACGAGAGGGCAAAATATCCTTCACGGTACTGGTTGCGCCTTCAGCCGTAAGACCTGGCAGCAATTCCTCTGCGATAGCAAGAAGTGATTCAATCCTGAATCAAATTTAGTACAATTTCCTATAAACCATGGTGGTAATGGAGCACTCACGACAATGATTCTTCATCCACATGGTTGAATCCATGTTGGAGAATTTCGATGCCTGACTTGGCACTCGTATCGCCAACACCAGATTCTTTCAATGATTTCAACAGAGCTTCTGCCAAGCTTGCCACCTCTTCAGATGGTGATTCAGTGAGGAAAAGTAGCTTCCCTGCTAACTTCGATCCATGTGTTCCATTTTGGAACCCCCGAACTGATGATGGTGCAGACTTTCCAATATGAGAAAGCCCATGCAAGGCATCAAAGACTTTATCATCTGAAGATAACGCCTCGATCAAAGATAAAAATATTTGATCCATCAATTCGCCGTGTGATGATTTGTTTTGAAGAACTGCAATGATGATAGGCCAATGAGCATGACTACCTTGGCAAGCTTTGTCAAGGGCCCGCACAACAAGTGAGTTAAGCTTGTCTTTGTGCTCAGCATCGTTGAAATCGAGAGAAGAAAGTAAGTTTTGGAGTACATGCACATTAGACTGCTCTAGCTCCAAGGCCAATGCTCGCTCAACAACATTCTCGAAACTGGACGCGAATCCATCCCACTCCCGACATTCTAAGATGATTGTAATCAATCGATCAGCAGACGGTGAAATCAAAAGCTCCGGTGCATCATTTTGCACAAAGCTTTGGAGGCCCTGTGACATTTTGGCGACATATGGAAGGCTGCGAACACACTCCGCCACTGTGGCGGCCGCCCCATATGGCTTCCCATTACGGGTGCGCAGGACTTCGAGACAACCTTCCAGAAGGGAAGTGCTTGTTCTTTGAAATACCTCAGATACTTGAGACTCGACCTCGGTATCTGCGGTCCGTGAGAGAACAGCAGACTCCAAATCCAAGAGGCGTTTGGATTGGGCACATATTAAGTCTTGAGATCCACGGAAGTCCTTTGACTGTTCTGGGGCTGATAGCTTCACAGCTTCCAGCAGCCCATCGGAAAGGGATGTACACAATGATTCCAGTTCCTGGGCTGGTTCGGCGGAAGCCAGAGTGGAAACATAATCTACACAAGTTCCTTCGGCTAACTCAGCCGGAAGTGACCATTGTGTCAGCTCTGGGTCCATTCTTACATACTGCACCACCAAGGGAAACAGTCTCTGCGTGATGAATTCGGATTTTTGCTCCTGCGGGACCAATGTTGCAAGCCATGTTCCTATCTGGGTATAGGATTTCCATCCGATAGCAAGATTTGAGCGCGGTTCTTCTCTCGAGTTGAGACCTTCTTGTAAAGCCTCAGTCAAGGTGATTGCACTGGCAGAGGTGATCCCATGGGCAGCAGTGGCCTTGTCAACACCTGCTAGTACTTCTTGGGGAATGATTCGAAGCAATTGGTCTAGGTTTGACCAAAAGTTAGAATGTCCACCCTCGGACCCTTTCTGCATGTACTGGCGCAATCTCTTCGAGGCAGATGATTTCCCAGTGTAGTCATCTGTCCATATTTGAGGCCTCAGCGAAGATAATAAGAGGAGGGACTCTGACAATTCGGTAGCCGATCCGATTTGCTGAAGAGACAAAGATTTCCCAATGACGGCTGAGCTGAGAGTCTTCCAGTCGATCCATCCAGGCTCCCGCGAAACCGCAGATCGGAGCAGCATGTATACGGACCGGCGAACATATGGATCATCGTGGTAACAGAGAGCCCACAAGTTCTTGCTGGCTAACAGGTTCTCGATTTCTGTTATGTTCTTCTGTAAATCTTCATCGGACGAATTGCCTAGGCGCATTGGATTGTTAGATAGAAAGTATTGCAAGGTAGACACGCTTAACATACCTAGTACGCGGTTGAAAAGCAAAATCGCGGCTCCCGCAACACGGGCATATTTCCCCTCGGCATCGTCCCTCTTCACTGTCCTTTCATCACTCAATGTCAAGGCTGTTTGGTGAAGAATGACATCATCCACAAAGTCCAAAATGGAGGTTTGGTAGATCTTCCAAACGTTGTTTCTTTTTTTTCGGTTGAAAAGACTTTCGTGAATGATTCAAGGGCGGCACGGTGGACTGGCCGGTCGTTATCGTAGATTCCTGCGATCCATGCTCCGATGACCTTTGGTAAATTGGGCACGATGCGCTTCCCAACAAGACCAGAAATTGTACCTTGTATCGGATGGGCAACTTGGCGTACTCGGCGAGACAGATCGATCGAGAGTCTGGGATAAATTCTGACCTGGGGAAAAGCATTGTTACTACTTGGTGTTTGTATATAGAAGCAATCTAGACATACCCATGCATCTAGAAACCCGTCATCTAGAGTTCCCTTCTTGACTTCAACTCTTGATATATGGTCTCGCAGCTCTTCTAGAGCCTTCAATCGTGTAATGTCATCTTTCTTTAGTAAATTCTTGAAGGCGATGACTACTTGCTGGTCCGCAATGCGAGAAAGATCTGGAGGTGCTGCAATGTATGTGAGAGCAGACGGGTCCTTTCCCTCGCTGGAGAGACCACCGGGAAAGCCCCCAAATGCCCCGAAGGCACTGGCAGCAGCGCGACTGCTGGAGGCCTGGGACTTGAACTTTTTGCTCATGTGGGGTATGAGGTCAGCGGGATAAGCAAGTAGTGGGGGAGGACCTCGAAATTGAAGATTTAGAAAGGCTTGAGAGAGCAAGAGGGTCTCGTTGTAGGGTAGAGTGTGATTTGAACGCTATATCACTCTTCCATCGCATGTGTGAAGGTGCAAGCACATTCAATATCAAATCCCCAAAAGAGTTCCGCGGGACCAAGATAGCCATCACGTGAGTTTGTGTCATCGCTGTCCCAAATAGGACAAGCGCATAGGCGGAGCCGCGAAAGATGAGAGCGAGCTCTCTTCTCTTCTGATCCTTTGCCCTCTTGCGCTTTGCATCAGAGCCCAGCCAAGATGAAGTTCTTCATTGAGTATGTCCCCTGCATCTGATTTTATCTTGTCTCCAAGCTGACCAGTCACAGTGATCTTCCGGTGCTGTTTCCGTATCCTCGCATCTACCCCGAACAATATGCCTACATGTGCGATCTCAAAAAGACCCTCGACGTCGGGGGTCACTGTGTGCTGGAAATGCCCTCGGGAACTGGAAAGACAGTTTCGCTCTTGTCGTTGATCGTCGCCTATCAACAGCACTACCCAGAGCACCGTAAGCTCATCTACTGCTCCCGAACCATGTCGGAGATCGAGAAAGCTCTAGCGGAGTTGAAGGCTTTGATGGAACATCGTGCTAAGGAGCTGGGTCATGAGGAGGAATTTCGTGCGCTTGGCCTGACCAGTCGGAAGAACCTCTGTCTTCACCCTTCAGTAAAAAGAGAGAAGAGTGGTACCGTGGTCGATGCCAGGTGCAGAAGCTTGACGGCCGGGTTTGTCAAGGAGAAGAAAGAGCGTGGTGAAGATGTTGAGCTTTGTGTATACCATGAGGTGGGATTTTGATTATCAACAATACAACATTGAACGAACTAACAGGCCTAGAACCTTGACTTACTCGAGCCACATAACCTCGTCCCCCCCCAGGCGTTTTCACACTGGACGGGTTGTCAAGATACGGAGAAGAGCACAAGCAATGTCCCTACTTCTCCGCTCGGCGTATGGTAAGATATCGAGCGACTATCGCACTCAAAGTGACCCATTTCTGACAAAACTTCATTAGATGCCGTGGTGCAATATTATTATCTATTCTTATCACTATCTTCTCGATCCGAAAATTGCGGAACGTGTATCCCGAGAGCTCTCGAAAGATTGCATCGTGGTATTTGACGAAGCGCACAACATTGACAATGTCTGTATCGAATCGCTCAGTATAGACCTGAGCGAGGATTCCTTACGAAAAGCGACTCGGGGTGCAAACAACCTGGAACGCAGGATCGAAGAGATGAAGAGCACGGATGAGGAAAAGCTCAAGAACGAGTATTCAAAATTAGTGGAGGGGCTGCAGGAAGCTGAGAAAGCTCGGGACGAAGATCAATTCATCTCGAATCCGGTCTTGCCAGATGACCTATTAAAGGAAGCTGTTCCTGGTAACATCCGCCGGGCCGAGCATTTCATCTCTTTCTTGAAGAGATTTATCGAGTATCTGAAGACTCGGATGAAAGTCACCCATACCATATCCGAGACACCTCCTTCTTTCCTCACTCACCTAAAAGACCTTACCTATATTGAGCGAAAGCCTTTGAGGTTTTGCGCCGAGCGTCTAACGTCACTTGTACGGACGCTTGAACTTGTCAATATTGAAGATTATCAACCTCTTCAAGAGGTGGCCACATTTGCAACACTGGTCGCAACCTACGACAAGGGATTCGTTCTTATCCTTGAGCCCTTCGAATCCGAAGCGGCTACTGTACCAAATCCCATCCTCCATTTCACGTGCTTGGATGCCGCTATTGCTATCAAGCCGGTATTCGATCGTTTCAGCTCTGTGATCATTACCTCGGGAACTTTGTCGCCGTTGGAAATGTATCCGAAAATGCTGGGTTTCACCGCTGTTCTGCAAGAATCATACAGCATGACACTCGCTCGACGATCTTTCTTGCCTATGATTGTCACTCGAGGCTCAGACCAAGCACAGGTTTCATCTTCGTTCGGAATTCGCAATGATCCTGGTGTCGTGCGAAACTACGGCAGTCTAGTGACCGAGTTTGCTCGCATCACACCCGACGGCGTTGTCGTTTTCTTCCCCTCTTATCTCTACATGGAATCAATCATCAGTATGTGGCAAGGTATGGGTATTCTGGATCAAATCTGGAACTACAAATTGATTCTCGTCGAAACTCCTGATGCACAAGAATCTTCACTCGCCCTGGAGACCTACCGAACAGCGTGCTGCAATGGGCGTGGTGCGATCTTGTTTTGTGTCGCTCGTGGCAAGGTTTCCGAGGGCATTGATTTTGATCACCATTACGGTCGTGCAGTGCTGTGTATTGGTGTTCCCTTCCAATACACCGAATCTCGAATTCTGAAAGCTCGTCTCGAGTTCTTGCGTGAGAACTATCGTATTCGGGAGAATGACTTCTTATCTTTCGATGCGATTCGACATGCCGCCCAGTGTCTGGGTCGTGTCCTGCGTGGCAAGGACGACTATGGAGTCATGGTGTTGGCGGATCGTCGATTCGAACGAAAGCGGCCCCAACTCCCCAAGTGGATCAACCAGGCAATGTTGGACAGCGAAACCAATCTTAGCACTGATATGGCTGTATCGAATGCGAAGAACTTCCTGCGGACCATGGCCCAGCCTTTCAAATCGAAAGATCAAGAAGGCATTTCTACCTGGGGCTTGGCTGACATCGAGCGCCATGAGGCAAAGAGGAGGACGGAGGAAGAGCGGATGATGAGAGAAGAGCTGAATAACGGGCATCCAATGGACGGAATGGTCCCATCCGCATCCCGGATCGTCACGGACGAATACGACGACAACATTGATCAGGACCTCATGATGCTTGACGCACCATAAAATAATCTTGTTTTTTCTTTACATAATGACACATCTACTGGCATGGGCAGGCGTTTGGAATTGGGCATGGTGCTATTTAGCACGACGTTCCTAGGGACAGGAACCATTTACCTTACAATTGAAGACAAATCTTTTAAATAACTATCCTATGGATACAGTCCAAGTATAGAGGCATCTCTTGAGATCGGCTTAAAAAAAAGACAGACGTGGATCTTCAGGATCAGGCTCAAATAACTCCTGGATTTCCGATCTTCGCTACTGAGTAGGTCTCATCACTTATCCGCCTCAAAGATCACCTTGTGTGCCCGCATGTTATCGAAGTCGTCATATCTACCGAATAGTCAATCATAGGGCGTCAAGATCTGAACGAGAAGAACTTACGCTTGAACTGCCTGCGAGAGTGGACGGATATCTTGAGACATGAAGCTGGGAATCATTAGATACTCGCAAAACAACGAATATTAGATTAGCCAAACTCACTTGAGGGTGTCCTGCTTCTTTTCGAAGAGGTCCATCGCCGGACCAAAGATACCTAGCACAATTAAGCAAGTCAATCCAAGTAAGATGTGGAATCAGACATACTCCGTACAGGGCATCGGCCCATCTGTAGACGAAGGTTCTTTCCGTAAGCTTCATTCCCAGTCCATGGGATATCCTCATTGTGTACGCCCACACTCGATATACGGCCCCATGGTCGTAACAACTCGAACCCCATCCTGAGAGCACTACTAAGTCCGACAACTTCGATAACGATATCCGCTCCACGACCGTCAGTAAGATCCTTTACCCTTTGGCGCAGTCCTTCTTCGTCCTCCTTGAAATTCCAAGGCTCGGCTCCTAGACTCTTTGCAAGTGCTAGTCTGGAAGGCACACTATCAATTGCAATCAAGGTCTTCGGCTTGTAATCGAGCGCACTAATAAGTGCGCAGATACCGACAGGGCCACAACCAAAGAGGAGTACCGTGCTTTTTTGGATCTCCTCTGGCGTTGTGCCAGAGAAAGCATTCAGAGAAGCAAAGTACCCAGTCGGGAATATATCGGCCATAAGAACCAGCTTCTTCTCGTCGATTGAAGCTGGGACTTTGGCAAGAGTCGAATCGGCTAGTGGAACACGTACGTACTCGGCCTGTCCACCATCAAGTGCAACAGTACCGAATAGCTGGCTTCGAGCACACCGAGAGGAAAAGCCACGCTCACAGTAGAAACATTCCCCGCAGCTCGCAGTGAAGGGTGAGACTACTCGGTCTCCCTTTTGGAAGTTCTTTATGTCTGATCCAAGCTCGACAACTTCGCCTGTAAACTCATGGCCCATGATAAACTCCGTGCCGGACTTTTGGTGGCCGCGAAAGACATGGAGTTCACTACGCGGATATGAACCGTTGTGCGCTGTTAGAGATAGATCTTGATTTCTTACCTGCCACATAATGCAGTGTATCGCACCTTCAGGATGACATCTGTTGGATCTTGGATCTGGGGGATGGGCTTTTGCTCGATGGCTACCTTCAACGGGCCCTTGAAAACAACGGCTTGCATTTTAGCAAATTGTGATCTTTCCTGTGGTTTGTGCAGGGTATAATTAGGAGGTTTGATGAGGTTGCAGCTGAGATTCAATTATCATTCAAGTCACACATTCAAGTCACAGGGATATGCCTAGTCCGGCGACATCGCCGAGGGACCTCGGCAGATCTCAGATTTACCCAGGCGCAGCAGGGAAACGAGTATAAACTGCATTTTGGCATAATTTTATTGGAAAGAGATACAATGTGTGCTCTTGAATTGAGACTTGAAGTGTTCCAGTGGCAAAACTGACCTTGACCGTTTCAGTGAAGGATGTATCAGCCGTTTTTCATCGCGGGGGCTTTTGCGGGGTATATGGTATATGTAGAGCCCTTGAGGTAGTCCGAGACTATACCTATGGAGAATAAAAGAAGCATAGGCCACGTTATAACATCATTACTTAGGAAAGATCTATTTATCGAACTAGTCAAGATGCTAATATGAACAGGACTTTTTGGTTCCGCTGCACAAAGACAAACTCCAGATCATCGACACATCAAAGATGAAGCGAAAACACGAAAGAAATAACAAGAGCTTTGCATAAATACAATATACACATGAGGGAAAAACAAGAATACACATTTCAGAACTCCGTCCAGTCAGAGACTATGCTACAGGAGCAAGAATGTCGAACGAACCAGTGCCGACGGTACCGACACGGCCAACAACAATTCTGCTACTAGGACTCTTGAGGTTATCATTACCTCTCTCGAGCACAACGTCCTTCAGGGCACCGACAGTAGTCTCGAAACTGGCCCGAGCGAAAGCAGACGAGGCATCCTTGACCAAGCCGTTACGACTGAACGCCTTGAAGCCACCGGACTGTGTCATCACATCACCGATCAAGTTCAAGTGACGGTTGTCAACGGAGATACTGTGACCCTTGAAAACGGCATCCATTTCGCGGACGATGGTGCCACGAGCAGCTTCGACACCGTACAGGTTGAGCATGTCGTGGATGGAGTTGGTGTAGATCGAGTGGGGCTTGATGATATCCTGGTAGTCGCGCATGGCGAGAAGGTTGACACCCTCGGTGATGATGTTGGCGGGATCACCCTTCGCCTCGTCAGCCTCGACGAAGACGCAGTTGCCCATGCCGGGAATACACTGGATGACGGCGAGGTGGAGAGCCTTCTCAACCAGGGGAAGGAGGAGAAGCTTAGGGGGTCTCGACGTCGTACTGCAGTTGGATGGTGCACGTGTTGCCCTTCTTCGGGTCGAACTTGAACTTCGTGATCTCCTCGAACTTGCCCATGACATCCTCCTCGCGCGCCTTGCTGTCTTGGGCGGTCTCGTCGTCGGACTCATCCTCGGAGTCGGAGTCGGAGCTGTCCTTCATTTGCACGTCACGAGTGGCCTTGGCAGGCTTGCTGCTTTCATCTTCGTCTTCTTCGTCGTCAGGGCTGTCTTGGCGTTTGATGATATCCTGCTCGCCGGCGTCGGGTTCTTCGTAGGAGACCTGGTTGCCCCTGTTCTGAGCGCTGGCGGCCCGCTTGGCATCGTCCTCATCATCTTCATTGTCGTCGTCGGCTGGCTGGGCCTCGGAGTCGGCGCCTCTCGGTGCCTCCGCGATTCTACCGACTGAAACACCGATTTCAGGCTGAGAAGTCGTGCCCTTGACGCCCTTCTTCTCTTCGTTGCGCTTCTTGAGCTCAGCCTTGGTGAGTCTCACCAACCGGGGATGAGCTTGGATTCCAGAGCAATCAGAACATCCTTTGTCTCAATGGCGTATTCCTTGGTGTATTCTTCAGACGGGAAGAAGTCGATCTCGATGTCGTAGATCTTGGCCTTGGAGTGGCCAATGCCTGAGCCAATGCGTTCCCTGACTTGCACCTTGTCAACAAGTTCAGCAATGCTCAGTTTGCTGATGGCCTTGGCGAATTTCTCCGAGTCCTCTTTAGAGATTTCCTCGTTCAGAAGAAGAGTCATCGTAGGTGTCATAATCTTGGCACTTGCAGTCATAACAATTTCACGTAGACGGGGGATACCCAGTGTGACGTTCTTTGCCGAGTGACCAGCCAAATGGAAGGTGTTGAGAGTCATCTGCGTGGACGGCTCTCCGACGGATTGACCGGCCATAATTCCGACCGCCTCACCGGGGTCAATGATGGACTTCATGTACTTCATGTTCATCAAGGCCTCGAAGGTCTTCTTGGAGACCTTGCCCTCGATGTTCTTCTTCTTGTCTTTAATGAGCTTGTTCTTGTTGACATCCGCGTACTATTTTCAAAAGCTGTTAGCATTGGAAAGAATATTAGGGAAGAGATAGCGAGTCCATACCTTCTTTAGCTCTTGGGCGAACGCTTCTGATGTACTTCCAAGGTTTCCTCCAGGGGGAAGTGAGACAACACAGGGTCCACAGCATCAATCTTTCCGGTCTTGCGGACCGCTTTCATGGCGTCCTTGTGCCAAGTCGTAACATCCTCCTTCGCCAATTTGTGGTAATCATCTGCTTGGACTTGCTTGGAAATGGAGATGTGGTTCTGAGCAAGGAAGTCAAAGTCGTTCAGGTGCACTTGTTTGGTGATATCGAGACCGTCCTCTCCGTACAAGAACTGGACAACGGAGCCATCTGACGCTTCACGAACAGAGGAATCGTATTCAGCCTTGAGGCCTTCCATACCCTTGATCAAACAACGTTGCAGGTAACCAGATCTAGATGTCTTGACAGCAGTATCAATCAGACCCTCACGACCAGCCATGGCGTGGAAGTAGTATTCTTGAGGCTTGATTCCGGTCAAGAAACGACCAGAGACGTAACCACCAGCCATCGGGTGGGTTTCGAAGGCCTTGAATGACGGAAGAGTCTTTCCACTGATCATGAGTGGTACACGGCGACCTTCAAGAACCTGCTGGCCGAGATTGCAAGAAATCAGGTTGGCGTTAACGCCGGATCCCTTGGCTCCAGATATCGTCATAGACTGCATTTGGTTCCAGGGAAAAGGTTTAGCAAGACCGGACGGGAGACACGCGCTGGTGATTTCAGAAGAGAGCTTGGCAGACCGGGCGTTAGAAACGCTATCCAGGCCACTTTGCTTGTCGTCATCGCGAAGAACCTCCTCCAATCGTCGGTTCAACTCGGCAGTCTGGTCACCAGGAACCTGGTCCAAGGTCACATACTTCAGAGCAACTTCGCGGCCCATCTGAGGAGCAGTGGCCAACTTCTCCTTGCGGATACGGTCACCCTCCTTAGTCAATCGAAGATCGTCGATACCACAACTGAAGCCACGCAGGTTCAGGACGCGAGTGAGGAGTCTTCCAAGAATACCGATGAGCTTGCCAGCAGTGCTGTATCCATAAACTTCATGGACAGCATCGATGAGACCACCGGCGGTGGGACCGAGCTGTTTTTTATCGAGAATACCACAAAGGTACTCTCCATCCTGGAAGATAACCTCTCCTTCTTCGTTGTTCTCACCCCATCGTTCGCCAGGGGTTGAAGACTTGCTCTTCAAGGTCAAACCACCTCGCTCTGGGGGTTGGATGTTCTTGAGGATTGTCGTGATAATCTGCTTTCCGGTCCATAGGCACTTGGGCTTTCGCATGGCAGGCTCGACCAGTTGGATCCGGTCACTGACAATATGCGAATGTTCCGGTCTCAAGCAACTGTACAACAACTGGTGGTAATCCTCCTCGTCATAGAAGCTGTCACGGCATGTAACCCACGTTCCCATGGAAATATGATCTTGAATCAGACCTCTCAGCGGTTTCCCTGATGTGGCAACGAGATACTGGTGGTCGGCGTCTGCCAACATTCTGGCTTCGGCTTGAGCAAGCTCATTTTGAGGGAAATGCATGTTCATCTCGTCACCATCGAAATCGGCGTTATAGGTGTTACAATTGGCGTAGTGCATGCGAATAACCCGCTCATTGGGAAGGACACGAGCCTTGTGACCCATGATGGAGGGTTTGTGCAGAGTGGGCTGACGGTTCATCAAGACGTAATCACCGGTGGTGAGATGACGGTAGACCTTCTTGTTGCGCGAACCTTTCTGGCGCCAATTTGACGGTGCGAGCAGTTGGTTGGCAAGGGCTGTCCGCTCTTCCAGGTTCTTGAACTTGAGATTGATGACTTGTCCATTCTCGTTCTCGATGGAAGAGGCTCCGGGGTATTTGTCGGGACCGTTGATAACAGCCTCCTTCAACTCCCAGAAGTTGTGGTTTGTCACAGGTTCAGGGAAAGTCAACTTCTTGGCGAAGACAAGGGGTACACCAATCTCATTGGGTTCGATGTTGGGATCGGGTGAGATAACACTACGAGCAGCAAAGTTGACACGCTTGCCCATCATGTTCTTTCGGAACAGACCTTCCTTCTTCTCCAGAATCTGCTTGATACCGTTCGGCTGTGATAAGGCAGCTGATCCGGTGACCGAGGTACGATCGCGGTCAATCAACCCGTTGACCACATCTTGGAGTTGAACGATAGCTTGAAGGAGATCACTGTAGTTCCGCGCACGGGACATGGTCTTCTCTTCCTCGTTTTGGATCTCCTTGCTGATTTGGTTGATGGTGTCACAGCCCTTCAAAATCGCATTGAACGAAGTGTTTTGCTGTGCCTCCATGACTGTTCCGGCACCCTGCTGGACTGCGGGGCGGTATTTGTTTGGCGGCACCAGAATACTCTTGATGAAGAACATGTCTGCCGATATAGCTTTCACTCCCTTGGGCACAGGCCTAGAATTGTAGACAAGCTGCAGGATCTCACTTTCCTTCTGGAAGAGAAGATGAAGAGCTCCATAGACTTCGGAAGAAGACATGAATTCTTGACCGGTCGATCCTTGTGCCTCCTGCACGACAGCCACACCACGGCGGATTTCCTCTTCGGCTCCGTGGACCTCGGAAACAGTATTCTTGGACTTGGCGTTCCTTTCTTGCTCGAGAAGGACCATGGTATTCGGTGCCTGGAATCCTCCTTGCAGCATTGCAAGCTTCTGCTTCTCGGGTAATTGCTTTCGGAAGATTTTGTTGTAGCGATCCTTTTTATAGGAGGGGGATACTCTGCCATAATGTTAGCCGGGAAAGCCAAAGTCAGGGTCGAGGGATATAACGTACCCGCTGCAGCCGACACATTTCTTGAATCCGTTGATATCCTTGAAGAAGGCTTTGATCAACTCCCGTCTGGCTTCTGCGGCAATAGGGTTCTGTCCGCCAGGCATCAATCCGTCCAATTTGCCCTCCTTCTTGGCTTCGCGGATGCGCCGAGTGACATAATCAGTCCTCTTTTGCATGTAGTCATCATCATCGGGATTGTCTGAGTCGTCTGAATCGTCTTCCTTGCCCTTGGTGGCCTTTGATTTGGCACCTTTGACGGCTCCCATCGCATCGACAACAGCGACTTCGTCGACCAATCCATATTGCAGAAGGCGCAATTTGCAGGTGTACATGTTGACCTGGTTGCGACCCATCTGCAGGCGAAGACAGTACACACATTGTGCTCGCAGGAGGCGGAAGATGTGATCGAAGAAGGTGACATTATAGAAGGGTACTGGCAGCTCAATGTGTCCAGGATGTCCGGTACAAGTGAAAGAGTTCTGGCGACAGGTAGTGCATCTGTAGAATAAGAAAATCTCTCACGTTAAAGATTGAACAGTATACTGATTGATTCAAGACTTACACATGATCTCCCCAAGCGCCCATAGCAGGGTCTTGAAGACCACCAGGAACAGGATTGTTAAATGAATCCAAAGTCGGCGTATTGTGAATTCTTTTCACCGAGAGAGCTTTAATCTCTTCCTCGGAGTAGACATTGAAGTCGACGCCATTAATGGTCGAGGCGACCGGGCGCGCAAAAGTTGCCATTGTAGCCTGCAGCTCCTTGAGCAACAGAAAACGCTGGCGCACGAAATCAAGTGCTCGGATTCAGACCTCCAAGTGCTTTTAGTTCTGGAGCGAACTTTTTTTTTTCCGGAGGAGCAACTTCTTTTCTGCCCGTCTCCACCGCCTTACCCTTTTTGGGTTTCTGCGTGGACTACTCTTGTCATGCACAATTCCTGCTGCTTGTCTATCCTTCGCTCATTCCACGTTTTTCTATTTTCCTATCGCCTGGAGACCGAGCGCGTGTGAAGCCATCTACATCATGGCCGACGCATCGGGTAACGCGCTGAAGCGTCCTCACCCTGAGGATCAACACGACAACTCTCAGAAAAGGACCCGCTCCAACCATGGGTCCCCAGTACCAGGTCAAGGAGGTGCTGCCCCGGGCAAGCCAGATATTGCGAAAATTATGGCAGAAGCAAGGGCAAAGGCAGAAGCTGTGCGCGCTCGTCTACAGGCGCATGGTGGTGTGAGAGCGACACCAACGCCGCCAGCACCTCCAGGGCCTCCAGCACCACCCGCACCACCCGCACCGGATTCCGCAAGTCCTCCCCCGCCACCTCCTGCTCCTGGGATGTCGAAGCTAGAACAAATGAAAGCTCGAGTTGCTGCAGCTACTCAACGAGCCAGCGCCCCCTCTCAGCCACGACCCAGTGCACCCGTACCGTCCTATCAACCACCGGCGCATGACGACGAGGGCATGTCCAAGGCTCGCGGTGGTCTGGACGTTGGCCTTCATCCTGCGCTTCTCTCTGACACTACCCCGGAATATCGTGGTGCGAATGGGCGACAGACTAAACCAAAACGTGCCGGTGGGCCCCAGCTTGATCTGTCTGGTCCATCTGTTGAGGAAATCAAGAATAACCCTTACTTCGACCCGGCTATCAATCCCAAAGCAACGATTGCAAAGCCTCGAAAAACACGAGAGCTCCTTTTCAATCAGAAGGGCAAATACATCCAACAGGCAGCGGCTCTACGCAGACAGGCACAGCTGGAGGCTATGAAGAAAAGAATTGCAGAGAAATCGCGACAGGCCGGACTTGACGAGGATATCGATGTGGAAAAGGCATTCCTTGTTCCTGCTCCGCCCGCTGTAGAGTGGTGGGATGCAAAGTTAGTTGATGGCAGCGACTATGACGCAATTGATCACCAGGAAAACATCAAACTTGATACCCTCACCAGCTATGTCCAGCATCCTATTGAGCTGGAACCTCCGCAAGAAAAGCACATGCCTGCGCAAAAGCCCATGTTCCTTACGCCGAAAGAACAAGCCAAGGTTCGGCGGCAGCGACGCATGGCAGATTTGAAGGAACAGCAAGCCAAGATCAGACTGGGACTCGTGGAAGCACCGCCTCCAAAGGTCAAGAAATCCAATCTCATGCGGGTGTTGGGAGAACAAGCTGTGAAGGATCCCACGGCTGTGGAAGCTCGCGTGACCAGAGAGATCGCAGATCGGAAGGAGGCGCACGAGATGGCGAACGAAGAGCGCAAACTGACTAAGGAGCAACGGCGCGAGAAGTTGGAAGCTCAGAAGGAAAAGGACGCCTCATTGGGCATCTTCCAATCTGTGTATCGAATTGACAGTCTGGCGAGCGGCCGGAACCGCTTCAAGATCGGCAAAAACGCAGATCAAAATAATCTGACGGGCATGTGTGTCATGCATCCCCGGTTCAACCTGGTGATTGTCGAGGGCGGCCAGCACTCCATCAAAAATTACCGAAAGCTGATGTTGAACCGCATTGATTGGACCGAAAACCCTGGATCTGATCGAGTACCTGCAGACAGCCCCGAAGCTAAAGTTTCCTGGTTATCCACTGAAGATGATAAAGGAGAGCCCCGGGATTTCAGCGCGAATACATGTAATCTCCTATGGGAAGGTCAGACCAAAGGCCGGGCCTTCAGGAAATGGTTTGGTGCTCGTATCTGTGAAACAGACTCTGCTGCCAAAGCAGCCCTGTCCCGAGCCAAGATGGAGAACTTCTGGACGCTGGCGAAGAGTGCCAAGCCAGCTGAATATTAACATTTCCTACGGCTGATAATCAAAGTCTAGGTCTATTGTACTTTTACAGATAGCGAACTTGCTTCATAGCCATTATCATTCATACGCATGATGCCTCAGACTTTTATTGTCTACTGTCCCATAGGCACCGTAAATTGTTCAAAACAGACACTCAATTAGAGCTATGAAAAACTTTTAATCGAACACAAAATTTCCATGCCCACATAAACCCCGCTCCGTATGCAAAGCAAATATTTGTTACTAGGATATCACAGAAGAACATATATGGAAAACAAAGTTATCAGGAAGGAGGAGGACCCTGGCTGCCGCCGCTCAGGTTTCGCAGCAGGTCCAGCTGGGCTTTCACTTGGTCAAAGTTCATAGCCGGAGTTTGGGCCTGGGGAGGCTGATGCTGTTGCTGTTGAGGCTGGGGCTGTTGGTAATGCTGTTGAGACTGTTGGTAAAGCTGCTGGTGTTGCAAAAGCTGCAGGAATTGTTGCTGCTGTTGTTGCTGCAACATAGCCATGGATTGAGGATTGAATTGGGAAGCACCCTGTTGGACGTTCTGGAAGTTATTGGGTTGCGGTTGTTGGAAGGCCGGATATGGGGAGAACTGGAAGGGCATCGGTGTCTGCGCTCCACCTTGGCCGAATTGCGGCTGTTGCGGGTTCTGGGCTTGCTGCTGTGCGTATTGCGCATACGCGGCGAAGGGCTGGGGAACACCGTATGGCTGCTGTGGTTGCTGGTACATTGGCTGGCCGTAAGGAGCAGCGGGCTGAGCTTGAGGTTGAGGCTGAGACTCGTGGGTCGAGCCGCTGGCCTGCTGGGGCCGACGGTCCTGGTCCCACTCCCTTCCTCCGCGTCCGCCTCTGCCTCGTCCTCCACGTCCACGGTCACCGCGGCCACGACCTCTTCCGCCACGGAACCCGCCACGCTCGTTGCCTTCAACTGGTGGCTCGCGAGTATTCATCATCTCGTAGAGGTTGGTAGGGCGGGCAAGAGGGGTATAGCCATCCTCAGCTCCGGCGTCATCGTAGTTGAGCTCGGTCTGGTTCAATTTTGAAGGTCCTGGGGCTGGCTTTTTGCCTTTGGGGCCTTCTCTGGCTTCCTTTCGCTCCTGTCTCTTCTGCTTCAGCTTCCGCTTGTATTCAGCTTCCGCCTCATCGTCAGAGAATTCCATCTCTTCTTCGGCAATTTCCTCGTCATGGAAGTTGGAGGCGTCGCTTCCCTTCATGCCCTTGAGCGGCTGGGTGAACACAAAGGTGGAGTGCTCCTCAACATAGAAAATATCCTTGCCCTTGACTAAGCCTTTTTCCTGAACTTCGGCGGCTGTGGCGAACGCGACGGTATACAGAGGATTCTCCACTCTGCCCAGGGTCTCTGCTACTACACCCATGATCTGGCGATCTTCAGAGCAGAGCAAGGAGCCCGACTCAAGTACCTGATATTCTCCAGAGGTATTGGCCTCGATAAGAACATTGTTATCGATAGCCGCATGAACTTTGCCGAGGAACACAATCTTCATCTCCGGGGTGATATTAACGTCAGGGACAGGCAGGATCTCCTGTTCGATCTCGTTGGTTGTCCGCAGTTTCCCGCCTGATTTCCCCTTGCCGTCTCCCTCGTCATCAGAGCCACCTTCCGCTCGCATCAGAATCTGTGCTTGCTCCTCGGGGCTGAGGATGGGGTAGTCTTCATCGTCACTATCATCGGAGTCAGAGGAATCAGAGCTGTCTGAAGATGACTCGTACGGGGAAGAGTCAACCTCCCACTCAGGGTGCTCCTCTCCATTGTCGTCGCCAGCCTGTCCAGTGGCTTCGATCATATTGTCTTCGCGAGTATATTGCTCGACATCCATAGCTTCGCCGAGGGGAGCAGTGGGCTCAATTTTGATTTGGTTTGCCTCTGTCTCCTCCTCCTTAATAACTGCCTCGGTGGGCTCGGCCTGAGAGGTGTGCTGGGTTTCCTCCCGCTTGATCTCTGTCTCGGATTCTTGGTGGTTCACTGGTTGATCTTGCTCTCGCTTGATTGTGTGTTCGGTCAACTGCGAGCCAGTTTCTTGTTCGGAGGGGTGGTGGATAAGGTTCAATCCGGGGATCATATTGCTTGGCTTGGAGGAAGTGGAAGGCTCAGCTTCGCTGTTTCCAGCATCCAAGCTAGTTGTACCCATCTCTGGTGTACCTGCAGCCAAGGGAGTGTTATAGAAATCGCTGCCGTTGTCTGGGGTCCCTGCGATAGGCGTCTCGATAAGACAGGGCTTTTTCGGGGCAGGGCCTTCACCAGCACCTGTCTCATTTGAGGGATTCTGATGTCCGTCCATATTGGATCTTCAGTCCAAATATTTATTGTATAAAAACCAATTCAACTTGAAAGATCAAAAGTCGGACGGGAAACTTTTTTTTATTTTGCCAGACTCCGCATGGGCGGTCAAGATGGTCTTATCGGTTATCGCAGCTCTGTCGCCTTTCGACTCACCTACGTAGCTAACTCCAACTTGCAAGATGGCAGGGAACGACAATGCATCGGGGGATGCCCATAAACCTCGGACAAAGAAGCAGTATGTATATGGATCCGTGCGGAATCATACATGAATGAAGCTAACCTATGCATAGACCCCCACCAGCTCCCTTCTACATTCCCCTCAACATCACTCTCTACCTATGCCTAATTGCCAACACTTTCGCCGCAATATTCTCTCCAATTCAAGATTGTGATGAGGTCTTCAATTTTTGGGAACCTACACATTATCTGCAACATGGATATGGTCTTCAAACCTGGGAATATTCCCCGGTTTATTCTATCCGGAGCTGGCTCTACGTGTCCCTCCATGCTGTTGTAGGCAAGATCGGGTCTTTGGTGGTCCACAGCAAGACAGCTGAATTCTATACAATTCGCCTATCTCTTGCATTTATGTGCGCCGCCTGCCAGACTCGACTATACTCTGCGATATGTCGTACACTCAGTCCCCGCATCGGTCTCTTGTTTGTCATGATCATCACACTGAGCCCTGGCATGTTTCATGCTTCGACCGCCTTTTTGCCCTCTACTTTTACCATGTATATGTCTATGCTCGGTCTGGCTTCGTTCCTGGATTGGAAGAATGGCCGGAAAACAGCGCAGGGCATCATGTGGTTTGGGCTGGGAACAATTGTTGGGTGGCCCTTTGCCGGTGCTCTCATTGTTCCTTTTTTGGCTGAGGAGGCTATTGTTAGTTTCATGTCTGGATCCGTTGGGTCACTAGTGTACAATGTCTTTGATGGCATCATCCGTTGTGTGTCAATTCTGGTATGTGACATTCTACTTGGTGTCAATGTCTTTACTAAGATATATCCCAGGCTCTTGAAGTTGCAGTTGACTACGCTTTCTTTCGAAAGCTCGTTCTCGTGCCTTGGAACATTGTTGCATACAACATTTTGGGAGGAGAAGGTAAGGGACCGGATATCTTTGGAACTGAGCCGTGGACGTTCTATGTTCGAAACCTCTTGCTCAACTTCAATGTCTGGTTTGTTCTCGCCATGCTATCCGCGCCCCTCCTGCTTTTCCAGGTCGTTTTTCGATCACACACTACCTCCTTGCAGACCTCATTGCGGTCCATGACCCTGGTCGCTCCATTCTATATGTGGTTCGGGATTTTCTCAGTCCAGCCACACAAGGAAGAGCGGTTTATGTACCCAGCATACCCGTTTCTGGCACTTAGCGCGGCTTTGAGCTTCCATATTATCCTGACCTACCTTGGCTCTACTAACCAGAAGGAACTGATCGGCCGCGTACCAACTAAACTAAAGATTGCAGCAGCCATGTCGGTTGTCCTAGTTGGTCTGAATGCCGGCATGCTGCGCACTCTAGGGATGGTTACGGCTTATAACGCTCCGTTGAAGGTGTTCGAGCCCCTACAGAGTGTGGATATCGCGCAGGCAGGAGACTCGGTGTGTTTCGGTAAGGAGTGGTATCGCTTCCCGTCATCATATTTCCTTCCCAACGACATGCGCGCCAAGTTCATCCGAAGTGAATTCCGAGGACTACTTCCGGGCGAGTTCCCAGATGCACCGAGTTATCTTGGACGTCTGGATGGTGCCTCACAGATCCCATCTGGCATGAATGATCTCAACATCGAGGATCCTAGCAAATACGTAAGTGTCTCAGCGTGGCGTTGGAACGATTATTCCTGTCTCTTTGCTGACTTTATGACAGACGGATATCTCTCAATGTTCTTTCCTGGTTGACTCTTACTTCCCTGGTCACGATGCAACCGAGCTAGAGCCCCATTACCTCCTAGACAAGGCGCAGTGGGAAACGCTTTCCTGCGCAAGCTTCCTCGATGCGTCTCAAACAGGTCTGCTGGGTCGGTTGATCTGGATTCCTGATTTCCCAGTCATGCCAGCTCGCTTCCGACGCAAATGGGGAGAATACTGTCTTCTCCAACGAAGAGTGCCAGGCCATGTATAGATCCAGGAACAAAACCTCTAGAATAATTATGTAAGAATATGAACACGGAATCCACTCGCATCGAATGTAAGCAGATAAGTAACACATGAGGTTATCAAGTACAAGTGTAGCGTCACCTTTCCCAATCGGGACAAAATATCCCTATGGACTTTTGGCTTTTCTCCGCAGATAACCCTCACTCCGCTTCGCCTGACACCAACGACAGACAATCCACGGACAGAGATCATGCAGTCCCGGATCTGACAGCTCGAAAAAGACGGCGTCCCCTCTTCCCCAGACAAGATAGTCTCTACCCTCAGCCACAATTAACATGTTGACCAAAGACGTCCTATCTCGTATCGGATTAACACTGCATCTCGCATGACAGAACCATCTATGTAGACAGTTAATAACCTTCTCCGCATTCCAGACTTGATAAGGGCGATCCGATTTGCGTTCACTATACACTAAAACAACTTTTGATCTTCGACTTTCTATTCTCAATGTATCCTCGAGCTAGGTACTGCCTAGGAGTAACTTGCGATGACCATGTCGACACCTGAATCCCTATGGGGAACTATCTTATCGACCCCGACGAAGAAAGTTGTGGATGTCTCTCTCATTCTCAGTATCTGTGTATGGCTTGTTATCTTGGTCTCGCGCAAGTGGACAGCCAGAGCCAGAGCTTCGAGAAGTGATCTAGAGAAACCCACTGCAGGTGTGAGAGGGAAGGTAACCAGGCCACCGGGTGGTAAGTAAATGCGGGATATGAGCACATACAAGAATGAGGAAGACTCACTGACTATTGCTACATCCATGTAGAATGGACTCCATCGGATTTCAAACGGCCAACAGCAGCCCCATACCCAGACTGGGATGTCCACTCGACAAAGCCAATTCCCTACCGGCCGTTTAGATATGGCCCGTATGTTGAACAAATCCATTGAAGATATTTCTGGCCGTCTTCTAACCTTTTCTGGCAGAAAGTACTACATCACGCTGGGTCTAAGAAGCATGAAATGGGACGAATGGATCGGTGAGTCGTTCTTCGATAGTAGCATGCCAGCCAGCCCATTGACCTCATATATCCCGAACACAGAGCTCGACAACCACTATCTGAAATACCACGCCGACAAAGCACGCCGCGTCAAAGAGCGCGGGAGCAAATGCTGCCATACAGCACCAGAGGCAATGGATTCTGCAATCGAACTACTGGAAGAACTGTAAGAGCAATCAAAGCATACCGACGTATATCCAAGAACCCCCTAACACCCCTCCCACCAGATGCGCCTACCTCCCCGAAAGATACCCAAGCATGTTCACCAAGACCACAACGGGAATAACCAACAAAGTAACCAACGAAACCTTCAACATAACCCAACGCCCACTGCCAGAGGACCCAATGGCGACAGCAGCGCGACTCGTCCAAGACGACCTAGCGCTCATGATCGAGCGAGCAGACGGCGAATACTACCTGTTAGCCGGGGCGATCCTGCTAGCGGGGTTCTGGCGACTGAGCGACAAATTCGGGATGCGACTATCTGAAATCCACACATCAGGCGACGTGCCGCAATTCAAGAGCAAGCTGGAGAAAGGGATGCTGAATTTCTTCCGGCGACTACGACCCGAAGAGCCCGTTCTGCGGAATAACTATTTCATCCAGGTGGACGATAACCTGGCGTGGTCGCATAGTATTGGGTCTGAGGATGCGGAGACGGTGTCGTGGAATACGGCGGAGAAGAACCGCGCGATTGAGAATCATTTCTTTCGCTCGGAGAGGCAGTCGTTGAGGAGATTGCCGAGATCTGGCGCGGTGGTTTTTACCATTCGGACTTATTTTGAGCCTATTACTGCCATTGTTGAGGAGCCTTATGTCCCAGGGCGTTTGGCGGATGCGATCAGGAGTTGGGGGGATGATGTTGGTCGGTATAAGGGGAAGGAGAAGTATCAGGACGTTTTGTTGGAGTTTCTGGATGAGAAGCATAGAGTGCAGGTTGAGGGGGGGATTGGAGGTTGAGAGGGAGGATGAGGTTAGGAGTTACCCTCTTTGAGTGCGATGTGGTTACGGGTTTCATGAATGATGTCTTTCGTTTATTCGATTATTTTGATGTTTCTTTCCAATATCATGGCTATTATATGCAATTAGTGCAATGCCTGGGCTTGATCTCTAAGCCGTGTATCCAAATGACCTCGACAGGCACAACAAATGTAGTAAAAGAGCATGCTCAGAGGGGACCAACTCCATATTCTTACACTCGCTGAATTCATTTAACGTAACTCAGACTCAACCAAGACAAATCATATATCCGCAATGGGCCCAGCTCTTCGACCTCCACCCCGTCTCGCGTAAGCCATCTCACGCTCCTCACGCCAGGAGCATTCATCACGGAACTCGCAGATCCGACATTTCCACGCGTCTATGATATCCACACCGCGAGGATCTCGCTTGCCGCGCCACCAGGTCATCTGGTCACTGAGGTAGGAGGTGAGGGATGTCGGATCGAAGAGGAAAGATCGGCTTCCGATAAGCTGTCTCTCTTGGTCTTCGTTGGCGGCGGACGAGAGATATCTAGCTGTGAGCACCGGGGAGAGGAGGGTTGAGTATTCTTCCAAGAGCTCTGGCTGGGAAGTTGAAGGGATAGATGGTGCGATAGATCGCGTGTCGGAGGAATTTTCGGGAAGGAATGTGAGACGGAGTTGTTGTATCATGAGACTCCAAAGACGGGAAAGGTTGTTGTGTGTTAGGAGCATGCCGGTCGAGTCCTGGCTAGCAGTAGGAGGACCCTCGTTCTGTTCGGATTCTTGGGAAGAGAGAGCGTCGAAGAATTGGTCGTTCAGGCCGCCAACCTCCGAGACGAAGGCGTTCGTGAACGGTTTCTCGGCGTCGAAGTCGTAACGAGCGGCCAGGAGGTCAATAGTGACATCGTCGCTCGTGATCAGCCGGTTGAGCATATGGTAGTAGAGTTGCAGCTGAAGAAGAGTAGGCCGGAACCCTGAACTTTTGACATTCGGGAGTGATCGGTTACCCTTCGTCTTCACGTCTGTCAAATAAATCCGGGGCAGGTTATAGACTTCTGCAGGCAGTTCCTGCTCAACATGCCCCGTTTCCTCATCTCCATTCTGTCCAAGGTCAGAAAGCTTCATTCCGCCTTGCGAAGAAGAAAGCAAAAAGTCCGACAAGGACATCTGATACTCCGGCAGCGCAGCGCGCGACGCTACAACATCTGCATAGTACCCAGCGGCAGTAGCCTCAAGCTCCGAATCAGGACACTCATAGGACAACTGATCAATAATGCCATTGACAAATTCCCCATCGACAACGCCCCAAACCTCCAGCTCACGCGTAACGCCATACTCGCGCAGCATGCGCAGTCCCTGGATAACATTCCATATCCTGAGACCCCACGCGTCCTCTTTAGTCGTGATTTCCACGGGAACAGTAGTGTAAATCTCATCTTCGAGCGTTTTGTGCATGGAGCTTCCCTTCTTCATAGCAGCAGTCCTCTTCTTCCGCCCATGTTTCGTCAACGTGAACCAGTACTGCAGCTCGCACCAAGCCGGCGAGACCAGATCAGTCACCGAGAACGCTTTGTTGGGTGCTTGCCGGAAGCGTTCAACGGGGGATCGAGTATCGAGCGCCGCCTCCGCGGGATCCTGCTGTGTCCATTCGAGCGCGCGCGCTGCGTTGCGCTCGCGTTCTATTTCTCGGCCCTCGGTTGAATTAGAGTGCTCGACTAAACGCTTCGGAGAAGATGTCGTCAGCTCAATTCAAGTTGGATGTAATGGGTCCAATCTATTGGAAAAGTGTGGATGATCAACCGCAAAGGGCAAGGGGAAAGTAAAGACGAGAAAGCATACCAGACGGGCTGTGCCTGTTGTTGTTACCAGCGCGCGGATTTGACCTCCCCATTGCACTCGCACTCGCACCCCATCTAACCGCCTGACCTGGTCGAGGCTGCCACTGCCGCCACGGCGAACGAGGCCCTTCCCGGCCCAGCACCTTAGGCAGCCGGACGCTAGGTGGCTCAACGCCATCCTCGATATCTGCAACGAGTGCTTCTAAAGCTGCCGGTTGCAATGACTCGAGATCGGCGAGTTCTGGGGATTTTGGTGCGGTGATGGGTTCGACCGGTGTTGGGGTCGAGATCCAAGTTGGTGTCGAGATCGAAGTGGCGTCGGCATCGGTCGCGTATTCCGCGACGGCTTTGTTCAGTAGTTCGTTTAACAGATCCTCTTCATCTGGAGTGAAGTCGGATCCGTAGTCTGAGTCATCCTCATTTCTTTCTGGGCAGGACATGCCTGCGACTGGAGGGGATCATGCTCTAGATCGGGTTGATGTTCGGGTGCGTCATTGCAATGTGCCTAAGTGAGGAGTTGCCTTAAGAATCCGGTTGTTCTTACTGGCCGGCCATCACATACTGGATGATTGTAGAAATATTGAATATTACATAGAATCATAGAATGCAAATTGCAAATTAGCAAAAGAGAAGTCTATTGATCTAAGTAATTGCTCTTGGTATCCCATGCATCGCTTTGAAACAAAAAAAGAAACATCCCCAGCCAATATTCGGCAGGGTTCTATAAATCTATACATCCAATCGGCCCTCAACTTTACTTTTATGTCTTCGTCTCATGCATTCATGCATTCATGCAGTCCCAGCAGAGATCAGATTCCCCCCCAGAAACAGCATTCAATGCGCCAACACTCATCCCCTCTGCCGCAGCAAGCGCCTCAGCAGCCGCAACCTCCTTAGCAGCCTTCTGGTTCAACCAACTCAAATAGGTCTGCCAGCCGACCGCAATGCACCCAGAGAAGACGTTCCGGAACTGCGCCGGCACATACATAAAGCTGAACGCAGTAACAGCCGGCCAGAGCTTGACGCTGTTTTGGATGCTAACGGGAAGAGCCTTCTTCAACCGCTCCCACGTTTCGTCGAGCGTCGCACCAGCAAGAAGAGAGTGCACACTGAAGAAGTACGTGTTAAAAACGGGAGTAAAGCACGTCTGCTGCACAACGACCTTGGTCAAAATCGACAGGAACTTGCTCGGATAGTTGAAATGGTTTCCGAGGAACATGAACCTAAGAGCGGGTTATGTCAGTTAACATGTACACACGCACACAGATATCCCCGACATCGTAACAATAGATAGAGACCATTGGTCGTCTGTCACATAACAAAACCCCACATCACAGAACATACCAGTTATAAGACGGAATACTCGACCCAGCACCAACACACAAATGCCGCAGCGTCCTAAGCGGATCATAACCCGCGCTCACAGTTCCCCCATCCCCCTGAACCGCAACGCCATCTTCCGAGTCCGATTTCGCAGGCGCAGGAACCTCAGAAGGGAACAGCATCTGCGCGCTCAGATCCCCACACAGGTAGATAACGATCGCGCTCCAGAACTGCGTCGTGTACGGCTTTTGCTCCTGCACGCGCGCATACCATCTTCCCACCTTCCCCACCGGGCCGGCCTTTATCACCTCGCGGAATCCGCGACTTCGCACGGGTGTGGTCGTTGCTCCGGCTGCCGCTGTAGCGGGGGTTGTGTCTGGCAGCCGGGGTGGAGGTGAGGTTGTTGAATGGTGCGAGTGCGATGGGTGTGCAGGTGTGGTATTTCTGTCGCCGGATGTCTTCCCTGCGGAGGAGTCGGAGTTGTATCGGCGTTGTGGGCGTGCTTGGCGCAATACCTGGGGTTGGGATCTGGGGGTTATCGGTCGGCGGAGGGTGGAGGTTGAAGATGAGGTCGAGGCCCTGGATAAGAGGCCATTTCGGAGGGGGTTCATGTCCAAGGCCACATCTATTATTTACAAGTGAGAATAGTTCAATGTTGAAAGTGGAAGTAGAGAAAGTTGTCAGGAATGACAAAACAATGAGCTTTGAAATCCGACCTCGGGGATTGTGGCGATAAGAGCCGAAAAGCGGGTGAAACTCCGAGGCAAGGGCCGGATGCAGGTTCCGATTAGGGTTGGGTTTATTGTGAATATTTACTATATAGAAGGCATACATGAAAGGGGGGTTCTAAGATGAACATTTCAATTGATATTTCTGTGAAATCAAACCCAAACTCCGGCTCGATACAATGCAATCCCATAAAAACATTAATCGGATGAGGTTGCCCTCAGTATGTATGGATGATATGAACGGGTATCAAAATAAAAACAAATATAACACGCAAAAATGGTACTTTTTGTGACACGGGGGGAAAGGGGAAGAGGAAGAGGTCAATAGAAACTATGATTAGAGTGACACAGGCATGTATAGGTATGGCAATGCCCGGGCAAGAGATCGTAAGGTGAGAGTGGATATAAACAAGCTGCTCAGCAGCCGTCTATTTGAAGGAGTCACGAGTGTGGACACGGTCAATGTCGTAAGGATTTCCTTCATAGGTAACCGAGCGAGCCAACGAGCCAGCAGTGCGAGTGGAAGCAACAGAGTGCGCATGGCTGCGAATGCGCTCCGTAGAAGGGAGTTCTTCAACACCGTCCTGGGACTCGCTGGAGAGCGAGCCTTCGGGCACAGGAGCCTCTGTGCGGTCGTATTCCACTTTCTCCTCTTCCGCCGGCGCTGTAGTGACCTGTTCCTGGAGCTTGCGCATGAACGCATCGGACTGGGCGGCGAACTTGCAACGGGTGCGGATCGCGGGACCGTACTTGTAGAACAAGAATGGGAATGGCACGCAGGCGAGCGCTAGGAAAGCCGGGATCGACGATGCCCAGTGGATACCCAGGTTCTGATACATGTAGGTGGTGAAGAGAGGGAAGGCAGCACCGAAGAGCGAACGGATGACGGAGTTGGCAGCTAGCACGGAGGCAGCGAAGATGGTGTAGGAGTCAATGAGGTAGTTCATGATGCTGAGGAAGACAAGAACCATTCCGAAGCCAAAGGGGACGCCAGCTGCAATGCTGACCATGAAGTGGATTGAGGGATAGTTGGTCCATGCGAACCAGAATAGACCGATTGGGATTGCGACGGATGCGACGAGGCAGGGCGGGAGACGTGCTTCCGGTGGTGCGAAGCCATTATGTTTATCGGTTACCTCGATATAGCGCTTATTGTCCCAGAGCGAGTAGGCGACGGCAATCAACATGCCGATCATGATACCGAGGAAGGCAAGGCCACCAACACCCTGGTTCCAGCCGCGGGACTGCTGGTAGACAATAGGGAAAGCGGCAAACATCATATACAAGGTACCGTAAACAATAGCCATGTAGAGAGATAGCAAGAACACAATAGGCTCCTGGAACAAAAGAACCCAAGGGCGGGAGAGTGACAGTTTGAACGACTCCTTGAGAGAGACCTTGCCTTGGTCGATTTCAAGCTTACTCCGGTAGACCTTGCCCGACAGCTTTGAGAGCCTCTCCGCACGGCGGCGGAGAAGCACGGGCGCATAGGTCTCAGGGATCGTCAGAGAGCCTATAATCCAAACAGTACCAGCAAAGACGGCAAGGAAACCCATGACCCATTGCCAGCCACCGTCACTCATACCAATGAATCCACCAGCGATGGGGCCAATGATAGGGCCGAGGAAAGGTGCAGCGGCGAACAGACTCATGGCGACACCTCGCTGCTTAGCGGGAAACATATCCGCAATGACACCACCTGCGTTGGTCAAAGGCGAAGATCCAAAGGAACCGGCGAAGAACCGAAGGATGATTATAGACCAGGCATTCTGAGAACCTGCGACACCGGCATTGAAAGCTGTGAGGGCGGCATAGGTGGTAATGAACAGGACTTGGCGACCAAACAGCTCACTTAGTGGGGCCCAGAGCAATGGTCCGATCTATACCCAAGCAAATAACCGTCAGTATGCATGTAAAGCAGATTTTGGGCAAGCTCAAGAGCCAATGTCTGGAGGGTGGAGGACTTACGGCGAAACCGAGAACGAAAAGTGAAACACCAAGAGTGGCAAGCTCTTGCCCGATATTGAACTGCATCATGATCTCTTGAATACCGCCGGTATAGGCAGATGATACTAGTGAAACAGCCAATGTTGCGATGGCCACAAGCATAGTAAAAGTCCATTTCTTCACCTCGCTGAAGTTCATGGGATTGCGAGGGTCATCGGGGATCCATGTTACTGCAAAGGGGTCCTCATCTGTTCCTGAACCGGGGTATGTGTGATCAATGATCTCTTGCGTGACGACGCCCTGATCAAAGACCAAGCGCCAGTATGGGATTTTCGTTGGGGCAGAGGGCTCGATCTTGTCGATCTGAGGCTCTGAGTCAGCTGCCATGGTGGGCAGGTAGTGAATTAAGGTTGTGGTATATACGAGTCGACGGTATTGGAAGTATTGGAGGTTGGTTATGTGCTTAAGGTGAAAAGGAGGGGTGAAGCTTTGCGGGGGAAAGACCAATGCCGAGGGAAATCAGTGAATTGGAGACGGGCCTCCAGTTATATATAAAAGGGGGGGGGTTGTAGGATTATGAATACAATATATGCAGATAAAGTACGGATAAGTGGAATCCGGTTCTCAGGGAATAGGTGGGCCCCGGACCCGGACAAGATATTTTTGAATCAAAATTTGACGTCTGGGCCCTTTACAAGGTTATGTTGTTTTGGGCATATATTGTATATTTTTTATACACTTTAGTATAAAGATTTCAGACTGATTTATATCCGTCCACTTCGGTGATATAAAGGCTATACGTAGTACAAATATGCATACCCTAGCCCTAGAGGTACTCAGATGCAGACTCAGATGCAGCCCTGGAAGTAAAAGTTGCTCTTATCTGTTTGCAGCCACGTTGTTATGCCACGTGATTTATGAACGTTTTATGTTGAGCAACTCGGGTACACGGCATCGATCTGATTGGTCAACTGCACTGCAAGTTTCAACATCCCAGAGGTCCTAGCGTTTCTGTTCTAGTCTATTCTACCTAGATAGAGATTAATTAGAGATTAATTTCGTTCTCTAATATTATACATAACACCACGGAGTACTCCGTGCTCCGTGTACAACATATAAATAAAGTACAAATAAAATTTAACAAGTCAATGTGCACACATGGACATCGGGCCGTGCATAACCTTCGGAGTCCACACTCGGACGTTCCACATGGGACTCGGTACCTTGCCGAAACTACCGAAGCTTCAACAAATCTAAACTTCCCTGGATCGGGCAATTTAAGGATAATCTCCGGTGCACGTACAAAAATGGAGTTTATGATTATTATGACCGGCAAACTCCGTGCACATACTTCGTATCCACGTTGTGATTGATAATTATCAATCCTCGAGATCAGGCTTATGCATGGTGGAGCTACTATGTATAATATTTTCTAATCCAGCCCCTGTTTGAGTACATAGATCGGCAATCAGGATGCTATTTCCGATGCTAACGCGTAATTTGCTTATGTTGTACATTTCAAAATGTCTTTGGAATCTGATCCAAGCTAGGCACCAGCGCTGTGCTTCGCTCCATCGAATGTTGTGTTGATCGAGTTCACCTGGGGGGCCATCAGGCCACCCATGGGCTAATATCAGCCATCTTGTTAGGCACGCGCGGACTCGAAAGAGAAAAGGGGGGGGGAAATAAAGGCGTAATCATTTGAAGACATCTCCTGGCCCCAAGGTTCTAGTTTCAGCTAGGAATCAGTTATGTGCATGGATGTATCTCTTAGAAATATATATATTAGGCTATAAAAGGCTATATCTCCAGGGTTCAGCCAAGGTTCGGTGGTACTGGCGGGTAAAACTGCACGCGGGTGGCTTGCAGAAAAAATCAGTTCAAGGAGAAGTTTGGAATGAAAGAGAAGCCACCAATTCCACGGGAGCTAGAATTTTCTACGCTCCCTTGGCGCCTTCCTTTAGCCTCAGGCCAGGTAATGTGGATCTACTGTGAATAGATACATTTGCATCCGGGCTATATGGTCTTGATCTTGGTACCCAAGAGGGTTATACGTGTCAACTCATATCAGTAGATGCTTCTCGGCTTCAGCTGCTTAGTTCTCTCATTTCGAAGATGTTCCAGTCATGTTGGCTGTAAGATCAAAGAAACAAAACACGCGTTCAAGTCACTCTGTCCCCACTTAAAACTGCATGACAGCTGGGGACACATAAACGGCCATCTAGCATGTGGTTCAGCCTTGCAAGTAGAGCCTTGCAAGTAAAGAACGATTTTAAACATAGCACCAAATAGATCACCTGCTTAAGAATCAATGCACGTGGTTTCAGACTGTCAAATTTACCGTACTGGAAATGCACTCGACTTGTCTTTCTTTTACATACTAGGTTTGATACCAGCATCGACAAATGTGTTCATCTGATCTACTCCCTATCAGGGTTGTTCTCCGTTCGAGGACTTGTCACACGTATAATTCTGATCTATTGGTCTAAAGAGCAATGAGTCATTCTGATGTTCACCCGTGGACCTACGGTACACCTGGGGAGGACTACCTACCTGGTACTACTGCCCTACAGTGCCTATGACGTGTTAAGCTCACTATGACTCAATCCAAGTCCAGCTCGCGGGTTTTCTTTGGAGTCAGGTGCTTGTGTGGCGACCGGATTGGATTATGGGGTCTACTCAGGGCTTTTGTATGGCGGGTATGAACTAGTCGGAAACCCGAGTTCAGGTTGCGCGCTGTTTAATTCTTTTTTGTTTTCACTGCTTGATTCATATTGTATTATACAATTTGATTGGAGACTTCCAGGTTCCTCGTTAGATCGGGGTTAAGTAACGGTGAAGTCATAGTCGAGTTTCAGACGAGTCACATTGAGTGCACATGTATGTGCTTTCGCATGGTCAAGTCCCAGTACAAGGCGGCCCACGTTCTTTTGGCTGCTTTTCCAAGTGAGAAATAATTGCTTCAATCTCAATGTCCAATGTCTGTTTGTTGCTGCCTAATTATAAAAGTCTCGTACTTATGATGTTTGCCTCTTGTTGCGCAAGGAAAACCTTCCGGGAAGGTTCGGGGTGTAATCGAACCATTTGTTTTCATATTGGCCTGAGAACAATCATGTGCAAAGATAGACTATTCTATTGTCGTAGGCTAAATTATTTCCATCTCATTTTGCTTAGGCAGTGTTGTTGGGTGTTGGCACTATAGCCCTGTATGGATATGCCGCCAGTTTGAATGGGGTGAGGGGTATCGCCAGGGCTTGCGACCGTCGCCTTGCATACGGGCGCGAGAACACAAAGAAAACCCAAACACAATGCAGAAGACCGCCCAAGTCCAAGCGCACCAGTAACTACAGAAGGCGCGTCGATTGCAAAGATTTACAGAAGGAATTACACGCTACCGTTTACAAGGAAGAAAAGAAGTGATGAATCATAGAAGACGGCATTATAGCGTCTTGTCATGAGATGATGCGCGCTAAGGCATCATGTTAAAAGGGAGCCCCCATAATGTACATGCCCATGACTGACCCATCAATCGATGGTGAGCAGTAGCATCGATAAAAAAGCAAATTGCGAAGCAACCCGGTGCCGAAACCCATTGATATTTGAAAGCAAACCCATCATGTATCGCCAGTAGTCATGATAAAAAGATAAAAACAAAACCCCATGATCGCCTTTCAGAAAACCAGCTCGTTGAAAATAAAGAAATTACGAGCGCTCGCCACGGAGACGGCGGGCCAACTGGATGTCCTTGGACTGGATGGTGACACGCTTGGCGTGGATGGCGCACAGGTTGGTGTCCTCGAAGAGAGAGACGAGGTAAGCCTCAACGGACTCCTGGAGAGCACCGATGGCAGAGGACTGGAAGCGGAGGTCGGACTTGAAGTCCTGGGCGATCTCACGGACCAGACGCTGGAAGGGGAGCTTGCGGATCAGGAGCTCAGTGGACTTCTGGTAGCGACGGATCTCACGGAGAGCGACGGTACCTGGAGATGGACCGTTAGAAAATGTTCCAGTGTATGCTTGATGGATGCCTTGTTCGACATGAGATAGAACTTACCGGGCTTGTAGCGGTGGGGCTTCTTGACACCTCCGGTAGAGGGAGCGGCCTTGCGGGCGGCCTTGGAAGCGAGCTGCTTACGGGGGGCCTTGCCACCAGTGGACTTACCTGTTTGAACAGTCAGTAAAATGTTTATTGTCAATGCGTCTACGCGTCACCAAATCCCTGCCTCGACGCGAGAACCTGACTAATCAGGAGGCGACGGCGAGGTAGAAAGGTGAATAATAAAATATGATAAAGAGATACTTACGGGCAGTCTGCTTGGTACGAGCCATCTTTGATGATAAACTTGATGAAAAGTGGTTTTTGTTGATAAAAGAGTTGGTTGGCGGAGGATGGATGTAAAAGGGAAGAGAGAGGTGGGTGGGGAAGAGTATTTGTAGGAGACGGGAGGGGGGGAATTGATCTGGAAGGGAGCCACGAATCAGGGGAAGTGAGCCGATCTGGATCAGTCAGGAAAATCTGCGCGTAGGACTGGGGACTGCGTAGCGTGTAGCCCAAAGACTGATTTGCGGTGAGCTCTGATTCGCTGAGCTGGATCAAAGTGCTGGTACTGCCAACTAAGCGAGCTCTAAACCAATGAGAATGCAGGATCAAGGAGTATAGAATGCCAAACCCTTGAATTCTTGATCTTGCACCCAACCTCCTTTGGATGGACAATCAATGCATTTTGAAGTATTCGACATCCTTTGGAATGTATAATTGTTCCATTTTTATTGTAGATTTACATTGTTGGTGGTGGATTATAGTAGGATCAAAGATGGGCCACGGCAAAGTCGGCGTACCAACTCTGGGGTCTCCCGGTAGATCAAGGTTGGTCTGTGATCCTGCACTCTCATTGGTGGACGCCATCCCTAGCGCGTGATTTCCCAGTCCTCGTTGATTCCCGTATCATACAAATATCCTCTGTCCACTTCCGTTTCCTTTCCCTCTTTTTCCATCAATTCCATCGACAACCTCCCAACTACCAACTCCACATCTCCTCTTCTACAAACCCCTTTTTCCTTTTAATCCATATTCAATATGTCTGGCCGTAAGTTACTACCCCGCACTTCCATTTCTTCAACAAGAAGCGCGTTCTAACGCGTCTCATTTCAGGCGGCAAGGGTGGAAAGGGTCTCGGCAAAGGTGGTGCCAAGCGTCACCGCAAGATTTTGCGTGACAACATTCAGGGTATTACCAAGCCCGCTATCCGTCGTCTCGCACGTCGTGGTGGTGTCAAGCGTATCTCCGCTATGATCTACGAAGAGACCCGTGGTGTCCTCAAGACCTTCCTCGAGGGTGTCATCCGTGACGCCGTTACCTACACTGAGCACGCCAAGCGCAAGACTGTCACTTCTCTTGACGTTGTCTACGCTCTCAAGCGCCAGGGCCGTAAGTTTCCATGTGTCTTTCCATTCTACAACGCGTCTCTAACCTTCCTCCTCAGGTACCCTCTACGGTTTCGGTGGCTAAATCATTTGTTCTTTTCTTTTCCGGGCTGGTTCACGGTACGACGGGACGTTGGGGTGTTCTCTGATTTATTTTACTACAACTGTCATGGGTCTCTGGGTTTGCTTTTCATAACACTCGATTACCAATATTGCGCGGCCATAGTGCGCGCTTCTGAGCTTTTCTGTATCATAGCGGCCTCCAAATTACGGCTGGCACCATGGACATGGTGGGATCAAGCACTTAAAGTGCGATCCGATACGAATACAATTAAAACTTGAAACAATTTTGGCTCTTTCGGTCTCGCTTGTAGTATACCTCGCGTCGTGTGTCTTGTGACTTGGCATGTTGTCTATTTGCTTGGCTTGTGTTTTGGTGTTTGATACCCTATTCTCGGCGGCTGATGCTTGGTCATTTGACGTTTGCAGGTTTGAGGTCTCGTGGCTTGGGTTTGCTTGACGCGTTGTTTTGCCTGTCTAAGGCCTGTTTTCCTATGCTCAGCATCAGCCCACCATGAGTTATGGATTTTGATTAAATATCTGTTACAGATCTAGTACTCCTACCTACGTATTTCTTAAACTCTCTAAGTGGCTACATGTATTCTATCGTATGCCATGCTACCGCTGGTTTCTTTGGTGCTTCCATGACGTGTACTGGGGAGGATATACACATGTCTACGACAACCTCATCTTATTTTTCCGTAGACCACCTTTAGTTACATATATAATATGCTTGATTGCCATCGTGATCTGATCCTTTGACCGATGGGTTCAATCCGATTCGAGGGCTGTGTTGTGTGGGTAGTACGTGTGGTTCGGGTTATAAGTGGGCGGTATAGTAAAAATATATATCGAACCTTACATTGGGTATGGACTGCCAGTCAACACGTGGAAAAGCATAGAACCCACATACAATGCACAATCAAATATTGAATACACCATTAACAGTATAAGTGCTCTACTCATAGCCGTACAGACCACACACTGTGGCGTGGTGAGCAAAGACCTGGAGATTCGCCACCCACTTGTCGAAGTTGAAACCCCCGAAACGGCAGTTCAACTTTACTTGGCGCTATAGAACATGGTAAATTCCGACATATGACAACGAACCGGCAAAAGCATTTCAACTGGGTTACGAGAGATACATCGAAAAGCCAGGGTCGAAATTGGACCATAGTATTATCCCTTTTAACTACAATGAAAGTCCATTTGTCAAATGAAGACCGAGTTGACCCTCCCAAAAGGGGAGCCTTGGCACTACAACTACCCTTCCGGGGACACATCAGACGTAAGTAGATGGTCCGAGGCGCTACACCCAAAAACAAAAAAAAAAACAACATCCAAATAGATTGAGGCCACTCCGCTAGATAATAAATGGTGCATCACCAAAGCGAGGAAGGGTGGCAATTGACTCCCCACGACCCAGGCTCCAAGGCACTGGCAAACAAACAGCATATGCAGGCAGCAAACATCAACACGTATAATGCCAGGTACATGCGAGAGTACCCAACCACCGTCCACTGTTTGCCGGTCAAGGCTATGTATACCCATACATGCATACGGACACCTAAGATAGCATCCAAGTTGGTCAAAATACCCGACCACTGCCTGGTAACTTGACGGGCCATCCACATCCAGAAATTTGAATATGGATGAGAACAAAATTACGAGGGCCCCCAATGAATGGTCTAAATAATATGCACAGAGAAAAGAAAGACGGGAAAAGAAAGACGGCGAGTCATCTGAAACGAAGCTTAGTGTAAGGCCGAAATGCAGGCAAACACTCCTGGACTTGCATGGGTCCCCAGGATTCAAGTCACCCATGGAAGGAGACAGGAGGGAATACATATGTACCTCTTTCCCCCTTCTTTCTCCGCATTGTGATTCTCCCCACCACCCGAGGTCATAAACCAAAAGAGAGCCAAGCACCAGTACCACCAAGCCCTGTCATAACTTTGTCACCATGGAGAAAAAGACACTATTAGGAAAAAGGAGACAGTTCAAAGAGCTTCTCAGGGGCCTAGCAAGGTATCATGCTACCATGCGAGTGGGTAGGAAAATCACTAACGATACCGCAGTATACACCTTGACCACAAATACAGCGACCTTACCATTGTGTGTGGCGACAAAGAATATGCCGTGCACAAGTGCATAGTCTGCCCAAGGTCGGATTTCTTTGCGAAAGCTTGCGATGGTGGATTCGAGGTAAGATGCACACTGAGATGGCGGGAACAAGACCAAAAACGTTGCCCCGGCTAATCAAACACAGGAATCGGTCACAAACAGGGTTGTACTAGAAGAAAAGCCGGACCTAATCGAGCGGATGATTGAGTATCTATACACTCTGGACTACCACTTGGAAGTTCACTCCCCAGAAACAGAGCTTTCTGGGCACCCAAGATGGAGAAAACCCGGAGGATAGATTGGAAGAGCTTGATGACATAGACGAAGAGGCAGCGACCGCGTGCAATACCCTGTCGCTTCATATCTTGATGTACTCGCTCGCTCGCCGACTACTCATCCATGGGCTCAAGGCTCTCTCTAAGGACAAGTTTGAGAAAGAGCTGGCTCGGGTGCGGCTGGACTCAAGCACGTTCCCGCACATTATCTCTGGGATATACGGCTCAACACCCGAAAGCGACCGAGGTCTACGGGACCCTCGCATTGAAAATGACGGTGGATAATCTCGTGGCCCTGAGAACTGCAGCGGGAACCGGAGAGGAATCAGGACCCATGGCTTTTCCGGACTCATTGGCGAAATCCACGCCACAATTCTCGTCCGATCTGGTTTTGGAAATGGTGAACAGAACGGCAGCTGGGGTACTCACTCTGAAGAAAACCTGAAAGACTGAAGCGGGACCTAGGAATAAGATAGAAGAGTTGATATGATTCAAATTGCATTGGAAGCAAATTGTAACTGCAGTTAAACCGTATATTACGTAGGCGACCAACCCCGGGAAAACTGCACAAAGAAACACAATCAGCCGCTGTACATACTAGAAGGTGAGCAGGAAGCGACAAACTGAGACCAACAACCTGGTATCAGACCAATGGAGGCAATGCCCATGTAAAACCAAACCAGCGGTTCGACACCCCAGGCTGAATTGGCTGACGCTGTAACAACTGATCAACACCACAAAGTCTGAATAAATCCATGTAAACATGAGGAGGGCAAATAAGGCCGCCATTGACAGGGTAAATTGAGGCCGAGATAGAGGACATCAGATCACTCTGACCACAGCATTCGACTGACGGGGGCTTGAAGGTTCCGAAAACCCCATGCTGACCGTCAAACTGATATGGCCTTGCTGACTTCCGAATTTCTCGCCTCTAGTGAAGCTGATGAGATTTACTCTTCTCACCCCGTCCACCCTCGCCCGCCGAAATATCTGTCAGTCTACCCGGCCGACTATTGCTGAATCCCCTCTACAGACAGCCCGGATGCTCACTAGAAACTAGTCCTGATTGCCGAACGAGAAGACAAACTACGCTGTACGCCGAGAAACCTGCCAAAAGCGACACTACGAACAGTTGATGAACAGTGGATCGCATATTGGGGTCTTGTTCGGGAAACATCCATGGGGCTGCTGAATACTGAAAATGAGCACGATGGAATCAGACCTGTTCCGAACTGTGTAGGACAAGAATGTGTCGTAATTTTTACGAATGACTGGATATGGGAAGAGGAAGAAAAAAAAAAAGACCAAAAAAAGATAGACATAGCATGTCCTGGTTTCGATCCAGGGACCTGTTGATTGTTAGTGATGATGTTGTGGGTGAAATTGGATTCGGTTAAACGTACCTCCGGGTTATGAGCCCGGCGCTCGTTCCCCTGAGCTAACATGCTGGAACGTTGTAAATCAGTATCCTCTTTGACTACATTAGCCAGAACAAGTAAGGCAGATTTTACACATATAGAAAGATCGATCACTCTGAGTTTTACTTGAAGGGCTACATCACCACTGTAAGGCAATAAATCAGTTTGTGATCATCTATTACCCTTCTGTGGTATACGGATATAATAGCCCTGAGAACTCGTATATAAGAATCCCATACTCTAAACCAGCGCCTCTAGGGATCCTTCTTTGGAAGCTGAAATTTCCAGTATTTAGTTACCTTCTCCTGCCTGTTCAGGAAATGCTGATGCCTTGCAGGTTGCCGCCTCATATCAAGACGGCATCTTGCAGTGTCAACCTATAGGCTCATTGCTATCCGTAGTGTCCAGCCTAACATCGGTGCATAATCTCTATTGATGGTAGCTGAGAGAATCTCGATGTAACCACATATCCTTGTGTCACCAACAAATGTGGTACAGAAAGGACTATATCTATCTGTAGGTACTGGCCTCATTCTCTATATTGTCAAGGACATACGAGCCGGACTCCTATCTACTCCAAGGGTCAGCTACCTAGGACATTTGAAGGGTCTATCAAAAGGATTATCGCAAGGGATCGACCTGAAGGCTGGGTCATGGGGTGCTTGGTCATTGGTGGGCCCTTGGTTTCCAGTTCTATACAGTATAGGTATTAGATACCAGCAAAAAGTATAATTATATTTATTGTGTACTATCAGAAACATGTGGCATTCTGGAATGCAGGGCTAGATCGTGTCTAGCTTCTAAAATTCTAGAATGCACGTGTACATAGATAACCAAGTAAGGAGTCTACCATCCCTTGCTTCTATGAGCATAGCCACAACTCTTTTCTCAACAAAGCTCCTTGGAGCCTCCTTTCTAAAAATTTGCTGACTCAAGATGACGAAGCACATAGTATATGCATACGCGGCTAGCCTTGAGGATCTATACCAGACACGTGATAGCCCTTTGAAGTTGCCAAGGTGTGAGTCAGAACAACCAGTCAGTACCGACGACCCCAAAATGACAAATATCGGGATAATCAATAATCAACTACACTAAGATGTGTAAAGCGCAAAAAAAAAGAAAAAGAAAAACTTGTCTGAACACAGATTTGAAAGCAGGAGCATGGTCCTCCGACAATGTCGGCGGTGCCCGGAGGCCGGTATTCCGGAACGAAAATAGAAAGCTTCCAGAAGAATTCGAAGAGCAACGCTTTACTGAATGCAGGACTAGCGTCATGCACAAGCCACGGAAATTTCTTCTCGAACATACCAGAAATACCGAATACGATTACCTGCAGATCGTGGCTGCACTAAGTGTCGTATGGTAACAGGTTAAACCGGCAACTTGAACGGCGTAACGGCATTACCGAGAAGTGGCTGTGCAGCCATAGCTGTGGCAGCCAATCATTTACATTGAAAACTTTTTCACTCTGCATTAGGCTGTTACTAAATATGATCCTGCATGACAATCTCGCAGACCCGTCACCGAGAAACCCGGATTAAAGTGCTGACATATGTAGAATTCTTTTTGGTCGGCATTGCATGCCGGTGAAAATTTTTTCTCCGTGACTTTTTGAGTCCTTATGCAGGGGCCCTCTCTTGGTAATGAGCGACAGGATCAATGTCTACCCAATTGAAAAAAAGGATATGTACATTGTAAACGAGGATGCCTTCGGTAGGCAAATCCGTCAATAGATCTACTATCCCACTATATCTGAGTGGGCCCTTGGATCTGAATACTTGGATCAGCTGAGGCTGGTTTGCCACTTCCCCGGACTCTGTAGGGGCCACGTTTTGGTGTACCCTTAAGGAATTCGCCAAGATAAGAAAGGAGATTAGTCGGGAATTGGGCCAGACTGTTCGGTAAATACGGGCAGACCCCGGACCCGAGTTGGCGTGTCCAGACCGAGAAAGTCACTTAGCCCCGAGAACGTGCCGGTCGGGTTTATCTTGCGCTAGTGGATTTCAAAGGGAAATCCCTAGAGATCACATGGCACCCGTTGGACTATTGTTGCTGCCTTCTGTTTTTGCCTCCAAACAAGATATAAGCTGGAGAGTCGGATTTTGCCGATGTTGTTCGGTTCGGAGGCCATTGGTCTGCAATCTGATACTCCGGAATCTAGTGTCTTAGCCATGTGCATATGCACGGTTGAAGGATGACAGCGCTAAAACAGAAAATTTCGAATGTAACCCGCAGTACATGGCATTCTTACCACGCTACTCATGGTGTTCCGCGTGCTACAAAGCCCGCGCTAACGATTTAGCTGATCTACAGGGATCCGAGCACTGGGAAAATATGAAAACACAAAATTCAACATTCATACTCCAAATTAATACTCCAATTTTTATTCCCAACACTTTTTGAGTCAAAGGGAAAAACATATGATTCACATGTGATCGAGTCATCGAATCATCGAACAATGCAGACCACAAAATTAAGGCAATCAGCCCACAGTAAAGAGACCATGTGACCATGATCTTAGAGCCTTGCGCATGGGATTCTTGTGTAGCGTAACAATGATAAACCCAGATGGGCATTTCCCGCCGAGCCTATGCCAGAGCTAAGTCCTGTAGAGACAAGCGCTTACACCTGGGACAAATGTAAGACATGGGAAGTATTCGCCCGTGGACGATAGCCCTTCGCTTAAGACAAAAAAATTAAAATTAAAAAACCCGTGGTGACTCAAGATCTGGGATCAGCTGGTCATTAAATTTCTATATACAAACAAGATCCATGGAGCCGTGTCCAACTTCAGCTTATCATGCCATTAGATATATGGTCAGCTGACTGTCGCGTCTGTCGAACTACGGCCGAGCGGAACCCGCCGATTGGCGCGTAGTGGGGAGACATCGCAAGACAATTGCAAGACAATCCCAGCGGAATCGGAAGACAGTTGAGAGACAATTACTTCACAGCCTCAATTTTAAGTATTCGAGTCATGGAATTCGTGTACGAAGAAATGAGAAGAATGTGGTCTGCACGGTGTAGGAATGAACGTTCTGACGACCGAACCATTGGGCACCAGCCACATGGCTCCATCTCGATGTGGCTAGTGTATCCACAAAGAGAGTACTAGCTGTGTCTGGACAAATAATTAATATACACGGCCGAGTACTCTTCGGGTCTCAATTATCCATTCCTAGCGACGTCTGACTCACCGGAAATAGTACGGAGTACGGAGTAGATCAGGCCGAATCAAATTCCCAACGGACCAAAATTTAGTATGCGAGATGGGGACAAAAAACAAAACTAAGGTGTGGCTCAGCCCTAGGGATATCTCGGCATCTCCACCCCCATTTTCCTAATTTTGGCCCTGGTCACCCGAGTGCAAATCGGAGCTAGTTCTAGATTATGCGACAGAATTTTCTTCTCCCTTTTTACTTTATTCTCTAAGCGATGTACTGTAAACCTTGGCTGAATGTTTTGCCCGGAATTCTCGTAAATAAAATTAAAAAAGTAATAATAATATTATTAATGTAGATCTTAAACAATTCCCATTGACGCCCCAAAAGCCCAATCATATAGAAATATAGGTATGGTGGATCCTTGTGGCTTTTTTTTGTATATCCTGTAAGCCACAAACTTCATAAGGGAAAGAGTGAAAGAGATCCCCAGATCAGATCAGTGGGACTCGGTAAAAATGGCGTATGTGGTGATACGAATCCAATCCCAATTTGGACTAGCGTAGGAATTGGGTACAAAAATAAAAATAATAATTACGCCAATTACGCTAAATTGGTCAATACGGTAAATTGTTCGGAGAGACCGAGCTAGTGAGGTCATCTAGTACAGAGCGCTCTTTATTAATTCACTCCTCCCGACCTCTTTCAACTTCATTACTCATAAAACACTCTGACTCTTGAGATCATCATATCAAGTAAGATTTGCTTTTCCTCCGGTCGAGTCATTCTCCAGAACCAAACTCACACCAACCACAGTCATCTCTATTAAAGTTCCAGCCCTCTGATATTTCCATTCGATCAGCCTCCCGACGTTTCCAGACTCTTCGCTACCTGAAGCTTTGAACCAAAGTCTCAAATCCAGATTTCTCCAAAAGCACGGCCACAATTGATCAGGAAATCTTAATCGGATTTTGTGCCGCGGGTTCTATAAAAGCTCGCCTTTCCCCGGTGGCGAAACCTACCCACTTTCTCTGACGTCCCCAACACCCGTGATAACATAATGCTTATGTACCCACGTAAGGGTCTCATCACCGATCCATACAACCCAGAGGACATCATCATACAAGACGACCAGTACCCACCTGACTTCTATTCCGAGAACGCCTTGCACTACGATCAATCTCGCTTGCAATCACCGTTCCAGTGCCACCCCAGTGTACAGCTCTCCCCGCCATCTTCCGCGCCTTCCTCGCCTACTTTCTCCTCTCCGACCTTCTCGACTTCTTGCCCGCAGACGTCTGACTATCAGTCTTTCGGGGCTCCTTCGATGACCCCGGCGCCTTCATATAACCCGTCGTACGACATTCAGGGTTCCAACTCACCGTCGCACTACTTGCCTCAACATCCTCAGCAATATTATACGCCCATGCTGGTACAACAACCTCTCGCCAGTAACCAGGGTTGGGATAGCAACCTGCAGTTATTGAGCCCTGCGCGTGTCCCATACCCCGGTGTGCAAAAGAGATCTTCGCCCTCAGCGTCCTCGCGCTCAGCCCCCTCAGGGTTGGCAGCCAACAACTACCACCGCCGCTCCAACAGCGCCAACAAGCCGTTGCCCACCCCGGTGCAAACGCCTCTCCAGAACTCATTCCTTGCGACTCCCTTCCAAAGTTTCGATCCCTCCTCCCAAGATGGTCAGAATGCCGAGGCCGAGTCTGCTATGAGAAAAGCGATCATGGACCAGCAGAAGCAGTCACCCCCGCAGCAACTGCAGAACGACTACTCGTTGGCTCCATCGGTGTCGACAATGAGCCATAACTCGCCGGTGACTCCGCAGACTACCCTCGACGAACTCGACGACGCATCCAAGTCGATGACCAATGGTGAGAATCGAATTCCTGATATTGATAGGTGGATGGACCAATACTTACGTTTCGACGCACCTCCAGAATACAACAGCGCCAATGGTGCCATGTCAATTGGAGTCCCCAAGCTGAACAGAACCATTTCCGATATATACCAAGACGAATTATATAACCCCACCATCATGGCGGCGCCCCAGATGTCCAAGCCGATGGGACAGAACCACCTCAACCCGCGCAATTTTATCGCCGATCGCCTACAAGCTGCCAGCCAGGGACACATGTCTGCTCGTTCGCAATCGCCTGCCAACAGACGGGGTCGCTCTCCTTTCCGCCCCTCTTCTCCGTTCGCCGGTGACATGGGCAACAACGCTCTCCAGCAACCCCAGATGGCTACCAGCATCCCCATGAACGGAATGAACATGGACCAGACCTCAAACACTGGAGATATTAAGACTATGTCTCCCAAGGATGCGGTCTTAGATTTCCATGAGAACGATGATGCCATGCCTCCTCTGTTCCCCCGGGTCAGGGTGATTTCAACCTGGGCGACGCGCTTGGCTTGCGACGCGATAATGGCTCAATGCGACCGATGGAAGCATTCCCTCAATATTCGGCATCCAGCATGGCCCAGCCACAATTCGCATTTACTGAACCTCAGATGCATCGCCCTCAGAATAACCTCTTGCCGCAGAGTACCGAGTTCCCATCGCTCCCAACAGTGGAATCTACTGAGAGTTCGCCTCCAAGTCAAATGAATATGTCAATTACGGAGGGTATTCCTCGTCCTACCAACACATCCTCGGATGCGGGCACCTACACTTGCACCTACCATAACTGCTCAGACCGCTTCGACACCCCCTCCAGACTCCAGCGACACAAGCGCGAGGCGCACCGGCAAACAACACCGGGCGGCCACCTTGTCAGCCGCGACACCTCGCTCCGCAACTCCCAGGCTGGTCCGCACAAGTGCGAACGCATCAACCCGTCTACAGGCAAAGCATGCAATTCCATCTTCTCCCGGCCCTACGATCTTACGCGGCATGAGCATACGATACACACCGCCGGGAAACAGAAGGTGCGCTGTCATATCTGTAACGAGGACAAGACCTTCAGCCGAAACGATGCTCTGACAAGACGTAAGTTTTCTTTTTCTTTTACCCCTTAAGTTGATCATACACTAATTACATTAATTACAGACATGCGAGTGGTTCACCCTGAAATCGACTGGCCAGGCAAGCAGCGCAGGAGGAGAGACTGAGAGCGCCTTCCACGTCATAGTCACCGGATCGGCATGCCGAACGTCATAGGTGGACCCACTTGCGGTCCACCAAAAATCTGGGGTTGCGTCATCATGACGATTCAGCTCCCTAATTCTCATGAACTCTCTGTATCACTATTCGGATTCCGATTTTGTTTATTATGTGTACGATTTTACGTTAATGATTTGATTTGCATGCGGTCCGCCCTTTTAGCATTGGTTGGTGTGTTTTTTTTTTGGTCTATTTTCTGTCTATGCCTTTGGCCCCGGGAAAACAAACGGTTTTGGTGTTGTACATTTCTGTTGTACATGGTGTTGCTGCATTTTTGATCCCAGTACAGTGTGTCGCTCTTGTACTATAGTACATTCCTCTTAAAAAAATGTATATTAGCTTTTGGATATGACATGAATTCATTTGGAAATGATCGATCACTCTCCACACTCCACACCCCACAGTAATGATTACCTGGAAACGGGTGAAACACTGCACTCAAAACAATCGAGGGATAGACTCGAAACCTTTCGCTCCCTACTTGCATCACACCCGCATATTTACCCACTTGTATCAGCTATCTTGACTGTTCAGCGTCGATCTCTAAGTTCTATGTCCAATGTATAGCAATATCATAGGTACTCCGTACATTTTTTAGAATATTTCTTGTACATTTTAGATTAGATTTGGCCAAAATACCTATATGGGTACGTAAGGTCATTGTACAATATAATATTGTATATTGTATATTGGATATTGAATATTTTTTCATTGAATATACAATAATTGCAATTAATTAATTAACATCTCTAGGATGAGTTCCGATTCGCGCTGGGAATATATTGTACTCCGTATTGCATCAACAATAGCAATTACCCATTAATATCTTCAGATGTTGTACATACCTTGTAGCGAGTCGTGCAAGTATTCCATACCTAGGTATGCCAAGAGTATGATCCCATGATTGCGTAGACCCCGAGAAAGCCTTGGCACAAACTCGAGCTCATCCAAACTCTGGCCTGATAAGCAATTTGGCTACCAGCACCCTGGTACCCGGTACTGGGATACTTTGGATGGAATCTGTGGGGATGTAGATTGGGATTGGAGTGTCGACGTAGTTGTTTACAACAATATACAAATCCAGCCCCCCATATCAGGATTTCGTCCATGTCCATGTCCAGCTAACGGAATTGCTTATTTTGGTCTATGGTTTTTGGCACGTGGGGATTGATACCCATGTGTCCCCGTTGTATCCTATCTTTACCAGCTACGTATGTTGCTGTCATTGTCTTTATTGTCAGCGTCATCAACAGCAACTAAGTCCTATTCAAGCTTTCGTTTAAAAACTATCTTTTGCTGCAAGTGGGTTTGTATTTATGCTAACTTTTACCATATACCGTACGAAATAAGCGACCGTACATATACATATTTAAATTGCACACCGTTAAAAGCGATAGGCGATAAATGATAGACAGGGTGATGTACATCGGTGGGTCTGTGGCTTAATAGCTGTGGGTCTTTAATACGTTCGTGGTATTGGAGTGGGGGCAGTCGAAAGGTGGAGTGGAATAGTGGATGTGTGGCTGGGGAGTGTACGATGATCATGGGAATCTGATCTGTCTTGTTATATGTGGCTTCTCTCAATTGGTTTCTTCTCTACTCCGTATTTCTAGTTGGTTCTTCGTGATGCCCTGTCAGTGCACTATGTCCCTTGCATGGCTTCATAAAGGGAATCACATGAGATGTAAAACGTGATGTGGTCACTCCATACTCCGTACCGCCCGGCAATATTAGAGCAACCACCACAAACATCCATACCAGTCACGGAATACACCTAATACTAACATATTATGTCTCTTCCCAAACTGTCAACACCCCTTAGCTGACTTAAATAAGATGTTAAGACAAGAGATTGTTGATATTATATTTCTTGTATTTAGGCGGAAACGTACGTTGGAGCAGATATGGACCTACTCCAGAAAAGACAGTATCAAGACAGCCATCTCGCGATAAGTGATGCCACCGACACCAGCATCACACAGCTTAAGTGTGGTCTTTGGTATCTTCCAGGGATATCACCACACATTTGACTCTAAAGCTCCTCGCTCGGATTTGGATCTTAGAATTGAGCTATTCAAACAACCCTGTTGATGACTTCCCGTTATCGCTTTTGTCATCATGCATGCCTACCTAGGTAGGTGTGGTATTTGGCATCAAACTACCTCAGATCCCTCCAGAGCTGCTCCTTCCTAGTCATGTAATCGGCAGTATTGTTGTTATGCCTACATATCGAACACCTCCTTCCATTATCAAGTTGACGTTCTTAGGCCCCATCGCTGCCTGATCATCTGCTGATATTGCAGAGCTCTTCCTGCTATTTTAGTCAATTCTCGATCCTGGCGCCATTCTCAACATTTACCAATTTCTTATTGACATACAGACTCTCGTATCTTCCCTCTTTCCCTTTTTCGAGGCATCACATCACGTCTTTGCTCTACCTACTTCGACTTTAATCCATGCAATCTCATTCCAATGGCTTGAAGTATCTATTTCCCCGCAGTCAGATCCGATCCCCGAGACCCAAAAATGTCTGCGGGACACGGGGGCTGCAGATGCTTAATGGAGGGTATGATCAATGCCTCTGCAGATTTTGCAATCGATGCGGAGGTTTTGGTCATACGACCACTTACTGCAAAAGGAAATCTCATGGTGGACAAAGTGGAGGGCACCTAAGGGGCTCACCCCCTGCAAAAATGACGGCGATGAATGATTTTGATTGCACTGATACACATCGCGAAGTGTGTACCCTATTATCCTAACGTATTTCTCCATTATTGTGCTGACTGAAGAACCCCCGTCTCAGGATTTACCCAAAGCACCAATAGCCATGGCACAAGTGTCAAATGCATCGAAAAATGATCGCCCGGTACAGATATCAGCAACCGATGAAATTCCAACTGCCAAGCGACGAAACTGGGGTGAGGTGGCCGGTAGTCAAATTGAGACCCTGAATCTAGGACCCGTCGATCGGACCTCTATCCTAGAGCATTTGATTTCAAATGTGTGCCTCCAAATGGGCGAAAGATATTCTTCTGTGCTCGAGTATGATATCTCTAGAATACTCGAAGACAGCTTGAGCCCAGTCGTGAAGGATATTTGTAAACAGGGCAAATTCGATCTGAACAGGCACGTTTGACCTTGAAAATTTGGAAACAGTTGCTAATAAACCCTTATAGCCTCTTGGAAATTGGACAGGACCCAGAAACGAAAAAGGAAGCTGGTGTCTATCTTCACATTTTATGGAGAGAGGATGAAACGACGGAACGATTTTGGCTTTACGTCGGACAAGCATGCGTGCTGTGTCTGAGAATTCAAAAACACAAAGATCCCAAACATCGTCGGAAGAATATGGGACTACACTACGCAGTGTGGGGATCTGCCGTGGATATGAAATCAGCCTTTGTCACTCTGGCTATCCTCGATGCCCCGTCTTCTCCTCAGACGCAGCTAGTTCTCAATCTAGCAGAGATGTGGATGTGCCTAGTATTCCAAACACTGACTTCCCTTCACCTGGGCTCCTGGTTGCCGAAAAGCACGAACGCTATGTGGTCGGGTAATCATCTCAATGTTGCGCTGCCATTATGGCAAGGATTCACAGATACGCAAGAGAACAAAGCTATCACGGACGCAATTGGCGGAAGATCAACCTTTCAGCAATACCTTGCATCTGAGGATTCGGTTATTCGGGCATGGGCAGAACAAACCAGGGATGCGTTCAACGATATACGAAACTCGCCTGACCCGGGGATCAGAAATTACTGGTGGGATCTTCACAAAGAGCGTATCCTTAAGGCACAGGACACCTGGGGTAAAAAGAAAGCCAGCATGGCTAAGAAGCACCTCGAAGGGGCCAAAGCTCTCGTTACATTGCATTCTGGAAATCGTGGAAGCCATCAGACTGAGGTCAGAGCCGGGAGCTTCAGGTTCACTGTTTCACAAACACTTGGGCTTGATCTCCATAACGGCGATGAAGTTATTCTCCAGTATCATCTGACCCCAACCCCACACCCACATCCCTACGCTCTTTCTGCTTTGAAAACAGATCCTGCTACGCGCTTGGGGGTTTCTATCCGTGGTCAAGATAGTCACGGAGGTTTTCATTGCTGGCTGGAAGCGACCGGGGAGTGCAATTTGCGAAAAGTGAACACACTTGTGGACATTCTGGAAGGCTATTCTACAGAGGAGAGCCAGGGGTTCAAGAGACGCTGGTTTGTTACCAAGTCTATCAATAGGTCAAATAGTGATCCTCCGGGGAGAAATAGATTCATAACACTGGAAATCTCAGAGTTCAGGATAGTTGGGAAAGAGCGAACAGAACTTCGATATTTCTTAGTACAGAACTAGTTTAGTATATCGTTGATATCGTCCCTTGTTGTGCTACCGAAATTCCCTATTGGAATTTAATCAGTCGAGAGGACCCAATGTACAATGACTTGGTCGAGGCAAGCGATCTTATGAAGGTAGAGAGTCATTGTACAATGAGTGTGACTTGCAGTTTTGATGGAATTTACCAATTTGAGAAGGAAAAAAAAGAGATGGATTTGAGGTTGCACTAATAAAAGGAAGAAGAAGGGAAAAAAAAGATAGACATAGCATGTCCTGGTTTCGATCCAGGGACCTATTGATTGTTAGTGATGATGTTGTGGGTGAAATTGGATTCGGTTAAACATACCTCCGGGTTATGAGCCCGGCGCTCGTTCCCCTGAGCTAACATGCTGATTGGTGGAAAATATATGCCTTGAGTATAATATAACCGACACATTTAAGTTAGACTATTTATAGTAACTAGTAACTAATATAGATATCACTACTCCGTATAAGATAGCATGCTACAAATTTATTAGGACACACGTTAAGATCATTTTCTAACAATATAAAGCACTAACTCCATTTTCAGAGACGGGAGCCTAGTAGGTAGGTGTGGTTCGCAAATCAGGAGTATCCATGGATGTCTGCCAACTGACCGTGACCCTTTAGATTAGAATTATCCACTATAACCTCGTTTACAAGCATCAGGCCCACCTCGTTACCGATCCGGTCCCAATCTGCACAGTCGAAGGCCTTCTTCATTTACCCTGGCCACTTGGAAAGGGATATGCAAACAAACTCCCTCAAAAATACAACAAAGCCAACCCAAACAATTATTATAGACCTGACGGCAGAGCACATACAGCATATTTCCACGCGACTCTGGAGACCAGCTAAGAGTTGCTAATTACTAATAGCCGAAATGGTAAGAGATATCACGTCCCTCCTTCGGCCGGGCCAATGCTTCCGTTGTAGAGAGCCCAGGGGACACGAAGCCCGGCTGTAGGAAGTTGTAAGATTCGCTGGGATACTCTACCGGATAGGGTTGGAGATGGACAGTGGCCGGAGGAGAAAAATCTTGCCTGAATGTAGGCCTGGTAGAATCGACATGAGAGACCTCTTCGCTTTCGCGTTTCCTCTTCAAGCCCTGTGGCGGCATTGACATCGGCACAGCCATGTCAAAGCCACGTATGGTCTCGGGATTCAGTCCTGCGTAGTATTGCCCAGAAAAATGACCCTGTGCGTCGTAGGGATGGTCCTGAGATAAGTCCGGGAAATTTGATACAGGCGCAAATGATGCCGGCGGAGCATTGTTGTTAGAGCCTGAATTGACACATGCAGATGTGGCGTTCGAGATTGGGGATGCTGAATCAAGAGGCACGCTCTCTCCGTTATGTTCATTGTGGTTGAATGTGGTCCCCTTTGCTTCGGGCAGGTTCATACGACAAATCCAAACCGGGCGTTGTCCATCTGTGAATAATAGTGAGATGACCGGCTAATGCAATAACCTCGAAGACACCATGATAACATACCACCCTTGCCCTCCAAGAAATCTTCTTCTTCCCGTCGAACCCGATAGATCTCATCCAAGATGCATAATCGTTCTGCTGGGAATATATGCCGCCGAATTGCCTGGTCGGCCTCCCGCAGCTTTCTGGCGGTGACACGGCGGCTAGTACGCAGTTCACACAAGATATGAATTAGAAGCCTGATGCGCTCTGTTGGCGGTCAGTCACTCGACAGGTACCCAGGTAGAGACAGTTTTTCTTACCCTCTTTGAGAAGGTGGTCAGGCTCTCGGTGCCTCACTCTGCATGGCCACCAGGGAGGCTTGGTCGCCTCCGGGTCAAGCTGCTGAGTGACCCCCGCGACGACTATCCGCCCCGTTGTACGGGAAGACCATCTGCTTGCGGGGCTCCACTAGCTTGATATAGGCCTTCGCGAGGGCCCGACAATTCGTCTGCTGCAGGTTCTGGAATGCCTTCTCATAGTATTTTCGTAGCAAGGCGCGGTCTGTAATAGATATCGTGACTTCCGGCCTCCACATTCTGTTTTTATCGCTCCAAACATTTCTTTTTGTGGGTTGTTGACTCTGTTTGTCCCAGGGAGACAAATACTCTGCATGGGCCGACTCTACCGTTGGCGAAGGTAGACCAGCTGGTGGGAAATTCCGGGTATTCTCTCTGCCATCTAAGCCCGTCTTGGGAGGGGCAATATGGGTTATTCGTGGCGAGGACGGACTTTTCCTAATGGCTAGCGTGGTTTGCTGGGGTGATGCTGCTAAAATTGGTTATTAAATCGTACTCCACTATGCTGTTAATATAAAACGCACCTTGCTCTATTGCGGAGCAACCTTCTCCTGACATCGTAACTGCTTTCAAAAAGATATCCGCTAACCGTACCGAGAGGGATCCCTGGAAGGTTTTGGCAATTGACCGAGAGCACCGTAAGTGAAGACCGCCTTCTATATCGATAGATATGAGCGCAAAGTGAGAAGGGCCCGATTCACCGTTGACGGTCACAGGAGTGTGACAAGCCATCGGGTTATTGGTGACGTTCATAGTAGAGGTAATTATCTCAGATACCACAGACCACAGATTCTCTGGGGTTCATATATAGCTGAATGTGACTTGGAGATCAACCCGAGTAGGTACCTTAAAGGAATGGAATTAACTGCTTGGACTCGTCGACAACGATCTTGCGTTGATCTACCACCTGCATTCCATTGCCCCCCCTGTCAGCTGCGGGTCACTTCCCATTGGCCTGTCGAATAATATGAAGTGACTCCGCACCAACTACAGAGTAGATAAGAGACAATGGCTTGCAGGACCAACGAGCTAGCAATAGATTGACTCCTGTGCGAACTGAGACTCTGAATGTCAAACTGGTCTACTGATGATGTGGGACTTGGTGACGCGGCTATAGGGAGAACCAGTCCTCCGGGGGAGGGGTGGCTGGCCACAGCCTTGCCGCAATATGATCTTCCTCGTCAATGCGTCCACGTCAATCAGTGTCAAAAGATTTTAGTAAGTGCCATCCTGACTTAGCCTTGCTCGTATCGACCTCGTATACACGGCTCGTTTGGCAGTAGCAGGATAATGGCAATAAGGCAAGGGAGCATAATGCACCTCTAGCCCGGGCAAATCCCGAGAAAACAAGCAAAAGGCCGTGCCGATAAACTACGTTGTCTGTCGATCCCGATGCGAGCCATCTCTTCCTACTGTAGGTCCTCTCCCGTGGTCGTTACTAGCGTGAAGTGAAGACCGTTAAAGATTTATTGAATTGTTCGCTTGTCTCGTGGAGTACACCACTATTATAAACTGAGCCCTTGTCACCTTCCTGTTGCGGAATAGCTGTCAATCCTGATCAAGGGGCCCATCCCAACCCCTCCAGGACCATTCCGTCACGCCAGAAGCAATGACCTTTATCCCCCATTTATAAGGAATCAGCTCTTGAATAGAGTTTGGTTGACAGTTGCTAAATGACTCTGTCAGACTTCATAGTTCGTAACGTAATTCCTTCATCTCACATCGCATTTATGCACCTCGACATCTCTGCAGACCTCCCTCCATAGGCTCACTCACATATTTAGTATGCTGCATGTGCCCCATTTTAGGCCACCCGCTAATCACTTTCTGACGACGAAGCGGAAAACAATTTCCGCGCCCGAGTGTCTATAACACGTATGTTGTATGGCCAGTTCAATGGCGCCGATGTTGAGTTATGGTTAGCGTTATGAGCCCAGTGGGTTCTAGGCCTTCTTTGTTAGGGTTTTTTATAATCCGCATGACATCTCAGGTTCGTAAAACACATGGCACGCCTGAGTGTAGATCGCAAAGCGTTTACCAATTTACCAACCGAGTTGGAAACCCTCAAGCCCCTCTATATTTTGGAGCCATCAACCAATCAAATAGACTTGTCCTTTCATATGGCTCTCTAATTGTCCAAAAGAGTCACTGTGTGGGAGATTAGAACAGACTAGGATCTACATATGCAGTGAACTCCCTACCAAGGGATTTCCAAAATGACAAGCATTGTGCGTCGATATTGCGCACCGTACCCTACACTTTACATCTATCAACTGTACTTTTTAAGGCTTTACTATTTGCTAGATTTAGCAAGACTACGGAGTAAGAGAGCGGAGATGGGGGGAATCTGATTCATCAACACTCTATATTAACCAAGAGAACTCACTGGGGTTCGCGAACTGTGTAGAGGGTGGAGATAAGCCGAATCCCTGAATGATGGCTTTAATATATATTGCCGATCATTGTCCTTTAGGGGGACGGTTGCAGGTCCAGGAATGTCTAAACTGGCTTCTAAACGATTAACCCAGCTTTTAGTCGGTTAAGCCTGCTTTTATACGAGCAACCTGCTTTTAGACGGTTAAACCTGCTTTTATGTGATTAACATGAGAAGCTAGCAAATTTCGAAGTGATAGGAATAATTGAATATAGGACATGAGCCTCACATTTACGAAAGGGGCTGATTGCTAGTTGGAAAAAAATTCTCTAAAAAAAGAAATTTCTTGGTATGACCTTGGCAAAGGATTCAGAGTGAGGATAAGTACCGAGGTACCCTCGAAACTATCACTGAACTATTCTATCACGCAATCAAGGGACTCGCAGGTCAATATTTGAGGCGACAGATTTAACCTTTTAGGCTATTCATTGACTTGCCGTACCTCCCTTCGGCCGAGTCCATGATTTAGGGCATCCTTTAATGTCTAGGTTCATGTACAATATAAGCGAGGGTCCCTTATAGGAAGGGGTCGACGTTTTGTCGTGGGGAAAGCCCCATCACTCCGGGATCTGAATCTGAATCTGCGCGCGGTTTGGCCCGGATTCTCAACATATTCGTGTCCACACTACATACCCCCGAGGTCGTACCGAGGTTAACGCTTAAAATCCTTGTTCAGGTAGTAGTGGGTAGTGGGCCTGAATTCCAAATCGCTTAGCACAATTAGCTAGTCCAAGAAATGGTTTACCGACCAGGTTGAAGCGGACATGGTAAATCTGGTTTGCGACCGTTAGGACTGGGGCTAGATCGACGATGTGAAGTCAAAAGTGGTAGATCAAACGGATTGAGACTGGACTGTGCGCCATGTGCCTTGTGCAGTTGTGCAGTTCCCAGAAAGACGCCTGTGTGATCCATTGTCTACTGAGGTCGTCCTATGGCCCGGCCCGGCCCTGTCGATCCCCGAGCACGCGACTGAGACAATGAGAAACGCTTGCCAAGGGGCTGATCGCAGATGCTTGATACGGAGTATGAACTCCGTCCAGTGTACCTACGGCATATATCGGATAATTGTGAACCGAGGTTATCGTCTATCTCTACTCTCTTTTTCTCTCCACGCGCTGAATGTACCGAAGATATTCTCTAGAATTGCACGACCTATCCGCATTCTAGTTCCTCACATTGTGTTTTTTTCTTAGAAAGGTTGAAGGGATGAAAAATGAGTAGGAAATAGGGATTAGAAGCATCCCGGAGGTACAACATGGGTACGGAGATATAATCCTAATTTACCCGTATAATTCAGTGATTTGCGATAGATCATGCCAGGTAGATGAACCCTGTGCGTTCCACCTCTGCGTCATCATGCTCTGGAACCAGTTGGCAAGAGTAGAACATTTGAAGATTACTGAAACAGGGGCACTGTAAGAAGTGAGGACTGTCGAAAATTAGATTGCAAAATAAATAGTATTGTGGGGCAAAGTGCACCTTTACTGAGTCTGCATCAATGAGCGAATGACCTCACTGAGTCTCAGCCCTGGACAGAAACTTATTCAGGGAGAGGATGGTACTTGTGTATGGAGTATGTAGGCCTAGTGATCGAGCCTTGGGAGGTATGTACGTTGTATGTAACCTGGGGTTCAAAGGAGAACAAGGAGTTATAAATTCTTGAGTGGCGCAATATCACATCCCATCAGCATGTTAGCTCAGGGGAAGAGCGCCGGGCTCATAACCCGGAGGTACGTTTAACCGAATCCAATTTCACCCACAACATCATCACTAACAATCAATAGGGCCCTGGATCGAAACCAGGACATGCTATGTCTATCTTTTTTTTTTTTAATGCTATCATCTTCAATTATCAATTAAAAATTTACATCATATGGTATTCTATATTGTAGCTGTTAGGCTCCTATGTCGCTGCCTGTATCTCTTCTTTTATATAGCTTTCAGTCGAAAAACTAACCTTGGATACGGTTTAACTTTTATATAATGACATGCGGAACATATATCACCTACCTACGCGTCCATATATATATATATATATTTAGTATATGATCGTCCAAATTATCAAGATCTCTATAGGGAGTAACACTCCTATCTGCCAAACTACTGACATGAACAGTTTCATTATTTTTCCAAGGTTGGTAATAGCCCTATATCTCTAATCCCGATGCCAACCTCTGTTTAATGGGTGCTGTCGTCTTGATCGAGTTCATACAAGCTCCTGTTGATCCCAGCCCTCGTTATAGCTACCAACGAGCCACTCAAACAAGTTAGTTTCATGTTGTGGTGCAACTACAAGCTGCCTCAGGCCACCAACTAGTTATAAAGCTCTACAACACTTAGTAACCTTGCAAGTGCTTCATATACGTGCTTTATTACTACTAGCACCTACACCATTACACCCTGGACTTCATACTCTTGATTCGATTTCCCCAAAAACCCTTATTGTGCAAATCTGGAAACTCCAACCTATCGCAGATCATACTGGGGGAGGGGGATCTCCAAAGTGGGGGCGGTAATCTCCGAAAATCCTGTCTCATATCTGGCGTTTATATCCATCAAAGAAACATAAAGCCACTCGAACCCTGATAATTTTTTGGACATAAATAAAACCCCATACCTTCATGAGCCCGGATATTTCCAAAAAACTAAAGTAGCCAGCACCGAAAAGGGGGAAAAAAAGAAAAGAAGGAAAAAACAAGAAGGTCATCCGGCCAGCCTGAAACCAACCAGCAGCCAACACCAACCCAACCCAACAAGTCACTCTATACAGACAAAATGGGCCAAAAGGCCTCCCTCCCACAACCAGGCGCCCAAATCCAAGTCATCGGCGCCGGACTACCACGCACAGGGACCTCATCATTCAGCCAAGCGCTAGAAATCCTCCTGGACGGACCGGTGTACCACTGCGGCACCCAAATATCGATAGGTCCACCAACAGAGATAAAAGGCTGGATGCCAATCCTGCAAAACTGGCTCAAAAAAGACGACCGCACAAGTCGCGCAAAGATGCTTACCCTCCTGCGCCGCCGATTGGCCGGCTACGTCGCCATCACCGACTCCCCAGGCTCCGAGCTCGTCCCCGAGCTCATGGAGCTGTACCCGGATGCCAAGGTCGTCTGCACAGTCCGTGATCCCGTTCTATGGGAGACGAGTATGCTCCACGTGCAGAGTTTGACGGGCGTTTGGTTCGCGCGTGCTGTTCTCCTCCCGCTGGACGGGTTGAGACATTTTATCCCGTATGGGTATTTGCTCGCCGCGCTGTGGGAGAGGCTTTATGGGGGTGTATCGGGTCAGCATGGTCGCGAGACTTATGCGAGTCATATTGCTTGGTTGAAGGAGGTTGTGCCTGAGGATAGGTTGGTTTTCTTTGATGTTAGGGATGGGTGGGGGCCGCTGTGTGAGGCTCTGGGTGTTGAGGCTCCGGTTGGTGTGCCGTTTCCCTGTATCAATGACTCTGAGGCTATTGAGAGGTCTATTAACCATCATTTCCGGGAGGGGTCTTATGCGCTGGGCTTGCATGTTTGCCGTGCTTGGTGTTGGGGTGGCAACTTTTCGCATGTGGAGGTGAGATGATTGCATAGTAGGATGAGAAGGTGGTCGTGTGGTGCCATTTTTTGGGTTGCGGTGGCATTTTGGATTGGGACTTTTGGAAATTTTTGGTCGTCAAACTTCAACACTTCAGCGACTTGCATTGGACGTCTATTTATTTCAGGGTCGGAGTATCAGGCAAAGACTCATCACGAACAAATCAGATAGATCGTTTATACTGTCATTTACATAGCCATTTACGCACAATATTTATGACATCTATGCCCCTTGGAATATGTTATCCAAGATATGAAACCGAAATGCACTGCCCGAATATTATACGAAAGAATTATATAGCCGCCAACCTTGGAATTCATAAGCGTAAATCCGATATCATCGACGAGCCCGCTCGAGCGAACTGTCGCTTCCACCATCGTTCCTTTCGAAGGTAGTTTCGATCTCCGTGTGAGCGAAGATCTTGCCTTGGGGGATAATGCGCTCCTCGCTGGAGTTGCTGGCCGCGCCAATATTGGTACCCATGGGAACATCCTCCTTTCCGTTGACTGTGATCATAGTGATGCTATTCGGATCTCTGACTTTGGCGAACCCAGATGCATATCGCGGGGCATGGTTGTCGCTTGACCAGGGGCCGGATTTCTTCCCACTGCTGTACTCTCCGATGAAGCGGGGCAGGAAACGGGAGGCAATTGCCTTGAATGATGGGATTGAGGCGGCAAAGATGCCGACGTTGGTTTCGATAACGGACCAGTACATGGCACCGCTGATGGCGTAGGTGGAGTCCTTCGAGCTAAGCATGGCGGGAATGTAGGTGATTCGGATGATCGAGGAAACGCAAGCACTGTAGAGGATGATATGTTAGAAATAATCCAGGCGGAAGTACTGGGGTGCACTTACAAAAGACCAAGGCAGAGGATAAAGGCCAGAACAATCTTCTGTTTCCGAGGCATCTGGAGATGGAAGATGACCTTGATGGGCAAGGTATAGGTTAAGAGATCGGTGACAATGTTCAGGGCGGCGTTGCACAGGTAGAAAAGATTGATGTCGACGCATTTTCCGGGTCCAGTGCCAGTCCAGGCCATGCTAATGGGTTGGCATTGGAACGCAGCCACGAGAACGAATGAGATGGCTTGTGCCATAATGACCCCCAACATAACCCAGGATAGGCGAGTGAGATAGCGATCTCCGAGGCGAGTATAGAAGCACAGGACGGAGGTTTTGATGAACCCAAGTGTTGCGAGATAGAACATTGAACTCAGCCAGACGGCCTGGGAAGAGGTTAGAAATACGTTGTAAAAGATCGGGATCATCCTTACAAAAGAGATAGTCGACCATCTTGGTTTGGTCGACATCCTCAATGTGTTTTCCAAGCCCATGCTTGACCGCTAAATGATATTAGCTTCTACAAAGTGGTATAGGAAGGGAAACTGGAACATACCGACAAGTGTGGCAGCAATGAATGCCCAAGACAACGCCTATTTCCATTAGTTATTGAGTTTGTTGATGATAGGGCCGCTTTTTCTTACACAAGCGCAAACGATGAGGTCTGGAAGATGTTAGTATAGTGCTGGTAAAATAGATCAGATATAATCTACTTACAGTCGTCCATACCCATTTGACCCAGGACAAAAATGCGCGAAAAGAGACGAAGAGCCAAAACAACGAAGGTTAAGGCGGCAAATGCCACGCTGACACCTACGACCATAGGGCCTTGAGAAACCATCGGCGCCCGCCATCACGAGGAATATGGAGGGATCAGACAGAAACGAAAAAAGAGAAAAGACCGTGAAGTGATAGGAAGAGATTAGTTTAAATGAATGGCATAGACAGTCGTTTCACATGTCCATCTCATGGAGAATGGATGATAAAAAGATCACAAGTATAACCGAGAAGAATCTAAAAGAGTGGCTAGCGGTACCCTGGTCTACAAGTTATACAGATATTTATCTCTGATGCCCCTGGAACGAGTCCGATAAAATGACTGCGCACATCAGAAATGCCCATCGTGCATGGATCTAGTAGCCTCGAAGATCCACTGTATACCATCAAAAACGCCGTTTGGGAAAAAAAAAGCAAACATGGTAGGGATTGGCACGGCCTTTTTCTTTTTAGAGCAACACGAGACACACGGAGTACGAGACTGTCAGAACCGAACATCTCCACCATTCTAGATCTTTGTTGATCTATGCTAAAATACATCTGCCGATTATGGGGAGTTTCAGGTTTGAGGGGGAAAAAAAAGAGAAGATCACTGGGGGTTTTCAGCATGGTTTGCCACTCACACGTAGAAATGCTGTCTCCAATTGTCGAGGCGCAAACCGTTGGATATATCATTTGACAAGATCAAGTACCAATCCCTGTTCGGATAGAGCTTTGTTCCGGGGACAAGGGGACATTGTGTTTTAGCAAAGATATCCACCTAAAGACCGGGTTGGGATGGCTCGGACAGGTATGGGTCGACACATTGGACGTCTCAAGGGCGATCATTATGATTTCCTGACAATTCGAAAATGGATTGCCAAGTTGAACTATTACTTCCAACAAGAACGCAGGAAAGAGGAACTATGATTTGATAGAAACAAAAAGAGTCTGTGGGTCTCGGAAGATTCCCGTGGAGAGACCTGATTTATTTTTGTTTTCACGAGATGTCCGATGGTGATCTTAATATTTTAACGTGCTCCAGGTTGGATACATTATACGGAGGACGTATATAGCCCTAAGTCCAACGGACAAAAAAGGAAAAAGAAAAAGAGCGACTGGAAAGCCCAAAAGCCCGACGGAAGATAGGTTTTACGGTGAATCCAAAATTTATTAGATAATCTTGAGGAAAAGGCCCGGAGCTGAACGATGTGCGTCAAAGCCCTAGCACGGAATAACAGGCAATTGTAATTGAAGACCCTATCCCCATGCAGCTCACCTCCGATCCACCACTCCATTTGCCTTCCGAGCCGTCCTGAGAGAGTGGGTCATTGTAACTTAAGCGAAGTTGGCTATGTCGTACTCCGTACTCAGTACAACATAGACGGTGAATGATTTGGAAGCATTGCATTTCAGATGTGATATCAGTAAAAATTTACACTGCACATTCTTAAGAATGTAATGCGAGGAAATGCAGCTCTTATACTCCGAATCTTACATATCAACCCTTTCCATAAAGATCCTTAGCGGCTATCAATTTCAATTTATCATTCTCCGGAATACAACATAGAAAATACTGTTGCTTCCAAGCTAGCAGGGATTAAAAGGACAATCTGTAACATACTCTGATCAACATACTCCGTACTCCGTATATTGCCCTCCGTAGACGTTATCATATTTAGCAATTGATCACTAGGGGCTTCCAAGGTTGGTCTGTCTCACAAATACCTGTTTTTTCTCTTCCCCTTTTTTTGGGGGCGAAACCAGTGGAGAAACAAAAGTCGGAGTCTAGCTTGTTTCATGAGGTCCTAACGCCTCCCGGCTTACGGAGTACATGCGATAATTGTGTCAAGCGCCCAGCTTACTTATACACTGTGGGTTGGTGCCAGTCAAAGTCCGCGATAATTCTCAATAAGTGTTGGGATTAGGTACCTTTGTATGGTATGCCCATACAAAAGGTACAAATGATATCAATGCATAACATCCATTTCCCTCAACCCTCGACTAGCTAAAGATAAATAAAAGTACGGAGTACCGATATATAACAAATATGAATATATTGTTATAATACTAAAACTAGTTCCAAATAATCAACATAGAAGTGTAAGAAGCGCATATAAAAGATTGTATCGAACTTGGACGTTCTATTACTTTGGATAGACTTGATATTTACTAACATTGATACCAGATCAACCAAAGACCCATAAATCCCCTACCTATATGTACGGAGTACTCCATAGGAGGTTGATCAAAATAGCACTTGACCTCAGGAGATGTTATGGCTTTGGTAACATTTGTATCCTTTGTATGGCATACCTATACAAAAGGTACCTAATCCCAAGAATTCTTACTAATCAGGTACTGGGTCGGGACCTCGGTCCCGGCCTCCAGGGCTCGGTCTATGGCTTACCTATGTTGTACATGCCCAGGTGATATACTACATCGCAGATATCCCGTTTCCCTGCCACCTTACATTCCAGGAGAATGCGGCACATGCATACGCCGGACCGTCATCATCTGCAGCTTCATTTAGTCTCCTCCGTATTTCGCACAGAGAGACCAGTGAGAAACACTCGCTATTCGATTGTGGAGAACGCCAGCCTCCCGCTCCACAGGCTGGCGAGGTATGTACTTTTGTTATTTCCGTCTGACCCTGTGCAATTGGTCCTCGAGGACCACCCAAAGCCTTGTCTCGCACCTGAACTCCCGAGCATCTAATATCGAGTGCTGATCGTTGTTTCAGATATTTCTGCGCAACGGCGCCTCTTCCTAACGGGGTGTACCGAACCCGCACGGCCCCTCTGACAGCTGGCAACGGTCTTGCTGCAAATCCAGAACATCTTTACTATGTTAGGCAACTAAATCACCACGGGATCGGTCTTGGTTAGGAATGTGCGCAACGGGGACCAGCCAAACCGATTCTGAATTCGCAAGCGGAGTCGCAATTCCTCTTACGACTTACCAATGCTCTAGCCCAAGGACTAGCACCAAAGGGGAGGGGCAGATGCACGAGCTGCCACATGCCGAGCATATCTTCAACCGTTTAGACCTAGTTTGGTCTAGACTTCATTTCAGGCAAACCTCAGCGTCGCGGGGTGTTGTTAGCTCGACATAGCCCCTTGGCCAGAGAGCATTGGCCAATGACCTTTTGACCCTTACTACAATGGATATGCAGTCTAATGCAGATGCTCATTTGGGGTCCTTTATTTCCGGAGGGGCTCTTTCCCCCCCCTGGTCAGAAAGACATGTTTCCATCTTTCATGCATCTGCATCCCTAAATCCGCCATGGGTCTTGCGGAGAATGTCCTGTCACTGGTGACGGTGACCAATGTCATCTTGGGTCTTGTGGCCTATGTCGCGCTCAAGTTTGGTTGGCAAGTTATTTACTATCGCTTCTTCAGTCCGCTCGCGAAATTCCCAGGTCCTTTCTGGGGCTCTGTGACTCGTCTCTGGATCGCATGGCATAACCTGCAGGAGACTGAGGTACCAACTGTTTATGCGCTTGCTAAGAAATATGGTTGGTCTTGACCCTATCTCCAAAAGGAATGTTATCTCTAACAAGTGGATTCTCTCAGGCCCTGTTGTTCGAATTACCCCGACATTGTTGCTGGTCAGCGATCACGAAAAGCTCCCGGAAGTCTACCACCGCAATGCAGACAAGACTGGACACTATATCACTGGAAGCTTCGGTGAGACCGAGTCTCTGTTCAACATGAGGTCTCACAAGACCCATGCTGTGTTCAGAAAGCACGTTGCCGGACCGGTATGGCGACATACGAGTTCATTTGCAGTTATCAAAAGCTGACCCTCCACATAGTACAGCTTCAGCAATATTAAAAAAATGGAGCCACTAGTTGATATGCGCATCACCGAATGGACCACTAAGCTCAACGAAAAGTTCGCGAAGACGGGCGAAGTCTTCGACTTCGCCTGGTGGGCAGTGTAAGCATACGAGCCAAATGAAACACTACCCCGACTAACAATGCAACCAGTTACATGGCCTACGACATCATCAGCGAAATCGGCTTCGGCGAGCCCTTCGGTTTCATTGAAAAAGGCGAAGACATCGGCGGCCTAATCCAAGGCTTCCACGACGGCCTCCCAGCCTTCGGCCTCCTAGCCCGGCTGCACCCCTTCACCTCATGGGTGAAAACCACCTTCCTGAAAAAATACCTCGTCGCCAAACCAGCCGACAACTCCGGCATCGGCGTGCTAATGCGCTTCCGCGACCGCCTCATCGACCAGCGCATCAAGGACATCGAAAACGGCAAGAGATCCGACCGCACAGACCTGCTCCAGACCTTCCTCGAGGCTCTCACAGAAGACGGCAAGCCCCTCGATCTGGAGTACATCCGCGCCGAGGTCCTGCTCGTCCTGCTCGCTGGCGCAGACACAACCGGCACCGCCTTCCAGGCCATGGTGCAGTATCTCATGATCTACCCGGAGGTGTACAAACGTATGATGGCGGAGATAGATAACGCCGTCCGTAAGGGCCTCATCTCGGATATGCCGCAGTACAATGAGGTCCTGGAGCACCTGCCTTTCTATGTTGGGTGTGTGAAGGAGACGATGCGTCTGTGTCCGTCTGCACCGAATATCTTCCCCCGATATGTCCCTGAGCCGGGCCTCAATCTTTATGGTCGCTTTGCGCCGGCGGGTACGGAGATAAGCTGCAACCCGTACCTTGTGCATCGGGATCCGAAGCTTTATGGGCCTGATGCTGAGGAGTTTAAGCCTGAGAGGTGGTTGGACGCTGAGAAGGCGAAGTTGTATAATAAGTATAACTTTTCGTTTGGGTATGGGTCGCGTGTTTGTTTGGGGAGGGATATTGCTATGATGGAGTTGTTTAAGGGTCCTTTGCAGGTGAGTTCTTTTCCGGTTGTCCTATGAGGCCTGGTGTTATTTCGGAGTGGCTAATGTGTCGGTTAGTTCTTCCGTCAATATAAGCCCGAGACTGTAAAGGGTAAGCCCGAGGCCAAGTTCATGGTCAAAGGTGGTATTGGGTACTGGAGAGACGTGTGGATGACCATCTCTCCCCGGTCAGAGACGAAGACCGAGTAAAAGCTTGGATCAAAGGTTGGCTCTACATACAGATATTAGACCTGAAGACTTTTACAAGAAGACTACATTCAAACCATTTCTCTCTTTTCTTGCAATTCCTGCATTACAGTATTCAGCCATTTTCATCTCCCTGACCTCCATATCTCGAAAGGCTGATACCGAAACTGGAACAACGGGGTTTATCCAACATCGTCATTCACTCTGTATCCCTAGCAAATTGACTAGAACATCGAATAGATTTGCGGGTTGGTGCGGTCTCCATAAATGACAGGCCCCGGCAAATTCGGCGGCCAAGTGAGAAGCTGACCTCGGGCCTCAGTCATGACCGCAGAGCCGTACGCAAGAAAATCGGCATAAGTGATATTCACAGCTGGATCCTTGACTCGACACAACTGACCATTCCAGGTATTAATGATCCTTTCGAACCCAGACATAGAGCGCAGCTCCTGGAACATGATGATAAGCGCAGTGTACGGCGGGATCTGTCCCTTGAGGTCGACGGTGACTTTGTAGCGATATTCCAGGGCGTTGATAAATTCCTCCGTGCTGTGGAACTCAGAGCGGGTCGTTCCGATGAGTCTCAAGATCGCAGCGGACAGCGCGGTGCGTCCTCCATCCCGCATAACCTTCCGTGTTTCAGTCATGGAATTCATCAGCAAAGGTGACTCGTCCACCTTGTGCCATGATCTCTTGAAGTACCTCGGCATCCATTTTGCTTGCGAGCCAGGAGCGGAGGTGCATCGAGAGTTGCATCCATTTTTCTGCATTAGGTGTGTCTCGGGCAGGCCGTTTGATTGTTGCATCGAGGAGACGGTGGAGGTTGGGACGGAGAGATTTCTCAATAGCAGTAAACCATTCGTCGAAATCACCTCTCTTTTCAAGGGGCACTATGGGACAGAATATGGTGAAACTGCCTGGCTCGGGCAGATCGGTTGATTGGTCCTCTTCGGTAGGGTTCTCGCTAGCGACTTCATCCCAGTCGCTGTTGCTTCGTGCGTCTGCTCCGGCCTTTATGCCGGTTGGACCCGTGGCTTGCACTTCCCTGTCACCCATTGTGCTGTAATAAAACGTGTATTAGAGAAGACCTAGGTATGGAGCAGTAGGTGACGGGCTTACAGTTTGGTAAGGCAAAGGGTTCAGTTGGAAACCAGGGGAAGAAGAGAAATGGTTGATGAAATTCTCTGTAGAAGTCTGGAGTATCACCACCTAACAAGAAGGCGAGGTGGTAAATGAAGAAGAGAATAAAATAAAGTGAGAGTAAAGGCCGAAGAAGAGACCAAGGGGGATAAGAAGGCTGTTAGAGGGGGGGGGGTAAGATGGATAAGATAGGTGTAGCGGAAGGTATGGACGTCTGGAGGATATTCAGATAGTGAGCATCAAAGAAATGTAATCTGACCAAGCTACCTATGTAGTGGGTACCCATATAGAACCGGCATTCGGTACAGTGGATGACCAACCTAGCACGAATTTGAAGCTAAAGTGAGGATGATGCTATCCCTAAGATGCCATGAATGACAACGATATCTCTACAGAACGTCTGTGGACTACGATATAATAACCGAAATGGAATCATATGTAGATGAGGACTATCGTATGAACATGGCAAACAAGATGTAAGTCAGGACAACCTTGGAAGTTTTGAATGCTTTTAGTAATCCGCCCACCGCTGCTAGAACATGGAACATGGTATGGCGTCAAATATGGAAAATGGAGAAAAGCCCGAGATATTCACGAGGCATTCGTAATCATTCAGCAGTACCCATGACGGCGTCCTAAACACAAAGACAACGAGGTTAGCAAGGGAGCTAGAGAGGGAGGATATAACCAAGGTGTTTGCTTACTCTTGCCTCATGGTACAAAGGAGTGATACCAGTCCAGTGAACGAACTGGTGAACACCCTGTCCAACAAGGACCTCCAGTCCAGGAATGGTGCTCCAACCCGCATCAGAGGCAAGCTGCATCAAGGCGGTGACGGCAGGCTTGTAGGCCATCTCAAGAAGAACACGGTGCTTGCTAGCGTCGGAAGACTTGCCGATGAGAGTATCGTCGATCTCCTGAGCGCGCTCGAACATGTGGCAGAGCGTTTCGCGCATTACAGGGTCGATGGGACGGTCAGCAGGGATCGTGCCGATAGCGACCTGGGGAACGGTGTCAAGCTGGGCCCGGTTGTCCACAACGCGGATATTGTAGTTGGTCGGGAAGGTCGAGACCATGCTTTCGAGCTTGCTGGCGGTACGGCCCACCACGTAGATTGGGGAGAAGCCCATGTTGTGGAGGGCGAAGATGGCAGCACGGGCAGTACCACCGCCGCCGATGACCACGGCACTCTCGTTGCCGGTGGAACCGTAAACGCCTGCGTTGCGCATGCATCGGATCATACCTTGCCAGTCGGTGTTGTAGCCAATAAGACGAGGGGGCTTGTCGCCGTTGGGGACCGGCACGATGGTGTTGACAGCGCCGATGATTTCAGCTTCCTGAGCAACTTCGTCGAGCAGGGGCATGATGTCCAGCTTGAGCGGGATTGTCACCGAGGCACCACCGAAGTCGGGGGCGCGGATGAAGTCCTTGACGTCTTCGACGTTGGTAGTCTCCAGGCGAGAGTACTCGTGGGGTAGACCCATTTTGGCGAAGAGGGTGTTGTGAAGAGCGGGAGACCGCGAGCCAGACACAGGGGATCCGAAGATAGCGAACTTCTTGGCCTTGATCTCACCCATCAGGGAGAGACCGCGGCGAATTTCTGCAGCGGACAGTTGACCAGGTGCCGCCTTGAAAGGAAGGCTAGGGTGAGACACCGGGGTCATGAAGCCGTTCAGGATTCGGCTGAGCTGACCACTGTCGCCCATGTTGATCGCAATCAGCGGCACATCATGGGCTTCTTCAGCCCATGTCTTGAACTTCCGAAGCGCATTGTTATCATCAAGGGTATTAGCAACACCGACAAGCTTGATCACATCGCCGTACTCCAGAGCACGGTTGTAGGATGGGATCCAGGACATGTTGGCCCACGACAGAGTGCCCTTAGGATCGTGGTGCGAGGCGATGATCTTAGAGTAACCCTTCATCTCAGTAACGGCACGGAGCATTGCATCGGGGAATGCGATCTCAAGATCCACGAATTCGCACCCACAACGGAACGCTAGTCGGTACAGCTGCATTGCTGCATCATGAGCATCATCGGGGAAGCGGCCACCTTGGCTCTTGGTGCGGATGGTGAAGATGAGTGGTAGGGTGGTACGACGGCGAAGGAGAGACATTTGTTCGTTGACGTAGTCAATCGAGGGAATATCGCCGTCAACCGCAGGGTCCTTCAACAGGTCGACCCGCAGCTCGACGGCATCAGACCCGACACAAGCCTCAGTGATAATATCGCCCGACGGTTCGATATCAGGCAAAGTCAATGAGACGAAGAAGCTGTGCTTCTTCTTCTTAATGAGGCTAAGGCTGTCTACTTGGCCAGTGACTACCCGCATGAAACGGGTAAAGTCCTCTGAGGCAAGGGCCAGCTCCGTTGAGGTGGAGTGCTGGCTATAGTACTGGATGTTACTGCACTCTTGGAACCAAGGCTTACGTCGTAGCCACACGCCCATCATGTCCTCGACGTAGGCAGGGCGGGTCTTATCAATCTGAAGGAAGTCCATCACTAGCTTGATGTCGCGCATGATGAGGAGGACGTTGCCCTTGCTCTTATGGTAGTCGGTAAGCAGCTTTCGTGCCTCTGGCATTTCGACAACACCTCCACCGCAGGCGAAGACATAGCCAGTAGGATGATCCTTAAGGACGCGCTTAAGGACAGCGAGTTCCGCGTCTCTGAATCCCTCCCAGCCGCGTGTCTTGATAATATCCGGAATAGTCATACCCTCGGAAGTCTCAAGCTCTGTGTCAAGATCGATGAATCGACGATCAAGAGCCTTAGCAACCCAGTTGCCAGTGGTAGTCTTTCCAGCGCCACGCATACCGATGATGAAGACGGAGGCGCTGCTCCGCTCCTCATCGCTTGAGGCGGCATGCTCTGCTTCCGCGAGTTCCTTGCCAACAAGGTTCACGCTGAACATTTGCTTCAATGCGTCCCACCAGGCAGGCCAAGTCTTGCCAACACATTCTTTCTCCAGAATAAGTGTGGACTGGGGAGCGACAAGAGACAGCACACTGAAACTGAACGCGACCCGGTGGTCATCGTAGCAGAAAACACCACCGGAAGGCTGGCGAAGGGTAGAACGCTCAATGCCGTCGATCTCGAGTCCGTCGTCATGCTCGCGGCATACCACTCCGAATTTAGCCAATTCGTCTTTCATAGCCTTGATACGGTTGCATTCCTTGACACGTTGGTTTGCGATACCGTAGATACGAGTTGTGTGATTTGAGCCCTTGCCTTGGGCAACGGCCGCAAGGACGGAGGCAGTAAGGAAGGCATCCGTCATGGGCTCCATATCTACGTTGGGCAGCGGCTGCAAAACGCCATCAGTGGGTCCGGTGACAGTAGTTGAGGTATCAGTCTGTACAACGGAGCAGCCCATAGGTCGTAGAACATCCACTGCGAAACGAGCATCGCCCTGAAGAGACTTGGAACCAATATTAGGGACGGTGCAGGTGGTGCCAGTGACGGCAGCAATGGCCAAAGGATAGGTTGCAGAGCTTGCGTCGCTTTCCACAATATATTCGGCAGGGTTCACGTAGTGACCTTGAGGAATGTGGTAGGTGTGCTCCTCAGTGGTAGACTTCTCCACGTCGATGCCGAAAGATCTCATCATCGCAGTGGTCATGTCGATATAAGGCTGCGAAATGGGCTTACCACCGACCAGCTTCAAAGTCACTGGCTCCTTGGCGTACGGAGCACACATGAGCAGCGAAGAGACGTACTGAGAGGAGACCTTAGCGGCCAGGTTGATCTTTCCTCCTGCGAAGCCTCCAGAAGCGGCGATCTTGAGAGGAAGACATCCCTTACTTTCCATGTACTCGACACCGGCACCGTTAACGGTAAGAGCGTCAACGAGATCACCAATGGGCCTTTGCTTCATGCGGTTGTTGCCGGTCAAGACACTCGAGTTGACACTGCTGGGAGTAGCGAGTGTAGCCACGGTGGTGAGGAATCGCGAAGCAGTACCGGCGTTACCCAAGTACAACGGCGTAGGGCTTGCTATGATCTTTCCACCTTTGCCGTTCACAACAAGGACCTCGCCTTCCTCCTCCCAAGAGAAAGTGGCCGCACCGAGCCGCTCTAGGGCATTCAACATGACCTCAGTATCGTCGGAGTGCAAGAGATTCTTAATGCGGCAGGTTCCGGAACCAAGCGCAGCAAGTACAAGGGCACGGTTGGAAATGCTCTTCGACCCGGGTGGTGCGCAAGTGACATTGAGTGATTTGGGCACTCCGGGGTGAACCTCAATGCTGGGAGCAAGGACGACACCAATATCGTCATTAGAGACAACACTAGCCTTTGGCTCGTGAGTGCGGCCAATTGCCGACAAGAGTACAACCTTCTTTTTCGGACCATCGTTTTTCTTGTCCAAAGCCATGTTGAATAGCAATTGGTCTACAGAGCAGTGCTTACCAGCAGTCAACTTACGAACCCGTGCGTCTTTCATGGAAGTGGGCAAGCCGTAGGCCGAGATACACTTTACCACGCGAGCGACAGCTACACCCTTCAGGATGCCCAAATGTCTCGCAAGCTCTGCCTCCTTTACCATGCCGATTGCGACACATTCGCCGTGAAGGATCTGAGGGGTAAGGATCGCTTCAATGGCATGTCCAATAGAATGACCCCAGTTGAGCAGGTTGCGAAGACCGCCCTCACGCTCATCTGCGGAGACAACAAAGGCCTTGTGACGTGCCGATGCCAAGATTCTAGCCTTCAGGATATCCCGGATGCCGTCGAAGCGACCCTGGCCAGCCTTCGGCTCGCTGCGCACAGCAGCCAAAATTAAATCCGCGTTATCCTCCAAGGCAGTGAACTCCTCTTCACTTGAGATAGCAGCAGTCTTAATGACCTCGGCCATACCATTGATGAACTCTCGGACGGGGAGAGTCTCGAGGAACTCAAGATCAATGTAGATTCTCGATGGCTGCCAGATAGAACCAATAAGGTTCTTACCAAGCGGAGTGTCAATAGCAGTCTTTCCTCCGATTGAGGAGTCCACCATGGCAAGGAGCGTGGTCGGGACCTGCACGAAGCGCACACCTCGCATGTACGTTGCTGCAACAAATCCAATCAAATCCCCAATCACACCACCACCCAGCGCAATGATCACTGTGTCTCTGCCGCATGGCGGGTTCTGGCTCAGCATCCAATCTTCAATGTCGGCTTTTGTCTGCCGTGACTTGGAGCTTTCTCCGGGCGCCACATGGTGGATGAGGAGCCGCGGGGCCGGGGTGATAGAAGCAGCGGCGGCCTCAAAGGTTTTTTGGAAAGTGGGGGTATAAAGAGATCCGAGGTTGGTATCAGTGATGAGAACGTAGGTCGTCGAGGACAAGTCACTGATCAGGTCCTTTGCGACAAAATTGCGCCAAAGACCAAAATCAGCGACAATGCTCTCCCGGCCCAAGATGCTGATCTTGGTGGGTTCAGACATTGTGGAGGAGGATATAGATGAGGACTTGGTAATGGCAAAGTTCAATGACGGCTCATTTCATTCTGTGACTTGTTAGTACCCTGACTCATTCATTGTACTCTATCCGTTTCCCCCCACAATGAATCTAGGGATACAAGGTGCACGCCGATCATTTGGAGGAAAGTGAATGATTAGAGAAGTTTACCAACCTGGACAGAGCTGAGCCAAGAGCCAATAGTGTATCAAGAGAATATAATCTCCAAGTCAGAAGCCAACAAGACACAAAAGGAAAAAAGAGTATTGTTTCCCCTCCGGTGTCGCGGGCAGTTTCTTGACCGCCCGGTGACTCAATCTGTCGATCTATACACCCTTGGACATCTACAAGTAGGTACAACACTTAGGTCATCTAGGATTTATATCATGCAGACATGGTATTCATGTTCTGAAACTTTGTTATCAGTTTAAATACGTTTCAATTCAGACTATGAAATCAACACGTTCCACAAAAATTTGCCAAATTCCGCATCTTGCTCAAATTTCAACTTAGCCGACATCGCCTGTTTGAACGCGAACCCTGCAAATAGCCGTAAACAGTCTTGGAAATTCAGTCTTTTGTCAAATCAATTTCGATTACCGAGTCTAACTCGATTGCCGTGCTCGAGTTGACCGAATCCAACTGATCTCGCGTGTTCGATGTACCTGCCAATTTCGAATTCAATGCCGCCTGGATATGTTCATTCAATCCTGCGTTGAGAACCTTCGATGGTCGAGTTCTGATTTTGGAAACACCATTGTTCCGTCGGCTGACTTGCGTCTTTGGAGCGGTTTGGAAACATTTGCCAGAGTGCTTTACTCCAAGGCCAGTGTCTCGGCCAGAGCCAATCTCTTCTCCACGGCCAGTCTCCCCAACGCTCTGGTTTCCCATTTGGGTACAGTGGTTAGTAATTTGGCCAAGAGACTTATCATTGGCGGCGATGACCCCGATGCAGCTCCGTTCAAGTGTCTTGGTATATTTCTCGACCAACCCATCGATATCAGCGAACTGAGTACTGGCATTTTCACCTTTTTCAGCGGGATATGACGAAGCTGAGATTTGGACCTGCTGGAATTGCTCGCATAGCTTGCCAGCAAATTGATATAGCATTTCACGAGCGCCGGTGTAATCACCGATGGGTCCTTGTTCAGGTAAACCAGTATTATCGCCCACCGAGGCGGCCGGAAGTGCATGCTTGGGCTCAAGTGTGTTTGTGGGAGCCAGTGGTGTTGCTGGCTCTTCAATGCCAATGACGATGGGGGATACGGGGGATTGAGTACCGAGTCTGTCACCACTAGGCTCGCGGTGCCACCTCACCTTCCGATCTGCGAGTTTCGTGGGACAGTTTAACGTACATTTTTCTATCCACCGACGCTGATATTCTGACCAACGAATCACGCAGAGTGCATGAAAATAGTCATATGCATCAAGCATTTGGGGAGTCGTGTCGAGATTGCAGCGGGGGAATAGCGTCGGGGCCAGACGTATGAGCCAAGTTTCACACCAGTGTTCGAATACACGTTTGGGGATTTTGCCAATCCCATTCTGCATGTCGATTTGTAGGGGCGCAGGATCTGTCCTGGCATACCCATGGCCATCTTGAGACTGTAGCCAGAGCACACGAAAATCAGTGCTTCTGGACTTCCACGACTCCAACGACTCCCAATACATCGTAATAATTCTCCGAGTCTCCGCGTTAAGACAGAATGCTGATAGCTCATCTGTTGTTGAAAGGTTCAAGGCACCAGCAAGTTTTGCTGCTGAATGGGGCAGATTAATGGCCCATGTATAATCATACAAAATATCAGGCTCATGAGAGTATTGCCGAGATGACATACTCGTATCAGGCATGATGTATGGGTGAGAATCTATGGAAGAAGCTTGAGCTGTCTCCTTCGATGGGTATGGGTAGAAGAGTGGAAGAGAAGTCTAGGTCGACATGAACAGAGGGTTTAAATAGGCACTATGGCTTGTTTGCTTTACAAGAAAACGAGCCTAGTAATCGGAGGCTCTTCTGATCTTCCATTACGTGACGCACCCTCCTGAGTGATCTCCATTGGTGTTAGCAGCCATTATATCTGATAATAAATCATATACCCAACATCCAGGGCTTGCCCATGTGGAATCGACCTGGGCGTGAAGTTGTAGATATTTACTTGCACGTTCCGCTATCAGGCCTGTTTGAGCGTATAAGTCCGTAGTTAGCATAGTGCTAGCCTGCTAGTAGTATTATGTGTATGCAGACTAAAGACTTACTTGAAGTCAACCTTGGAAAGTGAGAACCTCTACCCATATGACATATACGAGTGAGGGACGGAAGATGTCAAAATAAAGTCGAGTACTCTGTTGTTGGATGCCAGGCTCAACTGAGACCCCTATACTCCCCCTAAGTAGGTAAAAAGCAGCCAATGGGATGGGGAATATGGACAGCAGAGTGAAATAAATCAGCTTTAGAAAGATATACAGTAGCTACCTACTAAAGCTGTGGCATTTCGTGGCATCATACCGTGAATCACTGAAGAATTGAAATCTTTGTTTACCTGGCTATTTACACATGAATGTCCATCACTCATCTTCCTCATCCTCGTCATCGTCCTCAGCCTCAGAGACTTCCTCCCCGAGCTCCTTGAGCCGTTTCTAAGATAATTGTTAGTCATATCCTCAGGAGGCAAGAGCAGCTTGAGAATGTGCCGAGCCAGTAAACATACCTTGTCTTCCGTTCGCTTAGCCTCAAGGTCTCCGAAGACAATCAGCAGGTCTTCCAGTTCAGATTGGGCTGACTGGCGAGCCTCCTCCTTTTCTTTAGCTTCAGCTTTAGCTTTGTCAAGCTGGGCCTGGATGCTCTTGAGGGCTTCTGCTGCACTACGAGCGTGGGACTCGGCCTCTCTGGCCTTGCCCTCAGCCTCTTTAGCTCGTGCTTCCAGCGCAGAGGTCTGGGATGTGGTGCCTTCTTGGGCTGTTTCAAGATCATTGCTAGACTTATGAGCCTTGGCGAGGTCTGACTCTAGAGCTGCGACAGATTGCTTGAGAGTTACGATCTCAGCTTCATGCTCTTCTTTGGCTGCGGCGAGATTTGACTCGAGAGCCCCGACTGTATTACCGTGGCCAGTGGATTCAGCCTCATACTGCCGCTTGGTTGTAGAGAGATTAGACTCCAACGTTTCAACTTTGCTCTTGTAGTTACCGACTTCTGCTTCGTGACTTCGTTTGGCTGCGGCCAACGCAGATTCCAGGTCCTGCATCTTTTTGGTAAGACCGGTGACTTCTCCATCGTGGGTCCCCTTGGAGCTTTCAAGATCCTTGATTTTCTTGTTGAGGTCTGCCACCTGTCCATCATTGGCTTTCTTGGTATTTTCCAGGTCCTGAATCTTCTTTTCAAGACCGGCGACCTGTGCATCGTGGGCCTCCTTGGACTGGCTGATTGTGTTCTGCAACCCCTGTATCTCCTTGTTGAGGTTATCGACTTGGCCATTGTGGGATTTCTTGGCACTTTCCTGATCTTGAATCTTTTTTTGAAGATCAGTGACCTGTACACCGTGGGCCTCATTGGACTGGCTGATGATATTTTCCAGCTCCCGGAGTTTCTTATTGAGATTGACAACTTCTCCTGCATGTTGTTCCTGGATGCGAGAAAGCTCCGACTCCAAGCCGCGAATGGTTTGCTGCAGACCAGCAACCTCCCGCTCATGATGCTCTCTCAGCTCCTTTGCTTTGTTGTTATTGATTTCAGATTCCGCCGAAGTCTGCTTGAGTTGATGGTCGATGGCACGGAGCTGATCACTATGCTGCTTGAGTAACTCGTTCTTGTAATGCTTATGTTCATTTTCGAGCTTCGATAGCTGTTGAGATAGCTCCTGCACATGACTTTGTTGCAGAGCTTGGTTGGTCTGTTGAGCCTTTGACAACTCAACCGCGTTGGATTCCTTTGTCTTTCGGTGGTCCAACTGTTCTTGATCAAGCCTCCGTTGGATAGTAACGAGATCAGACTCCAATTTTTGAAGGGTCTGGGTGCGATCTTCAATTTCTGCACGCAATGAATCAACAAGTTCACGTGAAATTCCCTTCTCGACGCCATTGGTAACGACGGAAATCTCAAACCCGGGCTCACGGTCAATTGCACGAAGCAATCGACTGAAGTTATCTTTCAAGAACTCAACGAACGAGCGGTCAAAAAACACTTCCGGCAGTCCACCCTCGAGCTGAGCACCAGCGGTTTGGGGAAGGACCTCAAAGTCGCGAACTAAGGGACATTCTCGAAGTCTCGTGATCTTGTCAATATACTGTTCCCTGCCAAGCTGTTCGATGAGTAGCTTATGGAGCGTGATGCGCGGGATCGGGGAATCTTTTGTGGAGAACTCGTAAATGACACCCAACAGCACGGTGCAAAGGCCGGGCACCAATTTACTGGGGGCGCGCTGGTGCTTGATTTCCTGCAACAAGGTTTGAATGCAGCTACCTTCTCCAAGAAGATCATTCACGACGTCTGGGTCTTCAAAAAGCCAACCACAGAGCAACATGAGATAACCGACTGTAATTCTTTCATCATCACCGCGCTGCAGACCAGTAATCAGGTTTCCAACGACAGATTGGACACTGGTGACCACTTCTTCACCACTCTCAGCATCGCCCTCAGTAACAGCCATAGCTGTTGCCTTCGCCTGTGCATCATCAAAGAGCAAATGGAACATCAGAACGCAGGCCATCCACACTTGATACGGATCCGCATTTCCTCGCGCTTCCGGGGCAGTGAGGAGTACAGATAGAATATTGGGAATCCGATCCTGCCCACTGGTATGCCCTTCAATCGCTCGCCGGAGCACATGCATACGAATTCCAGGATGATGGGCGAAAAATGCTTTCATACATTCGCAGGCAGCAAGTCGTGCGTCCAAAAGGTTGTTGGGAGCAGGCTCGAGGCTGAGCTTTAGAAATGCTTCAATGACATTGATGCGTAAAGGTTCATTATCACCATTGACAGCCTTGTCGCCGCGGGGATACGAACCCCACAGGACCTCGATATCACCAAATCTTTCCTGCAACGGGGAATTGCCACGGATGAGATCGGCACAAGTTGACAAGGCCTGGCTTTGTTAGGTAAAAATGCAGACAAGGATCGGTAATCGCAGAATCTCACCTTCGAGGTCACGCTAACACTGAACCTTCGGCCGAATGCAATGCTAAGAACTTGTTCCGTCACGCCATTCTGCCAGAATGCAGTCTGGTTAAGGGTGTGCTCATGCCACCGCGAATCAAGAACAACTGAATGATGGCCAATAGGCCCCAGACATTCTTGTCTCGGTGGATCAATGTCCATTGTGGCGCCGGCTCGTTATCTTCTGGCTCCTGTTGACATTCATGAAGCAGTTGTGTTACTCTTTTAACACAACCGGTCTCGCGGAAAAACGATTGGTTGGAAACATTGAACCTCAACAAGTGAGCCAACAAGGAGAGGCAATCTTCCACTACCTCGGTCCCATGAGTCAATGCTCCTTCAGCTTCGATAAGAGAGAAAAGTATTTCAAATGCATTCTCGAATGCCACAAGCTTTTGCAGCTCTTCCGAGGCGGGGGTCAGGGCAATCAACAAGACGAGAGCCTCTAGCGGATAAAGAACACAGTTTGTCAGCTCCGACGTTTCATGTCCAACATGGACGCAGATATTCAACGAGACATACCGTTCCGTACTGGTTCCCTCGCATCTGTCAGCACACTGACTAGTTTGGAAATACCCAGCGGCGCTGTAAAGATGCATTCTTGTGTTCGTTCTGGTCGTGCGCTGCAAATGTGGGAAATCAATTGGAGAGAATAAAGGCGGGAGTAAAATTCGCGGGCTTCTAAAAGGTCGAGTAGAGTAGTTATATTGTCTTGTCGCTTTAGAAACGTTAGTCCATCATCTCGGGACCGAGATCACGATGCGTACCTGAGTGAATTCATCCGCAAGCCACAGAGCTATTTCGTCCGACGCCTCAGGCTAAATATGTACGTGAGCAACTAGAGTAACTTCAGAGTCCAAGTTACCCACACTAGATTCGTCAGGCGTGAAGAGCATCAAAAGGGTCTCCAGGACCACTTTGATTGTGTCCACATCCTCGCTGTCATTGCGTAGACTGCTGATCAATGACCGCAGGCCACCAGAAGCGACGGACGCAGGGTAGAGTTTTGCAAAGCTTCTTAATCCTTGGATTGCTGCCCGCCGATCTTCCAACAATGTAGCACTCTGCAGTCTACTGCTTAAAACGTCGATTGTGTCCGTAGCCGTTTGTTTGGCCGGAGCTTGCGACTCGAGGATTCGGAACATGGTAGTTGATTCGCAATATCATGGTCACTGCCAGCCAAGGGTATAAGAATTGGTAGTCATTTATGAGAGAGTAAAAAGAGAGAAAAGTGAAGAGGTTGGTTAGTTCGCTGATTGCAGTACAGAGTAGAAAGCTGTCCTATTGTATTGCCCAAGGGGGCTAAATGCCGATCTTGGCTCAACCCGCAGAATCGCCGACCGCCCGGAATTTATCTTTTCAACGGCTAACTCACTTTCACTACTCCCAACCTGCACCGCGATCATATCTGCGGTTGCATCTCTTTTTTATCTCTATTACATGCTTCAGAGGAGCCTCTATTTCATGTGGACTGGCTAGGATTGTATTTCATTCACGAACAGAGAGACCGCGCCCGCGCCTGCGCCTGCGCCTGCACGAACAGCATCAACTGATTGCGACACCACAGTACCAGAACTCCCAAATATTGACCGCACGAGTGTCGCATTACCATCATGGGTGTCCCCGCGCTGTTCCGATGGCTCTCCAACAAATATCCGAAGATTGTTTCTCCGGTTATTGAGGAGCAGCCCCAAGTGGTCGATGGAGAAGAAATCCCAATCGATATCACTCGTCCGAACCCTAATGGCGAGGAGCAGGATAACCTTTACCTGGACATGAATGGTATTGTTCATCCATGTACCCATCCCGAGGGGAAGCCTCCCCCAGCGGATGAGCAGGAAATGATGATGGAAATCTACAAGTACACTGATCGAGTGGTCAACATGGTGCGCCCCAGAAAGCTTCTCATGATCGCTATCGGTATGTGCACAGTCCAATGGCGCTTTCAATTCCCTCGTATGCTCCAAATAGGCGGTTTCCACTAACCTCGATCCTATGTCTCGATGGCGTCGCCCCAAGAGCGAAGATGAACCAGCAGCGCGCGCGTCGATTCCGCTCAGCGCAAGAGGCCAAGGAGAATGACCAGAAGAAGGAGGAGCTCCACAAGATGCTTGCTCAGCAGCATGCTACGAAGACCGGCGAGCAGTTGATTCGGGAGGAGGTTGTTCAGAAGACGTGGGACAGCAACGTTATCACGCCCGGAACGCCTTTCATGGATATCCTTGCAGCCTCGTTACGGTATTGGATTGCCTACAAGCTCAACACTGACCCGGGTTGGGAAAATGTATGTTCTGATCTCTTTTATTGGTACCAATGAACACACTGACGTTGACAGCTGAAAATCATCATTTCGGATGCCACGGTCCCAGGAGAAGGAGAGCACAAGATCATGAATTTTGTGCGATCGCAGCGAGCCTCGCCTTATCACGACCCAAACACTCGTCATGTCATCTATGGTCTAGTAAGTTTGTGGGGATATTTCAAATCAGTCTTGCCGGTTCACTAATTTCAAATCTAAAGGATGCTGATCTGATTATGCTGGGTCTTGCTACCCACGAACCTTACTTCCGTGTACTGCGTGAAGACGTGTTTGCTCAAGACTCTAGGCCTCGCGGGTGCAGACTTTGTGGACAGAACGGCCACAAGGCTGAGGAATGTCTAGGCCGCCCAAAGGAAAAGAGTGGGGAATTCGACGAGAAGCAGCACGCTGCCCCGTGAAGCCATTCATTTGGCTTCATGTCGCTGTGCTAAGAGAATATCTTGCTGTGGAGCTTCGTGTTCCTCAGCAACCGTTCCCATTCGACCTTGAACGTGCACTGGATGACTGGGTCTTCATGTGTTTCTTCGTTGGCAACGATTTCCTTCCTCATCTGCCTTCTTTGGATATTCGTGAAAACGGAATTGATACCCTGATCGCGATCTGGCGTGACAGTCTCCCTGCCATGGGAAGTTACCTTACCAAAGATGGAAGTGTTGAGTTGAAAAACGCTCAAATTATCTTGCAAGGACTGGCAAAGCAAGAGGATGCTATCTTCGCACGTCGTCGGCAAGCGGATGAAAGAAAGCAGGCAAACGAGAAGAGACGCAAGGAGCAAGATGCGGCTCGAAACGAAGAGCGTGCTCAAAAGCGAAGGCGGAGCTCCCCCCCAATATGACTTAACAGCTGGCGATCGCTCTCGCGGTGGCGGCGGCGAGCCTGTCCGCCCATGGAACTCATCACACCCGGCCGAGGTCACTTGAACAAGGAGACCAGAGAGCTGACACACAGCATGGTCATCAACCGTGGAGCCGTGTACCGTGCTAACATGGAGAATAAGAGCGCCGCTGCTGTGCTCAAGAGTAAACTCATGAAGGGCAAACAGGATGGAGCTGGAGACAGCGAAACTCCAGCCACAGACGGCGAGGATGTATCAAGTGAAACCCCAGAACAGACTTCTCCCGGGGTTCTCGGAAAACAAAAGGCGGATGAAGCTGAACAGGATGTTACCGAGACAGGAACACCGGGCAGAGACTCTCCTCTGCCCGCTACTGTTGCTCCTGAGAAGCCTAAACAAGATGAGCCCCAAGAAGACACCGTCAAGCTGTGGGAGCCAGGATATGCCGATCGATACTATGAGCAAAAATTCGGCGTGGACCCGAAAGATTTAGAATTCCGCCACCAGGTCGCTCGCGAATATGCGGTTGGTCTTTGTTGGGTTTTGCGCTATTACTTCCAGGGGTGCCCCTCTTGGGTATGTTGTCGATTCCTACTTAATTATACGATTGAGCTTAGCTAACTTGATGGCAGACTTGGTATTACCCGAGGCACTATGCGCCATTTGGTAGGTTTCTTCTTTCATCTTTCCCCTCGTCTTTCCCAGAAAGAAGCTAACACGTAACGTACAGCTGCTGATTTCGTTGATATCGCCGATATGGACGTCAAATTTGAGAAGGGCACGATATTTAAACCATTTGAACAGCTCATGGGAGTCTTGCCTGCCTCATCTAACCACGCACTGCCGAAAGTTTTCCATCCTCTCATGGAAAGCCCCGATAGCGAGATCATCGATTTTTACCCGGAGGACTTCCCCCTGGACTTGAACGGCAAGAAATTTGCCTGGCAAGGCGTGATTCTTCTCCCTTTCATTGACGAGACTCGTCTTCTAAACGCCATGGCGAAGGTATATCCTCTCCTTACTGAGGATGAGAAGAGTCGCAACACTCATGGCCAGGAAGTTCTTCTGCTATCTGACCGAAACCCCTTGTACCAAGACCTTGTCGCGAACTTCTACTCCAAGAAGCCCGGTCCGGCACAATATCCCCTTAAAGAGGACGTGAGTGGCGGCCTTGCCGGTATTGTCGAGCGCAGCGACACCTATATTCCCCACAGCTCGTTGGTCTCGCCGTTGGAGGCACATGGTATGCCAGGAGTTGATGACGATCGTTCTCTCACGTGAGTTTAACCCTCCAAACCCTCCATCTCCGTATTTGCTTCGTATACTAATTGATAAAAGGGTCATGTATACGATCCCGAAATCTTCTCATGTCCACAAGTCTATGCTTCTCCGCGGGGTGAAGCTACCGACGCCAATGCTGGATTCAAATGATATCAGGGCCACCCAGACTCGATCACAGAACTCGGGCCGATCATTCGGTGGCGCACCTTTCCAGGGCAGAGGACGTGGTGGCCGGATGAACTACTCGAGTGACCGCCCGAACCCATTCGCCGCTCATCTTGATCCGAAGTTCAATTCCGGCCCACAAGCTGGTCTCGGAGGTCCCGGTGGTGCCCCAATGGTACCTCCTGGATGGGTTCCCCCTGGCCAAGGGTACGGAGGCTACGCCAGAGGACCGCCTCCCCCTCCACGTGGCGGAATGTCATACCAGTACCCACCTCAGCACCCTCCCCAACACGGCTACCAACAACCTGGAGACTATCATGGCCAGCAAAACCAGTACAACCAGGGTGGTCAGTACAATAGTGGTCATCAACCAGGCTATGGCCAGCAGGATTATCGTGGAGGCAGAGGAGGTAACCGGGGAGGACGCGGCCGTGGTGGGCAGCAACGAGACTACTACTCCCATAATCAAGGTGGAGGAGGGTATAATCGGTACTAAAAAGTAAATGAGGGCCCAGCTTTCTGCCTATTTCTTGCTTCTTATACTGCTATCGGTATCTGTTGACGCGTTTCGGAATTGGACATATGACGGACTGAGAAAAAAGGAGTTGGATGCAAAATGAATTCAATTGATTTCCATGCACTTTTTTTTTGCCCTTGTAAAGCCTGCATGGGTTGAGCCTATGGCTGACGATACCTCAAAGAGTATAGTTAGCTTGCTCGAAGAGTATATCCTGTGCTGCAGTATAAGTAGGCAGTAGAAATACTGTACTCACCACATAACCTACTTATCATGTACAAGTTATAGTCGTCTCATAATTGGCCTTTTGCCATTTTCCCGCTCTTCCCAAGGTCTTATATAGGAGTCCTTTCATCTTCTGCTTCAAGCGCACATGATCTTTGTCTGGTTGTAGAAGGCGGTGTACTTGGAGGGGTCAAGGCAGGACACACTGGCAGAAAAACGAGGCGGGGTGACTCACCCGTGTGGACTTGCAAGCCCTGAGAGGTTGTTAGTCGCAGTCAATCTTTTCTCGCAAACCACTGGAGTCACCACGTCATGGATTTTCCTGCGGAAGAAGAACTCGTGCTCGCTCGGTGGAGGGAGATCGATGCCTTCAATCGCCAAGTTGAACTTTCGGCTGGAAAGCCACGCTATGGATTCCTTGACGGCCCTCCATTCGCTACCGGAACTCCCCATTATGGACATTTGCTTGCTTCGGTAAGATCACAGCCAACAGTTTGTGAATGAGTTACAAGTAGTTCTAATACTTTTCATTAGACAATCAAGGATGTGATCCCCCGTTATTGGTCTATGAAGGGATTCCATGTGGAGCGCCGTTTTGGCTGGGATACGCATGGTGTGCCCATTGAGTAAGTTCAATTCAATTCAAGACAAGCTCGCTCAAGAATGTGTAGTTCGGTTTGGCTGATACAAATCCTAGGTATGAAATTGACAAAAAATTGGGCATGTCTGGTCTGCAGGCGGTCCAAGAGATCGGAATCGAGAAATACAACGAGGAGTGCCGATCGATTGTTATGAGATACGCAACAGAATGGCGCGAAACCATCGAGCGCTTGGGTCGCTGGATTGACTTCGATAACGACTACAAGGTACGCTAGAGTCCATTTGACATTCTGCGCCCCTACGTTAACGCGTTTCCCCCCCTCATCATTTAGACCATGAACCCGTCATTCATGGAATCTGTCTGGTGGGTTTTCAAGGAACTCTTCGATAAAGGTCTCGTCTACCGAGGATACCGTGTCATGCCTTACTCTACCGCCCTCAACACGCCGCTCAGCAACTTCGAAGCGCAGCAGAACTATAAGGATGTGCAGGACCCCGCCGTTGTCGTGACATTCCCTTTGCTGGATGACCCCGAGACATGTCTACTTGCATGGACCACTACCCCATGGACACTTCCATCTCACACTGGCCTGTGTGCAAACCCCAACTTCGAGTACGTAAAGATCTACGATGAGGCTACAAAGAAACACTACATCCTTCTGGAGGCACTTCTTCGGACTATCTACAAGGACCCGAAGAAGGCCAAGTTCAAGATCGTCGACCGCATCAAGGGTTCTGATATGCTCGGATGGAAGTACGAGCCCCTCTTTGATTACTTCTATGAAGAATTCAAGGACTATGGCTTCCAAGTGCTGAATGACGAATATGTCACTGCCGAGGATGGTGTTGGTATTGTTCACCAGTCTCCTGCCTTTGGTGAGGAGGATTACCAGGTCGCCATGAACCACGGTGTCATTTCCGAGACTCGTCTTCCCCCCAACCCCGTTGATGCGCAGGGCTGTTTCACAGCTCAAGTCCGGGACTTCGTGGGCCAGAATGTCAAGGCTGCTGACAAGGGCATCATCAAGCTCCTTAAGGGCAATGGTCGTGTCCTTGTTGATAGCCAGATTACTCACAGCTATCCTTTCTGCTGGCGGTCCGATACCCCTCTTATCTACCGTGCTGTGCCATCCTGGTTTGTGAAGGTTAAGCCTATCATTCCTGATATCCTTGAAGGTATTGAGAAATCCCACTGGGTCCCCTCCAATGTTAAGGAGCGGAGATTTGCCAGCTGGATTCGGAACGCCCACGACTGGAACATTTCTCGGAACCGTTTCTGGGGAACACCGTTGCCATTGTGGGTTAGTGACGATTTCTCAGAAATTGTTGCTATTGGTAGCATCGAGCAACTTAGGGAACTGAGTGGCTACGAGGGCGAGCTCACCGATATTCATCGGGACAAGGTCGATCACATCACCATTCCTTCTTCGAAAGGAAACGGCGTTTTGAGACGTGTTCCGGAGGTCTTTGATTGCTGGTTTGAGTCTGGAAGTATGCCCTTCGCAAGTGTGCACTACCCCTTCGAAGGTAAAGAGGAGTTCGAGGACCGTTTCCCTGCAGACTTTATTGCCGAAGGCCTCGAGTAAGTTAACTATATCCCCTCTTCTGCTGGGTTTCACGCGTTAATGTTGGCTTCTTAGTCAAACACGAGGGTGGTTCTATGTACTCAGCGTGATCGGAGTTCATTTGCGTCAAAAACTGCCTTACAAGAATGTAGTGGTGAATGGCATTGTCCTCGCAGAGAACGGTCTGAAGATGTCCAAAAGGTATGTAAACACTATCTCGATATGACCACGACCCGGACTCTGTCTAACTACGCTTGATCCTACAGATTGAAAAATTACCCGGACCCAGCGCTGATCATGAATTCATACGGGTGAGTTCCGCAGTTCTCCAGTTCCGAGTTGTTCATTTCGGGATTGTCCCCATAAGAATTCTCATTAACATTATCTAAACAGATCGGATGCTCTTCGATTGTACATGATCAACAGCCCTGTCGTTCGTGCTGAGCCTCTTAGATTCAAGGAATCTGGTGTCAAGGAAATCGTCAGCAAGGTGCTTCTCCCCTTGTGGAATAGCTACAAGTTCTTCGAAGGCCAGGTGACCCTCCTCAAGAAAACTTCAGACATCGACTTTGTCTTTAATCCTGCAGCAGAGAGCACCAACACAAACGTGATGGATCGTTGGATCCTTGCCAGCTGCCAATCCCTCCTTCTGTTCATTAACCAGGAGATGGCCGCTTACCGTCTGTATACCGTTGTACCACGGCTCCTAGAGTTGATTGACAACACGACCAACTGGTACATTCGCTTCAACCGCAAGAGACTCAAGGGAGAAAATGGTGTTGATGACACACTGCACGCCCTGAACACTCTCTTTGAGGTTCTGTACACCCTTGTCAGAGGCCTTGCTCCATTCACTCCATTCGTCACCGACAACATCTACCAGCGCCTTCTTCCCCACATCCCTGAGTCGCTCCGTGCTGAAGACAGCCGTTGCGTACACTTCCTTCCCTTCCCCGAAGTGCGCCAAGAGCTATTTGACGAAGTTGTTGAACGCAGAGTTGCCCGGATGCAGGTTATTATCGAACTCGGCCGTATCTCGCGCGAGCGTCGGACCATCGGTCTCAAGACACCGTTGAAGTCACTTATCGTGATTCACAATGACCCGCAATATCTTGAGGATGTCAAGTCTCTGGAGCCCTACATTCTCGAAGAGCTGAACGTTTTGGAACTTGTTCTTTCCTCTGATGAAGCCAAATACGATGTCGAATACTCGGTGTCCGCTGACTGGCCTGTGCTCGGAAAGAAGCTGAAGAAGGCCGTTCAAGCAGTTAAGAAAGCCTTGCCTTCTCTTACCAGTGATGACGTGAAGGGATATATCGCCGACAAGAAGATCTTGGTTGATGGCATTGAACTCGTTGAGGGTGACCTCGTTGTGAAGCGAGGAATTAAGGAGACTGACAACTCCAAGGGCATGGAAACAAACACGGATGCCGACGTGTTGACAATTCTCGATGTGAACTTGTACCCAGAGCTGGCTCATCAGGGTCTGGGTCGTGAAATCATCAACCGAGTTCAACGCCTTCGCAAGAAGGCTGGGCTTGTTCCCACCGACGACGTGAAAATGGAATACACCGTGATTTCGGACCCGGACAACATTGGTCTTGGCGAGGCTTTCAAGTCCCAGGCTCAAGCCTTTGAGAAGGTCCTGCGCCGCCCAGTTGAGCAGAGTGCATTTGGTGGCGATAAGCTTCCTACTGGAGAGGAAGAGGGCACTATTTCGCAGGAAGAACAGGAGGTTCAAAATGCCACTTTCTTGTTGCGCCTTCTCAAGCTTTAGAAAGTCATCCAAAAGAGCATTTGTAGATATCAACTCTACTTTTAACCTATTTTTATTGCTTTGAATGAAATCATATGGTCTTTCACGACTAGTCCGCCTTCAGTACCTAGCGAAATTCAACCTAGAATAATTTACAAAATGCTCCTGTTTGCGCCGCCATACCCAAACAGCCCCAATTATTGGAGTGCTTTCGATGCTTCCGATGCTTCCGATGCCCCCAACATACAATCCCAATAAACCTTTTCTTTAGCCCTTTTTGGATGCCGCCTGTTGGGACGGTTAGCTTGTCGAACGGCACAGCACTCGCTGGTTACCTACCAGGTAGCAATTCTTCAGTCGCATAAACTCTTTGACACACATATCTTTATGTACCGAGTTGTAATCCGTAACAACACACTTTCCGTATGCCGCAACCTAAGCTAGTTAGTTCGGCAATATTGAGATGAGGTAGATGGGAGCTACGTACCTCTACGGAGCATTGGGCTGAAGCTTTGGCAATCTTCTCAACTGGACGAGTTCTTCCCGGCATCTTGTAAGGATAAGGTGACGATGCAGCCCTGAAATGCGAAGTACCTAGGTAGCTTAATGTTCCGATGTGAACCTTGGCCAATCCAAGAATGTTACATAAGACCACGTGACTATCCTGCATGTTTCTGTCGCGACAACCAAAACAACCCGCTCAGCCCACTGTTGCTTCGATTGATGCATGGGTTTAGTCTATTGTTTCTATTCGTTTGGAATTGCTGATTACGAAGTGCCTCTATCTGCGCATGCCTTTTGTTCTCGGTGCTTCCCGCTTTCGCGATGATTTATTTGGTCTTGCAGCTCTATGACCCAAATGCGACAAGCGCGCCTTAAGATCGCGAATTTTCGATGCCTCCGATATCCTCTCAGCGTCGAGCCGTGACCGAAGAGATCTCATCTCTTTCAGACGATGGTAGGACACAATCAATTACTCATTAATTTCAACGGAGCCTGACCTCTATAGATGTCGGCTTTCTCTACCAGGTTATCGCTGCTGCTGAGACAAAACCCGAAGCGGATCGCCTCCCATTCCGGGCGCTCTTCGAAGCATACGACGAAGTTATTGGCGAACATGGCGTCAATGCAGACCCAGGCCATGCATGCCTGCGCTTCCTGTTCAAGATGGGAAGCAAAGGTGTGCGGGGCGAGACTCTCTTCGACAAATTCGAGAACGCGCTCCAACAGTTGGGAATCGTGATCGAAATCGGCGAGGACGGCTCTACGAACCTTAATGAAATACATGACTATGATCAATATACAGTGGATGTTACCAACAGCCGGACCGTTGACCATGACCATGACCATTCTCCGATTACGAATGGACTGGCACCGACCCCCAAACGGCGCGCGTCGTTCAACACTACGTACGACATTGGCGAGGATCCTACACATAGAAGTGTAATCAATCGCCCTAGCTCTCGATCGTCAATGTCGCGACTTGAGATTGGGAAGCCCGAGTTCTCGAAACCAAAAATGTCACCTACATCCAGACAAGATTCCAGACCTGCCAAATCCCCAGATCGGACCCAATTAATCAGCCAGTTCTTGGATGTTGGTCGGCGGTTGCTTAGCAGATTTGACGGGACAGAAAACAAGCACGGAGTCGCGGAAAAACCTCCCTTGACTAATGGAGTAGTTGCTCGGTCGGCCGTTGCTCGTGATCGTTCGAAGAGAATGGCCGAAGCCTCACTTCCCCGTCGTTCACCCTCGTACGATTCTTCAGACACCTCTGAGTCCGAAGATGTGCAATCTATCATGTCACAGAGCCCAGAACACGATTCTTTCGACAAGGAAGAGGCGCCACCAGAGTTCATTTATCGCCCTCAACTTTCGGATTTACTTCGGGATGCATCTACCTTTAACATGTACAGGCAGCGATCGATCTGCCGTCGAATTTTGACACAATGGCTGAAAAAGGCCTTCCAAGCGCGACAGACTCGCCAAAATAGGGAAACACTTGCTGTCAATTACGACCGAGGCCTTCTTCTCCGACAAGCCTTTGATCCATGGCGGGGAGTAATTCAAGAGAAACGTCACTCGGCCCGAACAGATCGATTCTTCAAGCATCTTGAGACGCGTGCCAGTCGGGCACGGGATTTATACCTAATGACGAAGGCGTTCAGTCACTGGGCCCAACTTACGTCGGAAGAAGTAGCTCGCACCTCTGCTGCTCGGAGACATGTGCTCGGCGTCAAATATTTCAACGCCTGGCGCGAGATCACTGCCGTCAATGAGTTGAAGGCCCAGCGCTTTGCGCTACGGAGGCCTTTCAATACGTGGCGGAAGAAGATCCAAGATTTAAAGGCAGCAGAGACACAAGCAGTCAGTATACGCAACACAAGGATTCAAAAAGCATCGTTTTGGGACTGGTGGTGGTGCTTTTGCGACCGGCGTGTTCTTGAGGTTTCTGATTATCGACTCAAGAGACGGTCGCTTCTTTCCTGGCTTCGGAACCTGCGAACTAACCGAGAGCGCGACCAAGAAATAGATTTGCATAACAAACGGGCATCTTTGAAGTCGGCACTACAGATATGGTCTCATCATTCGAGAACCATTGCACTTGCAGATCAGGAAATCCAGGCTTCTCGGCGCCAACATGACCTCAGGGAAACCTTTGATGAATGGAGAATTCAGTCTCGGCTGGCCCCGGCTGCTTCTCGGGTCTCTGGAATGGTCGATACTAGGATTCTACGAAATGCCCTTTCACATTGGTTTGGCAAGATCGATATGGTCAGACAGGCAGAGGAGGTAGATTGCTATCGAATCCAACACAATGCGTGGGTCACCTGGAATGATACGCTTCGCTGCTTGGCTCTTCGTGCTCGAATTGACGAGCGGATCAAAATGGAGGCAATGTACAAATGGGTCCTAATGGAAAGATTTGAGCTGATGCGAAGGATACGCGAGCAACGCATCAAGCGAGAAGTATTTTCTCGATTTGTGACAAACACTCGGGACACTTACACCCGTTTACTGTTTCATGCTGAAGCTCACGAGGCTCATCAGACCGAAAATTTGGTTCGATCTAAATTTGCCATTTGGCGTGATCAAGTGCAACTTCAGCGCGAGCGGGAGTATGTAGCATCTGAGTTCTACGCTCCACGGCTAGCAGCTGAGTCTCTTACGATCTGGCGATCCAAGCACAATCAAGTGGTGAAAATGGAAGGGTGGGCTCAAGATGCTCGATTCTATTTCTTGATGAAGAAGTCCATGAAACAATGGCACCAGGCCAAAGTGGACTCTGGCAAACGACGGCGGCAAGAATCGTATGCTAAAGTCCGGCGACATATCAAGATCAACCTCGCGTCTAAGGCGTTGGCTGCCTGGTCGTCAAAAACTCGAACCATCATGGAGATGGATAAGCAAGCTGGTGTTGTTGACCGCGAAAAATTGCTTGCCGACGCGTCCGAGATATTCGTCCAATGGCACGACAAAACGACCAAGAGGATCCAGGATTGCCAGGATGCAGACGATTCCTATTTCCGACAACTAGCGTTTGACCAGATGATGCAAATGTCCGAAACCTTCATCATTCGACGCGAGATGGAAGACCAAGCAGACAATGTATACAGATTGCATGTTCTACGACTGGCGGCAGCTTCTCTTCGCAAGCTCAGTCTTCGTATCTTCCAGATGGGCAGTAGCGCCGAAACCGCCGAAGCCATGCGGGAAAGAAACCTGAGGAAGCACTCGAGAACCATGTTCCGCGACTGGGTGGACAAGGCCCGAATGAAGCTGGAAGCTCGAGATTCTGCCGGTCCATCTTTCACGCCCGCACGAATGTCAACCTTTGGAAATGGCGATGGCGCTGGGTCAGCGATGTTCGATCCCTGGTATCAAGAGCCGGTAGAAACACCTTTCAAAATAAGTGACCTCACGGCAACATCTCAGGCGAGCTCCCATGATCCGATTTCTGCGAGCCCCCTGGTAACCCCCAATTTCACGACCTCTCCCTCTAAACGAGCCGCCCGGGCACGAGCCCTCGCCCAAATGTCCACCACCCCAGCCACACCCTTACGCACACCTTTCGCAAGTCGACTACTTCGAGCTGGGACCACGACCGCTTTATCCACCTCCTCCAAACGGCCACGGACTGGTCGGCGAAGCTCGGTGGGAAATAGCGTCCGGTTTGTGGATGAAGAACCTCCCGAGTCTCCGACAGACGGTCGCAGATCAGCGAATCGACGACCTTGACGTTCTTGTTTGGTATATGACCTCTTTGCAGCCGCTTTAACCTCATGTACATCAGCGATGGTTGTAATTTTTCTCTCATGTCCTGTCGATAGGTGCGACCATGTTTCCTTCAATGCATCATCCGGCGCAGCATATAGCGGGTTCAAGGGTTTCTGGGTCTTGGGTATACTCTTTTGTACTTTTGCCATGACTGAATGTGATACTCAAATTATGAAATGATATTTTCTAGAAAACTTGTACAATGTAGGGAAAGGTATGCTCGTTCGATGAGGTAAGTAACCGTCTGCTATAGCGTCTGGTCTATCCCGAGGTCAGATGTAGGTAAATGCTTATCGTGGAGCTCTGTAGCTGGGCCGCAAATCACTTAGAGCTCTTGGAATACAAATTCATCACCGTAAGAAACCGTAAGAAATAACAAAAATCTAGATTCACATGTTTATATCCATACCTAGCTGCTTTGTGTTCAAGTCGAGGGTCATCGGTCACATCTGGCCACCGAGTGGAGCGGCAGCGTAATCGACCAGCTCTCTTCCGCCTTGCCCCCCTGCGTGCATTCAGACAACTCCCCAAACACCCATCTTCTACTCTCCGTTTCCCTTGTGACTCTGGTTACTCCCGGACATAGTAATCTTTGATCTGGCAATGTTGTAACGTGTTTTCAAGCGCAACGAGTGTCCAACTCCAGAACCAACCGCCTCTATGCGAGCGGTACTGCCGGGGAGACCCCCAGCGAAGCTCCAGTCGTTCAGCACGGCGCTGTGGGATGGTCTTCGTGTTGTTGTAAGTACTCTCAAATGTTGCCAAGTTTATGATCCAGCTCTGCGGCTCATTTAAAGTCCCCTGTTGCTGACCCTTGCCCCCGCGCGTTCCCCAATAGGCATACATATCCGGCCACGCGCTGGTTATCCTCGGCGGTCCGCAAACGCTCCTCCAAACGATTTACGTCGACGATACAGATGCCCTTGAGGCCGTAGCTTTTCACGAGGCATCCGGCAAGATTGCAGTTTGTGGTGGTCCTGATGTATTCGTGTACCAGCCATACGGCATCCAGGGCGAGACTCTCAAGGTGCGCATACAACCCCACACTACTCGGAGCTTGGCCGACCAGCAATATGTTCTCATAATAGCAATAACAACTGATGTTGATACCTGGCTTTGTTTAGTGGTCGCTCCTTTATACATTCCGCGCCCCCGATGATGACGAACCGATCTATACACTATCGTGGGGTTCCTCGAACGAGCTCCTGGTGGGCAACTCCCGCCTTGCCCTTTGGTTTATGAACGACGAACCGCGCCTTGTATGGAAAAGAA